AGAGAAGGGGGCCAGAGTAACCGGTCAAGTCGCCCGAAACCTTAGTCATGTTACCCGAAATTTTAGTAATGTCACCCGAAAAAAAGAGTCAAGTCGCTCGAAGAAACAAATACTAAAAAGATCAGAATTTCAGACTGTAAATAGGTCATAACGTTGAGAAATTTTTTATCACTAAAGCGCTCTTTGTTTCCGATAACACCATGAAGATTCTTAAAGCGTTGGTCGTTCCTAAAAACAAAGAGAAACGTTGTTCGTTTCCAACAACAAAATGAAGCGTTGTTCGTTATGTAATCGTTTCTTACTCACGGACGTTTCGTAAGCTTGAGAAACTTTTTCTTGGTTTCTAGCAATACGATGAAGACTTCATGAAGACTTTGATTACACAGAAATCGATCTTATGCTCGGAATTGAAATATGTTTGAGTAAAGATTCTAAAAGGGTTGTTCGTTTCTAACAACAAAGGGAAGCGTTCTCCGTTTCTGACAAAATCAAAGTGCTCTGTGAGCAATCTCGTGAATTGACACATGAGTTTTTGGATTATGTTTAATGTTATCTGGTTTAGGGAATTTTGTGGTTGATTTTCATATCTAGAGTACGAGCAGTAGTTCAGTGTTCGCAGCAAAGAAACAAAGTAACGTTGGGATGAGAAGGCATTACAACTGAAATGATCATGCTATTACATTTGACAAGGGTGGATGATGTCATGTGTTTATCAACGTAAATCATTTTTGTTTCTGGTTCAAAAGAAAAGGTTGGAAGTAAATGTGGGTGAAAAGTGAAATTTACTGTCTATCATTGTAAATATTAGAAAACCAAGGCAATACTGTCTTAAGCCAAGACTGCCACCGTCATTTAGGATCTCCGCCTGGGTAGATTTTAGTCAAAGGTCGCCATTTCGTTTTTTTATTGCTCGCCAAAAACTATCAAATGCACTCAAAAGCCTAAAATCGAAAAAACGTTTACAGGAATCGACCAATCGAGCGAGCGAGTGCCATTTTCCACATAATATCTACAACTCGCTCTTGCGCATGCGCACAATTCACGAGTTAAAAATGAAGCGTTGTTCGTTTGGTATGTACTCGTTTCTTACTCACAGACATTTCGTAAGCTTGGGAGACTCTTTCTTGTTTCTTAAAATGCCATGAAGACTTTGACTACACAGAAATCGATTCTATGGTCAGAATTGAAATATGTTTGAGTAACGACTCTTAAAGCGTTGTTCGTTTCTAACAACAGATGGAAGCGTTGTACGTTTCTATAACAACAAATGCATGGATGCAGCGTAACATGTAAGTAAAGTTCTGTTGTGTCTACCTGTGACTTTCTTAACAATAACAGATGAAAACAACTGGTAAACGAATGTCGATTGTCGCGTCCGACAAGTCTGTAAAAGGTAAAGCCAGTAACATACAAATAAAATTAACTTGTTGCCTTGCGTAAGGTAAGTGTGATATTTTTAAGATAACAGTCTATTGTTTATGTTTGTGACTTTTTTCACACGCATGTATATTTTGATCCGATCAAAGTATATATGAAGAGGGTGATTACGGCCGATCATATGGCCTTTCTGACCATATGATCAGAGAATGGAGAATGGCACTCGCTCGCTCGATTGGTCGATTCCTGTAAACTTTTTTTTCGATTTTAGGCTTTTAAGTGCATTTGATAGTTTTTGGCGAGCAATAAACAAACGAAATGGCGACCTTTGTTGCTAAGAATAGTGGTGGAGTGAAAAAGAAGCCGATGATAATCTTAAAAGAGTTTTTTTTTTTTCGTTTTAGTTTCAACAAGCGGCGCCAGCGACTAGCAGGCATGCAAGGATTCACACTGAAATAACAGAACAACCTTCGTTTTTCATAAAATTGTAATTTACAATCCTTAAACTTGAAAACAATCCTAAGATTCATTGAAAATATCACTTACTGCGAAGCGCTCGGAGTTCACAGATGTTCAAAGCTTTTTCTGTTATGGCGTGAGATTGAGGACAAAATCGATCATTACGTTTCGTATCGTGTGTTTTTTCCTGTGTGAAGCAACAAAAGATGCCGGCGACTGACGAAATTACAAGTTAACACGAAAATCAAATAACACCTAAACAAACAGTTTTAGCTAGCGATTTTCAGTGAATTTTTAAAGAAAAGTTTTCTTTTAAGTTTCAAGACAATTTGAAGATTCAAAGTACATATTACGTACTAAAATGCGAAAGTTATACACAACAAAATTGATAAATAGGCCTGAAATGAAATTCTATCTTGTTCTCGATTATACGTTGCTTAGCACGTGACTAAAATCTACCCAGGCGGAGATCCAAAATGACAGTGGCAGTCTTGGTTTATTTATATCGCTCAAAACTCGTTCCCGTTTGTCTCATTTGATAAATAGGGAATCGGTCATGTTTTCATTAAGACAGTATTGCCTTGGTTTTCTAATATTTACAATGATAGACAGTAAATTTCACTTTTCACCCACATTTACTTCCAACCTTTTCTTTTGAACCAGAAACAAAAATGATTTACGTTTAAAACACATGACATCATCCACCCTTGTCAAATGAAGAAGCATGATCATTTCAATTGTAATGCCTTCTTATCCCAACGTTACTTTGTTTCTTTGCTGCGAACACTGAACTACTGCTCGTACTCTAGATATGATATCTAGATATTGTAAACGAATATAGAGGCGATCCTCGCAGTTATGAACACTACTGAACTAGTTGTTGAAATTTTATCTTCAATTCCATTTCAATCGTGCATTCGATTTTCCTCTCGAACGAATGACAACTAGGTAGATTATCTATTTGGACCTATCACATCCTTAAACTTTTAAAGAATTTCCGCCATCGAACGTCACTGATGCTATTCACTCATCCAGATGCAACGTTTCGTAGGAATAACAATACTTAAAGCGATTTGTCTTTCATCTCACGCGAGGATTTTAACAATCTCTAAAACAACTGAAGAAGACTGAACAATTATTTACTTATAGGGTGAAAATTTAAAAAACTCTTATTAATCACTGTTCATTGTTCGTATTATCTACAGAAACGAATAGTCAAATATCATATTTTGATTACTTGACTGAGCTTACATTATGTTTTCAACGAAGAAAGCTGAGTGAAAAGGAAAAAATGCTTCCAAAAAATGCAAATTTTATAGACTGCAGGCTTAGGTTTTATTTTTACGTAATTTGTATGAGATACCACAACGACAGCAGCATTATCGATACATCATTTTACCATGACAACAAAGATGTGTGGTGAGACCATGTTTGGTGTATTCAAAAGTGATTAAAAAGCTACGCTCTTACATTGCAACTTATCAATATTTTTCGCGATGAATTAGCCATCTCTCGGGTTCTCGTTCCACTTTCTCTCAAAACGAGACAGAAATTTAATATTTTCCTTTACTTGCAGTGTGGGACTTTCTGGTTCTAGGCTGTCATGCAGCTGAGTTTCATGGCTCGTTTTTCACGACGCTTTTCCAGTGTCTACAATTTACCAATCTTGACTTTGCTCGCCTCAGTTTTAATATTAAGAAGTGATGCTGAACCAAACACCAAGAATGTAGAAGGAATGGGATCCATGGATTGTGCTCCATCGCTTTCAGTTTACTGGAACGAGATTCTTGCTCGACTTCCCTACGTGGAAACAAACGTTACAAACAACTCATACTCAGATGAAGGACTTTTGACAAGTAATGTACCTTGCTTTCTACTAATTTTTCTTCCTTTCATTTTTTCTGTTTTTTTTTCTTTTGAACTAGTCGATTCAGTTCTGTTTGATTTTATACTAAATAAGTTTTCCCTTGATGATTTTTGTGGTTGTTTTCAATGTTATTCGGGATGTACTCTGACTTCAAACCGACAAATTGAAGTATCTTCAATGACTGAGTATTTGCATTTTTTTCACTAAAACAACTGCTCTGTGGTAAGTCTTGCATGAGATGTTTTAAAGTCACGCTTATATTGCAAAGTGATCGCCTCCAATAAATGACTACCTTTTTAAAACATCCATTTTCCCTTAACCAACCACTTCCAGTCGACCAGTTTTTTTTTATGGACGCTAAATGAATCATTTAACTTCGTATGCAACTATTATTCTTCGACGGGCTAGATTTGAGTTGAATAAATCTGAATGGCAGCGGAAATCATAACGGTCTCTTAGAATATTTCATGCTTAACTTTCTAGTGAAACGGAAGCGATGTATCGTGTTTTAAAATCAGCGACAAAACCTTCAAACTGACCTCACAAAATGATAAGAAGTGTTCTTAAATTCGTTTACAGTATATCTCAAATTCGGAAAATCGGTTTATTACTGATATGAGGTAATGTTTTTGACTCATTTTCTTTGGTTCATGTTTTCAATTAGGAAACATGAGATAAGCCTAAAATTATGAGATACTCCAGTAAAATTTGCATGCAATGCATATTGAATTTTTAAATTTTAAAATCTTTTTTTTCAAGTTAAGTTTTGGAAGAAAGCTTTTACTGTGTCTATCAGGTTGAGCAAAAGGAAATTCATTTGTTTCCATTCCACATTACCAGAAAGACAACCCAAAAAACAGAGCGAGAGCAGTAACTGAATTAAGATATAAATATTCTCTAAATTTCAGAGGTAGAGAGAAAAATAAAGCAATCCAGAATAGTAACATTTCAATCAAGACGGGAAAAGAAAAGACAATCATTATAAGTATATAATCTCTTCAAAATAAATAGGTAGATCTGCATCTCATTGGCATTAATGTTTCATTTTGTTTTTCAAACAAACGAAAGTTCTTGATAGGAGCAAGGATTAGAGCAAAAAACCGCACTTTCCGTCACTTTACAGGTGTAAAATCCCCTTGTGGTATGTCGAGAGACGAGGAAATATTTTAAGCCACGTACTGAAGAAATCACAGTTTAAAACAGAATACATTTCAATGTGAAACCGACGAAAGGAAAGTCTGAAGATATTTTGCTCATATTTGTCACAGGCCAAAGATTTTTTAAAGAAATAAACCGAAAAGAAAAATTCAATTACCTGTTAAATCAATTTACAAAGCTGTGTCACATTTCTTTGTCAACAGCCTTCCTTCACCTGATGCTGGCTGATTGCTGTCGACTCAGCATGAAATTGATTTACAACGCTTCATCTCAAGACGATGCAGACCTGTATTTTCCGGTTATCGTTAACCTTGAGGCTGATCGCCTAATGAGCAGCCGAAAAAACCTTGTTCCCTTGTTACCACAGACTGGAATCGCCTTCCTGGTTTTAGAAAGAAGCAGAAGCGATTACATGTGGAGAATTGTGAAGTCTCTCTTCGCTACTTGGCCGGTCTTAATCCTCATACTTGTCTTGTCGCTGCTCGCAGGAATTGGTGCCTGGTCACTGGTAGGTCTTTTTCTATCCTTTGCGGTTATGAATCGAAATTTTGTATTTTGGGACGTGCAAATAAGAGAACAAATCATACATTACAAAAGCCATTGTTATGATTTTAAAAAAAAAAAAAAAGAAGAAATTTAAAAAAAGAATAAAAAAAGTAAGCCTATGTGAGCCTATGGCAAAAGAGCATTTTGCTTCATAAGATGAAGCCTAACTAGTCGACCTTATCGCCTGCTGAAGACGAGGAGTATTCAATCAAAATGTCCTGATCTACATCAAAAGTAATAGACTCAGCTTATCGTTGGACAAACTACTCTACTTAGGTAGGTCTCCTTCCAGGTGCAGACACGAGTAACACATTGCGGGTGAAAAGAAAAACAAACAAAAAACATGAAAAATGCAATTTTTTTATCTTCCATTTTACTTTTTGTTTCCACACCAGGAGAAAAGGCGGAACTCGGACAACTTTCCTCCCATGTTTACTAAGGGCGTCTGGGAAGGTTTCTGGTGGGCTTTTATTTCCATGACAACGGTGGGGTGCGTATATATCATTGAACATAATTGTGTAGATGATACTTCATTTCCTTTGTTAGCTGAAGCTGGCAGATATTTGACATGATCCAAAGATAATAGTGAAGAGGTTGAAGACAATAATGGATGGGTTGAGAAGATATAATGAAAAGATAATAGTGGAGAGGTTGATGATCTAGCATAGTAGAAATAGTAGTTGGCATGCCCATTTGTTAGCTCATCGTATGACTCGAACTGTTTTTCTTGTGCTTGTTTTTATCAACTCCTTTGATCATATTTGTTTTTTAATTTTACAACAGCACATATGAACCACCAGTAATTATCCTGTCGAACCTCTCGAACGTACAAACTCATAACAATAGTATTCCTATTTTTTGTCAAGTCTACACAAATTACTGGATGACAGTTTCGAATCATTCCTATTGCTGCAAAAGAAATTAGGATAACGAGTGAAGATCATTCACCTCACGCAAGCCTCTTGAATACACGTGCTTAAAACGATTTGATTTTTAACATTTCAAGCTATGGAGATCGCTACCCAAAGTCAGTTGGAGGTCGCCTGTTTGCAGTGCTGTGGATTTTAATGGGAATGTGTATCATATCTATCTTAACTGCAACATTGACTTCTTCCATGACAACTTTTTCCCTGGAAGCTAAAGTCAAATTACCCGGAACCAAGGTAAGAAAAGGGTGACATTGCAATTCTACACTTCCGGAAAAACGAGAGATAGTGGAAAGTTATATCAATTTTATTGCAAGCCGTTCATTACTGCGCCTCACGCAATCAATTCTGGAGACAAGGGAACCAGAAACTGGTTATTAAACACGAATAACGTCGAAGACATGAACCAGATGCCTTCTGAGCCGTAGTTGTTCTGTTTCCCGTGCTACGTGACGGCATGGCTGACATTCGTTCCATGTGGACACGGTGACTATATCGAGGGATTTTCACAGCCAACTATCTAATAAATTTATCATGACGTAATATGTCTGTGAGCCTAAAAGCGTAAGATGTGGGGGGAATCGGTTAAAACATGATGTCTTTCGAAAATAGTGAAATAAGGCTCAGAGTGTAAGTAATGCAAGGTTTAATCAAGTTAAGGGCTAAATGTGCAACGGAAAATGTCAACAGAAACGTTTAGCAACAAACGACGGGCGAAAAACATATTTCTTGAGTAATCTCGAGGGTTATCAAAGAGTATTTTAAGTTATTTTAATGTAATTCTACTCTGCTAATGGTCGCTTCAGATCTTTATAATGAACCAGATACGTACACAGCTAATTTGAAAAACTAATCCTAAACTGAAATTATTACTGCAGATATTTGAGGTTTATTCATACATTCATGTAAAGAACGCTCTCATTCGTCCTGATCGAGCGTGGTGACCACTGATGAAAATTCAAAGCAAAACATTAATCAGGTGTTAATTTTCTTCTTTAACAATGAACATATTTGTATATTGTGGCTAACTGACCAGGTGGTAGTCCTTGTTGGTTCCATTGAAATGGTTACGGGAATTCAACATCAGGCCAGTCTCACACGTAAGTGTTTCATCGCTTTGAAACCTTTTCTTTTTTTGTAACGTTTGATAACAAGTCGAATGATAAAAGGCAAGCTTTCAAACTGATAAAGGTGCAGTCTGTCTTTTTCCCTGGTTAATAAAATATAATTATGTTTAATCTTGTTTTCTTAGGTGTGAAAACAGCTGCTGATATTCATGAACATTTGGAGAGTGGTAAATATGAAGGTGATTTGCAGCCTGCCACTGTTCTCAGATCGATCCTTCAGTGATAAGGAGGCAGTGCGGTCGGGTGGCTATGGCACCGGACTTGTTAGCCCTCCACCCTGCTATGCACTGGATTTGTTCTCGGTTGCCCTGAGTTCAACTCCTTGGCCGCACTTTGCAATCAGCCAACTGGTCTGCCTCCTGCCAGTTGGGATTTTTAAACACTTTGTTTATTTACAATTTGTTTTATTGACCCTAAGCCTCTTTCGTGGAGTGGTCAATAAATGTTATTATTATTATAACTATTATTATTATTATTATTTTTATTAATAGTTTTCAACATTATGGCTTAATACTTCTTGATATGGTATTATCAAAGAAGCACTTTATACGTGAAAAGGCACTCGATTTATAGCGTGTCACGAACTTGGAACAATGGAAAAAGGCTGAGCATCTGTTGGTGGTCAATAAAATATATTTTTCAAGGAGAACTAAAATAGTTTCCTTCTAGTTTTCAGCACCTTTTTTGATAGATCAATGCAGCCCTGTTGAAATTTGTTGCTTATTTTTCAGCTTCTATATTTGATGGATCAGTGCCACCATATATTTCATATGTCAAAGAATTTATTAACTACGTTCAGGCTGCGAGGGAATTCGAACCCGCTGCAACTGAAAATAATTCAGAAAAACATACCACTCCTCGCAGTTTCTTGCAGCCCACCTGCGAGTATCATTTCTTTACTTATACATTGCCCGCGGGTCAAAATACCATTAATTTCATTTGATAATAATAATGAATTATTCTGTGACAGGGGCTCTGATGGATGCTTATCTCTTAGCACATTTCAAAAGAAATCATCCGTCAAGGACTCGTAAACTCAAAGCTCAAGAAGTTTTTCAGCAGAAGTATTTGGAATACGGCGTTCGCGTTAAAGATCCAAAGTTGGCCGAGTGTCTTCGCGAAAAGAGGTTCACCCAAGAAGCAGAATGGTATGAACACGCAGAAATACTTCTGCAGCAATCTCTGTTGGTAAGTATTGTTCTCTGAACTTATATGTAGACCCATTTATCATTAATTTTTTTAATCAAATTTTGGTAGCAAAACATGTGCGCCGACTTTTCCGTAGTTTCCGTTTATGGCGACTAAACTGGTTTCTGTAACATATGCCATGCTATAAGTTTGTGGTTTAGCAGCTTCATGGCCTGCGCAGTGAAGTTGAATTTTTCACCTTAAGTTCATTTATAGATTTATTTAGTAAGCAAAATTATTTTCTAGACAGACTGTGGTGTTGCGTGGATGGGCAAGTAAGACATTGTGCTCATCATTGCTCAAAAATTGATTAAATTAGATAAATCCCCCGAGGTTTCTAAAATTGGTGACGGCTATCTCTCCACCTTAACAAATCTTTAGTTAATAATAATAATTATTGTGCAAAATTTGTCCTAAATCCTACCCTTTACAATGTTAACTTCTTTACTTCTAAGGATGAATTTGAAAACAGGGACGGAAACAAAGTCAACTTATTCGACCCTGATGGCGTCCTCTATTTTCCGTTTCTCTTTACATGCTTGGGAGTGGCTGCCCTGTTATTGTTGACCGGTGGAGCTTGGGACTTGTGTCATAAAATCAATCACCGAATGAAGAAAAAAGGTTCGACTCTTTTCAATAAGTGCAGAATGTCTAAACAAGCGTCATACAAATCATAATATATGATATATTATTCTGGTAATCTTTTTCATTGAATGCGATTATATGAAATTAATATGTGTGAACTGCGGGTTAAGAAATGAATATGGAAGCGATCCGCTTAAGCAGTGGCGAAATTAAGGCCTAAAAAAAAATTCAAGCCCGTACGGAATTTGATTCCATGACGTTTGCGATACCGGTGCAGTGCTCGACCAGTATTAGTGCGAAGATCGCTTTCATATTCATTCTTAAACCGCAGTTCACATATTTGATTTTAATACATTCACAGTCACTGATTCGTCACTTCACGGGTTTATAACGAACCAAAACAGTGACCAGCTCCCAGTTGGCTTGTTAGCTTAGTTGGTAGAGCACTGCACCGGTATCGTAGGGGGGGTCGTGGGTTAAAATCCCGTGCAGGCATGAATTTTTCAGGCCTTATTTTCACTTCTACTTATTATAAATAGAGTTCATTACTGCGAAGATCGCTTTCACTTTCAATCTTTTTAATTATACCAGTCTTTGGGATCATCCAATTACTCGTAGAATTTTCGGACCTTCTTCATACAATATGAATTTCAATTTTTTTAAACCATCCCGTACCTTCCCTATCGCAATCTCCTTGTGTCTCTGAGACTTAGGATCCAAATAAATGCCTTCCATTAGAGCTCCTTAGATGTAACCTGCCAAAAAACGCGGATAGGAAATTTCACGTAATAAGGTGTTTCTTTAACCTGTACATATATTCAAGTATGTCACTGTAAGGCTTAACCCTATTGATCGTCCGTGCTCCATTTTAGGCTTGACTAAATCTAACATTTTTGTATTTCTCTTTTTTTTTTTTTAAGGATTTTTAAACTTCTCTTAAGTCTTCAAGTTATTGAAGCAGTTGTTGTTTGCCGATCTGAGCTAACAATAATTATTACCTCCCACAGGGAGAAAAGGCGATTTTTCTATTACGTTGGCTAGAGCTAGTCTGATCACGGACTGCATAAACCAAGACAAGATGAACGATCTTGAGAGGAAGATTGAGGATCTAAATGAAACTTTCAAAAGTATAAAGGGTGGAGCAATCTTCGTATCTCCTCGTTATAACATGGAAACGACTGAAATAGTCTGAAGTTTGACAACAAACCTTCGAGAGCAGAGCCTGGTTCGATAGGACAAGTATGGACGATAACAATAGAAAATGAAACTGATTGGCTCGTAAAAATACGATAGAGTGGAGTCAAGGCTTTGAGTGCAATCATATTCATGACAATAGTATTACATGATATGAAGAAGAACGGAAAAATATATCCTCTCTTGCATATTAACTAATCCTCAGACACAGGTAACTGATTTATCTATCTGTGATATCAAGTTTATCCAATGACCGTGACATTATTTGACGTTCCTGCTAAGGAGCGTGCCAAATTTTTGTGTGAGATGCCCATAAAAGGTTCACGAGCGATGATGTTCAACTACCATGCAGTTCCTCACTAGAAGTAGACCCAATTACATTATGACTTGAGATTTCTATCTCGTGGCAGTTGAGGAGTGCGGAGCCTGAATCAGCCATTACCCAGCAGCGGCGAGAGCACATAATCCTCTTCTACTAGCACTTATGTACTGGTCGTTCAAAACTTAAAAGCGGGACAGACTGGTGTTTTTCTTTCATTTAGTTTTCTACCCGCGCGCACTGTTGGGTTACTCCCCCCTTGTCACTGTCTATCACGGAATAGATAGCGAGTAGCGTAATCAATAAGATTTCAGTATTTGTGGTAGAACGCCCATAGCTTTATGTTAAAAGTACAAGAAGTAAAAGAAACCATTATTACGCAAAGCTGAGTGAGAGCAAAACACCATGCTATGACTCTTATATGACTGGTGTTACGAGTAAATACTACGAAAACAGCCAGTAACGTAGACGTACTAATATTTAATAACTTATATATTAAAGAAATAAAAAAGATCCATCTTTCTCTCTGACAAGGCTAATTTTTTGCCCGTCCATTGCTTTGTTGCTTTGTTTGTTTGCTTACTCGCTTGACTTGTGACGTACCGAGGCCCGCTATCATTTCCATCTTACAGCGGATTTTCTTTGTGAACGGTTCGTTTTCATTTTTGTTTGTGCGGCTTGTCAAGTTGTTTTTATAATTGAGACGTTCATATGTTAATTTGAGCAAATTTGACGACAATATGTCGAAAGGCTATTCGGATCCTCGAAACGTGGTAAGAAGTAAATTGCTATGCATTTTAATGGTGGATATATAAAAATTACATACTATTTGGAGCATACTCCTATTTTACCGTCAACGCGTCGGAATAACTTGCCTGTGTGATTGCGCCCACCAAATAAATGTCGCTAACCACTAACCGCCACCATTATTCTAAAAGACGGTGACTAGACTAAACCTTAGCATAAATGTTAACATTTACTGAAAAAATAAGAAAATACATAAGCTAATAACTCATCAACATAGAAAGAAAATGTTTGACAAATTTTCTCACAAGGCGCTTCACTACAGCTATATTGAGTTAATTATAAAGAGGTTCATGCACATGTTGGTACTGGCACGCTGCACGCTGCATACGAGGTACCGATTCCAAAAAAAAATAAATAAATAAACGATAGAAAACTCATAGGGACAAGAAATAAACAATTTAGTGGCAAACCATAAGTGGACATATCTTTAAATAAATAGGACAAAAATACGAAATTAGAGTATTTCTGCTTTTCTGCAAATTCAGCGATGCTCGTTTCAGGTTTTAGCTCATTTAATGGCACTTCTCGGAAAAAAAAAAAAAAAAAACATCTGCCAAACAGATGAAGGAAAAATATAAGAATTGCTATGTTAATGAAGTTCCCTGCATAGTGAATAGTTTTTAAAATCCTTTGCTTCGGCTATGCCGCTCATTTAGGCCTTTTTTTGAAGGCTTTAAAAAAATACTTGCTCTGGGCTTATTACCAGTTTTCATAGCTTCGAGGAAAAGAGGAAGTCCTAGTAAACTAAATGATTTGTTTTCGTAAATGATCTCCTCCACCTGTCGCACAAACTATATCCTCCGCATAGATCTGCCCACTCATTACCGGCAGAGTCTCTTCAATACACAATGCTGAACATCAAAGGGACAATGCCAAAAACCGACTTGGATTTTGAATGTTGCGGGAGAATTTTGAACCAGAGCAGAAACTGAGTAAGGTTTTTTAGCTCTAATTCTTTTATTTACTTTATTAGGATTTCGCTAATTCCTCAGCTGTTATGTGCTATGAAATAACTTTTATTCACGCCACAAGAAATCTAGCGAGGACATGGAGATGAATTTTTATTCCCGATTCAACGAACTTTAAAGAACATTTACTGCATTGATCAAAACATCATGGCGGACAAAAGCCGCGAACCAAGCCTTAATTCTCTTTCGCCTGGAATAGTTTTTGCTCACTTAATTTCTTGTATAAAAGTGAGAAATCGAAAAGCAATATAAAATTCATCGACTCATTTTAAATAACATTCTTGGTTTATCGTTTTCCGGTAAAGTTGTCAATAAATCCGAGTTCTGGTTGAAAAATCATAGACTCCAACAGAAAAATGGTTATTAAAATGTCTCCTTATGTCATCTGTAGTTTTCACACAAAGCTAACGAGGAAAGAAGAGAACGAATGAAAAAAAACATTGAAAAGGGAAAGCTGAATAAAGCCTGTAATGGTGCCAACTGAACTTAAACTTTGAAGAATGATCAGTCAGCTTTCTTCAATTTCTCAGAATATATACATATTATAATCTTGCACTTTCAGTTTGATACAAATCTAATTGCGTAAGCGCCACGAAAGCCGTCGGTTCTGGTAGTTGTGTATGCGATCTCCGTTGCAGTGTAATTAGCGCTTCATTATTTATTACAGACAACTAGCTGTTTGATAAAATCCAAGTGTAAATTGAAATTAGTGCTTTAGTTGACTACCAAAGTTTCTAGAATCGTTTTTCATGGACGTAAATAGTTGAATCAATCTGGAAAATGCACAGGTATCTCGACCTCGGTTAGTTAACTTAAGTGGACGTCACCACCTTTGATCCTAGAGAAAGGCGGAGCAAAAAGGGAGTGACAAGAAACTTTCTGAACCGTTTTCTTTCCTCTCGGCGAGGTGAATGGGTTAAATTTGTGGAGGGGCGTGTTTTCATGTCTGCAAGGGTTGACTCATTTGATAAGGAAAGAGTTTGAGAAAATATTTACAATATGTCGATCTTACTCTAAGGTCGGTACGAATTCAGGAATAACAAGGCAACAAATGAATCCCGGTTCCTAGGTACAGAACTAAATGTGTCCAAATTCAAGAAAAGGAGATGTTTATACATATTGAAAAAAAAGATATATTAGTATAACTGCGCTGTTCGTTCACTGCTGGAGCACTTCGTTGGCGCTTTTGCCCCTTGATATAAGAATATCCTTCGTCAATGTCGACACTTTGTTAAGTCATGTACACCTCAGACATTTCAGTCTTTTTTTTTTTCAAAGAGAGCATTGGGCAAAAATCCATAACCAGTTATCCAAATGACTCTTAGCATAAAAGTGTTTACTCTCTTCATGTTCGACTTTATAGGTCAGATACATTTTAATATTTTTAAGACGAATCCTTGCCTATACGGTGTTATGCTTAAGCTTTTACAAATTTTTTACCTCTCGGTGTCGGTTTTTAACCTGTCAAAATACTCTTCCCATTCATGCATCGAGAAACAAGTATCAAACTAATAGAACTGAAAGAGAACCTTAGTCAAGTCTGATAAGCATGGAGCATAACTTGTCAAAAACATGTTTTTTTATTGCGCGATTCAGTTTCAAACTTAAGAACCGTTTGACCCCAAGTTGATTTTTTTCATGTCGAGCTCGGTTTCCCAAAAACAAATGGTGATTCTGTTTCTCTCCATCAACTGTTTCGAAAAAGTCTTGTTAGGTAAAGTAAAAGGCGGCGCATTGATGTATGCATTACATATACAACTAAGATCAGCCCAAAGAGTGTTTGTTGATAGCACCTGTTATGGATGAAGGAAGGACATACAACATACAAAATAAATATATTTATTGTTTTTTTAGAGGGCACGGTAACGAATCTTGCAATCTGATTGGTTCTTTACCCGGTCAGTATTTTCCTATCTCTGCCCACGGGCCACGGTAACGCTTTCGTGAGTCGCCGAGTACATCCCAACTTTCGTTGTCATTTTTCATAAATATACCTCGTTCTCCGGCTGGGCAGTATTTTTAAGCAAACACGTCGGTCACTACCTCAAGCCGATAAATAACTTATGAATCCTCCCTTTTCTCTCTATCAAATCACTTTGGTTGACAGAAAAATATTGGTTTCAGAATGAATTTGTATAAACAATAGTGTCATTACGTTGGTTGACAAGCGGCCTAAAAACAGTCTGCAATTAATTTTAATCGTTCACAAAAAGTACCCAGAAAGTTGAAACGTGAGGTATTTGGTTACAGTTAAACTGAACGATGGAACTTTCATTCATTTAAAATCTGAATTTTCTCGAGCAATTTGTTCATAGTAAAAAAAAAGCGAGCGAAGTTTTAATTTAAGTTCTACAACAAATATACGCTCCTGGTGAGTCTTTCCAATTCCGTTCAATTTGGACATTTGTACCTTAAATTGCAGAACAGAAATTGAAGGAATTGAGAAAAGGCTGCATTAAATTCCCTTGTGTCTCGTTGGAGTGTGCCGTTCGAATTTAGTTTTTGTGAAGGAAAGATCAGAGTTAAACACGCCATTACAGCAAACAAACGAGCAAACTCTCACAACTTCAAAATAAAAAATTGAATTTACTCACAATTACTTTCCTCGCCGTTTACTTAATGAACAGAGGTAAATCTTCGTACATGAATGAATGGTCGATGAGAGTAAATAATACTTTCCGTTAGATCATTAACTGATTTTTAAGAAAACATTGTCGTGACAGTCCTTGCCAAACAAGTTCTGTTGGTTTTCAAATGTTCCTACGATTTTTTTTTCTTGCGCGCTCTCTAATTGACAGGTGTCAGATTGTGACAGATACTTGTAAAAATAATGTTTCAAAGTTTGTTTGGAAGCCTTTTAAATCACCTTTATCGTTACGGAAAAGAAAATGTTTCGCTGAGGTATCTCTCTTAAATTTGCATCACCTCTATTTTAACTACCATTTACTCACTCAAAAATTGTTCAGTTTATGGAAGATCTTGCCGTATTTACGGCCATAAGTCATTCGGGTTCTTTCGGAAAGAATTTCGTCAAGTTTAAAAACAATAAATATGTTATTTACCGGCTAAGGGTCGGTCCGTATGGTGAAAAACTGTGACCTCGGTCTTGAAAATGCTGCCCTCGGCCTACGGCCTCGGGCAGTATTTTCAAGACCTCGGTCACAGTTTTTCACCATACGGACCTCCCAGCCGGCAAATAACATATATATATATATGTCTATATTTTTTTTATTTTCATGATTCAGATCAAAATTGCACGACGCGAAATTCAATTACCACTTTATCGCATCCATTTTGAAATCGCTAAATTTTTTGCTAAAATACAGGATTTTAGTCCGTACAAATATTTTGTTTTCTTCATTAAAATTATGTCAGATTTAATTCATCTATTTTTTAGGAAAAAAGATAGAACATTTTCAAGGTAAAAGCTACAAATTTGCCATGGCTTCTCTATCTTTCATTTTTTTTGCAAATGAAGAACTCTTGAGATCTTATTGCTTGTTTTGTTTTTAGTGTTGATTTCTCGCTGGCTGGGAAAAAATGCGTTTTAGAGCAAAATATAGTGCGATTTGTCAATAAATCGCACGTTTCGGAGCCAATCAGATTGCAAGGATGATCAGTGATTTCAGCATGGCTGTTGTGTAGAGTTCTGGCGATCACAACTTTTCTACTCCCACAAGGGTTCTATTATCCTGAGTCCATTAGGATAAAATGCTAGTCCAGTTTCCAACAATTTCTTTAACGTTCACAGTCCACAATTCAGATAATGCTCTATCTCAGAGAAATCTTTCCGTCTGGCTCAAAACAAATCCTACACCTCTCAATAGAGTTTGGGCTGATTGAAAGATTCTTCGATTGTCCGAAGGAAGTCTGTTTCTAATTATCAGTACATTAGTAGCGTTAAGGTCACCGCTAAGGCCATATTCTTTTGTTTCCTAGGATAAAATAGAAAGAGAAAAGGCATCGCTGCAGCGAAAAGTGCAGCGCCCACGGCTCATATGAATCAGACCAAAAGTTAATGAAATGAGTCGAATGTCGTGAATGTGTAAGGCTGTTGTGGTTAAAATCCGACTCTAAGACATGCGGTGGGAATTTTCTGCAGCCCGCAACTTATTTTAGCTTGTCAAAGAGATCTATCTCCTATTTGCAGCTTCTTATCTCTAACTACAGCACCATTCGGTTGACAGTAAAAGTTAATTAAAGAGCAGGTGTCCTAACCGCTGCTAATGTTATTTTGTATTTTATTTTAACGTAGGGTATTATTTATTAATGGCCTGGTAGATTGTGGTGTTTGAAAGGAAAAAATTTCATTTGTCGTCTGTTGCAAACTCAGCTGGATGCCGTCACTCTCACATTTCATTATTATCATGAATTTTTTTTACATTATTCTCCTTAATTCACTTACTCTACTTTCACTGCCGTTTTCCCATAATATTCACGAAATTTTGTATACCAAAAAATGCCGCCGAATGAGATCACGTGTCGAAACATCGAGGTAAGTTTTAAAACTACCTTACAGACTGACTGGGAGTAAAAAAATGTTACTCGCATAGTTGAGCCTTGCAATGATACCATCTGAGTCCAAATATTTAAGTTTTAGCATTGTCCCCACTGCTAAAATCCGAGTAATAAAGCCGAGTCAAGAGAATATAACAGTTTATATTCCCTTGGCCAAGTATAAGCTTTCCTAAAGAAAGGTAGGATGGAAGAAAATTATCCCATGAATTGAAAAACATAGTTTTACATCATGGTAACTTCCCACTCCTTATCAAATTTGAATGCCTACCTTTAATTTCTTTACACCCATTACAAGATTTCTTCAAGTAGATAAGATTTTTTTCTTCAAAGTAATAATCTCTGTCTGAGCCATAGACCTCACGTTTTTCCTCAGTTTACTGAAAACGAATCTAAGAATTTTATTCTCCTCTCTCGCTTTGTTGAATTCAGTGTAATAAAAAATGACTGATCAGTGTTAAAGGGGAACAAAGTTCCTTCCTCTAATATTTCAATGAATCCTTGTTTTCCTTGGTCACTAATGAATAATTCGAAATAGTACTTAGCATATTCATGTTTTTTACCAACCATTGTTTGGGTTTAAGGTTTTCAATTGAGATACAAGTAATTTAATTGGAGGAAATTTACCAATAAATTACTTGCTATATGTAACCTATTTACTAGAGAGAGATCTAGCTGGAGCATAACACAGGCGCATGCTACAGTTTTTGTTAAACGTGCCCCCTTTCGTCATACCTTGGAAGTTTCGACATTAGCGGTCGGGGAAAACATCTCTAAGAAAGTGAGTAACAGACTTCTGAGAAAATTTTGATCGACAAATCCGACAAAGGCCTTTTTATGATGATTTTTAAGTTAACTAAAATGATCTCTAATACTTTCGGTTACTTTGTTCAACTGAAAGCATAGATGCTAAAGTTGCGATTTTGATTTAAAGCAGAGGACGTGTTGATGAAATAGAATCCGAGGTCCATAATCTATAGATATCTTTGTTATTTCGATAATGCCAATAACTAAAACAAAACAAGTCTCCTTTAAAAACACTTCATTTTGAATATGCAATCGGGTCGAACTCCGAAGTAGGCACAGATCATTGGGTTAAATAACGAAAACAGTAAATATAAAATTTATGCGCCTAGATAACATCTTCTCAGTTGTAGTATCGCATCAGAATATTGCTTTCTCCATCTATTCATTGATTTTATCATCCAATCAAACATAGACTTGAGTACATATTACAACTAAATCCTTTATCCTAAATCCTAAAGCCTTTTTCTTTCATATCTTTTCACAAACACATCTTTCATTTCACATGATGCAATTGGGTTGATAAAAGAGGAAAATTTTCTTAAACCCCCGGTTAAAAATTGCTTCTTAAAATTTTTAATTTCTTTTATTTTCGTTCTCTTAAGATCCTGAGAACCGATAACACCAATTTTTTTCCTTTAACTATTATCCGTCAACGTTGAAAACGAAAAATCAGCTTCATCCATGCGACATCATGGACTTGAGTGGATGCAACAATCTTTAGTTTCTCGTTAAAAACGTCTTTAGATTTACTTCCGTAATATCGAGTTTTCGAGGAACAGTGAAAGCAATACCGGAAATCTTCACGACAGATGTATACAAAGTAAGCGAGCTGAAAGTGAAAGTTACCAGATTTTAGACAAAAGGTCCATGAAATGATTCTGAATGAAGAGCAGATTTAAGCAATAAAACAGCGTGCTTATACTGGTAAAGTTTGAAAGAATAAGTTTTATATCTTGAACAGTTACACGAAAGTAGATTTTGCAATTAGAGTGTTTCTGGACACTAAACACATTTGTTTGGAACTGCATCACTACAAACCATCAGTTTTATTTCTCCTTCTGTTGTTATTGCTCGACAGGCAAGTACCAAAATTTTCCAAGTCAAAGGCGAGAAGTGCTAGGTTCAAATAGTGGAGTCTTGTTGTATTTTGCATAGCAACTATAATAATTGTCGCCTGCTAGAGCTGTTTCACTTTATCAAATTTACTACCTCTGCGTGTTCTTAATTGGCCGGACTTGGCCTCTCATCTCTAAGGAAAATCATGTTCGGAATCAAATATGTAGAGCATTAGGGTTAGGATATTTTATGGATTTAGGAAGTTTGACCTCTTCAAGGTCAATAAACAATGTAATAACTTGAAGTCGCTCTTAGACAGCCACAGAATCTAGAAAGTGGTGGAATCGAGTACTCAGACTTGACTTGATTTCACTGATTTCATTTCGGCAACCGATTTTAATTTTACGCTGATTACTGAACAGATGCAAATATGGCCGATGAATCAGACAAGTTTGCCGTCAGCCAGTTCAATTAGTATACTATAAAACCCCTAAGGCCCTCGTTCTTTGATTAATTTCTTGTACAGGTTTAATTCCAACACGGACATGTCTCGATGATACCTTAAAACTGTGATTTATTTGACTAAAAAATGAATAAAAACTAGTTGGTCTCAATCCACTGCTTGTAGAGAGAGAGACGGTCATAGATGGCCGTCAAAATATTACCAGCGAGGTCGGGAGAGGCAGTAAAATCAAGTCTTTAGACACATTATGAATTCAAAATCTGGTCACGAAATCGCTGAGATTCAGATGAAGGAAGCTCGCCTCGATGCCTTAAACGATTGTCTTGAGGTGACTTTGCCGCAGCAGACTTTAGGCTCAACATTCTGATCGTTATCATCAGTCATACAATCATGAATCGATCGATGAACAAATGAATATGGATCTGACTCTTGGCGATTTTAGGCTATTTATTTCGTGATAAAATAAGTCACTCGGGGCTGCCAGATGAGATCATTGATATCAAGGGAGTTCCTCACCAGAGGAAAATCATCTGCTGCTAAATCACGAGGTTGTTCTCTAAGAGTGGCCGTTTTTCCGCCAATATCGCCCAAGGCAGATATGATCGGTAGCCTTCAAATTAATCTTGGTTTACACCGATCCTACATTCTAAATGGACGATGGATTAATGTTTTCTTTATCAGGAAGGCGTCAGAGTATTTTAAAGATTTGGTGTCGTGGAAATGTGAATTACTCTTGGAGAGGAGCTCAACAACTCAGTACCTTTGGTGAAATTGAACGTGATACAACTGTTGAACAATACAGGTGAGGAATTTTCTTTTTTTTCATTTTGTTAAAAAACTTCTCCCTCAAAGTGCTCTCGTTTGAGCATAAGACGGGAATTTAGCTAGCATTTAATTTTTTTTTTCCGTAAATGAAATAAATGAAATGAAATAAATGAAATGCTTGTTGTGAGTAATGACTGAAGAGTGAAGCTGTCAATTAGTCGCTTTAGGCTGTTTTAGTTCAGATTTTGAGTAAGTACTTCACTGAGCATCTGGAACCCCTCCATCCTTAGCATTCAAGCAGGTGTAATTGCCGATTGGGAGAATTAAGAGAAGTAAAAGGTTTTACCGAAGTTTTGAAGACATCGCCACTTTCTCCAACAACTGATAACAACCGGTTATCGTTGAAAGTTTAGATTTAGAAATATATCTAAGTCATCCGTTGATATCGACCTCTTGCAAAGAAATATATCAAGGATATTGGAGCTGAGGAGAGTTTTTAAGTCAGAAATATAATGCTTGATCAAGCTATCTGCTACAGATCTTCTTGGAGAGTCGCTGCTTCTCATAGCAACAAAAAAAACGTATTTTCTTTCGTCTCCTTCGGGAAGACTAATTCAAATGAAAAATCGATGAAAGCAGGTCACCGGCCTAACCTAGACTTTCATCGGTAGATTCTATAAAAATAATGGGTTGGTAACATATGGCTCAACTCCAATATACCATATCTACGAATATCATGTTTTACTCCAACAAAATTTCCGCTCTCGATTTCCTTTCAACAAAAGTAGACGAGCTGTTGTCAAAGATGCCGCCACTTATGATAGCGACTTTGATGTTTAGAGCGCGCCTCGAGCTTCAGGTGACATTTCCTGTTCAGTTAAAAATCGCCACAGGATAATGGATTTTAAGCTGTCTCTCTGCTTTTCGTGCTCTTATTGTTTATTGATAGTGTTTGCTTCATGTTATGTGAGGTCAACCTTGATAACAAATTATAAGGACATCTTGGTCTCATGGAACTTTACAGAAATCCTTTAAAAATTGGATGATAACGAGATAGAGGCAGTTTTTTGAGGATTTCAAAAGCAGTTTACTGACAACCTGAAACTTTGCACCTGAAGAAGCAGCGTTTTGGGGAATTGAAGTACTGCACTTTTCGAGCGACGAAGTCAAATCAAAGTCGAAGTAACCACAGCGTCCAATCAGAACATAAGTAGCTATTAAGAGGAATCGATGAGAGCTAAAGTCCTCAAGCACAGGTAAAGGGAGGTGATTAAATTGTAATTGGCCAAGATTGTGTCGTGGGTCTGATTGGTTGAAACAGCCAAAGTTTTTTAGATCAATCATAAATCGAAATAAGAGAACACAAATGGAATCCAGGCTTATACATTGCACTCCATAGGAAATTGCCTTAAGGTGCTTGATCAGATTGCCCCGAGAGCTCGGTTTGCATATCTGCATTGAATTCATGCAAAAGTAAGAGTAAGTTTTTTTTCTCAGTGGTCAAGTTTTTAAGTGAATGGCGCTAAAAAAATCAGCAATTGGGAGAGCATTCTTGAGCACTCAGAATAAAAAGGGAGTCTGGTCAAAGGTGGCTCAAAGCCATAAAACTCCAGGGTTTGCATAAATTTTGGGAAATGGAGCCAAACGTTTCCCTTTTGTGTTCATGGTAATTGGTCCTCTTTGCCACGTTTCATACTGAAAGTTCTTTTGAACTCTGAATGTGCCTTTGGAGCAAAAGAGGATAATAATCATAAAAATAAAGAATAAAAAAATAAATCGTCACCTTTTTGGAAAGAAAATTAAATTTCAAGTTCTAAACATCACCTTTTATCTGTAATCACCGATACATTTGTGGTGACTATGACTGTTACGCAAATTTTAATGAGAGAATTCTTCGATGCATAGAAACAGAAGCATGTAACCTCTGAGTTTTGTAATTTGTGCCAGTCTATTGGTTGTCTACCATTGTCCAAGAGAACCATGTTTTGGCGAGTGTTTTTTAATATTTGTCTATTACTTCAGGAACTTGAACAAAAATATACGACGTGCCTTAGTAATAATTTGTTTTTTTTATTATTTCGAGGTCTTCAAGTTATATTCGGCAGCCCCTAAAATCTCAAATAAAACGCAATCATAATTTGGGAAATTCAACGTGTTGTTTTTCACAGCATGTCATCGAGATGTGCATATCATCCTTTCCGAAGTTTAATCTAACGTGGCATAACTGGGGAAACTGTCCACCTAGCCTCTTAGACAAAAAATGGCTGAAAGAAGGCGGTAAGCGTCGTTCATTTGTACTGATGGGACCCCATATGAGTTTAAAATACTCTTAGGAACTTGATGTGATTTTGGTCCTTTAGCCTTGCAGATAAACGTTCAAATGCATACTTTTCCACGAGGTTTTGTCAAGTTGACAAAAGGTTTAGGCTGACGAGTTGGTAAATATTACATTTGCATCTATGAGAGTCTGGTATTCAATTGAGTCCCATCTTTAAGCCTTACGTGCAGAAATTAGTAGCTACATTATTCACAAATTCAAAGTTGTTTGTTTATCCTGAAAACTAATATTAGACACACAATGAATTCTATCGTCGATCTATCTTATATCATTCGGGTGTTCCACATACAGATGCAGGACTATCGCAAAGTTTGGCAGGTAAATGATGTCCAAGTAGCTCAAAAGCTGGATATAGGAATCTTTTGGGGGGGCTTCTGAGTTCCACACCAAGACAACAGGGTTGGTTTTCTTTATATTTTGTGACTTCTTTAACCACGCCCGTGACAGTTACTTTTAAAACATATCTTTGTCTTTGATAACCGAACTCAAAATGTTCACTAGCTTTCGTATCAGCTTCTTTCGTACAAGTGCTTTTCGACATTATTAATCCTGAGTATGTAGGAAGCTTGTCACATAATGGACCTTTGATGAGTCAAACTTGCCGACGAGTTCTGTCGTAACATAGGACTATGATTGATACTGACTGAGGGTCGAATCCTTACGACGATTGTTTCTTCTCCCGATCTGGTGACAAATAGTTAATGTATTTCCGTATATAGATTGTCAACGGTGCTTTTGCAAGCTAGGAAGCTTATTTCTATGAATGACACTGAATGTTTTTAAATCGCACGTAAACATTCACAGCATACGTGCATTTGAGCTTCGCCATCAAGATACAGGCTAGGTAGATTTAACAATTACCTGATCCAAAAACATTGAAAAAAGAACGATCGAGAAAATAACGATCTATTCGACGGCCCTCTGGCTGCAGGGCACTCCAGTTCAACCATTATTATTCTCAATGATCAACCAATGGATACATTTATTTCAGTGAATCTTTATATAAAAATATTACTGTTGCTTTGTCTAGTCAGTGAATATACTTCAGTAATGTTTTTGTGAAGAGGGTCATTTGTTTTTATCTATTTGAAGAACTTGTAGCTTTGCCTCTTCCCGTTGGGCAATGATTTTAAGGTTTGAAGGAGATGCAGTATTAGATCCACGGTAAGATTATCATCTCCAAGTGAAAATCAATCAAAAAGCTTTTAACTCTGAAAGAAATTTGATTCATTCGATAAGTGCTGATGCCAATACAGCCAATAGTCTCCTGATGCAAATAAAAATTAACAATGTTAACGTGAATGACACAGAAGAAAAACGAGAACGCATTATCTGATCACTTTCCAACTGAAATAAATTTAAAACATGGCGGAGACGAATTTAAGTGCAGACTCTTTTAAATCATGTTTGGTCTTGCATTAGCAGTGTTTGAACGGGTTCTGAACCAACATGAATAAAGCGCAAGATAAGGTAAATATTATTTCCTTTTAATACGTGTGTGTTTACTCAGCAGTTATTAAAGCGTACTTGTGTATACGTTCAGGCAGTCGGAAGACTACTCATTTGTAAAACTAGTTTCTCTTGCTAGCACGCATGCGCAATCAAAATGAAGGTACGCCTCAAATTGAAGCTTAAATCAATAGATCGCACCGGCGCCAAACACAAATTATGTGGGTTTTTCATAGTTACAAATTCAAGGTTCAAGATTATCCCCAAATATCTTTCTTTCTTTGTTCCTTTCTGCTCTTTGATTTATGACCTGAATGAAACAAATGATAAAACTCGGCTTTCCCAAGTTCAACATTGCCCTCGTTGTCTCGACCCTCTTGACATAAGTTACTCAATTTTCAATTGAATTTTGTCAATATGGAAATCTGGGATTGAATTTAGCTACCGCAAACAAATAACGGCTCATATGATGCTGTTTAGAGTCTCGCACATTTCTTTGCAATACCACCCTGGGTTGCCTCGTAGTTTTAAAGTGATGTCGAAAAGTGGTGGTACAACGTGCAATGAAGTATTCGCAAGTGTCCTACAAACCTCCATCCGAGGCAAAAACGTGTTTCGAAGTATCCTGCGTCGTTGATATTCATGTTGATTGACCGTGTTAATATTGACTAGGATTTACTCTTTAATGCTTGTTAACGCCACAAATGAAAGTAATTCTTGATCTCGCACGCGGAGTGCAGCCCGCAGAATATTGTCGCGACAAGCTTAAATGAAGTGTTGACATTTATTTTGATCTATTTTCAACGTAAACCTCTTCCCTCAAAAGTAATCCGATCTAACCACTCTAATCAATTTAACTTTAAATACTTTAGTGGCAGATATACGAATTTCCTATCTTGCACTCGTCAAAAAAACGTACTTCATTACAATTTTTGACGAAAAGTTCAAATTACATCCGGCCTTCTCTCGGTTTCTGGGCGAGATCACATGGAAACTGTCTTTTGATTCTTTTCCCCGAGTACACAAAAGGAAGAACTTTGTCAACCTCATTACAGGACTGTTTACTTTGGTGTAATTATCGACTTTCGGCTCTTTTCCATGGAAAAAAATTAGGCCAATAGGGTAAATAAGGAAGACAAACACTAAACAGATTGATCGCTTTAAGAACCTGCTAACACAAAAGCTTTCAAAATGATTTCTAGTCAGTGTTTGCGGATCATTTTGTTTCATGAAAGCAGCTGTAATTTTCCGGTGATGTTTTTAATGGAAACCCTATCAGGAAAACCCGAGAAACGTAACTAGCAACGAATTATTTTTCAGCAAAGGGTGAGTCGTTTTAGAACAGAGCTTGTGTTCGTTTTGATTCCTAGGGATACCAACATGATTCATGAAGTTGACCTTTAAATGCACCTATTTGGTCCAAAGCGACTTAACTATTTGTTTTCCTTCAAATGAAAACTAGCATTTATCCCATTATGTAACATGACCGGAAAAATTACTTTGAGTTTAATTAGCGCAGGTTTTGTGTTGCTGCCAGTAACCGTAGAAGACTGTGGCTAATAGTTTTTAGACCTTTGTAAATTAAAAAAACATCTTTGTGTTTCAGAAACGGAAGGTTTGGATTACATAGGAGAAAAGAGAGTTAAGCCCGCAAGCTTAATCTTCGCAGATAAAACGCTCTTAATAAAATACGGGCAGAAACCAAATTTTATCGGAAAATTTCTGATAAGTGACAAGGAACGACATCCATTATGCTTCTTGGGTGGTTGTTGTTGCTCAGGACAGGCTTTTCAACTTATAACTACATTGAATATCAGCAACTCAACAGGAAGATTCCAACTACTATAAAAATGATCTGAATTCGTTGAAATGTAATATTTGTTATTAGACTCAAGACTGGATTACAAATGATTGAAAACCAAAAGAAGAAATTTGTTAAATATTCATGCTCTTGACACTTATAGACATATTATAGACAAGAGAATCCATTTTAATTATTGTGAACACACTAACCTGATGCAGTCAAAACAGAACAGAGCATCACTGAACAACTATGGGAGGAAACCACATTGACTCGCAGAAAAAAGTAAGCAAGGGCTTGTAGAACTGGGTGAGTCACTAAAATGACAGTTGTTTATGTTGGTCAAGGCCCACATGAAAATTAACCAGAATCAAAAATGATTGCGATTTCCTTTTTCCGCTTTGAATCCGTCTTGGCGCCAAAGCGAAAGGCATTTTGAAGAGGAAACTGATCGAGTGAAATTGATCAGCCCAACTAGAAATGAACGACATGAAACAATATATCGATAGCTAAATACGCTGTAATTTCTCCGTAAACACTCTCCAATGTAACTTATCTTTATTCATGTTTATCTTACTCCAAGTACATGCCACAAAAACGGTATTTTTCAGCGGGTTTCACATATTTCATAAAAAATAAAACACGAAATGCATGTATGCAAACCGCAGCGGTAAAAACAATCCTGAGTGTTGAGTAGATTACTTTTAACTGTCTCCTCTGGTTAAGAACCACTAAATGTGCAGTGATATTCGCTAGATCATATTATTCCACTTACAATTTTGTCGTTATTACCTTCATGACGTTGTCACTCGAGGACAATACCGAAATTTAACGAGCCGAACTTTTCACTCTCTTAGAGCCACTTAAGTTCAATAGCCGCGGGCCCTCAACATGTTCATTATTGATGAAGATCTTGAATGAAACCATTTACGTTTGCCATAAAAATCATAGTCAATTCGCTCTTGAAATAGAACGTCAACAAATGACTAGTAGAAAATACCGCCCTGAAAAAATTACATGACAATAATCTCCTCTAGATTATGAATGTAGAGGAGATTTGCATAATGACGAGAATATATGATCCTGCTAAAATTACGTTTTGTTTACTTCTAGAAAGCACCTTAGAAATATTAGATCGATAAGGTGATTGCAACTGAACATTGTCGAATGATGACACTTTTTCAATTTATCAATTTTATAGAAATATGATAAAGCACCCCAATTCATAGGTATCAATCAAGGCATTTTCAGAGACAATATGCGAAATCTCCTCAGTTTTGATATTGATTCTCGTCTGGGTAGTAACTGTGTAGAACATTTTCTAAACGCGGGAGACACCTAAAGAATTAATAACATTCAGATGTTTTGTAGTGATGATTAGTGTCGACAAGTCAAGACAAGTTTATAAAGAGCGTAACTGATATTCCTAGGGCATTCCAATTTCCAGCGCGTTTTTACATTTATTATTGAACATCTCGAATCTTTTTTCAAGCTGAGTAATTAGTCACCTGCTCTCGAATGGCAGGACATGCCGGAAAATGGAAATCGTGATGATAATTAAACATTCGAGCTGTCACTCACTTCCAGTCCAAGGAAACTGAAACTGAAGAAGCATTTGCTTTCATTTATTTGAAAATCTACAACAATGGCAAAACAAAACCGTAAGCAACGCACTGGGAAAACAGGTTTTTAGTAAATCTTAGTTCTTGTTGTTATTATAAATAAGTTTTCTTTTTTATTTTATTCACAGTTTTTCATCAGAGTTGTTAAAAATAAATGGAGCCCTGACTTTTCGAAGAAATACGAAGGGCTGAATTAAGATAATATTTTTGGGGTTCCTTGAATGTGCATCGACCTGAATATTAAAAATAAGGTTAGCAACATAAACCACGAAATGGAGAGAAGTGCAACATTTTAAGAAAGCGTTTATTTTACAAACGTACCAGCCCATTGTGGGATCGAGGTAGCTTGATCTATTTAACCACCAATCAGATTCAAATTTTTTTCTGTGAGATAGACTGCAGTGTCTCCGTTATTAAAGACTTCGTCATACTTTTCAGTATCTAATGAAATTGCTGCAATTATTGTAATTTTTTTGTTGTTAACGACTGGAATCTTAGACTATTCCTGCTCTATTGAATTACAAATATTTGCTGACGGTTAAGCGTTTGCAGTACAATAGATGGCTCGTTCCTAGTAAACACGCAACTTAAGCGGAGAAATCTCATCCAAGTTTCAACATTTAACGTAAATATGTCCTAGATTTGACCGTGAATTGAAAATGTGTCAAACATGAACAAAAAAGCTGGTCAGGTAAAACATATTATCATCTAATCGACGATGTTGACAATTCATTATTAAAAGGAAGGACTAAAATATGGAACTTGTATACTGCTACCGGCAGGCTTTGCTGTTGGATTCATGAAATGGAAGATTCGTTCAGTCCATGGTGAATTTAAGGAGGATCTGAGTAGACCTTTTTTCTCTTTTTTTTAAGGTTTGCAATTGTAAAAACCTCAGTGGTGTGCGGTAAATAGGGCGCTGTAATTGAGTAAGTTATTAGATATCCCGTGGATAATATGGCGTTTGGACGCTTTCAGAAGCGAGTGATTTCCTGGGTTGTTCCAGTAGATTTGAAAAATTACTCTGCAGTCGATGCGGAAGGAAATGAGGCTATTTCCCTTTGTTTTAAAATGTTTATCTTTAACGAGAAAGACAACCATTTAGACCGTTAACAGAAGTCTGCAATGCTGTTTAGAAAGAAAATTCGCGTCCGAGTAAGCGCATGTATCTTTTATCTTTGACACTTGTTTATGATTTGTGGAGAGCGACATGAGAAGCTCTTTATGATTCATTATAGATTCCTAGCTTTATTGCCCTTAGACGCCGCAATTTACAGTTGATGCAAATTCGTGACCTACAGAAGACTTTAGAATGACGAATGAAAAAAGTAACATTATGAAATCATTTTACAATGTTTGATGTTTGTTGATTGAATCAAATGCCGAAAAAAAAAATCGATTAAGTCCGTTCATCCTGCCAACGGGGTTGTGAAGTTCTAGAACTGAAGAAAAAGACTCCAGGTATCTTTGTTCTTTCTTTTAAACTAGACATTGAAATATCAATATGACGTCAAATTGCAGTATCAGAAGAATTATGGCAAAAAAGATAAATCAAACAGGATGAAATACTCTTTTGAAAAGAGGTAACCAAATTATAGACACAAAAAAACAGTTCTGTCATGGAAAAAGTATTTAAATACGGAGAGACCCTTGAAGATTATTGGCAGTGTCGAGTAAGTATTTGAAATGGCACAGTTTGAAAAGCGTTTAACTTTCGCAAGTGATTTCATTCAAGCAATATTAGTTCCAAAAAAGCTCGTTTTTTTTCATGGTCAGTCAGTTCTTTTGTTTATATAATTTAACAACGTATTTCAAAACAACGAATCTTTTGCACATTCCCCACAGCTCTATTACCGAATTCGGACTGGGAAAACATCTTATTATAGCTTTTAGAAAGAAAAAATGATTCATCCCTTAAAAGGCGAATAATAAGTTCGAAACTGAATGATGTTATCATTTCTTAATTGACATCAGTCAAACTTAATCCTGATGGAAGGCTCATCGCTTACCCGCTGGGTTCAAGGCGTTTGAAAAGCTTCACCTTCCAGTAAACATTCTTAGACGCAGTAAAAAGTAAATTTCTATTGGTCTATGAACAGAGCACTGAATGTTTTGCAAGCATAAGTCCTTTAAAAGACTTGTTTGAAAAACATTATACAGCAGTACTACAGTGGACAAGTTACTTTACACTGGAATACTGTAAGTAGAGTTTCGCGGAGACTCGTCAAATTGAATCTAGTAACAAAAGTGTCTGTATACCGATTGCCAACGCAAAGTTTCATATCGTTGGAAGGTCGCCACATGTTTATGGAATTAGCTCCCATGATGTTTTAGAATTAATGAAACCGCAAAACTGTAAACCTAGAGTTGTATCGGGCCGACTCTGATCCCTACAGTTCAGCTGGTATTTCAAGGTTCTTAAGCTGATGATTTCGGCTTTAAATACGTTTTAAGTCTTGAAATTATTTGCAGGGTTAAATGTTAAGCTTCTCGAAAGTATGTTACAAACATCTTTCGTGGAATATTCAAATAGATAAGAATCCCTAAAGGAAGTGAGGCTTAGTACAGAACTTCATCTTGCTGTTTGGGAAAAGATATCCGATCAGTTTTTAATGAAGCTTGAAGCCATTCACCAAATTTAGGCACATAGAGAAATATATTTTTTTCGGCTCAGTGATTACTAGACCCTTGTGTGGACACAAGCCAAGATTGCTTCCTTTCAAGAGCGTAACACAGCAATACAAAATAAACATTTGTTACTTATTATTGAGTCTGTTGAGGTCACCCATACATAAATTCACTTACTATGAGGGGCTATACATTACAAAACTTGAATAAAAGCCTTTTTTGACGCTGAAAAAAACCATTTTCAACGTTAAGATTTCCTGATTGGCGGCTGGGACGGGAGTGTTTTTTATGATCCAAGAGCGAAAGCTTCTCGACAGGAAATTCTTATTAAATAGAAGCTCATATTTTTGCCAATGGCAAAAGCATCTGCTTTGTTGGTCATTGATCAGGTGCCGTCTCAGATCATACTCCATCACACGTCAGCAAGAGAAAGTTAAACTTGTACCCCACAAGAAGTGTGGAAACGATTATGAAACGTGCCAAATCTGCATTTCATTTTTTGCGGAAGGTAATTGAATCCGTTTTAGCGCGTGAAAGTCTCCCAGATAAAGCGACCTCATTAAAAAAACAAAAAACAAAAAACAAGGAAAAGACGATACGTTCTAAAAATAATGACTGAGATAACAAGCGGTGATATTCCCAGAATAACGACAACAAAGCTAAAATATTTGAAGAAAAACAAACTCTCTCTCTCTAAAAGTAGGTCAATTTCAGTGTACACAATATATCAGTAACGGTTTGAATCAAACACCATATAGGCACCACCGAGGCTTGTTCTCGAGGCGGCGGTAATTTAAGCAAATTCTAAGTAATAAGCAACATTACTCCATATTAAATTTCAAGTTATCACATTTTGCTTCCCATATCAGAATTTTTATTGAAAAGGAAAAGAAAAGAACATCAATATTGTTGTGTAAAAGAATAATAACAGACAATTTCCCTCAGGCAAAGATCGTTTTGAGGTTTTTCAAGAAATTTTCTTGTCACTACTCGATCTATTTTTCTCGTCCAAGTAACCATTGTTCAATCTTTACTTAATTTTTACCAAACCCTCCGCTTATGAGGCAGGATGTGTACTTTGTCCTATAATGCTGACCTAATAATGCAACATGTTCATCGTTCGTTCTTCATCAAATAGAACTCGAAAATCGAAAACCAATTAGTGGCACATCCTTAAGAATTCCAGGAGTCTAAAATAATTGAAATTTATATGCTGTTTACTTCAACAAAGAAAAGTTTCAGGTAAAAACAAAGGAGGCATTTAAAGAAAAAAGGCCATTTAATAATGATCTGATATGTTTAGTTATGAGTCCATTATTCTTAACAGTGTCTCGGAGAGTCACGTCAAAATCAAATTGTCAAATGAAGTGTTTTTAAACTGAGTCAAACCCGATTAAAAGACTCTTGATTTCCAGAGTTTTGTTTGCATAGCTGTAATAAAAAAATCTTTCTTTGACAGTGAAATCATTGTCTACCGGTCGGTACTTCACTCTGCGAAGTTCAAACGGTTACAAGCTGACCGCTTTCACTATATCAGTTATAAAAACTATCCATTTGTTTTTACAGGTAATAGCCGGACTCAGACGATTAAATATATCTATCTAACCTTTATAAAGTGTAAGATAAATAAACGCAGCCTCGAATGTTGATTAGTAGTAGACAACATACTCTTGAAGGGTAATAAATAATGCACCCATTCAATCTTGAGATCTATGATCAATCTTGTGTTTCAAGTTGAAGGCGGCTTTAATTAAGTTGCTCTTTAATAGCTCATTATTTGCGCAAATCTGTTTGTTAATAGATTCCATTCACAAGGACGCGATAACATTATTTCTTTCAGATTTAGCCAGATGACCTAGTGTTGTGATTTCCGATAGCGGTGCAAGTGCTGACGGCTGGGCATTACTGATTTACATGCTTCAAATAACTCGACACATAAAACCTAAAGAGGAACCAGGAGCATCAACAAATTATCCACCTCACAATAGCTTACAGAACGACGGCTCCTTCTGAAAGACTTTGTTCCTGAATACAGGCTTCGACTTACGCTATATCCTGGAAAAAGAAACTGCTACTGGATGTAACTGAGAACAAAAGTTCTCAGTGGTGAACTGTTGTGTAGTTTAAACGGTTTTCAAGTAGGTTTGACTGATTTTTGACTGTCGACACCTTGCTCTGTTAAAATCATGTCCAACAGCACTATTCAACCTACAGCCAGTGAAGTGGAACTAGAGGATAAAGTGAAACCGGCCTTCTACGCGGTAGCCTTTGTACTGGGACTTTTGGGCAACTTTTTAGTGATTATCATCGTAGTAGCCAGACGAAATCGTCGAACAGCAAATGACATATTTATCCTGAACCTGGCCATAAGTGACCTAGTATACCTGTTTGTCTGCCTTCCAACAAACGTCTATATGATGTTTGCAGACATTCAGTATGACCTGTACTGCCGTTTAATTTGGCCTTTAATGACTGTCACTGTCAATCTCAGCATCTTCACTCTCACATCCATGGCTGTTTTTCGATGTTATGTCATTCTGTACCCTTTTAAGGCCGAGATGCGTCATCGCTACGTTCTTCTTTGGATCGTGGGAATTTGGTTTCTTGGACTCCTTCTTGTGCTCCCGTTACTACTCGTGACAAAACCGAAGCTGGCGGAGCCACAAGGGTGTACAGAGGTTTGGCCTTCCCCTCAGTACAGGCAGGCCTACACAGCCAGCCTTTTCGTACTTCAGTTCATGCTGCCACTGACCATTATTGCTGTTGCATATGTTCGTATCGGCCTCGATCTGGTGCGTCAAGGTAGACACCAGGTTCCTCATCACGCGGCACATCAAGAAAGAAGAAGAGAGAATATGCAAGTGATTAAAACATTAGCAACAATCGTGATCTTATTTGCTATTTGTATGCTGCCTGCTCAGCTTGCCTGGCTTCTTCACGACTTTGCTTATGAAGATAACAAAAGCTTGGTAGGTTTCCTGTTCAGCTTCTCTCCCTCACTACTCTATTTCCACAGCTGTTTGAATCCAATTGCTTATGGCACGCTCACTAAGCACTACCGGCGTGGTTTCATCCGATTTTTCTCTTACGTTTTCTGCTGCGGCTTCATAAGCTTACTCAGAAGGAACTCAGCTACAAGTCACTTGGGCTTAAACAAGATGTGTGCAACTTGGGGAAAGAGAAAGACGGACAGTAGCAGCAGTAGTGAGTTTTGCCAACGAAACAATAACACGGAGGTAGCTTTACTACAGGAGGAACTATTAAAAGATAATGGACCAGAAAATGTTTCGCAAGGAAAACTGGAAAAAGAAACAGTTGTTTAAGTCAAACATGCACATTTACCTTACGAAGTATAACACAGATTAAAATATCGCAGTAAAATTCCAAAATATCCCTAAACATATGATTGCAAAGACATTTACTGAGTATATTTTTGTTAAAAAAAGAAAGGGAGCAGTGCTCATGAATGGAAGGAATCTTACTTGTAAAATAGAAAGAGTTTCATCTTTTTAAATCAGAGATTTCAGTGGTCTAGTCTACGCCAACATTGTTCAGGAAGTTCTTGCCTTTAGCTATGTAGAATATCTGTACCTGTACTTATTGATCATTTCCTTTATTCTCGTGACCTCAATGTGTGTTTGGGGGGTAATATTGTAAGGAGAAATTAGATGCTAGTCACTTTTAATGGTCAAAGGGATGAATAGAGCGATTTGGGTAAAGGGTTGCAAAAAAATGTTACCTCAATACACAGATTAATGCAAGTGCTTTTAAGAATCTACCGAAACCCTCTAAAGTAGAGCGATGTACTAGGTACGCAATTCAAGAATAGTAGGGCCCTTAAACCGAATAAAACTGATAACCCGCTGAGAGCTACTTTTCATACAGTTGGACCTGTATTAAGCGGTGGTACAAGAGGGGTGACCGCTTAAAACAGGTTGACCGCTTAATACGGGCCTCACAAATAAGGGTACAATAGAAAGCGTGAAAAAAACGTTGTATGTCATAATTAACCACATAATGTACAAAAACTCGCTCAAAATTACTACTTACATTAATTTCGGGAGATAAACATGGATTAAATTTTACTCATAAATTATCCTTCGTTTCATTTGAAATAGTTCCGCTTTAAGTGATTGTTTAATAAAAGTGAAAAATAATACAAACAGATCGTTGGGACTCAGTCAAAGGTTACCAGGACCGCTTAATAAAGGTGACAATTACAGTAATTAACGGGAAAAACGCTCGGGACTCTGAAAACCGACCGCTTAATACAGGGTGACCGCTAAGCATGGTGCTGCTTGCTATAATCTCGACTATATCATGTTGTTGCTGCAATTGCTTACAACAAAAGGGTTCTTTTTTAAAATCATTTTCATTGATACGCCTGAAAGTAGCACAGCCGCTCGCTAGTGTACATGAATATATCAGTTGAAAGGCGTCAGCTTACAACGCCATGCGGAGTGTTCATTTGTGAAGTTGATGGTTCAAGGTTTTAACGAGTCATTTTCAACTAAAGAACTGAAATCACTGCGATGAGCTATGCTTGGGTGCACCCTAGAACTTTGCATCAGAAGTAACTCTGACTAAATACGTCAGATGATCCTTGTCGTACATTCAAATATCTCCGCCTAATCTCGATCCTCTCTTTTGAGTGTCGTAGATCACCCAACATGCACTTTATCTGAACCCAAGATGCAGACGCAAAAGAAAGCAGACCTTCACACCTGACTTCTAGTTTGTATGAGCTGGTCTTAATCGCCGTTCTAGCACAGAACCAGCCAAATCAAGTGATTGCAAGGGCGGTAAAGGACAATTCAGATTCAAGCACTCTGTTCTTGACTTAAATTAACATTCACTACAGCCAATCACGACAAAGGATAACATCATCATTAGCCAATGAGAACAAAACAGGCAAGCTACTAATAGCGCGGGAAAACGCGCTTGACCAAGCCACGAGCGGTATTCGTTTTGAATCTCTTTGGTTGGGAGGGTCCAGTTTTCTGGACCAATCTCAGAGCGAGTTAGAGATAATACAAGGTCATCCCGGTTTAATTCGATGCTCCATTCAAAATCAATCCAATAACAACATGTCGTCAGACCCCACTATTTTATTGTAGTGTCAGCTTTTATTTCTCCTCTTTGCCTCCATTATCACAAAGCTTTAACTGGAGAATAGCGTGCTTTTTAATAACACTGTTTTCTCTATTGCGGGATGATGGAAAACGAGTAGGTTAGTCAATAGGCACTTGAGATTTGCATTAGAATACAACTGAATCAGCGGTAAGTGTTGAGTCAACATGGTGGATATGCAGTGAACTAGTACGTCAAGGTAGCACTTGTATGGAAAAGAACTTGAATCAGCGGCCACCGAGTTTGATGGCATCAGCTTGGCGTATGGCCAAGGCCGGTCCAAGACTTAGTTCGTTGCCTACTGGACTGCTAAATTTGCACTACAGACCTTTTTCAATATTCAAACCATCAGTGTGGCCAGCGTTACTACACGCGAAAGCGATTTATTCTTTGTTATTATCACTGAAGCCCGTAACTTTTGAGCAGGGCGTCAGAGGAAACTGGTCGCCCGCGAAAGTCCTGAAAAACGTCACTAGGGTGGCGGGCACCACCGCTGGCCAGGATAGTATCGCGGAACCTGTGAAATGTTAGAGTCTGAATAAGGCTTTATTTTCACGAGATATGATCAGGTGTAAAAGATCAGCACAAATAAAAGTTATGGTTGTTGACTTTGATAAGTTATTAGTTGATAGCTCCTAGTCAGTGTATCCTCTACTCAAAATGTTGTTTTTTCCAAAAAAACTAAATTCCACAAGTTATTTACAAACTGCAAGTTTTACTGTTTTTTTTTGGGATATCATTTGAATAAATAAATAGACTTCAATAAAATCTTCCAGCTTACAGTTGCCTCTCATCATCGCTAGAAGGTCTTGAAAAAGGGTTGCAGTTTTGGTGAACGAACCTTAATAACACGATTAGGTTCATGTGTAACATGTGATAAGCCTTGGTTAATTTTCTGAAGGCACTAAACTTAGCGGCGCGAACATTGGTGGACCTGATACGCTCACCTAACCAAAGATGTTTGACAGCAGGCTAGTGTGTTTACGTCAAAATTAAAGTACCTTTTTCCAACTGTACTCAGCTCTTTTCTGTTGCTTAAACCGACTTCCTCAAACGCACTGAAGGCATCTGCAGACATCATCTAGGAATTTACATAAAATCATACATTTAACAATCACTGTATTTCAACTTCTCATCTGCAGTTAACAGATTGAATGGGTCAAACGGTCACTTACCTCTGCCCATTTGTAAGAGTAATATCCAGCAGCATATCCACTTGCGAAGATGTGAAGAAACGAGCAGGGAAATCTATCTTCGTCAAGTGGTTTAAGCACAGTATATTTGCTTGAGATCCGTTCAAGGACGGTACGCCACGGCTCGGAACTGTTGGAAAAAATAATGTTAACCCTCTGAGCTTGAGCTGAGAAACTGTTAAATGCTCTTAAATCAGTTCAATGAGTAACAGGTCTCTCCCGACTTGAAGTTTTTTACTTTCTTTTCGCTAGTTCTACCTCTGTAACTGTACAGTGCCTACGTACTATGGCTAACCTGAGAGATCAAAGGAGCGAAAGAGGCAAATTGGTATAATATCCAGAGTTAGAAGTATCCTATAAAGAAGCTAGTTCACCGTAAAAAACATGGAAAGAAATAGCCCTGACTGACATTTCTCGCTGCTCATCTATTTTAACCGCCCGCGAGCTTGTTGACTTGTGGGTAGTAACTCACAACGGCCAAGCAATAGGCAATGCTTTCGATCTAACCATAGGATTAACTTCAACTGCCGCACGAAGTTTAACTTGGGGTTAACATAGGCTTGAATTTTAACCACTGAATGAGTTCGGTTAGTTTTTCGTAAAGGAAGGTTAACTTGTTATTTAACGTTAAACAGAGGACACTTGAAGGAAAATTCAGAGACAACTCTTCATAAAGTCAATCCTCTTTTGAATACCACCGGGCTCAAGGTAGTGAAAGACAGATCGTGAAGTGTCTTACGACGGGCCTCATCACAGTGAAGAGTATAAAAAGGATATGCCCGAATTGTTAAGGAACCCTGCCGGATAGAATACTACAGGGGGAACCTTGTAATGAACTGTCGTCCCATTCAGAGTAACTCCAAGTTTTTCTATCTTACAGAACTGTGATAAACTCCCTAGTGTAATCACGCTCCCTCGTGTAATCACGCTCCTTTACTATCTCTATATATTTTGCTGTAGGAGGGCGTTTTTCATTTTTTGTCAAATTGAAAATTAAAGGAAGAAAAAAAAAAACGGAATAAAGGTTGCAGTGGTTTGGGGCCTTTGGCAAACTATTACAGTGCTTTAACCTTTGGAACTCTTTACGGTGGCTAATTTACATTATGAACTCAGTTGATAAAACTAACTTGATTGTCTTGTATTACTTGAATATGATGCCTCCTTAAATTTGCAAAGATGCCTTGCTTGGGAACACATCATCGCAACTTAAACCAATATTTAAGAACAGAGCTGTTTAGTGGACAGAACCTCAGATTTCTTTAAGTACCTTGAGTGTAGCTCCATGTCGAGTGCTCCGAAATAAAGCTGACGTAACATCTGTGATCCTGCCATGAATCTACGAGCTACAAAGAACGAAAAGAAACAGACAACACAAGATAACTAACCTTAAAAAAACAACAGCAACTGAGCTCAGTTTTCAACATTGCAGATCCTGGCACTCGTTAGTTACATCTGCTCACCAACAAGTTCCAATCTGAGACTTAGTTGGTTCAACCGCGTCCTCGCGGAATCAGAAATTTGAATCCTCGTGGCGACTGATATTACCTTTTATCCGTCGAACACTCGTGACAATCGATGACACCTTTCTTTATGCCTTACATACGTTTTCGTAATTTAGCAAGACCCCAGATAAACAAACCACGAACCTTTGCAAACCTGTTGGAAAAGTTCATCTGGTAAGGTATCGTTGGTGTGGTAATGGCCACTGACCAAATTCATGGAAGTTTTATCATATAGCCAATTCTCCATGAACTGCGATGGAAGCTCTACCTAAGTCAATAGAATTAAGATTGTATGACCATTTGAATAAACACAACATCGGAACAAAACGATTTCTCGTGAAAGACCTGACTCAAGAATTTTACCTTTCATCTGTAATATTTTACGTGGGGGAAAAACAATCTGGTTTTTTAGAGTCAAGCGATGGTGACATTAAAACGCTGGTCGCAAATGCTGTTCCAGAAAACACAAAAAAGATCATCAGCTTTTGCGCGGTATGGAAATTTATGCGAGAGTTATAAAATTAATAAACCCCTTTCTGGCTTGCTGGTATATCGGCTGATAATGTCCTTGGCTGAGAGATTGTCCTTAAAATACTACATTTGCCCTCGAAGCTTCGCTTCTCAGCCAAATATTAATTTTTTGGACAATATCTCAGCCGCAGACATTATCAGCCGACATACCAACAGCCTAAAGGGGTTATTTACCGTATAGTCTCTGCAAGCACACTTCGCTTTAAAAGGGTAAAATGCATGCGCACTTTTGTAAATACACGCTGATGTAAACCTCTGCGCCGAGTCAAACGATGAGTGCTTAAGTATGTGTTCAGCCACCCAGGATTAGCGCTAATCTTGTTTCGAACAACCCGGCTCTGAGGTATAGCATTAAATAATATATCTTAACGAGGTGTCGCCAAGGTGTCCAGACATGCAAAATGAAGCTGACGCCGATGGAATATTGTACCTTACGCTCGAATCAACCTCGTTCCCAGGGTCCCCTGTCTTCCTACCTCGAGAGAGAAGAGGAGAGAAGACCCTGGGAACGATGTCGCGCTCGCAATATTATGAGGATGCCAGCTAGGAGACAAATTCAATGAACTACAGCTTCATTAACAACACGCTAAAAACGAAGTACTAAGCTGTGACGGTAGTGACCAACATTAAGGTGATAATTGACAACGTCATAAGTTAAATGGAAACTAAATATCAACTCACTGCATCCCACTCGACATTTCTAATTCCGGCAGCATCCGAGTAAGGCACTGTAGTTAACATGTGTTGGAGACCATGTCCGAACTATTAAGACAACATCAAAACGACATGAAGTGTTTACAAAACACTTTTGAGGTGGTCATGGGATTAACCCAAAACGAGACTAGAAGGGATCGAAAAGAAAGGAAGGGTAATTTCCAATAAATTCCTGTACGAAAATCAACTTTCACCAGTGCGATTATGTTCTTTATTATAAAGCGGATAATATTATTTCAATGAGTCTAGTTGGAATATAACTTACCGCAAGGTCATATTACCGTAGAAACTGAACAACTGTTTTCTCGTCGAATTCACGATAGAAAATGTATTTCTTAATCAAAATTATTGCAGCTTAATGTAAATATTTTGCAAAGTTAAGTAGATTATTTTCTCGCAGTAAGAGAAGATAACAATTTCTTTGGTTGTAAAGTAAAGGTTGTAAAGAGAAAATCAACCAGCTTTCATATTTCTTCTGAATGACTTACAATAATTTATGACTTCCTAAGTAAGCTAGAATTAGATATAGAGAATTCTTTCTTGATTCCAATAACGTCTTTTAACAACTGTCTGGGTGTAGTTCAAAGACGACTGTAGTCGGTGACAAGTGACTGATATTCCAAAGTAATTATCAAGTTCAAGTTAAGAGTTTTGTCAGTCGGACGAAACACTTTTTATTTTCAACGAGCCAGACTTGTACATTACACAACTTACTCTAGAAATTTCACTGGATTAATGAAGTTGATGGTTTGAAATGATCTATGAAGTTTTGTTTACAGTTACAAATGTGCAAAACTTTCTACAGTTACGTTTACCTCATGGAAAAGTGTCTCTACATCTCGGAAAGTCATCAGAGAAGGTGAACCGTCGGCACCGGGAGGGGACTGGTTACAAACTAAGTATGCAACAGGTTTTCTGTTGAGGACTTCACTTTTGTCTGAATTCATAAACAATAAATAAAGCGGAGTTAACTTAATTTATTACACCCATTTTGAAAACACAGGTGGTCCCTGTAATCTGATTGGCTCTAATTGATGCAATTTATTCACGAATCACACCATTTTTTGCTTTAAATCGCGTCTTTTTCCCCGCCAATGAGGAGGCTACACTAAAAACAAAACAACCAATCAGATTTTATGGCTTGTTTAAAGTAACCGATCAAATTGCAGGAAAATGAAAGACAAGGAGTATCATGTGGCAAATTTTGCACCTTTTTTTCTTAACTCTTACTTTTCCCCCCAAAAAATGGACATGAATTTAATTTCAGACCGGCTCAGTACTGCATCAATAAAATATTTGAACTGACCACGTCCTGCATTTGGGCGATTTCAAAATGGCTGTAATAAAGTGGTAATTGAACCTCGTGTCGTGCAATTTTGGTCTGAAATCATACCGAGACATTGATCCATCCAGGCCCCTCCGCTCTTTTCCGCCGGTCGAGAGTATGGATCCAAGTAAAATGACGCCATGTGATGCCCTGAACATGATTGAAAGAGAAAGCTTCTCACCTTTATGAATAGGTTTTAAAATCATTTTGTCATAACTAGGAATCTTGTAAGTGAAAGTGGTTATGATGAGTTCTGAAAAGCGTGTATCAAAATAAAACGACGAAACCGTTACTTCTGGAAAACTGTATATGAATGAAGGGGGCAACTTTCTAAAGAAACTGTGGTACTGCTTCAGTGGTAGGGTGTAACAGGATCATTTGATTTTATACTGAGTTATTGGCCACCCAAAAGAGTTTCTAAGGTTGTCTTTTCGAGAGTTAGCCCTTTGTCAAAGGTAATAGAATGAGAATCGAACGCTCTAACGAAGGGTTAATGCCAAATTATGTATATATATATATGTATGTATGTATGTATGTATGTATATATATATATATATGGCTGCGTATCGCGAGAGCGGCAAATTCCTGACAAAACGTCAGCAAAGCCGTAGTAAAAGAAAATTCGTCCTTTCTTCTCATAGAAAGCATTGGAGTGTCACAAATACAAAACTTAAGCAAGCACAAGGGTTGATCATTTCTTGCAAGAATAGTAAAAAAAAAAGATGCCAAAGAGAAATTTAAAAATGCAGCGCATAGGACGCACAGCACTAAGTCGCGAATGGTATTAGCTTTCATCTGATTGTTTCTGAAGGGAGGAGTTTTCTAGACTAGTGATTAAGGAAAGCAGAGCAAAACTAATACAATCCCGCGATTTTTCTTCATTTCCTGAAGCTCAGTGCTCTTTTATTTTTACTGTTTACGTTTCTTCAAAGTTTCTTACTGAAATATTTCGCGTCCGCTGTTAAGTGAACTAAGTATATCAGTCGTCCTAATTCGTTTGAAAAATACCTCTTTCATCCATAATGTGAAAGAACCTTACATCTGGGTGCCAAACTTCTGCTTCACCATCTGCCGACTAAAATAACGCAGAATTACTACATCTGTACATCTATCACCCACCCCTGATAGCTGAACCTTTTTGTTAGCAGTAAATTAGTTTAATTAGTTCTAGATATTCCACCAGAGGCCTCTAAAATGAACCAACATAGCTGCTTACACAGAAATCGATCTCTTATATTCCGCGATGTTATGCAGCTATGCAGCTGTGCAACATTGGTTGCACATACACACTGTAAGTCCCATAAACAAACAAGCATGCATTACCACAATTAAAATGATCAAAAAAGATATCGCAAAGTATTTCCTTTGTTAAAATTAGATAAGTTTTCAATAAGAGATTCAAGTAAATAAATACTATTCCATAGGAAAAATAAACGAGATGGCAACAAGAATTGCAAAAGAGAGAACTTGAATCAAAAGAGGACTTAATGATAACTCTAAATGGTGTTCTCTGTAAATTTCCCACAGACAAAATACGCGTTACAAACGCTTAAAGGGTAAGAACTAGGAAGTCATGTGTAGGATTTGAATTCTGGTAAGCAAATAAAGAAAAAAAGTATATAACAAACCTTAATGACTATCCCAAACAGCTCAGAGGAAAGTTTAAAGAGTCCTTCAAGTACCCTACAAATACGGTTGTATGGGTAAATGATAACAAAACCTCAGACTATTACACAGATTTAGTGCAATGCAAAACAACTCCCCTGACTCTGAAGTGCATGCCTGCGCGCGTGTGGAGAGTTGACGTACCGCATATTAATAAGTGTTTTCTAATAGTGTCGTTGGTTCGGATACTTGATAATTACTCTTAAGTATTTATACTTTAAGCATAACAGAACAACGGATCATTCCATAGCCAATGGAACGGCTGGCCATTAAATTATACTAGATCAATTTATTAAGATCTAGAAATATGGGCTAAAACAGACAATGAAACTCTGCTTTATTTATCTTCATATCAATGACTTTCCTAATAATATCTTTCTAACCTTGGTAATGGAAAGTAAGGCCTCAGCTCCTCGTCGGTGAAACTTAAGTGGAATGTGAACAAAGTTAATGTTAGTGAAATCACATTTCCAAAGTTATAACTGATTTTACATTATACCACCCTGATGAGTAAGGGTAGTCCTTTTTGCCCTGGCTGATTAGCTTGTTTGGAAGTGATTATTAAGTACTGTTCACCTCTGAGCAGCCTAAGATAGAAACCGGCGCGCTCAGAGTTTAATTTCGACCATTTTTTCGGTACATTGATGGTGATAGACAATTTGTTGGTCTTTGTGTGGTATATGCTAAAACAAGTACTCAACTCACGAACTATCAATACAATATCAAGCAGACAAGTGGAGGTTATAAGTTGATCCAACACCAAATTCTTTGAACTAACATCACGAGAATAGTGTGGCTCACTGTAAAAATAATTACCAATGAGATCTTGGAATGACTGTCTCACCTAAACAAATGTTCCTTTTGTTTTTGGGACCAATAAGCTATGTCCCAGTGCTTCAAATCATCAACAAAACCATTTTCCTGAGCAAAGGTCTTAAAAAAAAACAGTGATGAAAAAGTCAGTATTTAGTTAGTTTTATTCAAATGATGTGTGAGAAGTGGTGGCCTTGAGGTAAGCGGGTGGTGGGCCTCAAAAGGAAAAGGAAACCTGACCATATTATTATTGTTCTTTCCATGGGCTAGACACTTCACACTCACAGTACCAGAAAACTAGAAGGGAAACCATAAAATGCTGTGAAAGGACACAACGACTTGCTCATATCACTATTATAATTAATGGTATATGCCTAGCAACATATTACAATAAGAGCTCATCTGGTTTCTGCAGCATGAAATGTTCTAAGTATTGGTTCTACTGCTAAATGGGATACTTTTCAAATGTAAGACTCCATAGTAGACTGCCAAGTTTTCTTGCGAGTCTCCTGACTAGAGAGATAGAGAGGCACCATGGCAACATTTCAACCTGGAGATTGGTCACCATCAGGCCACCATGTTCCAAACATTTGTTTGAAGATTACCAATTATTCATTCACATAAGTTTTCAACCCAACTCATGATACACAAGATACTGGCCATTTAAACTTCCAGAGGGAGGAAACAAGAATGTGCCCAAACCATGCAAAATTTGAAAGAAAGAAGTGCTTACTTTTATCATGAATCAAATGATTTCTAATGGAATTTGGAATAAATAAGAACAAGTTAATTTCCATAGGCTAAGGCCTGATGTAATTGGTAGTTTGAAAAATTATACAAATGATTATTTATTCCAATTCCAAGAAAGATCCTTTGATCATTTGCTATCAATTGACAATTAATTTCACTGGCACTGTTTAGACTCAGCCAATGAACAAGGTATAATTTTTGTATCTATAATATATGCAAAGAAACCTTTGGGAGTTTTTGCCAGAGAAACACACATTAAATTGACAACATGAACTTGATGAAGGTAATGTAAAGTCTGTAGAATAAAAAAAAGAACAGACATTTCAACCCTTAGCAGTTCTGTCTGAGAAACATCTCCTCAGTGAAGGATGATATGTCTTTTGAAATATGCTTTTGATAGTGGTTTATGTTCATAACAGCCTTTGCCTATAATTAAGGTAAAAATTCTGAAAGAAGAAAGGTGGACCTCTTACTTTCTTTAGACATTCAGTTTTGTAACAGTCAACAAATAAAAACTTTAAAAAAATCTTTTTGCAATGCAGCCAATGGTAATATTAAAAATCTTACAGAAAGCAACAAAAAGAGAAAATCTGCAGCTTGATTGTTGAAAAGAAAGATGCTAGAGATAATTGGAATGAACAGTGGACAGAGAAAATATCTGACAAAGAATGTGTTTGATGATGCAGATCCTTACAGTGTGCAGGCTGCTTTTCAGACAAGAACTCTGCGAATGGCCTAGTTTATAAACAAGCTCTTTTAAGTTGGTTGTTAGAGTATTTAAGAGCAAAATATTGATGTCACTGGCCTATGTCCCCATACAGGATTTCTTTAAAAATATATGTATTCTCTGTGCCAACCTCTTAACAAGTGATCATGTTCAGCTTTCTTCAATACTAAAAATGAATTTCAATACATAACCTGCAAATTGATTAATTCTTTTTCTGCAGCTAATTTACTCTTGCTATGTAAATCAGTGATCATTTTCCAAACTTCAGATGGGCTACCAGCCATTTTAGAGTCCAGCGATAGCATTGCATAGTTCTCAAATCCTAGGAGGGTGGCTTTCTCTTGTCTGTTTTTTAATAAAAATATAAACTGAGAGATTCAGGCTCTATTCAAATTAATTAAGATGAAAACCTTCTGCATTATCTTTATCCATCATAAACTGATCTTCCACTTAGATATACCCACACTGTGCACAAGTAATTCATTTCAAGGGATTAATTATAGGAAGGTTTACAGCTGATCCTAGATTGTTAGTCCAGTGATCTAGGGGTAGATTCCCAGTGTTGCACAATGCATAGGATTTTCCACATGTAAAATGTGTGCAATGAAAACATGCAAAAGCTATTTCCATTGCTGCATAAAAATCAATACCACCCACCCACCCATTTGGGTCAGTTGAAGGCTCTTAACATTCTTCTGCATTCAAGTGATTGGGACATGCATAAAATGCATGTAAACATCTTGAAATTAAAATGGAGGTGGAAAGATGACAACGTTTATTCAGTGTATCCATTTATGCAAGCAAATGATCATTTAAACATGTAATTTTTCTTAAAAGGTGCTTTCAAGTATGTGGACAAAAATGTGACAGTGGAATCCAGCTCAAGCCTGGATGGGCTGGGACCACCATGTAATAACTAGGACAAGAACTTTCACTTGAATCAACCATAAGAAGCTAGAAGCCATGGTTTGACCTCACTACACATGCTCTGTACCTTAATTTTCTTATCTCTTCAATAATATTTGAATTATCACTCTCTCCTTGTGAAGCTCTGGTTATATAAGCCATGTACAGTTGTTCTCGCAGACTTCTGTTTTGGCTGTTGGTGAAAAACAAACATTAGGTTGGCTGCTTACTGATACACATACAAGGATTTTTTAACATCACTCAACAGAAAGAGGAAAAGAATGATAGAATATTGTGTAACTCCAACACAGATACTTTTGACATGCTGATCTTAGCAGTGTGCAGGAGGCCTGTCTCATGTAAACATAGCTTATAGTCAAGCTAATTAATGAATTCTCTGTAGTTTAGAAGGGGAAGAGACTAAGATTTTATTTTCTGATGGAATCTTTTTGCTGAGTAACCTTTAAAAAAATATATCAAACATATTGTCAAACAGCATGGCATCACACACAAAAAAACCTTATCTTGGGGCTGGCTGTCCTTACCTGTATTTCATGAATGGCTCAAAGCATGGCAAATCCAAACTGAGTTTCCAAGGTCCTGATTTGGGATCAATGTTTCTCCTGTTGACAAAAACAAGCAGAGCTAATGGCATACACTATGAGAACACTTCACCAATAAACCTAACTTGAGGCAAACATAACCCAGAAGACATAATCATAAAAGTATTGTGGGAAAGTCACTGGTAAGTAGCACCTTTATTTATTAAATTTGACAAATTATATCCTGAAAATAACTACACAGATAAACCTGTAGTCTACTTAAGAGTGTTTATCATAGAATGATCAAACAAATAAAAGAAATATAAAGATGTATATGGTATATCTAAGCTTTACAAAAGGCCTGATCTGAGAAGGAAACCCAATACAATCAACAAGTCTTTCTTAAGCAGTTGGGAATCTGAATCTGTGTCAGAAGACAGATTCATTCCCACTGCAGTCTGTTGGGGTTAAGTATTAGAATCTATTGCAATTTGCTAACAGTTAGTAATTATTCACTTGTGTTTCCTTTGGATGTATGTTACATGTGTATGTAATATTTCTTTTGACTGTATAGTGTGAAAATTCACAGATCAAGTAGAGGGTGGTGCTATGTGTGATCTTAGAAGGAAAGAGTTGAGCTGTAAAAAGCTTCTTTCATTATTTACAAATCAGTCACTATCTTTATCTAACTTGGACTCCGCTATGACTGGGCTCAGTGCCCATCAAAACTCTAGGGAGAAGTATATCATCATGTACCATAAATACTGGTGTATAACAAATCAGGGGTTCGGCCTATCTGCCACATAAATTAACATAAACAAAATAACCAGAACGTTTAAATATATATAGAGGGATAGAAATTGATCATTGGTTTTGCAACTTTGGTTGACTTTAGAAGAGCTATCACAAGCATAAGCTTATATTTCTTGTCATTGAGTGGTGTTCAATACCAGAGCAGGATCAAATGTAAGTATAGGTTGGCAGATATGACATTCTTACTGATATGGCTAAAATTATAGGTAAGGATTCAAAGCATTCTCTCAAAGCAACTTTCTCAAAACTCCATGTGTGATTTCTTCCCATTTCTTTTCAAAAGACTTTTTTTCAATTTTTGAGTTGCCAAACTAAAGATGTGGCTTATCTGCATGAAAAAGAAAGAGGGAAATCATACTTTATCCAAATAGTGTACAAAACCTCTCTGACAGAAACAATTATGCACCCAAAGACATCTACTAGACTAGTATAAACAAACTGCAATGGCTGTTGGACAACCACCATCTAAATGTTCACAAATGCACAAAAAAGAAATTGAACCTTGTTTCTTTGAGGTCTGTGTGATTTTCTGCAGCTGCTGCCTCTGCAGTCATCTGAAGAAGAGATTCAGGCAATCCTCTGACATCCTCTGGGTTTGTTAAAACTAATGAAAAGGCCTTTGTTGCATCCAATACATTGTTGCTGAAGAAGAAAACAATATCATTGTGAGACCAACTGACCAAAACATTTCAAGATTGATTACATATATACTTTTATGCAGAATGACAGCATCTTTATCATCTACTGCACCACTTTGAAACTACCACACAACATCTGCCATTTCTCTGAATATTTTCATACAGACAAAATTCCATTCCATTGTCAAGTTTTGTTAAACAACAAAATTTCATTGGTATATGCTGAAACCAATAGGAACATCCAGCCACCTCTTAAAAAAAATTGCATTTACACCAGACATGGCAGGATTAATTGAAAGTTTAATGTTTGAAAAACAAACATCCAAAAAGCCTGACATTGACAAAATTATCTATTACCAAAGAACAAAAAAAACCCACAAAACTACCAAAATGTATGATACTTGAGAAAAATGCAAGGGGCTCTTACATAAAGGTAATAAAACACTTTCAAAGGAAAAAAGACAGCTTCACAATATCTCTCTAAGATTGATAAGTTGGATCAAAAGTTTCTGAAGTATCACAACACATTCATCACCCTCAAATGTACAAAGCAAACACTGCAACAAAACAACTAGCAGATGTACTGTAAGGTCTCTCGTTGGTGCATAGCCATCTGATAGGGACACCTCACTGTTATAGCCAATTGTGTCCCTACCAGATTCTGATATAGCTCCTTCAGAAAAACTTAAAACATAATTTATATGGACATTCTGCTGTGTCCTTTTCATGTCCATTTTAGAAAGGTTTATCTGTATTGATAAAAAAATCAGCTACACTTTGTAACTTTGTTTCGCCTACATTTCACCTGAATTTGATTTTCAGTTCAGCAAGTCTCAACTGTATAGCATTAAATCTTTCTTTTTCTTTTCCTCTCAGGGCCACTCCCCCATTTCTGGCTGATCTCAAAAATGATTTCACCACTCTTTGCTGTCCTTCATCAAGACTCACACTAGACTCTTTAACTTTCTGATGGAGATTCTAATACAAAGAAGCATTTGAAAATGATATGTATTGTAGAAAGCAACATCTTCTGTCACACTATCACAGTTATTCTTGGAGACTAAGCTCTACTAAATATGTAAATATGTTTAACCCTTTAAAGTACCCTAAGAGTGACCAGCATTTAGTTTCTCCTTACAATAATACTGCTGAATCATTCATTTAAGGTGATGAGAATTTAGGAAATGATCACCAACTAAAGAAGCTCTCGATTGTTCAACAAATTCTCCTTTTCAGCACCTTAGGAAATGTAAAGATAACAATATAGAGAATATTCATACTGATGTTAGGGTGTAAAGGGCTAACAAAAGTCTGCAACATTTGATATCATGATCATGACACTATATCCTATTTAGAAGTAAGTATGTATTCTTAAGTGCATGGTTCAAGATAACAAGGTAACAACAACAACATTCTGGGATAAACTGGAGTATTCTTGAACTTCAATCTAGTGACCTCTTTTTAACCATTTAAATAACTTGAAAGAGAAAGTTAACAGCACTTGAAGGTTTAGACAAGTCCTTGTGACATGTCTGTGCACGAAAAAAACACTGCTCTATGTATATTGCTCCCAAAAAAATTACATTTCTGTGCACAAAAAAACACTGCTCCATGTATATTGCTTCCAAAAAAATTATTTGCATTTCATTTTCTTCCTATGATCATTAGTACCATTTTTATCTTTGTGAAGCTTTTGAACTGAAAAATAAGAGAGTTAAACTACCTGCCTCTTGTAGCCCAATAGAAGATCAAGCATCACTTACACTTTGGGAACAGGCTTTAAGTTGCTGAGGAGTTTACAAAGTCTATCTTGGAAAACTAGCTTACTACAGGTTCAACCACAAAAAAATCTTAGAATCTTTACAGTTTCTGGAACAACTGATTACTTGCCTGGTTTAATAGAAGACTTCCTCTCCTTCACTATGCAAGTCATAAATAATTGTTTCTTCTTACCTGGAGAGTATCATATACAGGGACACTCTGTGAGGCTTTCATAGAAGCTTGTACAACTAGTGGTTGCGCCTGTAAAACATTTTGGAAAAAAACGATGGTAGCAATACTAATATTGCAGTAATGCATCAATCAATTCAAGGTTTCAACATCCCCCAGTGCATTGGAACTTTGGAAGATTGATTTGTTCCAATTCCCACCCCCTTGGGAAAATATTAAATTCAAATGCTCCACCCAAGCACAATTTTTTTATTAAATAATTCTTTGTGTGATCACCAACTACAAGGTATCCAATACTACAATATCATTAATGACAGAAGTTTAAAGCAAAACAGCAAAAGTGTTAGCCATGCTAATATACCTTTTGATAAACATCTCTCAACTCTTGACTATTACAAACTCTGTTTAAATGTGATGTAACTCCCCAGGCATAACTAAGAGGATTGCCTATCTTCTCTAGAGGTTCAATTATAGTTGACCAGGGTTGATCAATCAGTGTGTCCTTTCCTCTGTATAATTCTAGAAAAATAATTGGTTGTGAAACATTTATTATTCTAAATGATTCCACATGAAAGATACAAAGTAAAAGAAGCATTTGAAATTGCCATGACTACAAAAGAGGACTCAAGAAGTAGATGACTTTGCTCTTAACCACTTAACTTTCACAAATGACCACCACAGAATTTCTATTTACACTATCAATACTACATCAAGCAGACAAATGCCAGATTCTCCGAACCAACATCATGAGAATTACATAGCAAACAGTAAGGAGAATTACTGATGAGATCTTGGGAGTGAAAGGGTTACTCATAACTTCCTCCCACCTTACGTAGGCCCCTTGAAGCCAACAAAATATTTCCTTTGTTTCCCACTTTTTACAGCACTTAAGCAGAATTTAAAACATATCTGACATCAGACAAAATAGTCATTTCTTGTGAAACCACTACTGGTCATCATCTCGAAAATGAACACAAAGTTTTGAAAAGAAGTACAATACATACATAATATTCTTTAGGCTGCAATATTCAAAGCACAGAAAAACTCTGACAACTTTGGTGTGAAACCTCTTTTTTAACATTAGAAAAAGCTCAAGTACTCAGCTGTGAATCTACCATGTCAAAAAGATGAAAGATAAGGAAAAAGTAGCATAACAGCTTATTTTATAAAGAAGGATTTGCTCATCATGCAAGACTATGAAGATAGCACTTTTGGCAGCAAATTCAATTTCATAGGAAGTTTAGAATTTGCATATTTTTTGTCCTGTAAACAAGTTTTTATAGCGACTCTGATATGCAAGTGAGTCACTCACTCATTAAAATGTAGACACACTGTAATCAGTTGTCTCGAACTTGCCCAAGCCTGATACCATAATCTTGGAATAGTAATTGCATATAAACCATAGCCACACTTGTTACACTCTATATTTAGCATTGTTGCTTTAAATGCCACCTTTTGAGAGAACAAAAACTTATTTTAATTAGTAAAAACACAAGCTTCGATTGTTTATGATCTGATGCAAAACAATAACAATGAGAACAGTTTAATTTTATTGGCTGATTGATTAAATTTAATTACTCTTATGCAAACATTGGCAGCTGGATTTATTAGTAACTCTTTAGCAGACAAAAATAATCCTGTGGTTTTCTGACCAAAAGAAGACTTGTGTAATTCATTCATATCTTTAATTTCAATCAGTGAAAAAGCCTTGCAATTACTTAAATACAATTTAAATTATATCCTTTCAGAGGAAGAAAAATTTAGGGGTTTGTTACCAGATACATGTGGGAGAAAAGCCTTGTAAACAAAGATCTTTGTGTTACAAAGCAAATATTTATTGAGTCATTGTGTGGCAAAACCTGAAGTAGTAATGTAATTTGGCTTGTGTGGGCAAAGAGGTATTTGGAGCATCTAATTTTGCAGACAGAAATTTGATGAATGCAGAATATCAATTTGTACTATTTTTGTAGACTGCCTGAGGAATGTGTTTAACTATTTTGTGGAGTTGGATGGTAACCACTATTCTGGATTTCTTTGTGACTCTCTGAAAGCTTTCAAGCACAGTCACAACATAAGGCAGAAAAATCCTCCAAACTTGAGTCACTTTAATCTTTACAATGCAAGTTTTTGTGCAAGACTACTAATTGCAAGTTCACAGAATATTTCATATCTAGATGATTAAGTTGGCCATAGGGATTCTTTAATCCTTTTTCAAAAGACCTTCCAATTTCAGACATGATAAAACTTATTCATAGGATCAGTTAAAATTTCTTGAGGACTGTTAGCCGTAGAAACATTGCGGGACGCAAAATTTCAAGGGACTCAACTGTAAAGTTTCACACAGGATCTACCAAATCAGCTTCTGCCCAACATTAAATAAGGTTTAACCTTCTCGACAAGAAAAAAAAAAGGATTTGTTCATGAAATAATGTAAAAGAAACTTAAAAAGGAGTCTTGCTAAAAGCTGACCTTGTAATTTTGTTTCGAACTCGGTAAAGTCACTCTCGAAATCGTGAGTCAGTTTCTCGATGGCTGGCGCTACATGGGTAGTTTGAAATTCATTGAAGCGTGGTAAGCCTTCGTGGCTGAGAAGAGGATTGTAATCACTTGCAGTGCAAATAGGACGCTTGAGAATCCTTATTTGCGTGAAAAGCGTAGACAGATGAAAGCATCGAAGTGGGTCTGTCCAAAGATTCCTAAACTTTGGCAACGAACCTACCAGAGCCGCCATTTTGTAATTCCGCTAACTTCAGAGAGCGTAGGCGCAACTCTGACTCCATTCTCATTCCCAAGCTCTCTCCTCTTAGCTTTTCATGTCATTTAGAGACCTTGACGAGTACAGGATGATGACACGAAAGTCCAAGAAAGGAAAGTGGATTTTTACATGTTTTGACTACTATATATGGGAAATGAGAGGATTTCCTTCCCTGGAAAGCCAAATGATGAAAGAAATTCTCTCAGTTCGCGAGATAAGTTGTAAATCCGCCGACAAGCCTATCAGATAAAAGAATATATTTTTTACCACCTTAGGATCGAAAGCTTCGCTTCGCTCAACACTGACGCGCCGCAAGAGTGATTTAACAGCCTGAAAATATTTGAGTAACAGTCTGAAAGAAAAATCAGACAAACTCTTTTTTCTTAACACTTTTAGCGAATTTTCTGCTCGGAACATCAACAGCAAGAAGATTTTGAGCGTCAATAACTACCCCCCCCTTTTTTTTTCCAATTTCGATTCGTGTCAATGAGTGAAAAAAATTCACGTTTGAAAAGAAAGTTTCTGGGAAGCATGCTCCCCTCCTAGTTAGCTCTTGCTCGCGCTTACGCCTTTGCATTTCTTGTCTCGTTTATTCTTTAAGAATTTTTTTTCTTATATCTGCCTGCCTCTGTGATGGTAACACTGGGATAAGGGACTATTAGGTCTTGAAGGACAAGAGAGGAGGCGGATAGGACAGCTCGTGGTTACTTGGTCCACCGGTTCAGACCGACATCCGTCACGGATTCACTTTTCATGAGAAGGCAAGGGCTCGGGGACTGGAAAACACTTTGTATGTGCTCCTGGCGCAAAGGTCTTCTAAGAAAGTCAATTAAGCATGCTGACCGAGAGTAAGTTATTTGAAAAGGCGTTTGACTATCTCATGTTTGCGAGATGCTTTTTATAAGATGGCGCAATTCACTCCTAGTCTGATTTGATTCGCCAAACTCTTTGTATGAAAGAACAGTCCCATACACACTTTTTTTCGTTATTTACTGGAAGTTGTTGACAGAGAATTTATATATTCACATCGATCTACTTTTTTTTTCACTTTCAATAGATGATGACCTAAGTTCAACATCGACATTATTCAGGGTTTTTTTTTTTTTTTGCTTTAATTTATGAAATATTTTACGCAATACTTCGTAACCAATTTTTTGAAGAAATTGCGTCTCATTTCTATTATATCTATTACCATTACTTATATCATTGATATTATTACTACTTTACTTTAGTGAATCTTAAACGTGGACGATGTTTCTTGGAAGTCTTGAAAACTACGTGTGAGGACTGAATCGTTCCCATTTATCTCCCGCTTCTTGAATTTGAACATGAAATAAGAGAGACGAATTACACGAGTTAAGCTGGTCAGTAAGACCGCCAACTCAAATTTGAATATAAACGACTATTGTTGACTCCTGACATACAGTTGGCACTTGACATACACAACGTGAGTACATGCAGCATTTTTGTCTCTTTTCATACTTTGATCTCTATTCAGTCATACAAACTGCTTTCTTTATTTTATCAATGCTATTCATTTGAATCCGCATGATCATCTCACATGTAGCTGACGGTTGACATGACGTACTACTGCGTTAAGACGAACGTGACCCTCGACGAGTTCTAACTGTATTATGATTAGGGGTTGGGAGGCTGAATCGCTCTATATTTGTGATAAGCCAAATTTTCCTCTTAATGTGAGAAGTTGTCAAAATTTTAAAAGGAATTGTTTGTCGCTAACTTTTACTCAGGAATGAGTGCAAAAAATCTGAGTTGAAAATGCTGAAATACTGATTAAAATATGCTAAAACTCACAGAGAAAGACCCTACTCACCCCGTCCTCCCATCTGAAGAGAAAATCACGTTTTTCGGTCTACATTCAGTAATTACCTCCTGAAGGCATGGCCAGCTTTGACTTCACGTGTTTAAGGATGAACATTTTTTACGAGGTTATATGTCATTATGGTTGTAAACGATTAGGCTTATAGACCCCTAAAAATGCTGAATATTGTTACTATCCTTGAAAATGAAAGGTGGAGATCAAGATCCACATGTAAGTCAGGAAACAAACCCGAACCCTGTCAAGCGCACTAGCCGGAATTTAAGCGAAAAGAAGAGGAGAGATCGTTTCAACATTCTCGTCCAGGAACTTGCCGGGATTGTTTCTCCAGCAGATTGTCGGAAACTAGACAAAACAGCTGTGCTCGAGCTTGCTATTAACTTTTTACGGAAACATCAGTCAAAAGTACAGTCTCATCCACGAAATGGCAGTGGAAATGCGGCGAGTTGGCAGCCATCGTTTGCCACAGACACAGAGTTCAACTTGATTGTCACAGAAGCTTTAGACTCTTGTATATTTGCGGTCGAAAATAGCGGCAATATATTATATGCATCTGACAGTGTTTTGCCTCTGTTAGGACATCTTTCGTACGAACTAAGTGGAACGAGTTTATTTGGTTATGTTCACGAAGATGATACTTTGAGATTTTGGACGAAGCTTGCCTTTGTCTACAGTGGCACTGACGCAGAAGCAGCCGACGGTAGTAACAATTTCTTTATTCGCTTTAAATGTGGACGTTTTTGTACGCAAAACACTTTTAAAACATTGGAATGTAAATTTGCATGCATTCGTCGGCAAAAAGAAAACGAAGCACCAACATGTGTTGTTATTCTTGGAAAGATCGAACAACCTCAACCGAACAGAATCGTCATGACGTCGGACTGTACTGAGAAGGAATTCTCGTATCGTCTAACTATGGATTGGAAGTATGTGTTCATCGATCACAGGGCGTCTTCTGTTATAGGATTTCTTCCGTTTGAGGTTCTGGGTACTTCTGTATATGAGTACTGTGGACCTGAAGATATCTTCAATATTTCTCAGTATCACAAGTTTCTTCTCCGTCTCGGGAAGGTTACCACTTGTTACTATCAACATAGGACAAAAGGACAGTCTTGGGTATGGTTGCGAAGCTCTTGTTATGTCTCTTACAATCAGTGGAACTCAAAACCGGAATCAATTGATTGCACAGCCACAGTTGTGAACTTTGACGAGGTTTGTTTGAATCAGACTGACACGATACGACGCGATAGAGAACACTTTAAAAGAATTCTCGAAAGACACGGGGATGATTCTGTCGGTTCCCTCAACCCTTGGCCGTCGTCTTGGCTTTACGGTAATGAAGAAGTTGAGCCACATGATGGAGGCAATGAATGCGAGCAGAAAGACAAAAATGAATCGGGCTTCTCCTCACAATTTCTAACTCGATTTCTCAAATTACCTAGTGACAGACTGATGAATACTCTAGACAATCAAAGTATCGGCGATGTGGAAATGGAATCAGACGAAGAGCCAAATGAACACCTTGTTTGGCTTGAAAATGTGAAAATTCCTCCTGGATTATCTAGTGTGCAAATTGCAATGCATATGAAACTTCAAGAGGAGTATAAGAAAATTGCCCAGCAAATTAGACAGCAGGAAAAACAATTGAAGACAATTAGGAAGCTTATTGAATGGAGCCGATTACTTTTGGAATTAGATAGGAGTTTTGGAACTTTTGAAGTAGAGGAGTCATCAGTAGACTCTGAAGATGTGTTGTCTGTTACTTAAAAGTCATGAATATATTTGGCTGAGTTAATTGTCACAAGGTCGGGACATTAGGACTGATGAGTCACTGCAGCAAACTGCTTCATGTGTTTCTTTCAAAGGAAGCTTTTCAGTATGTTTAAATTCATGGCAAAACATACTGAAAGGTTGCTGTGACCTTTCTCTGTGCTTTGTTGCTGTGTTGTGTTACTGTGTATTTTGCCAGAACTTGTCACCCACAGTGTTACAACCATAACATTTGGATTAACTTGTCATTGTTTGTAGGTCTGCCTACGAGAAACATTTTTAAAGTCTTGTATTATGATGCTTTGCTCTTAAATTCTTACTTTTCTATTTGCCTACAGCTCAGATGGACAGGTTGAGTTTCAATTTAATGGCCTTTTTGATCATGTTACACACACCTCAGCTGAAGCTGTTGGTTTTCACTAGTTTAACCTTTTAATTTAAAACTTCAATGTGTATCTCTCTTCTAGCTGCCATATGTTTCCTTCTGAATAAGTTTAGAGAATTTGGTGTTTTATCAAGTTGTCATGCTCTAGCTGAAATGTATGATCATTCTCAGTGTATGTTTGCTCAGCTGGATGATGTCTTAATATTATGGGGGGGGGGGGGACTTTGTTGATGAATCACTTCTGAAAGTTAAAGGGATGACTGCTCACCCATCTTTCCTTCAAATTTTTTTCCAGTCTTGAAAGGATACTTCAAAATATAAGATGATACATCTTTAGCTGAGTTGACTGGTTTTCTCTTTAGGCTTCAAGACTTGAAAAATTTAGTGGTTTACTATATAATGCCATCAACCAAATCTGTTCTCATTTTGTGTACTGTATTTCCTTGAAGAAGTGCACATGCACTTATTGATAAATTCAGCTAAAAAAAGGGGTGCTTATTGCAAGGAGGACATTTAATCAAAGGGGGGGCATATTAAGTTTGCACAGCATTAGGACAAAAATTAAAGAATGGATAACACAAAGAGAGGAATTCTGCACGCTTTTTGAGGTGGAGATAATGGGAACAGAAAATTAACTCTTCTCCTGTACTGATTCAGCTGTAGTGGAAGCAAAAAAAGTAGTAAATAGAGTGGCATTAGAAACACGTTTTACTTCTATCCCTACTATTTGAGGGAGCGAGAGAGGTGGGGGGGGGTTGGAATTCTTTTTTCAAGAGGTATTATAGTGTGGGCACTCATTTGAGGAAATATGGTATTTAAATTTTTTTTTGTGACAGCCTTCATTTGGTTATGGCAGTGAAACAGAAGGCCTTATTTGTCCATGGCTACCCAGGGGTGACAAGTTCTTAGTGGTTTCTGGAGGTTCTCCCCATTCTATGTTTGCCTTGCCCCTCCCCTCTCCTACTAGTTTGCCTCTGACTAGTTCATCACTATCATAACAAGTTTGCCCCATCAAATACAACAAGCCTACTCCCTCCTTGGAATAAATATTTTTGATGGGGGTTAACTGATAGGGGGCATACTTGTAATGGAACAAAACTTCTATAAATCAATTTGCCAATCACCCCCCCTAGGTAGCTACTCAGCAAGCATAACAAAGCGTTCTCCTCTTGTGTGGTTTATATGCCACTGAGATATGTGAATTCAAAGACAGACCAGTCAACTGCATTTGGTACTAAAATTGATCCCTGAAATGCTCAAATGAGGTATACTGTTAAATGATAATTTATTTTATTGCATGGTCAAATTTGAAAACCTAATAAATGCACTCAAATTTAAATTTAAAGTCAGTGTGAAACTACTATCACTGATAATATTAGTTGTGAAACCTCTTTTAAAGGTTTAAAAAAATCAAAATTCTCCAATCTCACATGTGTGCACATTTTTATAATTAATTTAAACATGACTTTGTAATATATGGTCTTGCAGTCAAGGAGATATTTGTTCTAAATCCTTAGAGACTAATAGTATTGTATAAACTACATATTGCTAAACCTCAGTTGTTCTCACTCCTTTGTGAGAAGAGTGCCTAGGAAAGACATATTTAGAAAAAGAATGTTTAAAATTTTGATTCAAGGTAGATTCATGATGAAATGAAATTTGCCTGCATCTGCAGGAGACAGGAAACACTTTGTCATCTATGTAGACTCAAACCTGGGTAAGTGTGAAACATTAAATATTGTTACAAAGTGTGAAACTGTAGCCAAAACAAATTTTTCCATCTAATCTTTCAGACTTCATTGGCCAAATGAGCTCCATGTTGTCACAAGTTTACACATCATGTCACTTAATCTGCTCAAATCTTTGCCCTTTGTGTAGTACTCTTGCATTTTTCTGAATGAACATACTTTGATAACCAAAAATATTTTAATGACAGTTACTTAAAAGGAAGTATTTAAAAACCATGGGTGTGTTATGTAAAACATGGTTGGATTTAATTCAGCCAAATAATCATATTTAAGCACTCTCAATAAATGACCCCATTTTGACAGTCCCTTTTAGCTACAAGCATGGAAAGGGTTTTTAGTGTCATGAACTCAGGATTCTACATTAAAGTTCACCCTTGGGTTTACATTTTGAGTGACCAAGCCAGAATTTCTCCTTACAGTATCAATACAATATCAAGCAGACAAGTGGTGAGAATAAAGAAATATATAAATTTGGGGATAATTGGTAGATCCAATAATAAATTCTCTGAACTAACATTATGAGAATTGTATGGTTAACAGTAACAAGAATAACAAATTTTATCTGGGAGTTGAAGGGTTAACAGTATTATGAACTGCATTTTGTGGTATTGCTATTGATAATAATTCATATTTTACAGATGACTTTCTTTAGTATTCTCTGAAATTTCATCTTTAGTCAATTAAACCATAAACTTTATTTGTAAATATGTAACAATAAATACATTTTCAGTGAAAAAAAAACGTTTTTGAACACTTTTAGGGAAAGCTATTTCCTTCTGTAATATGATTCAGCTCTAACCTTAACAATAAAGATTAATGCGATGAAAAAAAATGCCTTAATATTTTTCCTTTATTGTTATCTGATCCAATATGCAAAAAGTGTTGTAACCATTAATGATTATGCTTTCATATCAAATGAGTTTTGCACTCATTAAATATATATATCTTACATTTGTTTACAGCAAAAGTAGCAATCATGAAGTCTAAGAAGGGCTGTTGTTGGTAGAAGTACCTTCCAGTTTGGCAACTTAGGCAGAAGTTATAATCACAGTCATATAAAGAGTTGTCAGACAGTTGAGTGCTTTAAGTGTGGTTGTGTAAACTGATTGGCCAGTTTACAATGATGTTCTGGGCTGCTAGACTTAAATAGCATGAATGCTCATACTTAGGGGAGGAGGGGTGGTGGGTTTTGTGGAACTTATTTGAGAGGAAACATTTCCTGACAGAGAAATACAGTGGGCTATGTAGTTTGATCATCAATTTTGGGACTTCAACAGAAATTCTGAATAGCACCAAAATGATTAAAATGAGTAATTTAAAGAGAGATACTGCATTTCAAACTGAAATGCAATTTGTAGACAGTACAATATTGCAAACCAAAAAGGCCAAAACCCCAACTTAGAGTAATAGAAACAAGTAAGACAACATTCAAACTAGATAATTACAACTCAGAAACACAACATTTTCATCCCCTGAAATGTTAAAATATTAATATTCTCTTAGGTCTAAGTCATAATTGATGGCAAGGCATTACCAACATTTGACAAAATGTATTAACAGCTCAGTTGTTGAACATGCAATAAGACAGCTGGAATGATTTTTTGTGGAACCATACTGGATTTAAATGTAATTTAATTTAAATTTAATTATCAAAATGAAGCATTACTTTGTGCATAATACTTCAACCACATGGATTCAAATATGAACAAGGTCAAAGCATACAAATGGTGAATTCTGTTAAATGCTGGATAATTGAGTACATTCTTGCAGTTCTTTCATCTTTTGCTGAATAACAGATTTGATTTCATCCACTGTATTTTTGAGGTTCAGTGTCTTCCGTTTTTGTTGAACCTCTAGTTCATCACTGAGTGTAGATAATTCCTTTTGAATTGCCAGCTGTCTTTGTATGACAGAAATTTGCTCAGACTGCTGCCTTATGGAGTCTGTAAGACTCTTGTATTGGTCTCTCAGATGTAAGTGGAGCACCCATTGTGAAAATGACAAAGATTCTGGCATTTGATCATGATCTGCTAGCAATAAGCTCTTTTCATCAACATTTTCCATTGAGTAGACTAATGGGTCGCTTGAGTTAAAGTGGTTGTCATTTGATATGACAACTGCAGCACTGTCAACACCTCCAACAGGCCAAACGCCAGCATCAACATTCTGGGGTGCAGCCAAGTTCATGCCATGGTCTGAAGTTATGGAAAAACTGGATTGCATTGTTGACAATCCCAGTGGAAGTTCCTCACATGCTGTAACTGCATGGCTCTGTTCCAAAATTTCATTCTTATTCAGAATTGGATTTAGAGATGGTGAAGAAGAAGGTGGTGATGAAGCTGTTACTGCATTTTTTTGAGTGCCACTACAAAAATTTGAGCTGAGCAGTTTTTCACCACTCTTTTCAAGAATTTGAGAGAATATTTGTCGATCCCTCTCCAGGATTTCCCGCTGGTTTAAGGCACTGAATTCAGTGCCTTTCATGGGCCAAGTGACACAAATAACAGAATCTGGTTTTGAGTCCAGTGGACTATATGACACATGGCAGCGACTGCGTACCCAGATCCAAACTTGTCCTTTGGCGAGAAGACGATAACAACAAGTTGTTATTACCCCTGAATAAAGAAGCATATTGTGGTACTCTGTAAGATTGGCCAAATCATCTTCATGACAATATTCATACAAACACTGTCCAAGCAACTCAAAAGGATAGTAACCCAGAACCATGGTCGTACCTCTTTCCACACATTGAAACCTCCACATTTTATCCAATCTCGTTGTGAATTTCAAAACATGTTCATTATCAGCTAGCACAACAGTTTTATTCAATTTCGGTAAAGTTGTAACTCGCCCCAGAAACACAATAAAGCGATCCCCCCTTGTTTGATCAGTTCTAAAAGTCCTGCCAATACAACTAAAGGGTACGAACCCGCCTCTGAACTCTGCGCTTCGTGGAGCAAAACGAAGGCGACAGGAAAACATCTGTGCTGGTCTACTGATTGTATTATCCTTGTCAAAAGCTGTAAGCAGAGCATAAATCGTTCTTTGATCCTCTGGATGCACCAAGTCTAAAATGCTGCTGTTCTGAAGGGTTTTACAGTCGTAACCAAGGCAGGGGAACACGCTACTCGAAGCAAAAAATATTTTGCTTGAATCATCGATCGCAATTACAATACCATCTAATCCATCAAGCATAGTTTGACGGAATTCTTCGCTCGTAATAAAATCCGGTTGCCAACTTCCACAAACCCTCTCAAGACTGTTGCTGCTTGATGTCGTGGCAAGCTGCTGAGTGTGGCGGAAGTATTCTATGCAATATTTCAGAACGTTGTTTCTGCTTAGTTTTTTCCCTCGCATAGGCAGAGAAGCAGATAGTTCATTCACCAGGTTGTTAAACCGATCTCTTCGCTTTTTTTCATTTTGATTCCTGACTAAGCAAGCTTTCTTAAAATCATCGAGACTTGAGCCTCCCGCTTCGTCCTCCGCCATCTTGGTTCAATTCAGCATATTTGGAATTGGCCAACCGCTTCGAACAACTTTATACGTTATGTAACCAGGACACGAGGCACTTTTTATGCGAAACGGTCAACAGTAAAATAAGAATTATCTTTTACTTTTTCCTTTTAAATGTATTTTTAGGCGCAGCTGTTTAAATGCAAAAATTTTAGAAAATAGAAAAACAGAAAAACATGGGCTTCAGATGTGAATACTCAAGTAGTTGTCAAATTTAATCTCTGTGTTTAAAGTTTACTAGTACTAAGTGGTAAGTCATGCGAGGGAAAACACTTCATCAAGGCATGTGTGAGTTTAATGGAAATTATCAGAAAAAAATCACGTTTCATGAAAAAAGTAATCACGTATTAACGTGATAGCTGGTAGGCACCTTGTTCACATGTGAATAGCTCCTCTTCGCGTGTCCCATCTGCAGAACAACAGACAACGTCTGTGACTGTCACGCGAATGTGTAAAGTACACGTGAAATCGTGGTCACGTGTACGAACTTTCCGTAGAATTCCGCAGCGTCAAATAAACGACATGTTCAACCTTTTGTTAGCGGTTTTGCTGTGTGATCAAAATACACTTCAGTTCAGTTGTAAATGGATAAGAACATGGTACAAGAAGAATTACTTCTCAAAAACCGACCTATTGCAGTGGAGTCAATGGACATAGAACTTACGCACACGCACACGCAACCTTCTCTCAGGTCGCCCCATCAGCCAGGACTAACCCAAATTTTTCGCGTGTTCTCTTTATTTCACATTTCGCTCGCAGATGATTTAAAGGCAAAGCAAACCGTGACGCTACAAGGGCCACATTTTAATGAAGAAAAATTTTCTTAGACTTTATTAGTGGTACTACGTGAAGGAAAAAAAACCTTGAATCAATTAATAAATTATTAATGTCATGAAGAAGGATCGATATGGTTGCCTTTACATCCAAACCAATCTTGAGCCCAGGGTCACTTTGCCTTCTTGTCAGCGGTATAGTCGTCTATTGCAAGTATGTCATATATGGGGAATTATTACATATTATGTCTTATACTTTACATACATATAATGTCCTATACATATGATAATTCCCCATACATGACGTAATTAGGCATTATTTGGGCAGGTAGGTCATGTTGTTATGGGTAATGGGTATGTAGGTCATGTATGTGGACATATGATTGGTGGCCATACCGCTGACAAAGAGCGAAAATGATCCTTAGCTCGAGACTGTATTAATTCAGAGCTAGGCTCATGCAATAAAGCATGATAATTACTCGCTGTGAGAGGACTTAAACAGTGACGTTTCCGTCTTTCATAAAAATGTTTTGCTACGTATATACATTCTTTCTTCTTGTAAGTTCGCGGAGATAAAATGGCTACCCAACAAGATAAAACAGGGTAGTAGAACCATAACACATTTAAATGATACAACCCACTGGCCCTTTATCTTTTCAGGTGATGAGGTGACTGCAAACATTTCTTCATTTCAAAGAGTAAAAAACTTAGCTAGGGCACTATCAAGGGTACAAAGACAAAAAGTTCCAAAAGTTGCGGGTGGTAAACCAAGTCTTATGTTGGAGGGGGCTATGATTTTATACCTTCAATGTGCAGATCTTTTAATGACCTTTTTGTTGTGAGAATTTCAGAAAAAAAGTAAATGTTGAGCATGTAATGTCAACTTGTGCCATATGGCACTCTCGCACATTAAAGGGTTAAACATTTTAGGTGTAGCAGTTGAGGGCGTATGTCGAAGAGGACACGGCTTAGCTATTTCGACCGTGATGATATTGATATGCTTCACACAAATGACAGGGTGACCCCGTTCCCGAAAATTGCCCTTCATGCAATTTGAAGTGAAAATAAGTAGATCCGTGTGTATCCGTAAATATTTGTATGTCACTCGTATGTAATTGCATGCACTCGTATGTATGCGTATGTCATTCGTATGTCACTCGGGTTTACGGTCAAGTCGAAAAAAATGATTTCCATATATTTACAGTCATTTATTCATCACTCCATGGGTTCGTTTGCAACCAACATAATAATCAGCTCCCACTGAGTTGGCTTGTTAACTTAGATGGTGGAGCGCTACACCGGTATCGTAGAGGTTATGGGTTCAAATTCCGTACAGTCCTAAATCAATCCTAAATTTTTTTCAGGCCTAATTTAATTACTGCTTAAGTTAACTAGTGTTCATTACTGCGAGGATCGCTTCCATATTCGGACTACTATTGTTGAAAAAGTCACAAGTATGAAAAGTAGACTGATTTCTTGAAAATATCACATTTACCGTTACGTAATGCACAAAGTTATTTGTTATTGTCAAGAAGTTCACCTAAAGATACAACATAGCTTTATATGATTTGGTTTAGTTTTTTTTTAAATTTTTTATTGTTAAGAAAGTCACAAATAGACACAAAAGAACTTTATTCGTATGTTACTCGCTCGACTTTTAACTAACTTGTCGTACGCGGCAATCGATATCTGTTCACCGGGGTTGGGAACGAACTGATTCACAGTGGGTACGAATAGACAGAGCATACACGAAACATATTTCAATTCTGATCATATGATCAATCTGTGTGTATTCAAGAAACCAACGCCGCTTTAGTTGTAAAGTTTCTCAAGTTAACGAAACGTCCATGGGAACGAAACGAGTGAATACTAAACAGAGAGTGCAACACTTTATTTTGTTGTTATGTACAACGCTTTTAGAATCGTTATTCAAACATATTTCAATTCTGATATATGATTGATTTCTGTGTAGTCAAAGTCTTTATGGTGTTATTAGAAACTAACAACGCTTTAGTGATGAAGTTTCTCAAGTTTACGCAACGTCCGTGGTCCAAAACGAGTGAATAACAAAAAGACAGTGGAATTCTGCGTTTTATTTCTATGGGAAGGAACAACGCTTTCAGGGTCGTTACTCAGTCATATTTCAATACTGACCATATGATCGATTACTGTGTAGTCAAAGTCTTCATGGTGTTGTTAAAAACCAAAACCGCTTGAGTGATAAAGTTTTCAAAGTTTTCGAAACGTCCGTGAATACGACATGAGTACATACCAGACGAACAACGCTTCACTGATTTTGTTGTTAGAAATGAACAACGCTTTTAGAGTCGTCACACGAACAAATTTATATTCTGATCGTCATCTTTATGCATGGCTTTGTCGTAAACAAACTTTATAGCCTATTTACAGTCTGTAAGTCTAATCTTTTTAAGTAATTGTTTCTTCGCGCGACTTAACTTTTTATACAGGACGACATGACTAAAAATTTCGGGCGACATGACTAAAAATTTCGGGCGACATGACTTCGGGTGAGATGACTTTCGGGCGACCTTGACTGGTTTCCGTCACCCGGACTACTCGTGTGGTGTTTCGATCACGATCGACATAAAGAAGTAACTTGAATCAAATAATTACGTGTTAATCTATACCTAAATGAACAAAACATAATTGGATGTTAGAGATTCATAACTGAAATCTGAAATTATGATATTATGATATCACAGAGTTACGTAATACAAAATTTACTGCAACGTATCAATCTCTTGATCGCATTTCCGAGTTGTCATTGAACTGGACACTATACTGGAAACAGTACATATACTTAAATGGTTAACCGGTCAAGTTGCTCCAAAGTCACCACGTCCGAAGTCATGCCGCCCTAAATTCTTTCTGAAGAAACAATTACTCATAAGATCAGACTTACAGACTGTAAATAGGAAATAAAGTTGAGAAATCTTTATCAATTCATGCGGTGTTCGTTTCCGACACACACCACAAAGACTCTAAAACTACAGTCAACACTCTTGTAAGTGGACACCCTCGGGAATTGGATGAAGAGTCCGTAACTGAGAACTATAGGTCTGCCTCCGGGAATTATTCCCATAAGCGGACTCCCAAGAAAAGAAGGGTGGATGTCCGCTTTTGGAAGTGTTATATCGGACTCTTGTTAATAGCCGACGAACGGACAGCTTGCTTTCCCCCGAATGAAAATTTGATAAAACCAATCCCCACTGTTTTGTTGCTCTGTCAAAGGTCATATTTTTGTTGATTTGCAAATTCAAGAAAAATTGTATATTATGCATGGGGTGTCCGCTAACGAGAGAGCGTAAAAAAAGAGAAAAATCAAAATTTTACCTTAAAAAACCGGAAACCCCGACGGCAAATGGTTGCTTTTGGAGCTCAACGCTGCTCACATACGACGGTCCAAAATAGACTTTTCCAATCCCGCATTCTGCCCCTTTTTTCATTCTATCTAGTCATTCCGCTGCAATGAGCATTTTTATACCGATTCCACCTAGTTAAACCTAAGTTGCTCTGGTTCACTGCCTTATTTAGTTCAATAGAGAACGAGATTATAGCTTTGCAATATTGATGATGTATTCTAATTATGTAGAAAGGAAAAAACTTTCTCAAAGCAAACTATGCCGGCTTTAAAAAAGACTGTTGTTGCTGGGTGTGTTTATGGGCAGACTTTATGAGTGAGACACAGAAAACTTCAACTACGGCGGATTGAGCTGAGTTGTCACTCTTTTCCTGAAGTTTCAGGTTATGGTTAATAGTTAATTTTTAATGAGATGTTGACAGTGTCGATGACGCGAAAAACACGCTGTCGCTGGCCTTGTCATTGTTAATGCGGGATCCACTGTGAATGGCTAAAGCTGTAGTGGTCTCCCTGCCTGAGATAATTAGGCGAAGCTAAATAAATCACGTAACATCCGCAGTAAACCGTAGGAATTTCGTGTACATTTACGCGTGGTTTTCGGAAATCATTAGGCCCGTTTAAAGCAAATAAATACTTTTTAATGTCTCTAAGGTCTTGTGAATCTCGAGTTAAAATATGATCCCGCTTATACTCCTTTTATCCCCATCCCACCTTTACCCGTCCTATCCCCTATCCCGCATTCGAAATGGGGCATATACCGGTCTCGCCTTCCTATTTTCATCCCGCATCTCGCCCTTAAGTTTTCTCGTATCCCACATCCCGCCAAACCTATGTTAGACCCTCGCATACCATATGCTGAAGTTAAGGTGTGGTTACGTAAGAGACGGTAAACACATCCAGCCATTCGCAAAATTCTAACTCAAAATATACATTCATTTTAAAATCGACCTCTTCGTTGGCGTCGCTGCTCTGACTGTTTAATTCTGTTTTTGAAACAGGTTGTTTAGGTACTCATTCTAATCTTTACTTTTCCACATGGTTACTCGTGAATAAATATAGTAAGAAAGATGATTAAATTTTGAGCTAGGAACAATTATAAAGAAGAATGTTATTTGCTTCGCTACGAGCGTGAGAAAAGGAAAAAAAATCGAGTCACTATGAGGAATCGAATCCCGACCCACGTATTCAGATCTTTAATTCACTGCCACTGAGCTACAGAAATATCTGGTGGGTTGGACCATTCACAAGGTTTAAGAGTGACACGTTCCCTGCAAACTGTCAACAAAAACGATGTTGATAGTGTCATGTGAGTAAATTATAATGGATGGACAAGGAATTACCGAACATACAACACGATGCCAAGAAAATGACCGAGATATTGCAAACGGAACAAAAAACTTAAGTGTTAAAATAAAAAAAAATTAAAAAAATAAAAAAAAAATGTGTAGAAAGTAGTCACATGACAAATTCAGCATCATCTTAGCCTTACTAACGTATTTCGTCCCCATGATAAAAGACAGACAACCCATAAACTCCCAGCAATGATCGAAAGGTAACTTCTTTTCACTCTTTTAATACACCGTTAATTACATTATTTTAAAATAATATGTCAACTACAGGATTTTTAAACGCAAAATTCTGATGACTCGCCAACTATGAAATTTAAGGCTGCCGGTTAGCAACGAGAAATAAGGTTAAGCACCTTGGGCGTGAATGAGTAAGAACTGTAGTACCAATTCTTGTGTATCTGTAAACGGAATACGATGGCAGTATTTACTGAATCCCACACCAAACATAGCAAAGAGTCACCTCAGCAAGCTATCCTAACTAACTAGTTAACACTTACACAAGTAACTGGAAGAGCATTAGTGTCACTTTCATTCTAAGGCCCAACAACAAGACGTTATTTGAGTAAATAGTTACGTGTCGAGTGCTAAAATACACAATGGGATTATAATAATTACCTCTTGGTAACCGAGTTTGAGGTCCGTTCCATGAGCTAGGGACTGAGTTTTTTTTTTCTTGGATTTCTTGGTCCGTAACTTACAGTACGAATTGGGAAAACGGGGTTAGTAAGATGTTTATTACATCTTTGGGATTCAAATACAAGGGGAAGGTTTCAATACACACAAACGTTTAACGTTAGCAGGCCGTACAGGGAAATATGACCCACTAAGTTGACCAATCTTAGCGCATGCAGAGATTTAATAAGCATCAATAAACCAGATGAGTGCAGCACTCATCAGCACTGCTGATTTGAACCAGTACATTTGTTTTAACAATGTAAACCAAAGCATTGGGACGAATTTAAAAGTTTGAATTTTCCAAGATCTTGTAGTTAAGGTGTAGGCTATTAGTAATAATATAGGACTGAATGGAGTCCAATTCGCTCTGCAATCATATTAGTGATTGACAAAATTGGACGACCGTGAAGCGGGAGTCCAATTTGTCAATCACGAGTATGATAACAGACAGAATTGGACAACAAGAAGTCCTATTACCAACTAATCATAGCCGTTTCAATTTCCGAAAACAACAAATACATTTAAATCTAATATCTCCAGTGGAGACAATGTCTAAAGGAGAAAAATTTCTCCATTTTGGAAACTACTTGATTTCTTTTTAGGATAAGTGGCTGTTGCTATGGTTATAGTGTTTAATTCTGTGATTGGTGGGTTTGGCTGAGAAGACTTAGTATGACTGACTATTTTAACTGTCTGATTACAGGTGTGCAATTAAGGCCAACTGTCCAATAACACTGTCTGATTACAGGTGTGCAATTAAGGCCAACTGTCCAATAACACTGTCTGATTATAGCTCTACAGAATGATTAGTGAAAAATAAAGCAGCTAATGTGCCAATTGCATTTGAGGAAATTGTAATGGTTATGAGTATACTAGATAATGATAGTACATAACTCAACTGCAAGCAACCTGTCAATTTTTTTAAGTGTTCACTTTAAAACAACAAAAATTACATATATTAACATTACATTACACCATCTTCTCTGTTTAGCCAATAGAATGAGTTTCATCCTGTACCATTTCTTACATTGCAAAGCCTGACATAACTTTTTTAAAATGGCAGTGCATAAGTTTGGAGAGCTTCATTTGCTAAGCATATGTACTTTGGTTACTGATCTTACAAATTAAGACCAGAGCAAATATCATGCTGAGAAGCTGTGAAGAGAAGATTCAAAATCAATTTAGTGCTAAGAAGATGCTCCATCCATTATCTAACATTCATCATAATTCTCTGATATTTAACCTTCCCTCTAACTACTTGAAAGGAATATGACAGATAAGAAATATGAATGAGCGAGAGACAATAACCAAAAAGGGAAATTGTATGAAATCTTTAAACATTGATTACCACCAAAAAATAACATGGACCAGACCAACAAATGGATGGATTTTAGTTCCAATCATCATAGTCACACAAACACTCTGTTGTGAGCATTTACATGGGTCAAGCTGAAAATATTCCATCCTCCCTCTGAGGAGGAAACATCATTGGAATTATCTATTAAACAAGTGTTACAAGGTTCATCCACCAACTCTCCATTTGATTGCTTTGAGTTGCCATCTTCTTTGCCAGCTGTTATATTTGGATTCTTAGTTACCTCGCAAAAAAAAAAAAGAGAGCATACAACCAGTTTACCTGAATGACAGCCACTGCAACACCTACTCCAAAGATTATAAGCAGGTTTCCTCTGAGTAAGTCAAGTGTCTTGTCATAACAACCCTGAATAACAGGAAATCACTTCAGTTATATTTTCAGTGGCTACCATAAATAGCAGATCACATACAGATAAGATTTTGGAAAGTATCTACAAAATAGAAAGTTCCTTTCATGATGATTTACTTTCTGGTTTTGTAAAATTTCTGTCTTATTAACTTGTTTCCTCTATTTTTGCAACCTCAAGTGGCCATGAACTAAATATTAGTAATAAAAAGTAAAATGCAGTTACCCCTATGTTAATGTTTTCTGTGCCAGCTGATATGTCTCCACATCCTTGTTTGACTTCTTTGCAACAGCTATCAGGAACTATACTGTGGTTCCCATTTGTGAAAGGTGTTTTCTGCCAATCCTTGTATCCATACACGCCACAGCATTTCTCCTGCATTCACAACACAACTGTGTCAATCTTTAGGGTGAGAGATAAGAAATTTTCATCTTTTTCCTAGATATCACAAAATCATTGCATTGGATTTGCTCAATCTACTGTTAGTCCTCAACATGGCCCCATACAAACTTGAAAAAAAGAAAGAATTACCATCACAATTTGCAAGGGGAGTTATCGAATTGCTCTTGACAAATAAATGTTCAACAACATCTATTTGAGCTTATCACATGAATTTCAAGATTTTTTGGTGTAAAATCATCTACCCTCAAACCATCCTTCGGATATTGTAGCTTAAGATCAATGACCATGACAGCAATGTGAAAGTAAAGGGTCGCTTAGTGAACATGCTGAACTCCAAATCCATATGGGTTTAGTTGAGTCTTGGATGGCTAATTGTGTTTTCTGCTGCGTTCTTATGCAAAACACTACCCCACAGTGTGTCCCTCCACCCAGGAGTATAAGTAGTTACCATATAATCTTAACAGAAAATGGAGACAAAGCTGGAAAGAGTTTTAGCTAAAAGGAACTAGCATTCTATCTTGGAGGGAGTTAGGTCACTTCATGCTGAGTAAAAGGGGCAAATTCTGGCAGTTATGGACCACTAGGGTCCTAACCTTTCACCTTAACCTTAATGAGATGCTGATAAGTTTAACACACCTTTTCCTGCAGAAGATCATAAGCCTTTGTAACTCCTTTTTTGTCACCAGAGCCATACTGATACAGTGTCTGATTCAGATCCTTCTTTAACTCATCTTTCAACTGTAAAATTAAGAATTTAATTTATTAATCATTTCCTTTCCCATAAATGTTGGAAATGAGGATTTGAACCCCCACCAATTCTGATTTCATTTGTAGATGTCCAACAAAGTGAGCTTGAGATAAGCTGTTGAAAATCAGACTTTATTAATTCAAACATAAAAACCCATACATTGTAATTATTGATTAACTACACTGTAATTAAACATCCATATCACTCACACAGTTTTCCCTAAACTCTCTTTCAAGTTTGATGAGCAATTTGCTTTTACAAACTATTATTTGTGCTATGTGAAACAATATTTAACCAATCTTTAGTTAGATTTATAAAATATCAAAAATACCTGATCTCGGTACACAAAACCCAATGATGTCCCTGCAACTTCCAAGCCAAAGACCAACAACATCAAGGCAAAAAACTACGCAGGAAAAAAAAGTTATTCCTCATTATTCAAAACTGCAATATTATTCCTTCAACATGATACCCTACCATGGTTCAAAGAATGGAACCATGAATGCCAGTTGCTATGAGAAAATTCAGAGACAATTTTACAATTTCAACTCACTGTTCCAAGAAGACACCTGCTTTCCTTGATAGACCCACAACAGCCAAAGAATGCAATCACAGCAATAATTGCACCAACAGCAATGATGATGATGGATCCTGTAACATATTTCACAGAGGAAAGTGCCACATAATCTCCAATCTTTAGCTGAACATAGATTCCCACTCCAAGCAAGCCAATACCTCCCAGCTAAGAAAAACATCAACTTTAAAATTACATGTGATTTGAAATTGATTGTTCATCCTGTATTAAGTGGTTTGTTTAGTTTATGAAAAACACCATCACAAACATTTGAAGGAATCCTATAGTAGCCTGTTGATTAAATGGATGATTTAAATGAGGTCTTGAGCGACTGTATTTCTTTCTAATTCTAAGATTTTGCTGATCTCCAGCATCATCACATTCCCTGATGATGCTACAGATCGTTGAAAGCGTGGAATAAAAAGAAATTCATTAGATCAAGGCCTCAGTTGGTTTGTCCTTACAAAGAATATGAAGTTGAAGACAAATAACAAGACTTTGATGATCTTTGCTGCTCCTTCCACTGCCATCACTGTTTCACTATGTCAAATGGGGTTTCTAAAAGTAAAGCAGAAAGGCTTCAGAGACTATGGATGGATCAAACAGGTACATTCTGTACTTGCATGCACCTTGAAGGTAGATTCATGTTGTAATATCACCCCACATCCATTTAAGATCACTTAAAGTGCTTAAGTAATGTTGAACATGCTTGCCAGTAGGTATTAAATAATGCAACCAAATGAGCTTGCTAGCCAATATTCACCTATTTCATTTTGGATAGTTAGTTTGCATGTTTGAAAAAAATTTCTTTAAAGAAAGTGCTGTACCACCTTATCTTTGAGCAAAATTAGAAGAGCTCTGAACCTGTCTCCAAATAAAGTCACCCTTACCATCTGTAAATAAACAGATCCACGTCAATTCAACTAGGGCAACCCAATCTTTTGGGGAAAATCACAGAAAACACCAACCCACAAGAAAAGAAAGCAATCAAAGTTCAGTCAGTAAAAACAAAAAAACTGCTTGGAGAACATGAAAGTGCAAGTTACCAAGTAGCAGTTGATTGGTGAGGGGATGGTTCAAGGTTTTTAAGACCAATCACAGGAGTATAGTGGAGAAACCAAATCACTTCCTGATTTACTTTGGACACTCAATTAAACATTTTTATTTCATTTGCACTGTAGAGGAGACTTTGATGTTAGATCCAAAGAAATACAGCCAAATCTCAATTAGTCGAACCACTATTACCTGGATTTTTCAAATATTCAGACTTGCTTATCTGATCCCATTATGTTTGAACATTTATATTCATATTTTGATTATCTGGACTCTTGATTATCCCAACTTTTAAGCCCAGTCCCCACAAGTCCACATAATTGAGGTTCAACTGTGATAATTTCTCTTTTCTCATTACATGCTTGCTAGATAATGTATATATGTTCTTTGGAGAAGTTACTCACTAATCAATTGTTGGCAGTCACTGGGTTAAGAAGGTTTAGAACAATATGTACAGTAGACATGTAATGCAATTGTTTTAGTATCACAGTCCTGTAAGAGTAAAATAATAGTCCAGATTTTTTCCCCTTTAGTTATAGACTTCAGTTGATCTTATTATAAAACAGAACTTTGCTTAGTTTTTGTTTTTGATTGAAGTTTGTTCATGTACACCCCAGCAAAATTTACATTGTGGCTGAAAAATAAGACGGTCATAGTTATCAAATGGATTCCATGATGCTGTGTCTGTTCTTTAGTGGATCACAGACAACATCAAAATTGATAAGAACAAAAAAGTGGCATAAGATGGACAGCCAAGTGTGCCACTGATGATGTTTCCACATTTTGATGCCTTCTGCAACCTTCTGTTAAACAAACCCAAGGCAACATGAAATCTACTTGTTTTACATAATAAAGAAGAAAAGATTTTGTTGATAGTGGTATCATCTACACATCTGTTCTCCCAAAAATATGAGTAAGAACCAATCAAAATTTGATATAATTCAGCTTCAAATAAGAATCTTAATAATTGTTTATAGCAATGACATCATTTTGAAAAATATAGGGTGAGGCAGTGAGGACCAGCTTTAGTAAGCAGATGTGCCAAATCCATAACCATTTGTATAAAGTTTGCTCTCTTTTCTACAATATTTGAAATTTCAGTGTTTTTTGTATAATTTTCATTGGATTTTGGTGAAAACTGTATGCAAATTGCAAAAGTTAGGAAGCAACGATTAATTATTTATGGCAGTAAAACCAGAGAATGTTCCCATTAAGTTAATGACACTTTTGGAAAAAGAAAATTCTAACCCACAAGGCAATTGAAAGTTTAAATAACAAAAAGAGGACGCAGCTATTTGATTCGAGAAAAACTTCATCTTATACCATGCTGTGAAAATACATTAAAAAACACCTGCATACTCTATTACTTTGGAAACCAGTCATGGAATTTTACCTCACAAGGGTTTAGTAGTTGGGTCCACTAGATCTGCAAATCCGATAAGCTCACTAAATCCGAGAAATTTCGATTCAGTTTGTTCAAAATAAGGATATCAAAGATATCGCTTCAAATGAAATTTTTGTCATTTTCGTTAGTCCTCAAAATGTGAGCATCATCTCCCTATAATGAAACCCAAACATATGCCCAAGTTGGGCATAAAACTTACAGTTCTAGTGTAGTTTTCTAAATTTAAACACAATCCTCGTAAGCATTTAACGGTTGAAAACAACTACAAGTTTGCAATTAGCTAAATAGTATTGACTGTCAAAACGAACTTTAACTTTGTGCTCTAGCGAATTGTCAGTGGAAAATGAATCCTTTTCAAATGTTAAGTAAACCACCGCGATTGCAGAATACGACCTAAGAACACGCTGATACAGAGAATATTCGAAAGGTTTTCGATGAAGAAATAGATTTGAAATATTTATCGATGGACAAAAGAGTTCAAGGCTGCATTAGAGGCTTTTAACGGCACTTGAATAAGTAAAGCTGTACTACTTTTCGGTATCACCAGTCCAATAAACATTTAACTAATGTGAGTAAACCTGCCCAAGCTTGCAAATTTCCAATCACTTAAGACAATTCAAAATCAGGAAAATGTCTTACTGAGTTTCGAAAACAGAGAAAAGCAGGATATATCGACATAATACGATTAACTGCAACCTTACCTCCGGTTCTTCTCGTCACGAATCTCCAAGTCCCAGCTATGAGGGGAGCGACACTGTTCACTATCACGTGACCTCTGCGACTCGCCGTTTAGTAGGCAGCTGCTTTTCAGGGTTTGTAGGAGTACCCCATCCTTTTGTTTATCACCTTTAACGAAGAAGGTCATTCCCCTCATGGAAAATTGTTTCCAATTTAGAGACCCCCTATGCATGTAAGTTGTATTGACATATCTTTAAAAAAGTTTCGTTTGAAAAAAAACAAACAAACAAACAAAACACTAACAACAACAACCGCAAAAACAACTCATGCACACAGTCAGGAGCATATTCTACCGACACAGAACAAAACACAACTAAAACGAAAAAGTTAATAAAAGTTTTTCATTCGCTTTCTCTTGACTTGCACCTTTATCTTTCTTGAGTCCGTTTGAAGCACGTCATCGCCAGTTTTCCCTGCCTTTAAGAAACCTCAACCTTCAACTCAATCAATAAAATCCTTTCTTTATGATACCCTATTCGTGCTGATTTCTGTCTCAAAAATTAAATATTCTTACAGTGACAAAAACTTAATTTTTAATACAAACCTATTCTCTATTTGCGAAACTTTCCGTCTTTAGATCCTTGAACATTGAACCCTTAAGTTTTAATACTCGGCTTACGCGTTTAGACATGTGGGGCCGGTGATTTGATCAAACGAAGTTTAGCCGTTGTTTAACAAAACCGCGGTCGAAGCCATCTTCAGTTTAGCTGGACCTTTTATCTGAACATTTATTTTTGGACTTTTTGCGAAAACTATCGAGAGGGCCGAAAGCTAATAGTGGAAGAACATTTATTTCGTTAAATCAACCCTCTTTTAGAGAATCCCTGTGGCCCACTGGCTGCGTCAAACCGCGGTTTGGTTTAGAGGGAAAAAAATTACTTTCACGGGTGGTAAGAGTCGACCCGGGCTATGATTCCACCCTTTCAAATTGGCGTGCCGGTAACATCGCCTAGAAGCTACCAGAAGGAAAACTTTTTGTGGTATTTTCACGAAGCCAAAAGTTTTTAATCAGAAAAGACTTCAAGAAGATTCCTTTTAGCTGATGGTCCCGATCAATCTGACTCTGTGCGTGTAATTTATCACGAAATGACGCAGGTAAAGAACCAGCGTGCTGTATCTCATTCATTCATTGCATCATCCTCTGATATTACCGGTCACGTCTGGAAATATAAACAGGATAATGATTCATCATGTTTAGAACCTGAGAGAATACAGCGGATGAAACTACAAACACACTATGGACTTGATTGAGAAACACGAATTTACCAAGAAGACTCAATTTCCTACAAGAAGGTCAATTGACATTTTGCCCCGACGATCAGTAAATACTTTGTGGCATCGTAGTCCCGGAAAAATCGCTCATAGACTTGCTCAAGCTTGCGAAAACAGTGTAAAAGTAACATATTGTCAAACAAAAATTGAAGGAGACTTTACCAGCAAAGAAATATGTTGGATCAAATGGTGGTGACATTAATGGAAGGCGCCTTCGTATGCGTCGGATTTCCTTATGTCGCAAAATTGTGCAGGAACGTGTTTGATTCGTTGCTCAAAGGTAGGCTCAAATCACTTTTTTCTTTCTTTCTTTGGACCTTTCTCTTTCGCATGGATTAAACAACAAGGAGAAGCAGGAATTTTTTCTTTTTTCTCCATTAATGCAGATAAAAGTACCCAGTCGGGTAAATATGTAAAAACATATATATTTGAAATTTAACATAACCATGCCATGTTTAAAAATTTCTCGGAAATGGAGGAAGCAGTTTGCAGCATAACGGTCGAATTACATCATACTTTTTCGGTATAAAATACAATATTCAAAGTTCATGAAAGTCGAACATTTTGAGATCCTTTGTAACTGGTCACTTTGCCGATCTATATTGGTCAGGTTCTAACAGACCACAACAGTGCACGACTTTAAGTGATACTAGAGGAGGCTGCCCTTCCCTCTCCCGTGTTTGCCACTTTAAAGCAAAAAGGTCGACGACTGCAAGCCCGGTTCTTGTTGCATAAGTTCCTTGTTTTGTTCTGATTTTGATGAGTGATGAAACTTGTGTTACCAAGGAAGCCAGTTTACAGAGAAATAATTTTAAGACCCTGATGAGACAGAATTCATCAAACATTTACTTGTTATGACTGCTGATGAATATAATGGTTATTATATTTCTTTGGAGGTATCAGCCAAATTTGAATTTTGAATAATGATAATATTGATTATGATAATTTCATAAACTTCCTCCTATTTTTTTCAGGACCATACTTGCCTTTTTGCAGACCTGCAGTACAAAACAAGGTTCCCCAGCAAAACACAACTGAAAGGATGGGGGTAACTGGTCAAGTTTTATCTACTAATGTGCTCATTGGTTTGAAACCACAAACAGAAAACTATATATCTCCACTACATTTTCAAAGCTGTTGGCAATTCTATCCAAATCACTCTGGAACAAACACACTGCAAACATTTTGGGGTAGTAGTATTGATGAAACAAAGTTGGAAAACTCTACCCAGGTTATGCAGCACAGGTCAAAGAATTGTGAGGGAATGAACATGGCTGCCTGCCAACTGAACAGGCTCAAAGATTTTTATGGTCATTTCAGATCATCCTCTGGTTTTCCAGCTTGTCTTGAAAGTGAACAGCATTGCAACCCGATGGAGATTTCACACAATGTCATGCAGGATGACATTTTAAAAAAGGACTGTAATGAGCCTCAAACAGAGAGGGGATGCAGTGTGGTATCATTCTTGATGTTCCCTGATGCAAAATGTAAGGATGATGATGACAAAGACCAACTAGATTTACCTGTCAATGACTGTGTCTACAATGCAGATGGTCAGCTTGTACGCATGTTTATTTGTTTTGGTACTGAGCAGTCTGATACATCAAGTGTTGCACTTTCAAGTGATTCTGGTTGTACTGACTGGGACTCTGACTCTGAGGATTTTATAATATTTGACAATTCATTTACAGGTGAAGGTAACTGTTGTACAAGGATTGATTTTGTTTGTGGACAGTGTGAACTTACCAAAGAGGGTGAAACAAAATCTGTGCTTCAGTCACCAAGAATGTACTGTGAAGTTTCAGTAATGGAATCAGTTGATATAAAATTTGATTTCCTTATTCAAGAAATGGTGCCACCTAACTTGCATTATGCCTCTGAGAAGTTGACTTCCCGAAGAGAAAGTTGTGAAGAAACAGAGATGAAGAGCAACAAGGATTTAATTTCCAGGAATATTCCTGGTAAAACTGTGTCTGACAATAAAAAGAAAAAGAAAGTTTGCTTTAAACCTGATGATGAACTCACTGTCACTCATCCAATGATTGTCTGGAGCTTTGCTTACAAACAGGCTCGTAAAGGAACCTGGGAGATGGAAGCACTGGACCGACTTCGTTTTCAGAAGAGAATTAAGGAACTTGATGAAATTTTAACTCCTTTTTTGCTGGCAAAGATAGGAAATGCTGTTTAATCTTTATAGTCACAGTTTGTAGTGCTTACAAAATAATTACTAGTGCATTTCATACATTTTGATAGGAACTATGGACGCTCTAATAAATTATTAAGTATAATATATTAAGTATCTGATTTGATAGTGCATGCAAGATTCAATTTTTTTATTCTGTTGGCCTATTTTAAGAATCAGCAGTGCTGATTAAGTTATCATTAATTCATGCAATGTGTTTTGATGCTGCTGTAATAATTATCAAATCTTTTTTTCTCAAAAAAGAAATGTTGTAGACCAGTTAATAACCAATTGTTAAACCATTCGATGAATCATAATACTAAGGGAGTTGGATGAGTTGGAGTTGGATGAGTTGCAATGAATGAAACAATTATTTAGGCAGTAGCAGATTGTTTGTTTTTTTTTAAATGAACTTAAAAAACTGTGATGCAATAACAGAAGCTATTTTTTAAAGATAATATCCATTGAAAAAAAGTCAATTTCTTTGTTATTTAAAAGGTGTTCTATGTTCCCCATTGTATTAGGATGAAATTTTGTGGCAAAATAAGGCAATTATATAATTATTATTTTTACTGAACTTTAAATTTCAGTGAAAATTTCTTTAAGGCATTACTTTGAATGAATACTATAAAGAGGGTAGCAAAGGGGGTGGGAGGTCCTGATTCTGTTTCATGTGCAAATTTTAGAAAAATTCATGCATCACATATTTAGAAGGGAAAACTTGAAATCTCTCCTCTTTTGAACAAGGTTTCAGGGAAATCTTGACTTTTTCACAAAATAGAGAAAAACTCACTGGTCACATATTTTAAGAGGCAAATCACACCATGTTAATTCTAAAATTCAGTTAATTTTAAAATTTGCGTGTCACTCATTAAATTTTGCTCTAGTCACATGTAAACCCTTTGCCTTCCTCAGTTAACTGCAATTTGAAAATGCAACTCTAATCATACTGAAATTTAATACAATAAACTTCAGTCATGCAGCATTGTAAGAATAGACATTTCTTGAGGTTTTTGAAATTAGTTGCACTTCATTTTGCTTGAGGCTTACTTTGGAGCATGGTGTATTTTGTAATACATGCTAAATGAAGGTTACACACAGTCTTTACCATAAGACACAGTGGAGTACAGTCACTTAAAACTTTTTCACAACTTACCTTGCTTATATCCAATCCATTGATATCAAGATTGTTTTTCTGGAAATTCCATTTACTTCAGGTTTTTAATGTGAAACAGTAAATTTCATTATTTTTAGAGTTTTAACCAAAAAACGATTTTACTCATTTATCACCTGCTTATAGCAGATGATTTTGATTATGTAGCCAGAGTATTTTGGTAAGTAAGACTTGGGATCAGTCCCAGTACAAAAGAGCCTGTGTTCACACAGCACTACATTTTGTCATTGATTTAGAGTGCACCTTGGCAAATTTTCCAGCTATTGATTGAGGTGAGAAAATCAAGGAAAAAGGAGACATTGAGTAGTATACAAGTAAGCTGCTGGTATGCATGATTTATCCCATTCACCCTTTTAATATCTGTTATCAGTAATTCTCTATTTTTGCTTCCTTGCTCTTCATTTTAAACTAGTAATAAGAATGACCTATTGAGAAAACAAAGTACCCACTGGCTGATGAATTGGTTGATTCTCATCACCTGTTTGTTGGACAACGTTTCGATTTTGTAACAAGAAATCAAGTATTGGTTACAATTGGGAATGGGGGGGATGGTTCACATTCTTAGAGAGTTAGCTACTATTTTCAAAGCACCATAATTTAGCAGATGGCTTGAATGTTTAATTATCGGTGCAATACTTTACTCATTTTTGTTATTTAGAGGATTCAATTAATCTTAACAAGGCAGAGTTTCTTTTTGTTTTTTGTTTTCATTTTTGGGTGGGGGAGGCTGTTAATTTTGACATTACCTGTTGCATATGCATCAGTTGCAGGTTGCTTTTGAATTTGTTGTATGTCTTGGTGTGGACTGTATGTCTTGGCATGGGATGTATGCTGATGAATTCATTTTTGAATCATTCAATTTGAATCATGGATAAATCTGAACCCAGGTTGTTATAGTGAATGAAAATTAAATCTGATAGATCTTGGGAAGTATTGGAATTCTGGACATTTTTCACTAAATTCCAATCAAATTATGGTGTAGGAGGCATCCATGTGAGCACTTAGTGTAAATAGGGAGTCTTTTATTTTTCTTAACCCTGGGGCAGTTTAAGGTCAGAGATGGGCGTTGCAAAATATAGATATCGGAACTGCCGGAATATTTTTGAAAAGGTTGATAAATAAAATATTGGTCAGTATTTAGAGATGGGCGTAACATTGCATGCCGAAATACCCACACCCATACCCTCAGGGACTATTTATTAGTTACCAGTCCCTCACTCATTAGTTTGGACATTTACATTTGGCGCCCGCGTGCATAAACATTTGAAATGACAGACGGAGTAGCACCATGGAATTTGTGAAGTTCCTGTTAGGTTATTGCTGTTTTCATTTGGATTCTTCAGTAACTAGACTGTCAAGATACCAAGTGGACGATGGAAGTCAAGTTTGACTGCTGGTTTACTTTTCAAAACACTTTTGATATCGAGTATTGTGGCAAGGATAGGGTTTTTTTCAGATAGTATGCTGACCGCTGGTATGGGATTTGTGAAAATTCGGACCATAGCAGTTTTGTTATCGCTGTCTTTAAGTTCGTCGTTTGTATTATGGTGGATAACACCTCCGGACTACTCCATGAAAGGTAAAATATTAATTCACTTGTCGAATTTCTTGATGTAAGTCCTCTTCAAGGGGCAGTGTGGGGTAAAAAGCGTACACATTTAGCGAGATTCGATCTCCACCTGAACTTTATTACAACTTTTCTTTAAACTATATTTACACTTGCCACTTACGCAATAGTTTGAAACATAACTTAAGAGTTGGGCATGTATGGAACAAACCTTCGAAAATTTAAAAATACGTGGCAAGTATGGGGAAAGCCTGTTTGCCTGTTGTGAAATATATTATTACTATCAAAATGTCCAGAGTTTTTGTGTCTACATGTATGTGAAAATATCCCCTTGAATGTGAAATATCAAGAATATTATTGTATTATTTTATTCCGGTTCGGTCTTTTCTCAACTGATACCACTCAGCTAATTTGAAAGTTGTTTTCAAAGAGATGCTTATCGTCTCCTATTCAAAACAAAGGCGTTATTTTCATAAAATGAAAATTGTATGTCGTATTTGCGGTAACATTTGGAAAATGTCTATCAGAAGGTATGGCCATCTGCGCAAAACTTTGTTAAAAAAATATTACACGAAATTATTAATTGTTTTATGCTTTTTACAACGTTTTTTTTTCGTAGGCTAAACAGAACATTCCAGAACTATTTTTCTTTGTAGACGACTTAACATTTTCTTTCCTTGGCACTGTATTTTAATTATTTTGAGTGTCTTTCAGAACGTCTTCCCCATCAACATTAATGATGATTGTTATTGTCTCGTCTTTTTGTGCGAAGCTAATAAAAGAGATGTAATCTGTTCGTATCAAGTTTACGTTGATTAAAATCAAGGGAATGCCTTAGATTTAACGGAAGACAATTTTTCCACTCTCAGAAATGATATTGTTGTTCCACTTCAATACATGTAGATTCTGTTATTGAATTGATCCAATTACCGGTAAATTCTCATTGAAACTTTGAAGACGCAGCTGACAAAACTATTTACAGCAATAAATTACTTGTCTGTGAGAAGTATGCTTTTCCACTGTTTTTTTAGTCTTGAAAAGAAAAATATTTACTTGAAGTGGGCAATGGCCTCTCTGTTTTTCAAACTTAAATGTATGAATGCAGAATTATTGTTGTACATGGCAAGGAATGATAACTTATCACTGAAGCAAGCATAGTTCATTAAGGAGGAATTGATTGACATCTATTAGATTTATATCCAGAAGCTTCATTATGGGTTTTGAAGAGGCCTTGGATAGACAAAATGTTCTTTGAACACCCAGCAGAGTCAATTAAAATGCTGATAACAAGATTTCTGATGACCACATTGTGCAATTAAAGTCTACAATAATTGTATATGAAGTGAAGTGTGTGCATGCCTCCTATAAAGTGTTGCAGTTTGTCAACTTGGTTTCTCTCTTTAATATCAGTTTTTTTTTCATTTAGAAGTGGAATAAACTGAACAATTATCTTAATGGTGTATTATTTAAGGGAAATCCTTTGGATTTAAAGCAGCTGTGAATGTCTTGTAGTGATTTGGGTAACAGTCTTGTGACATTGTTGATTGACATGATACATCTTTTTTCAAGCAAATGTTAATTCCAGTTTTTTTTATTGTTTTTAAAATTGGAAACCAAATGTTAAATAGTCTTTCCTATTGAAGAATTTCTGTTAAAAAATAATGGAATGAGGGGTTATTTCTGGAAACTTTGAGGCATCAACAGTCGTATTTTTTATTGCTTTTAAAATTGCAAACCAAATGGAATGGTCTTTCCAATTGAAAAATTTCTTTTAAAAATTGAAGAGTAAGGGGAGTTATTTCTTGAAACTTTGATGCATCAACAGTTCCTATTTTTAGTGCATTATCATGTTTGGTTGAAGTAAGTTCTACGTATGTCGTCAAGTCTTATTTTAGAACAAATGGAACTTTCCTGATATTAGACATCATAACCTCAACTTACCTAGTATTAGGAAACAAGTACCCAGACTCTATGAGAGCTATAATTTCAGTATGGTTTTTATGCAGTAAAATATGATGATAAACAAAATTTGTCCTGAGATGCAAACAGTACCTTTTTGTGAATAAAAATGACTTACTTTGTGTATTTTTCATGTTTGTTACTTTTTGTTCATGGAGCCATGTCAAAGCTTCATGTACTTTGGCAAGTTTTAGCAAGTTTTACTGCAAGTTGTACTGCCAAATTACCAACGATGAAAAGCAAATTATCAATAATGAAAAGCTAGCAAACCCAACTGTCTGAGCTGGAAGTTTTATTGATCTAAGAAAAATGGTTCAAACTTAAGAAGATTGTTAATTGATTTTTGGATCTGATAATCATAGGCATTTTAGTTCAATTCTTCTTGAGTTCTAGGATTCATTTTACAGTAAGTGTTTATGAGTTGCTTTTCAGATTTATATGGTTGGCTTATGATTGCCTATAATTTGCCCCAAAATGGCTTTCACAATGTCTTCAGATTTGAACACAGTAAGAACACAGTAAAAACACAGAATTAGTCATTTCTCCTTAATCTCTCAAAAGGTATAATTTGGGGACTGTTTGATTCATTCCCAATCCCATAGATTCTGGGTTACCAATGGTGATTGTTGTATGTTTTTTTAATTGTATTCAGATTAAGAGCAGTTTAATAGTATTTTCGGATAAGGAAATGTTGACATGGATACCAGTAGGGTTAATTCTAGATGATTGTTTTATTACTCTTCTTTAGTTGTGGTTATCTTTAATTCAAATATGATATAATGAGAAGTCTGTCTTCAACAGAAAGGGAAACTTCACCGCTGATATCAGGCAGAAGGCAGGCTTTCTTAAAAGAGTTTGAAAGAGTTCAGACAGAAAACACAGAATTAAAGAGACAACTTAAACTGGTGCAACAAAGATTAAAAGACCTGTATGAGAGGGATAGCCGCAACCAACAAGGTAGGTTGACATTGGATTCTTGGGAAAGCTGAAATAAGGGTAAACAGTGAGTATGAATATGATGATATTTTTTTGTAAAAAGAGTAGGAAAAATGTACTTAACTTTTGGATATTTAACCTTGAATACCAAGTTGCACTCAGCTTCCTTTTGTACATGTACCAAAAACCTGCCTGATAACCCTTGCTGTAACTAAGTCTGTAGTGTATTGATTATACATGTACCTATCTTAATTATTGACAACAACCTTAGTATGGATTCTAAGGTGAGCACTTTGTACTTAATTCAGTAAATGTACTACTCGCAGTAATCCTACTGTACTGGAAATACCTGCATGCTGTAAAATTACTATAAGTCAATAAACTCTTATACTTGTATATGTGTAACATGTTTATCAATAAAGTTCAGTTAGCCTTTGGAAATAAAGAAGGAATAGTCTCTCTATGTCTGAATGATGACACTACAAAGTCAAAAGAACTGCAGTTTGTGCAGTTCCTTTTATTTAATTAGTTTCAGATCACATTTAAAGATTGTAAGGTTACTTAATATGATTATGATTTTTATAACTTCATTAATGTTAATTACGGCTATTATTATCATAATTGGTACCTTAATGATGCACCCCTTTTCTTTCTTTCAGCATCACAAGGAAACAAGTCAACTGCATGTGTGAATGACCTTTTCCTTTATCGTTGTGAGGTATGATACACTACTACTTAGTGCCTTAAACTGTAATCATTGGTCATCCTAGTAAGATGAACAAAAAGAGATTGTCTAAACTGGAAGAAAAAGCTGCCAATTTAGTGACCTGTGGTCATTTGGCAAGCTAGAATGTAATTAGTACCTAGGTCATTGATCTGAAATTGAAGTGAGATGCACATCTATATACAATACTTACTCCGTTGATGCCTGGTTGATTCCCTTTTTGAAACATTGCCCCGCATTACACTGAAATCACCACACAGCAGATACTCAGTGCATGTATGTATGTTATAGTTTTTAATGATTTCAAGGAAAAAAATTAATTCAAAATAATTATTTTCTATGCTTTTTGAGAAAAATATTTTGTTTTTATCCTACTAACAACATGAACTTAATATACATGTTGCTGTTTTGCTGACTGTAACCCCTATTCAAAAGTATTATTTCCTTTCACAGGTTATACATATTGCAGTGGTCTGTGCAGGTCATGGTGCAAGTCGCCAAGTAGTCACTCTTATTAAGTCTATTCTGTTTCACCGCCGCAATCCACTTCACTTCCATTTCATATCAGATAGCATAGGACAGGAGATTTTGAGTGTCCTTTTTCAGACATGGGCTATTCCAGCAGGTACCTTGGGTCAATTGCTATAACTGACTAATATAGGTTTGCAATTGAGAAACTAAGTCTATTTACACAATTATGTATCCTGAATATTTGGGAGAAAATGAAAAAAGTTTCATGCTGGGTGCAGATCAATAGTAAGCCTGAATTACATCAAGTTGCCTGCAGACTAACCTGCTCAAACTTAAAATTACTTCTCTATTGCCTTAAAATTAGTGTTTATTACTGCAAAGATCCTTCTCATATCCATTTATTAATGCACAGTTCAAATATATGATTTTCATGTATTGACAGATATTAACAAACCAATGAAAGTGTTTGCCAAACAGCATGCATCACTAAGATGCTGAGATCTAAATCCCCGAACAATTGCTTTGATTCTTTGGCTGAAGATATAACACAACATAGACCACAACAAGAAAATGTAACATTTAAACAAAAGAAAAACTTTCTTACTGAAGAATTAGTACACAATTCTGTAGTGTAATAAGTGTCACAAAGGTGTTGGAAGGTGTTCAAAGCATCTATTAAAAGTGTTTGTATGTGAGGGTATGCTGGTTTGTACTGCAATAGTCTAAATTAAGTCAACAGTCTAAAGTCAACAAAATGTTGTTGACACTTCAATTATTAAATTTATCATTATATAAAACATCAAACCTAAGTTTAAACAAGATTAAATCTGTAATGAGCTTACTGAAGTGATTTTATACATGAGCGAGTTGATGTGGGGGAGTTGGTCCATGAGTGAGTTGGTTGGATTCTGTCACCCTACATGTACACACTGTAGCATATAAATTAGTCATAAAAGAATAAAAGACGAAAAACATCTTTCTTAATTCTTTACTGAGCTTAAAACTTATCATCTCTACTATTTCTATCTACAAACATTACGCTATTGACATTGCTGATACTAGCAGTATGCAGGACGCGTGCCATGTGAACTTCGTAATAAACCTTGCTCACCTTAGAGTCTCTGTGGCTCAGTGGTAGAGCATTGGAGTGCAAATCCGAAAGTCTGAGGTTCGATTCCTCATGGGGACTCAGAATTTTTTCTTTGTCCCATGCTTGTGACAAGATGAAAAACATCTTTCTCAAATTGGTGATACTTATACCAAACAAAAGGAAGTAAAAAACTGAGTTGGCTACCTTTTTGTTAGTTTTTGTCATATAGGAGTTTGGCTTTGTTTTTTTTTTAATGATATCATTTCGGTTATCACAGAAATATTGTGAAACTAGTAGAATAAAGTTGACAATCTGTAAATGCATTTCAGCATGGTGATGATTAATTTACTTTTTTTCTTTCTTTTTACAGTTGATACTAGTTTTTATAGCACTGATTCAATAAAGGTAAGGTAATTTAATACTGACTGCTTCTATCAATTGGAAGTGTGTATTGCCAATATACCTTAAAAAAATTGTCCGAATATCAAGTGCTAACTCGATCTTTTGGTGAATTTATGTCAACAAGAGTAACTGTTATTGGTAATCATGACTGACACTTTGGCAGCTTGTCCAGGTAAAAGTCATCATCAGAGGGCAAAGTTGCTTTTTTTCTGACTTGTTATACTTTATGGGGCTCAAAAGGGTTTTTATGCCAGGGGAGAATGGATCCAAATAAATGTAACCTATGCTTGATCCTCCCCCAAAATTTTGTTGCCTGAGTTGTAAACAACAAGGCAGCCCCAAATAAATTCAAATGAACAAGGCTGAACTTATTTGTTTCCAAAAGTTGAACATGGCCATTTGTGCAGTAAAAAGGGAAATATTACTTATAAAAAGAGCTTTGAGAAAAGTGAAAGTTTGGCCAACAAAGAAAGGCAAAAAAAAACTTTGGGAGAGTGAAGACTCAACAATGGTGCACTTGCGATCAAGGATTGTACAAATTTACATCTATGCTTCACATGGAGTTAAGTTTTTCTGACAGGTGCAAGGTTATCAAATTAACTCAGAGATATCTTTCAAAAACTGAGTTTTGGAGGGTCTCCAAACACTGCTGCATTGTTGCTATGGCAACAGATGAGGTCTCAAAAACATGCTTAAAAAATTACTCAACAATAGTTTTATTTAAGTGTTGAAAAATTTTCCTGATGATGAGATTGACAGTCTTGTAATCTTTAGTTAGAAGACTCTAAGACTTTGATGGCAGAAAATGTCACTTTCAAGCCTCTTTAAGTCATGGTTCACAAAGAATGATTGTTCAGTTTTGCCATGATTTTATTAGCTGTAAAATTACAGGTAGCTTATGTCAGTTGTGATTCTCAACTAGTGGTTAAGATTATAAAATGACAGCCAATTGCTCTCTTGAGTAAACCATGTGCTATAAATGTCCATTATTACAAGCTACATGTTCACTAAGTAGCTGATGGAAGAGTTCACTTTGAAACAGCTCAATAAAAACAGAGAGATATGCAGAGTAAGAAAATAAAGCCCTTAAATTGTGAGTTTGTTCAGAATCTATTATTGGAACTTCAGATCTCTTCCTTTCTAAAGCTGTGCATGTCAGAAATGTTTTCTTAAGGATCATTTTTGTATTAAGTATTTTTTTTTCAAGAGCAGTGTATTTATGGAGTAATGATTGCAATTTTTTGTTACAGGATAAAGTGTCTTGGATACCTAATAAACATTATTCTGGAATCTTTGGTTTAATGAAGTTGGTGTTAACTGAAGTTCTTCCACAATTGCTTGACAAGGTATCAAGTTAAACTTGTATTTATGTGGTTATCACCAAGTTAACTTTGTGTTTTAGGGAATTTAGGATTACCAGAGAGTGCTAATCAATTTGGTTTATGATTTTTTCCTTCTTAGTTATTTCACTTGACAAGTATTTTATGATCTTGGTTGTATTAAATAGAAAATGAGACATTCCTTTCACTTCAAGTTCTGAGGCCCCTATAAATGTAAGACTGAAATTTGTTATGCATAAGTTATTCCTGACAAATAGAATTAAAAGAAATGTCATATCAAGATTTGAGTTTGGATGGAAATAAAATATTTTTGAAGATGGGGGGGGGGTGTTATTTGGCACTATTTGCAACCCCTACACATCTGGTGAGAGCAAAATTAACCTAACATATAAAAATAAAATCTGAGCATGGTAGAAATAACCCTACCACCTTGTTTAGTTATCACATTTATTATCTGAGATAAATTTTGTATTGTGTTTGTGCTGTCCTTATGGATGTTATATATCACCATAGGTACTTGTTCTGGATACAGATGTCATATTTGCATCTGATGTTGCTGAACTGTGGAGAATGTTTGATCAACTTACAGGAAGAAAGGTCAGAATCAACATGGTGGTAATCTTTTGGATTTTATTGTTGGCTCATTTGTATTCTTTGTGTAATTTCTCTAAGGGAAATTGTTGTTATGGCATGTGCCCCTCTGTCCTATCTGTTGTGTAAGGGTATGTTGCTGCCTCTTGAGTTTTGGGTGAACTGTGCCCATGAGTCACAATAATTTTAACACTTGAATAATGAAACTGATGTATTTATTTACTTTTTTCAACTTTTTTTGCTTTCTTGATTTCTGTTAAGGCTATTGGTCTTGTAGACAACCAAAGTGATTGGTATCTTGGCAAATTATGGAAAAACCATAAACCCTGGCCTGCTTTGGTGAGTCTTTGAATTGTTTAAATTTAAAGCAGTGATGCTTTTTAACTGTCAGTTGTAAATGCTTTGGGAGCAGATGGCAGTATTATGGAATTGTTCACTGGTGAGGTGGAGAGATGTCCTGAAATGGAATGTTGGAAATGGTGTGGACAGATATTTGAAAACCCTAAAGGGATGTGCTGTAAAAGTAAGGTGTTTCCCAGTATAGCACAAAATAGTGATCCTGGTGGGTTTGAACTTGTTCCTTTCCATCCAGAATCCAGTGTGCAAACCATTAGGCAACTGCATGAACCTTGGGCACAGGAACTTTAATTTTTATGCTTATTTATTTAGGGGAGAGGGTTCAACACAGGAGTTATACTTCTGGACCTGTTCAAGTTGCGCCAAGATAAGTGGACCAGTCTGTGGAGACTGACTGCTGAGAGGGAACTTATGAACATGCTGGCCACCTCTCTTGCAGATCAGGTGAGCTCATAATCCTTTCTTTTACAGTTACATGTGGCTATGTTGGACTGGTGGTTTTTTTTTTAGAATAAGAGAGTCAATTATCTCAACCTTTGGAAAATCACTCAAGGCTCTAATTGTGGACCTGACATCCAATTAGAGGTCCCCCCCCCCCCCCAAAAAAAAAAAAAAAAAAAAAAAAAAACTATGACAGCTTAACATTTTATCTTTACAGTAAATGGCAAAAAATACTTTGGGGGAAGTTAGCTTATGTCTGACATGTACAAAATGGATCTTGAGGATCTCCTGGTAATTCCTGAATCACTATGTGGGATACCTGTGGCAGACCATGGCAAAAATTTGCTTGAGTGTTGTTGTCATCAGATATGGAAGTTAGCCTCATGCCTATGCTTCTCACAGAAGTTAGGCTCAATGTTAAATGAATCCAAAATTTATATCCTTCCATAACTTATTAAGTAGATGTTTGTGTGTTTCTTTTGAAGGACATATTTAATGCAGTGATAAAGAGTAATCCCCATCTAGTGTTAAAACTGCCATGTACATGGAATGTTCAGCTTGGAGACAACACTCGCAGTGCTGTGAGTACTTTCCTTTTATGTCATCCAGTAATTAGTGTCATATGTCTGAGTGTATAGGTAGCTGTCACTACACATTTAGTGCAGCAACTGTATTAAGTACATGTAAACAAAGAAAATAGTAATCAGTTGATAGAGCTCTTGTCAAATGGAACTCTTTTTAAAGGCTCTGATAAACAAGCAGCAAATCACCAAATGCCATGTGGTAGGAGAACGCAAGGCAGATATTTACAGATTGCAGATGAGACTACTGGTCAGGTTACAAGTCCTGCATTTTAACTGTGTAGCATGCTTACCCCTGCAGTTTGCAATATGTAGTGGTGAAATAAATGAGGCATCCTGTTGTAATTATGCCTCTAACAAAGTAAAAAAAGACACAAAAATACTAAGAATCATCTTCTTGTATACCATATTTACAGAACTGTTACAAGGATGTCTCTGAATTAAAGGTGAGCTGAAAGTTTGGTTTTTTTTTTTCAAAATTGACAGTTATGTATCGTATAGATATTCTTATTAAAATAAACATGACACTAATTGACAAATCAAGTGCTATAAATATTTTTTAGAATTATTATAATAGTCTAATTTATTCTTTGGTTTTTCTGATTTATTTCTGAGACAAATTTATTTACTCTCTCAATCTTGATTGAAGTTTTATTTATCAGTGATTAGTTCTGCATGTGAGGGGGCCTCTTAATCTCTAGTCAAAGCACACATTTCTCAGCTCACCAAACCTCCCATAGAAAGCTGAGGCATTAAGTTTGTTTCCATATCACCATGTAGGTTATTCACTGGAACTCCCCGAAAAAGCAGCTTGTGAAGAACAAGTATGAAGAGTTTTTCAGGAACTTGTATTTGACTTTCTTGGAATATGATGGTAACTTTTTAAGGTAAGTTAACAGATCTCATATCAAGTCATATTACAAGAATCTGTGGGTACCAACAGAAGTGTCAGTGTTCTTAACTTGAATAAATCATGGTGATCCCCTAGAGCCCCATTTACTGAAAAGAAGGGGCACTGAAAGAACTTGAAAAAGTCAAAAAGTTTTAGTTTTAACAGCATTCTGCAACTGGCAACAGAAAAATGTGAGCCACCAATCCAAACATCAGTGCTTATTTTGGGGTTGATGGCAAGAAACTTCATTGATTAATGACTCACTATATAATCAAGAAGAATCGGTGTTTCAATGATTAGAGATTTGTGACATCTACTGTTACTAGGCGATGGATATTCTCTTGTGATGAAAATGATACAAAGTTGAATAACACAACAGATGGAGCTAGGCAGCAGCCATCAGACAAGGTAACAGACAGTTATTTTTCTCTAGAAGGTTGTAGTGCTTTTCTAATAGACCATAAACACAAGGTTCTCAGGGGCAGTAGTGAACTATTGGTCAAGGGCAAATAAATGCAGTAGATGATCACAAGATGCTTATTAAAAAAAATAGGTATTGTAAATTCATTTACGCACAGCCATAGATTTACAAAATTTTAAGATTCTAGCCCTCTGAATATTTTTTAACTTGAAGTTAATGTTACAATAATCATCAGTTAATGGAATTTCTTTTTCCTTTTTACTAAGATCATGTGACCTGGAAAAAGGTTCATACTGGTTTAATTGCTCTTACACAGTACACTCAAACTGTGTTAGGTGGCTAACAATCTTAAACTCATTCCCACATAACTGTGCGTTTTCATGGAAAATGACAGTTCATTCAGCTGAACTTCCATTGATTGATTACTTAGAGATTATTAATTTTATAAAAACAAACCCAGTAATCCAGTGGGTAAACAAAAATGTTTGTCATAATTGAACTTGGGTATTGCAAAATATTTTGCTTCTTAAGTGTCACACAGATCAGTTATCTTCCTCAGTCAGTTTTAGCTTTGGCAAATAATCAGTTGCAATCAAAATATTTGGCTCAACCTTATCAAAATGTTCGTAGCTTGCATTTTTTTTTTCAAGTGGTAGCTTTCTACTAAACGAAGTAAATTTTGCAAGGATGTTGATTTATCTCTTTAGATCTTTGATAACCTTAGTAGCCCTGAATTTGAGTGAGGCAATCCTTCATCTTATATGTATGGACATATAGATAATGATGTGTGCTGAAGGAAATTAATTGCTGTGTTTTAATTCAGAGTGCAGGAAACGTGGACAGTGAGGATGCATGCTATGAATTTAAGCAAGAGCAAGATTTGACACACAGGACTCATCTATACTATCTTGATTATGATTTTTCACAGGTAAGCTGAATTGTACTTTTGTAAGCTTCAGATTGTTTGGTAAAATGGAGGTGAATTGCTTGATTTTTTTTTTTTTTTATGAGGGTGCAATCAGAAATAATTGAGTGGGATCATGTTTATTCTTATTCCTGAAAGTTTTAAGGACCTTTTTGCTTTTCCTCAATTAGATAAGCAAGGGGAAGAAAAGAGTAATTTAAAGAAGATTATTGTTTTCTGTTATAAAAAAGGAGGAAATAAGTCATATTTAAAGATTTGAGCTTGTCATACTGTTTATCGTAAATGGAACAAATAAGGCATGTAAGGTGTTATCATTTTTAAAACTGAATGACACCCTGTCTGTGAAAGTAGTAGGTTATCAACCTTTCAATTCACTTATCACATCCTGTTCACAATTATATAATCATGTTGATCTCTCTGAATAAAGCTCACTTCTGCATAACTGACTCTTGGTGTGTCTAATTGACAGGCTGTTGAGCCCTCAGATGTTACACTTGTAGTGCAGCTTTCCATTGACAGGCTACAGATGATTGAGACTATTTGTCTCCACTGGGAAGGTAAAAGTGAAAGTGAAAGTTGTGTCTCTTTCAGTGAAGGAAGTGTTACAGATTCTTTCAAAGACTTCAAGAAGAGCCAAAAACAAAATAGACACAGGAAAACATTAATTTTAATTAGTAATAAGGATAGCTAAATCATGTGATGGGTCAGAAATCCATGGCAAGTGTGTTGGCTGATACAAAAAATAAACTCTTAAGTGTTAAAAATAAAATGCAAAATTAAAACTGCTTTTCTTAGAAAAAACACAGTAACTGTAACAATGTATTCCATTTACCTCTACTGTTCAATGTGCTGGACCAATATTGATGCTAAATATTTGATACCATTGTAACCAAAGTTTTGTTGGAAGATCTTGATACCATTCAAAAGATATCAATTCTTTCAACACTGCTTGGGACTTGACTATTTTATCCAATGCCCTGTTTCAGGTCCCATCAGTTTAGCTTTGTACATGTCTGACAGTGAGGCACAACAGTTCCTAAGCTATGTTCAGAGCTCAACTGAATTAGTGAAAAGAAAAAATGTAGGATATCACATTGTCTTCAGGGAAGGAGTAAGTAAATAATGTTCTGTTTGATTTTTTTCACCATAAACAAGTAATACCAGTCGCTTTTTCCTTATTTTAAATTTACACAATTAATGGTGTTATGTGCACTTTGATTTCTCAAATACCCTTGCACTGATATGCCCAAATGTTCCCATCAGGTCTGCTGGTTTTCAGTCTGATAAAACCTTCTAAAAGTTAGTGAGCTACAGACTCTTGTTTTCTCCCAAACAGAAGGTGGTATTCTCAAGTATTTTTAACTATTATGACATAACTTAGACATAGCATGTACTCTGATTGTTCAAAAATCTATTGAATATTACCTGTATTCCCATAGAAAACTGAAACAGTGCCCACATTGGGCAAATTCTTTGATTTTAATTTGTTTAAACAGCTTCCTAGGCTTGCAGACTTTTAAAACTTTCCTTACAGATTATCAGATTGCAATTGCAGTGGTAGGCCAGTTCTGGTGACAAAAATTGCACTATTTATAGTTACTGTAGTATTCCTCATTATCACTTAATAATTTGGGCCTTCATCTTGCATGTTGCCATTTCTCCCTAGTTTTCTTAGTCTTCATTTGGCAATAAATTATAATTACAGTCTTCACTCTTCTGGCTGGCAGTTCGTCTAGTTTCTGGGACTTGGATTGGATTATGGCACTTTTTGACAGGTTTCATGGGAATCAGCAACCTGATCGCAAACTAAGATTAAATATATATTTCTCTCTGACAAACTTCACTCATCTTTGTGTCATAACATGATGATCATGTAGAGCCTACTTACACATTGTATTGATGAATGGATGAAAACAGTGAATTAGTTCAATCTGTTTCTTTTAGCTATGGTCATTTGATATCCTAATTTTTAAGATGTCAGCTTCCCTATGCATTAACAGATAGTAATTGTCAATCTTAAGTGTTAGTATGATGCCTCATCTTTTATCTCAACTGGGTTTCTAACCTCTTTTTCAGCAATTTTATCCAGTAAACTACCTCAGAAACATTGCTTTGGAACATGTGCACACTCCATTTGTATTTTTGAGTGACATTGATTTTGTACCAGGGCCAGGAGCATACAGCTCTATGAGGTTTGTTGAAACATAAAACATCACTTTTTAGTGTTCTTTCTTTACTGAATCTGAATTATCTAAATGTCAGGCCAGTTATTTGTGAGAAGTACATGTTCTATTTGTTCCAAAAAATCAACTGATTAATTTGTTTTTTAACTTGATCATATATCCCTGTTTGGTAAGAATCAATGAAAGGCATCATGTCATCCAGTTTTTTTCTCACCCATGAGGAGCAGGGTCATGGTTGATCAGTCATATTATAATAGTATTTAATATGTACTACCCTTTAAGCATTTTCAAATTTCCATCAGCCCACAGCAGTAACTTTCCATTATTGTTTGAACAGGCAATGGTTGAAAGCAGCTTCAAACATGAACAAAAAGGTCAGTTGATATTAATGATTGAAGGTTTTGGCAAAAGAGGGGTCTGTCAAATTTCAAAATTGTGTTACTTAACTATTGTGTAACATGTTGGAAATCATGTATCAGTATAACTTTGAGCTTGTGTCTTAAAGGTATTGATATAATGTTCTATTCTTGCCCCTGAGTTTAAAACCCCACTATGGTAGTGAAAGAAAGGTCAATCCACTGATCACCAGCCTATTTCAGATTTAAAAATAGTAGGTAATACTTCGTATTTGTTTGCAGGCATTTGTTGTTCCAGCCTTCGAGACTCTTCACTACAAATTAGATTTTCCAAAGACAAAAGCACAGTTGCTGTCTCAGTGGGACCTGGGCTCAATATTTACATTTAGGTGGGTTCAACAAGGGATTATAACTTTTTCATTTTCAATGAAGCCCATTTTTTTTCAAAGAGGCCATTTATCAGACTGAAATCATAAAATGGTGGAAGGAGAAGAAATTATTATATTTTAGAGCAGATAGTTAAGAACCTATGATCAAGACATAAAATATATCATTGAAAGAATTTTGTTCTTGTAGTAATTGCATATTAAGAAATTAAATGTTTATTTTACTATCATGATTATTGATGCAGAATTCTCTTCCTTGCAACATGCAGAGAATGTAAGTTTGTTACAGGTTATGATTGAAAAATCCACACCCAGGTACTGTGTCACAAGTGTTAATGGTGTGAAGGATTAGTCAGATGACCAATGTTTCGTCTGACATTTCTTGATCTTTATCCAGACACCATGAGTGGAGTAAAGGTCATGCAGCAACCAATTATGCCAAGTGGAGAACAGCTACCACCCCATACACTGTAAGTAGTGGCAGTAAGAACATTATATCACATTGTTACTAATATTATTTGACTTTACTTCACAGAATGGTGTAATCTGAATTTGTAGCTTGACCCACACATTCATAGCTGCATCATAGTGTACTCTTATAAATGAAACTTTGAATTTGAATCATAAAAATGGAAACATCAGGAAACTTTCTGACTGTGATCTAGAAAATTTTGACCTTAATATGATGCAAAAGACAGGCACAGAGTCTCACAAGCACAAAAATAATTCTGCAATTGAAACTTTCCTTTTTTTTTTTTTGAGTTGGAACAGTAAAAAATGCAACTTGTCTTTTCTCATTTCTGTTTTTCTTTAAGTTATGGAACTAAGTGGCATGATTGCAGCAGGCCCAGATTGCTTTTTCTGGACTGGCTCATGTCAGCCTGTCCTGCCTTGCACATGTCAGCTGTCACTATGGTCTTCTTTGGGATTGCCCAAGTGGGGAGGGACAGTTCATGTGATAATACTAGCTAATCATTATTCAATAAATAAAAACTACTTTTTAAAATCAATTTCATTTTATGTAAAGCATTTGTTTAAATTTATTCATTACAGATTCAGTGGGAAGAAGATTTTGAGCCTTACATAGTTGTAAGGAATAATATCAGCAGATATGACAAACGTTTTGTTGGATTTGGTTGGAATAAAGTAGCGCACATAATGGAATTACAAGCTCAGGGGTAAGTTAAATATGTTAGAATTGCCATAATAAGCAGTCTACTTGATGGTGAGTTAATTGGAGAAATACAATTGTCTTCAAATAAAAATTAAATTGTATATTTAGACAACAAATTTAAAATTAACTTCAGTCTAGACTTTGGTAGATACTTTTTAAAAGATGAGCTGTTTTTCTTGAGTCACTAAGAGCATTCCCATACTTGAAGCTTTATTGTGACAGTATAATAATTATTATATACAGTGATTACATCCTGGAAATAAACTGTATATAATGGGAAGTTTCCCAACCCCTTATTTTTATTTCAGCCAATGGAAAAAAGTATATATTTCTTGTGATCTCATTAGTGGAAAAAATCATAATTCAGTACTGTGACTTTCTCTTATTTTCTGTGAATTTTCAAATTTGTCAATTGGGAAGCAGGCAGATTGACCACTTGTTTTCAAAGAAGCTGGGTATAAGTAAGTTCTCTGACACAGAGATGGGAACTAGAGACTTGTATTATTTTGTAATTTGTATTATGCTTTGAGTCTCCACATCAGATTGTACAAATTAAAACGATAAGCATTTCAAAAGGTGGAATAAATTGCCTTCAACATCTTGAAAATATTTTGAAAAATAATCGCCTGAAGAAGACCAGCAGTATGCAGTCAAAACATCGTGATCTACATCACACATGAGACAAACGAAAAACTTAGCTTTTATAAAAAATACATTGGTGCCCTAAATGCTCCAACTTTACCCCACAGTAAGGGAAAATACCACAGATATGGTGAGCTAAATTTTAGTGTGTTGGACTCCATGAGATAAGCCACAGTCAAATGAGCCACTTAATTTGACAGCTGCAGGACGTCACTTTAAATCTACAAGCATTCTTTAAATTACATGACTTTGTTTACCATAATTTTGGATTGTGTGATGTTGTGTGTTTATCCACATGTGCAATCTCAACCATGGGAAACTTGAGAGTTATGATCATTATGGTGATGCCACTACTATAGCAACTTGAGACAAATAGTTCAGGTTTAAAATGGCTGTGTTTTTTACCATCTTTTTGCATATATACTTACATACTTGCATATATATATATATACTAACTTGTTTCCTATTGTGTCTTTCAAACTTGAGTGTATATGGTATTGTCAATTTAAGGGCAACATGGTGTAGAGGTGTGTAGAGATTATTACTTCATAGGGGCAGTATTTTCAACTCAGTGTTATCAAAGCTTATACTGTACCTGGTTTTTGTTCACAGGTATGAATTTGTAGTTTTACCAAATGTGTTCAGCATACACATGCCACACTCACCTTCATTTGATATATTTAAATTCAGATCCAGTGCATTGTACAGAAGGTGAGTGCAAATTTACAATCTTGTGAAATATTGAAACTGTCTGAAAGTTTGAAAAAAATACTAGGCCTGTATGGGATTTTCACTTTATCTCAAGTAGTGTTCAGTACTGGGAAGATTGCTTTCATATCCACTTCTTTATTGGAAATTCACACATATGATTTTCATTTATGACATGCATTCATACACCACTCCATGGGTTTATTTGGAACCAACATAATGACCTGCTCTCAGTTGGCTTGTTAGTTCAGTTGGTAGAGCACTGCATCAGTATCACAGAGGTCATGGGTTTAAATCTTGTACAGGCCTGAATTTTTTCAGGCCTTATTTTCACTACTGCTCAAGTAGTGTTCATAACTGCGAAGATCACTTTCATATTCATTTCTTCTCATTGATAGTGGTGACCTGTTGAATTTTTGTTCACAGATGCCTCAGTAGATTAAAACAAGAATTTGTTCAAGATATGATAACAAAGTATGGAAGGGAACATTTGGGAGATGTGGACATGGATAGTTAACAACTGTTATCTTGATTTGTTTTAAGTCATGTTTATAATATTTTAAATCTGTCAGTTTTAATCAGCAGTTGAAAACAAAATACTTTTTATTTAAACAAGCTTGGAGAAAGTTTTACTAGGTAACAAACCAAGTGCTGAGGGGGTTTTATGTCATGATTCCTAGATCAGAGCAAAACAGCGGTATCATTACTGGAAGAACAAGGTAGCATCTTGGCTGTTTGTGTTGTAGTAAAATAGAGCTAACTCTTTACACCCTAACATAGGTGTTCTTATTCTCCTTGCTGTTCCCTATACATTTCCATTGAGGCTGACATGGAGAATTTGTTCACCTTTCAAGTGCTTCTCCAGTTGTCTTATTGGCAATCATTTCCTTTATTCTCATGACCTTAGAGTTTGATTCAGCAGTAATACTCAAGAAGAAATTAGATGCCAACCATTCTTAGTGGTTAAAGGGTTGACCCTTTCTTAGCCAACCCAAAGCTTAGATTAAACATGCTTGGCACAGATGAAAGTGGTATGAAAACAGCTATAGATACAGTTTTGTTTTGTACTACATGTAATTAAGCTGAGTTAGTTACAAACTGTAATAAATAACAACTGTCTTCACTTCATTTCCAAATTCAATTAAATCAAAGGTACTCTTTTAACTTACAAACTTTCATATTTCAGTGAACACACTGTTGATACATGAACTAAACTTTTAATAACAATTCAAAAGCAGTAGTTTTATAGGGTTTTTTTTAAAGGTTTTACTTAAATTGAATCCTTACACATATTCTGATACTTATAGCTATTTTATGAGGGGATAGAACCTGCAATAGTTGAAGTTACAGTTATTTATTTTTATGTGTACCAACAGCATAGAGAGCATTGTTTACTATAAATTTCCTGTCAGTGGTGATCATTCTTTGTTGTTGCAGTGCTGACTATATGTTCTCTTCTGAATCTATTTTTGTTACAGTGATGAGTGAAAATCAGTCAGGTTGCATCCACAAAATACAAATCAAAATTATTTACCCTTGAATTTCAAATCCATGTAGGTAATTCTAATTTATTTTCACGGAAATTTTATTTTATTTACACAAGGGTTGAGGCTAGTTGTCACAAATTATTTGATAAATCCATGATCTATAGAGTAATAAATTGTAATAAAAATATTCAAATGATTCAACCAATAAAATATTATCAAGATGCTTCACTGTTTCCCTATTACTGACCCAAGTGTTGCTGTAGTTGTAGAGCATCGAGAAGAAAAAGTAGCATACACATGTAACAGCAATAATGGTCGCTTCTTTGAGCCAAAGGACTATTGAAACAAATGTTAAAGGACTCAATCAACCTAGTGAGAAAATGAGTCAAGATCCATTGTGGTTCTATCATTAGTGTCCAAGCAAATGTAAGAACAGAGCCCATTCCTGGATTTTGAGGGAAACCACATTATTTGGTGAGAGACAGGCACAACACTGCACCAACACTGAATCTTAACAACTTGAGAAGCAGTGCACTAGTTTCACTGTTGTTGTCCATCAGTGTGTGTATGTGTCCTTCTATCTCTTACTTTCATTGATACCAGCTTTTTTGCATTAGTAATGGAAATTTTGCCATAGGTTTGAAGGTTGAGGGACATCAGAGCTAGGGGGCAGGGTTATAGCTCCCATCAATTTCAAGCAAAGAGATGTTGAAGTTTCTTAGTGAACACCCCTCCCCCCATACCCTCCAAGAAGCATCCAGCTATTCACCACTCTTCCTTCTCCCCAACTTAATTTTTTTAAAACTCTCCTATTTATGCTTTAAATAACCAATTTCTCAATACCAGATTAAGGTACCATATGGAGTGGATGTTTAAATCAAAATACTTTATTCTAATGAAAATGCTAAAAGGGTCTACAAACTGCACAGAGGGTTCTGTATCCACTGCACAAGTAAACCTACAAGCTAGTTATTGGATTACAAGTGAACTTAAAGGACATGCTGACTGGTAAATGCATACCAGACATGGTATTCTTTCCAATTCAATTTGACTATGAGCTACACCTAAAACTGCTACATTTCAGTGTTCTAGGAATAGCATTTCAGGGTAGAAAGTTGAGGAGTAGATGTGAGACATGTTCAAATGAAAACATATTTCCATAATTAAGATGCTTATTTTCTCATCTTGGATAGATACAAATATTCAATAGATTTTTATTGTCTTATTACATAACTGGGCCAACTCTGGTAATAAAGGAAAAATAATTTCTTGAACTAACTTTGTCTGTTGCTCTAAGTTTTATTTGCTAACACTATAATGAGGAAAAAAATGCAATGTAATTAATGATGTTTGTAGACTTATGAAATCTTTTGATTTGAATTCTCTTGGTTTGAAAAGATGAACTGTTGGGAATTGTAGGAACCCCTCAGGTTCATATTTGTGTGATGCTTTGAAAAAATGAAAAATAACATGCTACAGTAAATAGTTTTATAAGAGGAGTGATCAGTGGTTATGGAAATATTAAAGGCACAAAGTGGATCTGACTATCCCTCTGTGATGCACTTGCCAATAAGCCACAAGTTAGAGAGTAGGCAAATTGTAGCAATATTTTTCCCCTGTAAAACAAAATTAATAAAAAGGAACTATAATATTGTGATCCAATGAGACACTAAAATGATGCCCTGCATTCTGTAGTTTTGCCGTTCTAACACAGATATCAATTTGGTATAAGTGATTCTTTCTGAGAAATGAAAGGTTTCCACTTGATTTTAAATTGAGTGGGCGGTGATTAAAATTTCCAGTCTGTGAAAGGTTGTCAGATTGAATTATCCAATGTCTGAACATAATATTGGAACAAATATATGTATTACTCAGAGAGAATGTTCAAATGGTACAAAAACTCTCAGTATTCTTGATGTGACTGAACAAACATGGGTAACAAGTTTAAATAAATGAGGAAAGTGTTCATCTTTCAAGCCATGAAGGTGTAGTATTTTTTTTCCTGTAAACAGCTCCACTGTTCCTTAGGATGTATGCTGTTGCTGTGACTCATCATTTTGTTGTTGTTGTTCCCCTTCCTTGTGTTCTTCTACTGCTGCTCCTGCTGCTCCTGCTGCTCCTACTGCATCTACTATTTGCTATCAATCAGAGAAAACAACCAAACAAAGTTAAACTAAGGAAATCTTAGAGTAGTGGAAGTCATCTGGCCAACCCTCAGTAATGAACTGGGCAATACCAATATCAATAATTTATCCTCCTTATGAACTGTAGACCATGGTAAAATGCTGAAAGCCAAATAACCCCAAAATGCAATATAAATGTTCTTTCTGGGCTACTTCCTTAATTAGCTTATGGATAGCCATATTTTCAGGATACTCAAGACATTTATTACTTAACAATTGTGCAATTATCACTCCACCCTCCTCTATGAACCTCTGGGTTGTCATTATGCCCCAGGCACAAGTGACTTTGTCAGTCCCTGGGGATTGATTTTGTGACACTGTTTACAATTTATTACACAACTATGCTTGAACTACATACTGATGATTGGCAATACTTTTCAGCATATAAAGAAGGTTAAATAGCTGTGTAATGCTAGAGTATGTATACTCTGAGATCAACTATGGTTCATCTTCCTTCAATTTTTTTTACTTGAAGCCTCACTATAAAAACAGTAATCTACATCTTAATCTCTCCACTATAGTGTCAACATGAAATCACAGTTCCTTTAAACAAATGACCTTGTCTCAAAATTCTGTGACAGTTGCTTGGCTGATTGTTCTAGTGAGGAAGGATCCAGGGACAACAAGTCCATTTTCCAGTCCTCTTGATCCTTTTCAAAGAAAGGCCAAAGTTTCATTTAGCACATTCTGCACCCTATCCCTTAAAAGCACTCTGTCTCAGTAAGGTATATATTTAGGTTCTCTTTGGATAATTAATTATTTCTGGCTTTCGTGCCTAAATTTCATTAAAAAAAACCCTCTGCATATAAAACACTTGTCTAAGGAAGAAAACAACCTTTGCAAGGTCACCAGCTGTGTTGCCTCCTACAGCTCCTTGATCATGAGTAGCCATCTTTGCTTTCTCCTCCTCTTGCAGTTGTTTCTCAAACTCTGCTAATTCCTCATCAGTATATGGCCGCTCCTCTTCAACACTTTTCCACCCTTCATCTTTGTCAAATTCATCACCTTTACTTGCTGTCAGAAATTCATCAATTGAAACAAAACCATCTTTATCTTTGTCAATCTGAAATGGGTTTCATAAACATGACACAATATTAGAATAAAATGAATGAAGATAAAATGCACACTCTAAGCCATCAATAGGTGTGTATAAGTTAGAGTATTCAATTGCTTAAGATTTGTGCATAGTTTTGAAAAAAAAAAATCTTGTTAAAAGCGATAAACTGCTTTTCGGTTTCCACATGGCCTCATCAATCACTGATTCATTCATTGGGTTTCCAAAAGCATATCCCATCCAGGGAAAGATTAACTACAGTAGCTGTGGAACTGAAAACCGTGTTTTGGGATAGGGAGACATGGAGCAATTTTAAATAAGGGTTGAAATTATCCACCACTAAATTTGTTTAACTCACTATGACCTGTGACTCATTCAAAAAAGGTGCACCTCCTTTTTAATCAATTGGGTGGAAAAGTGCACATAATTGCAAATTGGTCACTAATAGATAAAATTGCATTCATTTCCTGGGGCTCCAATTGAAAAGAAACTGATTACAGAAGAAAAAAAATAAAGGTTAGACTTGTTAGCTTGTTACCTCACTCATGACATGTTCCCTCATTCTTGAAATCTCTTCATCTCTTTCTTGAGGATCATAGTCTTCATCCTTCTCATCAAAGAGTTTGTCTACCTAAGTTCAAAGTACACACAAAATCCTGCATGAACTACATTTCACTTAAGTTCAACAAATACTTTAATTTAACTATTAAACCTATGTAATGGTTTTTTAACCTCTTTGCTTCATATCTTCTGGCAACTGAGGCTTAAATTCAATTAAAATTCAAGTAATAAACATAATCAAACCATAATTATATTAAAATCAATTAGTGCCTTGACCAAGGCTCAACTTTAAGAATTTTAAATACATATATTGTCTTTAAAGCCTAATGAAAAATTTCACACCTGTACCACTCCATCGAAAGGTACTTAAAATACCAGAAATGAACCACTGAACGAGAGTTAATTCATCACTGAAGAAATCAAAACCCTGGAAGTAACAGCCCCAGTAATTCAAGAATAATGTTCTTGCTGTTTAAAACAACATGCATACATATGACATTTAGGGATACAAAACTGTTCTTACTTCTTTGACAAAAAGAGCCTCCAACTCTCCTGTGTCCAGGTAGTTATCACCATTTGTATCTGAGAAAGATCAAGTAGGTATCAGAATAGACAAAAAAACTTGTTCATGAACCTGGTTTGGGAGTTGGTTTCCTTTCAACAGACTGGGGTATAAAAAAAAAATTACATTTATTTAATGTTTTTAACTTTAAGCCATATTAATTTTCAATATAAAAGTTAATATCAATAAAAGTCTTACTCTTAAAAAAATACTATCTAATAAATGCAGATGCTAATTACCGGTAAGTGGTCAGTGGTATCTGATAGCTAAAAATAATTTTCCTGATAGAGAAAACTTGATACAGATTTTGGCAGGCTTCATTCTGTCATGCACCAATCATAAACTTTGCAACCTGCTGAGGTCAAGCAAGATTGTGTCATTCCATTTCAGCAAAACTCACTTTTGAATACTTACCATGAAGCTTAAAAAATGTTCTTGGTTCAAAGTCCTTTGCATCAAGACCATCAGTTTCCTCCCAAACTTGCTCTAGTTGAGCTTTACTTCCCTAGAAAATATATAATTATATTGCTTTGACAGCATCCTGCAAATGTGACCACTACATGGCAGACCCCTAAAAATTTGGTGTTAAGTTGTAAATATTAGATTAGCCAGGAGAGAGATACATTGGCCTGATGGTTAGCAAGTAGGACTCTGAATCACAAAGTCCAGGCCCAGGGGATAGTCGAGTGATTTTGTGCCTGAAATGTTCACTTACTGGATGATGGAGATTCTTGGATGCATTAAGATGTTTCTCCCTCAATGCCTCATATCTTTCTTCTTCTTCTTTGCGCGCTTTCTCATCCAGATCCTTTAAATGTTCCTTCCTTTTGTGTTCCTTCTCCATTTCATGCTTTTTGAATTCATCTCTGCGCTGTTTATCTTGCTTATCCATCTCTTCATGGTGCTGTAAACAGTAACTGTTATAGTTATGTTCTTGAATTGATTACCTCATTCTTCATGTGAATTCTCAAAGACAGGGACAATTTACTACACAAACTACTTAGAATTGATGTTAGCACCCACAGACTTGAAAAAAAAATGTATGAATGTTGGATGATTTATCTTATCAATCACTTGAGAATTGGTGTAAATTCAGCATACATATTTCAAGGTAAGGATGCATACATATTGGAAGTCTGGAGGGTATGAGAGAAGTGTAATTGCTGTTATTAACTCTCATCTACACTCCAAGTAAATGACCAGACTGATATAACTAGACTATGTACAACTAAAAGTAAGAATCAGTTCCTTGTAACATGGCAGACACAACCATCTTGTTTTAGCAAGACTACTTCCTTTGTTTCATTTCAAGTTACCAAAAAAAAAGATAATCGAAGAAAATGAGGAGAAACAAAAGTCAAAATGCTCAATTTTAAGTTGAAATCTTAGTTTAGAAAAGTCACCACTCGAGGAAGGGTTTTGATAGAAATATTGACATGGAGAGAACTGGTGGTCACACCAGAAGTCAAAGTTTTCAACTGATCTACATCTACATGTACTGTATCATCTATTTTAATCAATAATTTGCAGCCACAGCAACATGCAGAGTGTCTATAGCCAAGCATGTTGACTTTTCAACTTTATCAACAAACAAACTAGTCTCTTTCCTTGTAAAAACTGCAAAATAAATTTGCCATCTTGAGTTAAACTTCAAGCTAAACTTTATCTGGTATTGTTTATTGGATGTTAGGTTTTAAAACTGGCGAGTATCACCCATTAATTCCTAGTTATGGCTAGGGCAAGAAACACCCTGAAGAGACAAGACAAGTCATACGTAAGTGAAATATTATTTTGATGGATTTCAAATGGCTTCAAAAAAGGATTAGAGTAACATAACACCCAGGGTGAGAATACTAACTGCTGCTTCATGTTACAAAATTTTTCTTTACCTTTATACCAAATGACGAGTGAAAACATTATATACTTCTTGGCTGTAAGGAAGGGCCAGAGGAGGAGGTATTGAAATCACAACTTAAAAACAGCACAAAGTAAGGCTCATGGGTCATGACTGCAAGCCAAAGATTTCCTCGTCCAGATCGACCAAACTCAGTCAAACTCAGTCGAATTTTTGGATATTATGCGTGATGTGTGAAAAAGTCAAATATCTTTACGGGATTGAGTTTTAAAAAGGATATAGGGGACTCTCAGTAATCATCCGAAAACAAATGTATGACGCTGTTTGTCTCGTGACAAAAGATTTGTGGAAATCCTCACTGATATTGGTACAAGTCATCAATAACGATCACAGTAATAGTAATAGTAACTGGAAAATACCAAGGAAAGTGTAACGAAGTGGTGATTTGCTTTCATTAGAGATATCATCCACTGTGAAAGCGGGTAAAGCTTGTTTACACGCGAAATTTTGTTTCAATACATCATCGAAGTTTATTAACACAGCTATCCAAAATTTTGTGCTTCTTTCGAAAGAGATCAGCAGATGTTTAGATGCCTTAAATTAATTTCTAATAACTTCAAATTACCTTCCATAAGAGCTTTTTAAAGTCTTCAGGGCCAAAGAAATTGGGATTTTCGTCGTCGAACAAAGGGTTCCAAGACTCTCTTTCCTTCAGACCGTTTAAGTGATCGTTCATTTGTCGTCGTAGCATTCGCTGCCTCTCTACTTCCTGTCGTTTTAATTCATCTAACTTGGTCCTTACATCATGTTTCACAAGGTCTAAATCATCTGCAACCTGACCAGTTCTTAGTTCATCCTCAGAAGCGTTCAGTAATCTTTTAACGTAATCATCATCATTTTCTAAAATTTCAATAACTTGTTTTAAATATCTAGCATACTCTGGATCGCCTTTCCCCTCCGCTGGAGTGTCTGGTTTCTTTGTATCTTTCCTGACGACCGGCGGAGCCACGCAAAGAACTGCCAATGTAATCAGAACGCCACATACAAGCACCCGCCTTTGGTGCATTTCTGATAAATCAAATAAAAAAACTTTCGTGTTACTACTCCAAGGAGATCAACGACTGTCGAAAAAAATTAATCAGAGAAAACAATTCATTTAAGAACGACTGAATGTTTCTGAAACGTGGCACCATGAACACCAAGCTGTTCCGTCACATGGACAGCTGTCTGAATGCTCGCACCAGCGTTCGGACCATCACACAGATGACCTCGGCCTATCCCGGCCGTGATCAATAGCTGGAAGATTGAATTCTACATAAAAGATATCAAGGCTAAGGTATGGGTATCAGGCAATCAGGCTTTCTGTTGGAAAGAAACTTTGTTTTTTGTGCCTGCATTAGTGTGGATGTACTGCGAACGCAAAGTGCATATTTTTTATGCGTTTTGAGTGTATTATACACAGCATCTGTGCTGATTTTGCACCGCAGAAACTTCTCTTCTTCCGCCATTACACCATACCATATGCTTATCAGGCTAAACTTCACGCATGCGTGTTGAGGACTTGACTGCGATTTACAACTAAACGAAGAAAAAAACGAAGCCAGAATTTCAACTCGGGCGTTTTCTTTGAAAAGACTGAGTAAAGAGAGCCAGAGGAGTCAGTTGTCTCCCTCTAACCCTCACAGTTTGGTCTAGTCACGCAATGCGTTCTCAAAGTGGGGGAAGAGCGCGCGTTGCGTGACGAGGCCAAACAACAGCGGGGTCAGTGGTGGAAAGAAGTCATGCATATGCCAAAACATTTAAGGTGAGTTCAATTATTCTAGAGAATAATTTCCTAAAGTAAGATATTACAGTGTCCTAGCTCTCTACAAATATGCAGAACTACAACTATGTTGAAAGTGTGAAAAGAAGGCGTGATAAGTAATTTTTCGGTTCGGCCAATCATGAAGGAGCTTCGATATGGGCTGTCTCAAAAGGAAATAATATATAATTAAAGGTGTGTGCTGCACTTCGCGCAGTAGAGTTGTGTCATTGAATTGTTGGGATTTCAAGCCTTCTATAACCATGTCGGGTCTAGTTAAAGCTAAGAAGTACGATTGGAAGGACAGCAACTTGGCTTTGTTTGGCTCCGATACAGAGAAAAATGTGAGGAGCTAAAAAATTTTGTAGAACCGCAGCAGTCATTATGAATCATTAATATAGATTCACTGCAACTCTGCTTATGTTTAGCGGAACCACTTAATATGTATATGTGGTGTGTATCTGTTGTTTTTCTCTGTTGAAACCCATGCTTTCCTTGTGTCCTAAAGGTGAAGAAAGAAGCAGCTGCTGGGGAGAAGGCTTGGGAAGGCGCTGGAGAGAAACCTGGCGTGGAAATTTGGCGTATCGTCAAGTTCAAGGTAGTTAGATGCTTGGCAGTAGAGATTTATGTTATGCATATCTAAAGAAACAGTTAAGCAGCTGAAACGTTGGTAGATCAATTTTTGAGAATTCGGAAGTCTCAAAAATTTCTTTTGGTCGCTTTGGTGTGTAAAGGGACAAACAATTAAGAAATCTAACGAAAAATGTTTGGTAAGTCATGCCCCTCACGTATACGAAGTAAAATTTTGTTCTGGAACGCTGCGGACTGTTCGGTATGTACGTGGGCGGCATTGGCTGGCTGGGGTGGGGTCATGCAATCGGTAAACAGCCATAAAGCACAATATAACAAGACTCTTCTAGAGTTGATTATGCTCATATTGTTTACTGAATGGAATCTTATTCATATTCCTGATTATTAATTCCTAAAAAGTTATTAATTGTAGCTTCAGGTCGTGAAGATAATGGTTTGTTTTCCTTCATTTCAATATATATGTCCAAAACAAATATAATTCCAGGTCAAAGAAAAACAAAGAGATACTAGACTTGAAAACTCTGCAAAGTGAATGTTCTAGATTGAGGAGGTGTTTCAAAAGGGTGCTGGGAAATAATGAATTGATCCCCTACCCTATATTATAATGCAGTGTAATTCTGAACTTTTAACAAGGTACAGTGCAGTGCTTTCAATAACATTTGAAGTAGATTGCTACTTCGGTAAAGCACCTGCCAGAGAACAATATGAAAAAAGAAATTCACTCTCAATAGTTCTGTTCAGAATAAAATTGCTTCAAAAAGAGTTTTTGGTGACGAACTTTGGTAAATGAGCATCAGATGTTAGTCTCCTTTGTAACATTTGTTTAACTTATTATTTATTTTAATCAAAATCTTCCATTTGCTGACACGCAAACCATCCTGTGGATGGACATATGGTTACTGGTTACCCAAATGTGAGTCAGTATGTTGTTGTGTACTCAAAATCTTATTTTGCTGGAAATGTGGTGTATGGCATGATGAGACAATATCAATAGTTTTTATCAGAACTTAATGGTTTATAATGGTAAAAGTTTCCTGAAAGAAATCTAAAAGATCTTGATGTGTTTTAGGTCTCACTGCGTGAGTTTGTTTGGAAGCTTTCAAAAAGTCACAGAAAGATCCAGAATGGTGGTAACCATCCAACATCACATAATATGAAACACTTTCAACAGGCAGTCTGCAAAAATAATACTAGACAATATCCAGTGTACATCAAATTTCAATATGAACATGTTCTCAAAGTCTGATGCTGCAATTCAAACCTTCCTTTGCCTGGCCAAGTCAGATTCTTTAGTTTTCCATTTGTACATCCTTTTTGGACTCATGATTGGAAACGTATTTACATTTTAACACCATGGTCTTTTTTTACAGAGTTTCTTCAGCTTTGCAATTTGAACAAACCTCTCAATCTCCTGCTTTGAAATGCTGAATGCATTTTTTGTCATTGCAAGTTTTTTTTTTTTCATTATTATTTTCTACTGGGTGAAATTAAAGATATGTAGCAGTGAATTCTATCAGTTTTATATATTGGAAAAACCCAGGATTATTCTTGTCTGCAGAAGTGATGCATTACTGATGGATTCAGCTGCACTAAATGTTTGCATAACATAATTGAATTAAAGCAATCATCCAAAGACTTTTAGTTGTTCTCAAGGCTTGTGTTTCATATCAGATAGTAAACAAAAGACAATTTCTTCCAGAGTTAAACCACCAAGTCAAAAGTAGTTTCAGTTCATGAGTGATAAAGGCCAAAGGGAGGCATTAGGAGCTTGACATTTTGGCTTCAGTCCATTTTGTACAAACCAGTTCCAGTTGCTACTTGTTTGTGGTTAATTATTAACAAACCCCAACCAACCTCTATTCAGGGGATACTTGCTGCAGTCCCAAGGGGGGCCCCTGAATGGAGGTCCACTGCACTTGAAAATTCCTTACTTAATCCCCATGTGAATTGGAATTTTCAAAATATAGAAATTGCTCACTGTAGATCTTTTTCATTAACCCTTCCCACCTTAACGTCAGTATCCATATTCTCCACACTGGTCTCTGTACATATCCTAAGGTGCTGACAAGGAGAATTTGTTTAACAATTTAGACTTTCTTTAGTTGTTGATCATCTCCTTTATTCTCAAGACCTTAATGTTTCATTCAGGGTTGATGTTGTAAAGAGAAATTAGAGGTTAGTCACTCTTAAGGGATGAAAGAGTCAATGGCAAACCTAATTGCTATTCTTTAATGTACATGTAAATAAACCTCTCTGGCCTTCACAGCATGTTTAATTTAAACAATACCTGCCATTACAGAGAGGATCTATGAGATCAATCATTCATTCTTAGTTATAGTTTGTGTTTCTTTGTGATAAAAATATTTTATAACAGTTACATAGTTGTCCTACCCTAAATAATGATGAGAGATCAGGAAACTTTTCACACTCAGTAAGCTCATCCAAGCAGAGAACTTTGAATCCTGGCTGCCATATAAATGTTTTATTTAAAAAAGGGTTCAACCTTGTAGATTTGACCCTAAAAAATAAAAGTTTGAAAAAAAAATGAATTGTGTTTTATAGGTGACTGACTGGCCAAAAGAGGATCATGGCAAATTTTTTGATGGAGATAGCTACATTATTCTCAACACCTACAAGGACAAAGAAAGTGATGAGGTATGAAAACTGATGTGAAGCTGTTATTCACTTCCATAGGAAATATCAGATTACCTGGATACCCAATAAGTGTTATTTGCTATTTATATTTTGAAGCTTTTGTATGATGTACACTTTTGGATTGGCAAGCACTCCACCCAAGATGAATATGGAACAGCTGCATATAAGACAGTTGAACTTGACACTTTAGTAAGTTTGGGTTAATTTTTTTGTTTAATTACTGTCTGTGAATCAATTAAAAAGACCAAATATGTAAACCCAACTTATATCTTGTAATTACCTGTTTCTTGTCCTTCCCTGTACTTGTGTTTATGTTGCCTGGGACTTAAAAAGGAAAAGATACTGATTTTTGGGCAATGCTAGATAGCAAGGAATGTATATAATGGTTGGTGAACTGAGGAGGAAGTGCAGTTTTGTCTGGAATCATATGACTGTTTGATTTCAAAATCAAATGAGCATGCAGCTGAAGTTTCATAGGAAATCACAAGTATGATTTCAGACCAAGATTGCATGACACAAAGTTCAAAACCACTTAATTGAATCCATTTTGAAATTGGAAAATTCAGTAGTTCAAATACAGGATTTCTTAGTCTGTGCAAATATTTGTACTAAGCTGCTTTGAAAAAAGTTATAAAAGTTGTCTTTTCATTTTCCTGCAATTTGATTGGTTACTTTATTAATTAAACAAGCCTCGAAATCTGATTGGTTGTGTTTTATCGAAGCTTTCTCATGGCTAAAAAAAGGTACAATTTAGGGAATTGTACTTCTTTTATTTTCATCACAGCTCTTCATAGTTATTTTTCTTCTTCTGTCTGTAGCTCAATGACAAGCCAATTCAGCATCGTGAAGTCCAGAATCATGAGTCAGAGTTGTTTAAAAGCTACTTTAAAGAGTTACAAACCTTAGATGGGGGGTATGTAGAGCTGATTACCAAGTATCTTTTAATTAGCTACTATGGTAAAACTCAAACTTCAAGGTGGCTAACTGTGTTTATTTGCACATCCTTGTAGTAGAACATCACTTATTAGTTGGTGGGTGTGCAATATTTTGGGGGTGGGCCCATACATGATGTTTAACCAGGTGATCGCATGTAAAATCACTGGTTTTTGTCAATTTGCAATTTAAATGTAGCTGAAAATTTCGCTGAATGTTTTGAAACTTGCACCATGTGTATGTGTGTATCAACCAAGGATAGAGACATTTGACATTTGAACTAATTAAGACTATTATACATATTTTGTGACAAAGTTCTGATATAAGGCATGCTGTCATTGGCTGAAATGGCGTGCACCATAAGAGTATAGAACATAGAGCAAGAGAGCTAAAGCTGTCACGCCGGCTGTCAAATTGTATTATGTCCAATCATTTTCTGGACTTCTCCCTTGTTTATTTCTTAAATTGAAAGTGAAATTTCAGAACAAGCAAGATGGCAAATAGCAACTGAAGAACTAAACAAAGGTTTGTCAACCTGTCAAGCACTGTAATTGAGGTTATTATAGTGTGAGCAGAGACGGAAATCCTCAAGGAGAAAATTAAATAGACAGTCTGAGTTTTGAAGGTTTTCACTCGCAGTTACCGTATTTACCCGTGTATAATGGGTGTCCATGTGTAATATGCACCCTCATTTTTGACCTCTTTTTTCTAAAAAAAAGGATTTCAAGACAAAAACCAAGAATTAAAACTTCCATTTTACCATTTAATTAACAAGAGCTGGGAATTCATAAATAATATAGCAACAACAATTTCTAACTAGTTGCTACTACAAACACCGTACACACCAAGTACCTACTTACAAGCTTTGCCATTCAATAACAGTCAGATGTTTGACAAATGTTGTAACTTGAAGTCCTCATTAATATACCTAAATTCACAACTTCTCACAGCACAGCTGGTAGTTTGAATATCATCACTGTATTGCAATTGCTTTTGATTTAAGTAAAATGTTCAGTGTCTTTAAACAACAAAACCCTCAAATTCCAACTTGCAGTCCAATTCAAATAGGTTTTCGATGTGTTCTTGGTTGAATTGTAAACCAATTCATCTTGTGATCCATCCAAATTATTTGTGATCCCACACTTCAGTAAAGAGGCAGTGATCATTTCTGACGGAATGGCTTTCCACACTTGCAAAATCCACAAACAGATCAGTTCCTCCATAGCCTTCTTTTGTCGTCCAGAGTCGGTAAATTTGTGAATTCCATCAGCCATCCACTGCTTTCGGACTCCATCTTTAAACGGTTTGTTCAAAGACAAATTGAGCAGCTGTGAAGGAAAGTTAACCTGCCAGGAATCACAGCAAGATCAGTGTTCTCGCATTTGAAGGACACTTTCACAGTATCTGTCACATGAGCTTCAAATGAGTCGTAAACAAGCAAGCTCTTTCTCCTCTCCAGACCACCGATCTGCACAATTTTTCTTTCTTTGTTGTGTTTTTAACGTATGTTTGTCATGCTTGACAAACAATAGAATCTGTGTAAAATACACACCACGATTTTGATGGTTACTTTTACAGAAAAAAAGTGCGCATTATACACGGGTAAATACAGTAGATTGCAAGCTTATGTACCGTATTAAAGATCAAAAACAGCTAACACTCAAGACATGTAGTATATATATAGTTTTGTGCTCAAAACCAAAACAGAACAACACAGGAATGATGAAAAGCATAGCCAAACTGGCATAACTGTTAAATTCATAGTTGACATGACAGTGTCAGTGACTGTGATCATGCCCAGTAAAGCAAGCCTCAGAAATTACATTGGCTACCCTATGAGCGAACAACTAAGAGCTTGCTCTGATATCTATTTGGATGTGTTGAATTGAAGGCCAAGTCAGTCACAGCAGCTGAGTTTTACAGAGCTGTCATCCCAAGCAATCTTTATATTTCTGTGAATTAGGTTGTCGTTCATTCATAAAAAACATGCCTTGAGCAGTTTGTTTTGTACTCATCATGTGGAAAAACTCGTGTCTTTTTATGAGCTTCAATTCAGCTGGATTTCACTGAACATTTCACTTTCAGATTTCTTCAGGTAAAAGTGTCAAATTTGACCTGCCAAACTATTTCAATTTGTAAACAACTGCATGTTGTGAACTTTGATGGTTTGTAAACTTCAATGGTTTGATATTTTTGACAGCTTTAGTCTTGTTCAACCAATCAGATTATTTGAACCATTCTAACAAGGAATCTCATTGGCTCATTGTAGTGTGCTTTATGAGAGTATAGAGCATGCTGACAACACTGTTGTTCACTTTGGAAAGAAAGTTTGTTTTGAAAATTGAAAGCAATGCGTAAGGAATTTAACAGATTCTTTATTATAAAACTAATACAGAAGCCTTGAATGTGCTCTATTCTGTAGTAAACCACTGAGGAAGCTACTAGAGTACCCAAGAAGTGGGGACAAACACTTGACTTTGTCTCATGTTTCTCCCTACACTTCTTTCATGCTCTAGCCACTTCCTGAACAGAGCACAGTCAAGGCTTCTCTATGAGTTAACTTAGAGTACTAAACAGAGATCAAGTTTCTACATAAAATATAGCAAGTTATTAAGTAAACATGATTAATTACAGTTAATAAAAGTAATATTGTTAGCTTCAATCAATACAGATTGATACATGATTTTCATCAGTTTTTCAGTCTGTCTCTGAACAGATACTAATAAATAAATGTTTATGATAACAATTATGATGCATGGTGATATTTTTGTGCAGGGCTGATTCTGGCTTTAGACGTGTTGGACCAAAAGAGTACAAGCCTCGCTTGTTGAAGGTTAATGATGAGGTAAATAAACTTCTGCAGATTGCACTATGTATTATGACATCATCATACTTTGTACTTGGAGTTGCATGCTCAATAACTGTCTAAACCATATTTGCAAACATTTCTATAGTTGTAGTTTTTCTCTGATTTACCAATATGATTGCCCTTATAATTATTTTCCAGAAATCCTTGGTAATCACTTCACACACAATAATAGGTTGAGGATTATAATGAAATGAGGCACATAGTTCCCCAGAATCCTCACCCCACCTAACTGGAATATATGTTGGGTATTAATACATCTATGTACACCTGTTCACAAAAATGTTGCAATTTGAAAATATTTATTTGTATGAAATATGCATACCTATTCTTTTCCAATTGAAAAGGTGATGCAGGATGCATGTATATTTCACATTGAAGGAACAATACGTTTTTTGTCCATTCAAGGGTGAAACCAAGTAGCAGTTGTGCTTTCCTTTCAAAAAAGTGTCCCTGCAATTCATTTTGTCAACACTGTTTTAAGGGGAAAAGAAAAGGTGTATATATTTCATATATAATTTAAAATTGAAACATTTTTGAAAATGGGTGTACACATATTAATAATAATTATATCTTTACATAATTATGTAGTGCTAGAATACACAGAGATGTACATGTTTTGATTGACTTTTGAATTATTTGCTTTCAGGGCAGGAACAAGGTCAGAATAACTGAGGTGACATATTGTAAGGAAAGCATTACTCCAGACAATGTCTACATCATTGACAATGGTTTGGAAATTGTTCAGGTAAATTTAGTTAATAGATTCAGTTGTTACGGCAAACTAATGTGGATTTGTATGGAGCATTTAATTATTTCAACATTATAGTATTTACTTTAAAGCACCTTACCTTTAAAACCTTCTTTTAGACATGCAAATTTTTGAAACTATGGAGGTGAAGGAATTGATCCACTGAGCACTGCAATATCTAGAGACAACATGTTATGATGTTACTATTTACAGTGGCCAATTAACATAACAATTGCAGGTGGTTAACCAAATTTTCTTGTAATAGGTTTTAGTTTCTCAGAAGTTACAAGAAAAAATTCAATTGCGTCAAATTCAATTCCTTAATTCCTATGAATTAAAAAGGAGTACTGCTTTTAGAACACTAAACAACTTCCATAGAAAAGCAAACAAACAGAAATTTGCATACATGCTTAATGACAAGTGCTCGGTAACATGATAGCCAATACAGGTCCTTTGGTCAGTAGCATTCTATGGATGCACACTTTGTTGACATCCACAGCTCACCAGAATTTCATGGGCAATTTCACGGTTGTTGTTGACTGCCTCAGCTTTGGCAATGATTTTCAACTTGACATTGAGGTTATACGAGTGACAGCTAGTGCTTAGCATATTTGCAATCAAACAAGAAGTTGAAGCTAAACTCTGACTGTTTACAATGAGAACATATCGGTTAGTTTTGCAACTGCAGAGTTTTAAATCAGTCAGTTGAATATTTATTATTTAATTTTGTAAATAGAAGCATGTTTCCTAAGCAGGAAGGCTGAAATAAACGAGTATGCATTTTATGTTTCTCATTACAGGTGTGAAATTTTAGCCTTGATTTTTACGTAGATCATTAAATGTGCGACTTTTTCACTTTTATTTATGTTAACAAAAGAGTTTTCATGCCAGTTGTGTAGGGATAATTGTTCTCAGTTCCATCACATCCTTTTGTTAACTCTCAACCTTTTGGTGTGTCTTATAACTGAATATTTTCACGCAATTTTCAGTTTGGGAACTTGGCTTGACTAAGTTGCTAAGTTTGGGGTGTTTCTTGTAACTGAGAAGTACAGAAAAACAATTTGTTTATGTCCCTAAAACTTAACTTTTGAAGTGGCAAACCTTTAAGTAAAGCAGATTTCTTCATTTGCAGTTAAGGTCACTTTTAATTAATTGTTTCATTTGAGTTGTTTCTATCTTTTGCATAAAGCTTACTTGATTGATTCAGTTCACAGATGATGCTACAGGATATCTTTCAAATTTAGAATCCCAATTAACTGAACAATACATTCCCTATTTGATAATTAAATATGTACTACAGGCTGATATTTTGCTTGTTGCTTATAATTTTTCTCATCCCTATACTATAGGGCTGGGAAAAATGTGACACTACATAACTTGCAAAATATATACACTTTATTCGATGATTCAACATGCAATACATGCAGATATTTTGCAGGTTGCACAGTATTTTTGCACGCCCTGAAGGGGCAAGGAAAAATACAAGCAATGAGGAAAATGTTTGCATGCATTATGTTAAACAATCAAATAAAGGACATATTATTACTCTATTATTTCACTTTTTAGTATTTTGATTTTAGTTCCAAAATGCATCCTGTGACTACATCTGTGCATTTTATCAATCACATAGGGAGTATGCAAAAGACTAAACCAACAGGAAGAAAACCATTTAAGTGTTCTTCCAAAGTAAGCCTAAAAAACAAAACAAAAAAATTAAAGTTTGGTTTGTTCAGTGCAGCTATTTATGTAGACAAAGCTGTCAACTTTATATACTTCTTACATTCAGAGCAAATTTAACTGCTACTCTATTATGTGTATGTAAATTAGCTTTTCAGCCTGGCCTACTTTCATTTCAGACATTAGGATTTTTAGTGCATAACCAAAGCTTAATATGTAGAAAATACAGAAAAAGGTCCGTAACACTAACGGTATTACATCTTTGTTTGCAGATAAATGGTGCAAGCTGTGACAAGGATGAGAAATTTGCAGCTGTTCAGCATATTCAGAAATTGAAGGTGAAAACTTGCAAAATTATTTAAGGACTGATTACTGATTAAAAGCTACTGACATTTACAACTTGAATTACTGCATAGATAAACCAGTGCTAAAAAATGAGAGCAATTATGACATTCCCACTGTCAACATGCATCACTCTTGTTCAAAGGTATGAGGACCAATTAATCTGGAAAATAAAATACAATCAGAACCTAATTTTGGAGAAATTTAACCCCATTGTCATCTCATTGTCAAGTGAAAAGGCAATAATCATAACGACAAGTGCAACAGCAGAGCTCTGATGGGCGAGGTTCCACTGCTTCAGTGGGCCAACAAATATCCATAATTCCCTAAAGCATTGTTCCAGAGTATGTAATCCTTCAATCTTGACAGTTTCAATGGTTTGAACACAATTTGCCAGTCAAAGAAAGGAGGAGTGTGGAAAGAGATTTCAATGACAGGGCTACAAAATGAAAATCACTTATTGAGGAGAAAACATTTATTGTAAATTAGTTTAAAAAAATTAAATCAAAGTAACTTTTATGATAAGAAGGCTCTAGAGCACAAATTAGCTTTCTAATTAAATGTTATTGTTATGGCAGAGTGAACGAGGAGGAAATGTAAAAACGGAAACTAAGGGTAAGGTTTATATATTTTATAGAAAAATTTCAACTTCAGGGAACAGTTGATTCAACTTTTAAGTTCAAATCTGTAGAAAAAAGGTCAGAAATGTCCCCAAAAGTTCATAACACTCTGGAAACTGTGGCAAGCCACCTGATTTCAAGTTGCACCAATGCAAGTGCCATAGAAAGGAAACAAACTAAACAGCAAAGTTAAGCATTTATCACTATCAATGTAAAAATTGTTACTATTTGACTTCACAACTTTACAGGAAGTCATATTTGTATGTTGATCAAAAGCTAACCAGCTGTCTTGATCCCAGAAAAGCAAAACACTTTGAAGCAACATTGATGGATTTTGTGTAGGAATCCAGCTGTATACAAGTTTCTTTTGACACATGTTAGTGAAAATGCTAAAAAAAAAATCAAGTTTGTCAAAAAGAGACAACCAAGTAAAACAGAGTACACCAGTTTGCATTTAATTAATTATACATAACGATTATGTTACTATGACAATGGACTATGAATGCTTCTGAATTATGCTTACTTATTTTTTTAATTGTAGAAGGAGGCTATGGAGGGCTTCCCTCTGGTGTTCCAGACACTGAGGTTAGTTTAGTCTTCTAGGCACATTACAAAACCAGTTATCAAACAAAGCAGAGGTACATGTACTGAAACAATGTTGTCACTTTTCCGGTTAGTCAAGGTTCAACTCTATTTATTTTTTCAATGTATTTTATCCCCTTCCTTGTCATCTCTAATCCTGAGGTGACACTTGATTTGTCGTAACTAGTTTACTTGTTTCCTATTATTTTGGGTATTTAAAGTCGAGTATCATTCTTTCTATCTCCATTGTTGAAATTAAGCCACAGTATTTAGGACCATGTAGAATTGCCTAGTGAAAGACACAGTGGCTCGGTATAGCTGATAGGTGTCTCAGAAAACTGTTTCTAGCCACCTTAAGTGAAATTATGCTTTTTGTCAGAAAGATTAACAGTACCTTTTAGTTTTAAACTGTCATGATCTGCATTTTACCTTTTTCTTTTTTGTTTTATTATCCCCAATCAAAATGCTCGTTTTTAAAGGAACCAGGAGATGAGGATTTTGAACCCACCATCAAGAAAATAAGTGATGCTAGTGGTCATCTACAAATTACTGATACCTCTGGGTTCAGCAAGTCAGTGCTGGACAGCAAAGATGGTGAGACTAAAATCCACCCCCAAAAAAGCTGTGAAATCAACTTATTTACAGTTACAATCTTGGTGCAGTGACAAGAGCTTACCTCTTACTGCATTGGCCAGGGTTTGATTTTAGACAGGTATTACCTGTGCTTGGAGTTTGGATGTAGAACTTTTAGCATGAAGAAGTTTTCTGTAATTCCACCCTACCTCAAAACAACCAACACTCCAAATTCCACTTCTACCCAGAAACAGCTGCTGTATTTTGCTAGTGTCTTATAATTATTTAGTTTCAAGTTTTTTCGTTATCTCTATTCATTTTGAATTTGACGTGACCGTCTTAGAGTACTAGTCACAATAATAGTGGTGTAAAAGTTTCAATGAAAAGTTGTTGGTTTCCTCTGAAAGTAAAACCGGTGACAGCATGTTACATTTGTATGTTTTTCATTCGCCTGCAGTGTTTGTTGTTGACAATGGCAAAGAGTGCTTTGTTTGGGTGGGAAATGGAGCCAGTGTTGATGAGCGGCGTAAAGGAATGGAATATGCACATGTAAGTAGGTTTTCTTATCCAGTGAAAACTTGCATTTTTTACTTCATATGCACATTTCTCTTTGCAGGAGTGGGGTGTGTGTGTGTGTGTGTGTATGTAGAGAGGAGGTGCAAATAAAAGATCATTTGCTTATTTATCCATGCATTTGCTGATCTGTCCGTTCGTCCATTTTTTTATTTCATCATCCTTGAATCCATTTAATGTTTGAACGCCAAAGTGTGGCAATATTATCAAGATGTGGCCATTTGGTAGGGGTTTTGTTTGTTTCCTTCAGCTGCTTCAAATTGTATGTTGAAAAATTGGACCCAAGCATAGGTAACAATTATTCCGCAAATCAGCTGATACATGGTGATAATTTCGACTTTAGAGAAAGCGGTGTGGTGAAAAATATTTGGAACACCAGCCCAAAATTTTCCAAGTTCATTGCCGGTTGTTTTTAGACAGTCAATGTTGGTCGGTAATTTTTGTTTGCTCACTTTCTTCGGATAGATGAGGTGAAATGTAACAAAATCAGTTTACTAACTTGTATTTTCCTCAGAACTACTTGATGAAGACCAACCACCCCCTCGTTCCAGTATCTGTTGTGAAGGAGGGCCAAAAATGTCCAAAATTTGATGCTTTGTTCTGAAGTGACAAGGTTAGCCGGAATATACTCAAATGTTGATAAACTGCCTTTACCGTTATTCATTGATTGTTTGTTTGGTTTTTTAGAGTTGCGTAGCTCTGTAACACATTTAAGTGGGTCAAAGGCCCCTTGAATATCCCGTATCCTATTGATTTTTGGCCGAGATATCCCTCATCCCGTTAATTCCTGTAGTTTGTCTTCCTATGATTACAGTTCGGTATCCTGGAACCTTTATCTTTAATATTCCGTTCCAGTTAATTTTTTTCCCTCGAATATCCCGTATCGGTTTTTCCTCTTGGTTACATATCTCAGTTGGTTGGTTATATCAGGAGTCGTAAGAGGCAAATTAAAAAAAAAATTCATGGGTTCGAAGTGACCTGTTAAATTTCTCTTTTTAATAGTATGGTTTTTCAATGCAGTAACATTATAGTGTTTTCCTTTGAGTATCGTAAAACCAAAACTATCAGTTATCAAACAAACGTCCACCAGCGTAAAGAAAAAATTCATTGACAGTAAATACAAGAAATCAGGTATTTCAGCGCAGTTTTGTGTCTGGTGTTTTTAAAAGGGTGGCGTAACTTTTAAGAAGTAATCACAGAGTTTATTGGGGAAAAAAAGGTATTTATCTATTTCATCTATTTTGTCTTCAGCATACTTTCAAGGACTGAATGGCAGCCGGACGATCGTAGATTATGTTCCTGGACTGCCTCCATTCCAATTAGATTGTAAACGCCAGGGTTTTCGTAAATTTCATAGCTGTTGGGTGATTTTTTTATCAAACCTTTATTTGGCTAAAATGACTGAAACTGTTAGGAAAGCTTCACTGTATTTCAAAAGTGTAGCTGTGAGCAAGTGAAGCCTTAGTAAAGCTTAAGCTGGTTGGCCTTTCAGTGATTCATTTCTGTCAAATACTTCGCGTAAAGTAAATAAAATTACAGTGTTAACTGAAGTGTTGCAGTGTATTGATGAAAATCAATTTTTCTTCCTGTCTGTTCAGACCGGAGAAGGAAACAAGTTATTTCTGTCTCTTAGCCTTAACAGAGAGGAAGAGGGAAAACGCCATTAAACTTCCTCCTCGAGTGAAAATCTCCTCAAACAAAGAGAAGTTTGACAACCCACGGGCCTATGAGTTTGTTAGAGAGGTTGCGACAGAGCAGGATTTTAGATATATTTTCAAAAGATCACGGCTCGAGTAGGCTTTATTTCCAAAGCTTTACTATTGAACTGAGAAGGAACCGTTGTCATGCTCATTACTTAGCGTTCTTCTAAAATATTTTAAACGGGAGACAAAGGGAAGGCATTCGACACCATGAAAGATCAGCTTACTAACAATTCCTGCTGGTATCCTAGCAGATTTTAACTCCCGGCTCACATCCGCTAACGTAGTTCGTCCTCCCAACCCCCCTCAATTCCACTAGTAGAAATGGAGCGGGGGAATCTGCTGTGAGACCAGCATACCAAGGAAAAACCCAGCTTAAAATAATGAGAGGTCTTCTCCTTACAAAGAGCTTCTGACCGCGTTGATATGGCGTGTACTTGAACCAACAGTGAATCGCGCGTTCATAACATAAACAGTCTATAGCTTTACAGACCTTTACAGCCCACATACCTTCCAACTCCTATCAAATATTGCATGTACAGTTTTGTCACTGGATCTGTACTAAACCTCTCCTGGAGGAGTTTGGTTTTGTCGCGATAAAATGTGCTGATCCCCTCATAAGCCTCTGTAATATCTATACGGCCCCCTCCTCACTGGCAGTTAATTGACAATCGATTTTCTATGGTCCCTGTATATACTCTGCGACAACTGTTCCTCCCCCTCCGCTCCGTCCCTCTGAAAACCACGTGATCCCCCTGAGGGGATCTGTTCTGCGGCATTTTGTAATTGATGCATTATGCAATAGCGGTTCCAATAAAGGCTGCAGCATTGAGTAATAATCGTCGGTCTAATTCATTTGTGACAACATATTGACGCAGATTGCAATAATCCCGACATTGCCACAAAAATAACCTACTGTGCTAAAGTAAATCAAATGATTATCGTCGAATACTGCGCTTTATTCTTAATTCCGAGATATCGCCGATGTATGGGCGATATCTCGGAACAACTGTTGAAATGTTTCCTGGGAGTTATCATTAACTTGTGATAGCTGTTTGAGTAATGTATCCCTGTCTTCTTTAAATCCCCATAACTGGTGCTTGACTTATCATTTGCAGGAATGAACTTGCAAATACCCAATCTGTAGAATAATACCGTGTTGCAAGATTCTAGATACACATTATTACAATTTCCTGCTGGATTATGATACAAAATCATAGACCGACGATTATTAGGAAATATGTAGCTTACCTCACCCGGCATCAAAAAATACTGTAATACGTATTACAAAATGCGTAGGTTATCAAAAAAATGCTGCAACCGCCATTACAAATTGTGTAGGTTACTAAAAAATGCGTCGTTACGGTATGAAGTATACACCGTCGTTACCACAAAATGCCAAAGGACACAATTTTCTAATTCTTCGAGCGGACTGGGTTCGACTTTATCTTATCTCATGGCAGCTTAGCTTACAGGTTTACCCTCACTTTCTAATTGTTTCTGAATTTGACTTTTAAAACTAGAAATTTGTTAATATTCGACCATCAACTATGCAAACTGAACGAACTCACTGCAAACCAGGCTAATGGCGTTTGTTTGTGAGAGATAAAATTTATATGTCAACTGATCGCCAAGCAGAAGTGGGAAATATAAAATATGCGCGATCCCAGGTGCAAAGACACCCTGAAGTGTCATGATTTATTTACATCCTCTATGAACCAATCAGAATGGCGATGGATCAGCTAAATTTAGGTGTTTAAAACATATCGATTTCAAATTGCTGCTTAGAAAGAAGCGGAACGTCAAAAGTACTCTGACAATCTTCAAACGGTCGGGAGTGTAACGGGAAGAAGCTGCTCTCGGCAGTATGATGGCGGGGCTCATCAAACCAAAGAAGCGTTGTTGGCAAGAAACAAACTTGGAATTTTTTGGAAGTGACACCGAGAAAAACGTAAGTGTTTAAGAGACCCTGGATTTCGAAACTGCAATAGAGACATGATGGTTTTAAAATGCGCAGAACTCTTGAATATAAACGATAATTCTCACTCTTGACGTTGTTGATTACGGAAACCCCTGCACTTGTTGTTGTCTTCTAAACGCCTTGAGAAGAATTTTGTCGAGGGTATCTGGAAGATTTTTGTCCAGGGCCACAAAACAAGCAGCAGAGTGAGACAGCAATTAACAATTCATGGCACCTGCATGCTGCTGCCAAAACGCATATTTATAACCTGCATTGAGCTGATGGATGTGCTATTTATTCATATTAGTATACCTAAAACAAACTGTTTGATTTGAACACTGAAATTAAGAGTTCTCAAAAGAACATCTCTCAAAATGTTTCGAGCTCTGGTTATTAGAAAGGATAAATTACGTGAAGCCAAAGGCAAAGGACGTTTTAAATCGAGAGAAGTTTTGATGACTCGAAAGTTTTGCCTAGTTTTATTATACATTAAGCTCTGCAGAGGTTATAATTTCACATGTTTAAACAACAACCAAACTTTCTTTGAAATATAGTGCCTTAGAGCAATATTAAATACAGATATGCAGGTGCCAAACACATCTTATTAACTCACTAATGAAAAGCCTCCTTTATTATCATTTCATATACGAAGCGGCTTGATTTTGACGCGAGATGTTCGCGTAACACAAAGAACTGATTATCTCTTGAGTAACAGAAGTATACCATGGCTTTAGCTACGGTTATAATCTAACAACGCCACTGAAACTGTTAATTGAAAGCGTATTGACATAATTTTTTTGAACACATACGAACCATTTTTGCTCATTATCACGGAAGCGGGTTGGTTGAGGTTGATTTCGTTATTCGCTAGGCTCGACGGGCGTTATAAATTAAATGAAATATCGCTGATCTACGAGTTACACAGGAAAGAATGGTCGAGCTAGATCATGATGGAACTCTCATAAAGTTACCTTCTGTTTTTTCTCTACAAGGTGGGAGCCTTTGCACTTGCTGTGGAAAAGTCATTCTCTTTCTTCCTCTCTTTATCATTGATAATATCATCATCATTATCACATTAAAACTGTCTTCGTAATCATTAGTTTTTTTACTTTAATATTACTATTGTTAGAGAGGCTAAATGTAATTATCAGACATTCTCACTTTGTACCCGATTTTTTTCTATTTTAAAACATCTCTCAGAGCAATTTTGCAATAACGTTTTCAGTTTCATTCGTCCTTTGGTTTTGAACTTTGGGTTTTAGAAACTTGATCTCTTTCCATCTTTCATTTTCAGACATTAGGATTTTTAAGGATCAAGAAAAGCGTGACATCTGTACATGCAATCAAAGTATCTTTGTGTGTCTTCTTAGCTCGTAAGAAGTTACTACATTGTTTGTGTTTTTTTTTTATCTTTCTCAAATGCGTAGATGAACATATCGCATAAAGGCCTAACTAAGAAGGAATCTGAAAAACATCAAGCAGCCTGGTATACATAAAAGTGCCGGTAGGGCACTGGATTAAGATACCCTTCTAAAAGGGTAAGGTTTAGTATCTTTATATACAACCCTTTGCATTCTGTCCTGCACAAAATTCAACCACCAAGTGACATTATAAGGATTCAGAGGGTGTCTTTAAGTTTGTTTTCGAGAAGTTGGGGGCTTACAGAATCAAACGCCTTGCTTAAAGTCCATTGTAAATATCCGAACAGCCAAGCAGTTGAGATCATTAAGGAACCTGCACACTTTAGCTGAATCATAATGAAAGCTTCCGCCGGTACATAAACCACCCTTCCTGTACTCGAGTTGCCAACTTTCTTGAAGGCACGATCAATGACTGGTGTCATATTGCTTCCTCGTTGCCCATAAGAATCTCCGCTTTAAGGAAGGGGTTAATGTAATGTTGGTCTCTACGTACCAAATACGAGATCTGGTCCCGGCTGGAAGCAGTGTACTTTAACCCTTTTACAGTTCAAACGGCCAAACCTGTTGCTCCCTAATTATCACTCTCGGTGATTTCTTAACCTTATGAATCAGCCTATCGACCCCTCTGAAGTCAAACTTTTCCTCTAATGCTAATACATTTTGTTCTGTTACATTAGTTGCCCCAGTGATCTCCACCATCTAAAGTAACAACTTTACGTTTACAATTTTGAACAACGAGCCACCGATTGGGATAATTTTCTAATTAAAATCACCTCCTAATTGTGTGATATTTTCTTTGCCACACATATTTAAAGCATCTATCTATCGCATGAGCTCGCTTAATTGTTCTCCACGAGATGAGAAAATCGAGAGTGACAAAAAGAAGCTTACGTGTCCAACAACAGAGCCTCCCTTATCATATAACCTGGCCCGCCTCCTCTCTCCTCCACAGATTCTCCAATGTCATGCGGATATCTACCAGAAGAGTGCGGCCGCCCCATAGCCCACTGAAGAGTATGCCTATGTTTCCCAGTCACCACATACCACATTGCATATCTCTGCAATCGGGACTATCAACGTAGGAACTGCTCTCTGTGTATTATGACTATCGATACTGACTGCTCGGCCTCAATAGCTGGAAAAGAGTCGTATCAGCGATGATTTAGTAGTGTTTTACCAGATAAGTTTAACGAGTCAGTATCGGCCCATCTTCCTATCAAGGATTGTGATGGACTCGAAGGGTACAGTAGTAACCTCCAAAACGGCTGCTACTTTTTGCGTTCTCCTTGTGAGTAGGCAAGTGCGAGGCAGGCTCGCGAGTCAAATGAAGATCAGATTTATATCAGAGATGGTTGTGAGGCTGGTTGCAATTTCTCCTCAGTTTTTTCCACAATCAAGAGATTACAATGTATTCATAATAAATATTAATACCCGACTACGGTTATGAAACTAATGAAAACTTCATGAATGAAAAATATGTCGCCGGCGATTGATCTATTAAAAACAAGCCTTCAACTTCAACCGATACGATGCGATGAAAGTTTTCGTTTGAATTTTGATTAAAGTAGGCTGTTTTTGCTTAATAAAGAGAATATTTAGGGACAAACGCAATATATGAGCATACATTCGCGCCCGATGCGGAGCAAATTTGATACCTACCTGGCAATGAAACCATTTCAGCGGTTCATTCTAATAGAATCACCAAGCTGAAAGGGGCGGTTCTTGAATTTTCATTTTGAATTTTTTTTCGTGTGCATATTTTAAATTTTTTAAAATGTTTAACACAAAAAGTATTAAAATACGTGTTCATGTGTATGTTATTTTTAAGGAACTTGCATCGATTTCAGTTGAAGCAAATTTTCAATATATTCATGTAAGCGTCGCGTTCGATCAATAATTGTTATTTTGGAATCGAACTAAAGTAGATCCAGTTTCTGGGCTATTGTAGTGTGTGACCGTGACAACTAGATATGTAAATGATTAACAGATTATGGAATTATAATATTTATGCAACGATCAACATTAGCATGGCGTCGACCAATAACTGTGCTTGAAATACAGTCTTGGCACTTCGTAGCGAAGGGAACTCCTTTATTTGCGCCAGGCTACAGTTTACCTTATATTTGGAGACTGAGGTGTTGTTCAGTATGGCAGGGCTTGTGAAGGCTAAGAAGTATGATTGGAAGGACTCAAACTTGGCTTTGTTCGGCTCAGACGTCGAGAAAAATGTAAGATTTTTCAAACGTCAGCGCTCCGCCGGAGTTGCCCTTGTCTTATCAATATGTAGCAGTGGACAAACGATAGATGTCTCGTAAAGGTTCGCTTAACTTGCCTAACTGTCGACAGAGAAGAGATACGCCGCCCAAGCGATGCAGTGTTATTTCAACCATGACAAATGCAAACAGTGGAAAACAAGCTTCGATCAGTTGCAAATTAGGCTTATCTGAATCTTGACTTTATAATGCTGTAAAACGTCCCTAAAAGCCAATAGTCACAGGTCACAATGTTGAAGACAAGTGACAAGAGAGACATTTCGCGAAATGAGATGTAATCGTATATAAAAATATAAGCATATAAGTAGACATGAAATACACGATTATGCACGATGGTGTATCAGCATAAGTATGAAATTTGCTACAGGCTTTGAGATTTTATTCTCTGATAATTATTTTTGTGCTATCCATTGGTAGGTCAAGAAAAGTTCAGCAATGGAGGAAAAAGCGTGGAAGGGCTGTGGTCAAAAAGTTGAGTTAAAGATCTGGAGAATTGTCAAATTTAAGGCGAGTATTAAGCTTAGTTTACGTTATTTAGTGACTGTCATAATTTCTTGTGTCGTCGGAGCTGTATCTTCATGTATGTCAAACCTCGGCTGGAAATAAACCTCAGCTGGAGATGTTTCTGTAAATACGCCTTCGCGTGATGTTCTAATCAATCATAATAATACTTTTTATCCATCAAACAATGATGTAGTCGTGATTATTACTGTTTCTTTGCAATCAAACGTAACCCTTAAATTCATGCGACATTTTGACCTCTGTCATCTGAAGGATAATTAGACTTCTTTTGAGCTTTGGAGTTTTTACCTTATATGGTTCTAAAGTTGAGGTGTTCATAGTGATCGAATAGCTAAGTTTGGCTCAATATGTAGAAGGTTCTGGGTAAAAAATGTTCGCTTACAGGTGGGAATTTTTTTTCCGTGATGATAATATTAAACCAATAACTATCTCTGTTTTTTAATATAATGGACAAATATAGATTTAACATGGAAGATTAGCGGAGAAATGGATTTGAAGGGGAAGGTTTTCAGCTGTTCTGAGAAAAAAAAATTGAACTAAAATAGTTCAAGGTGCATTGTTTGTAGAAGTATAGGGATGCTAATGAGGACACTATGGCCATTATTGTGTGAATGTCCAAAACTTTTTCCATCAGCCCTAATTCTCCTTTTCCTTTCCTCAGAATTTTCCTGATCTATTAAATTAGTGGGTTAATATTGTAATATTGATAGTAATGTTCTCGCTCTTCATTCCAGTTAATGACTGTGTTGGTCTATTTTGAATTGATCTTTATTTGGAATTTTGCTAAGATGTTATTAATTTACAGCTATTTGGGAATTGTTTAATTGTTCAGGTGATTATGAAGAAATGTGCAATCTGATTGAGCCAGGATTGCATCATATCTTGCAATAATCACCACGTACAAGGTGGTTATTGTGGTAGAGCTAAATCTCAAAATGACAACATTTCAATTTGTCAAGATTACAAAGAAAGAGATGAAAGCCACGACAGAGATTCCATGAATCTTCTACCATTTAGCTTTTACTAACCAGGAACTTAATCATTGAATTACAATTTTTTTGTCAAGAAAAAGGAAGAATTTGTCTACAGGTTCAAACAACCTACTAGAGTGGAAGGGAAAGAAAATATTACATTTCAATTAGATACCTAATCAGATAAGTTGGGGATTAGCAGCTGACAGCTTTGAATAACAAATGGGTGTGATATTTTGCACACTCTTGTCAAAGTTGCATGCCCTCAGCCTTGCCTAGAGGCTTGTACCTTTGGTAGTCACTTCTTAACTTGTATACTTTACTCTTGTAGCCTCTTACTTCAAGCCTTACTGGAAGGGCAGGACATTTCTTGTACCAATCTCTCTATCTCTGTTCTCTGATGTGTGTGATGTTTGGGAGCAAATAAATTTTTTAAAAAAATTGATTTTTCTGTGGTGATGACCAGCACAGTTTTCCAAAAGTAATTTTTAAGCTTAGGCCTTGTGAATATTTTTGAATAATCCTCTTTGTTTGGGGCATTATTCATTTAATGTTTGTTTTGCATTTGACAAATAGTTGCTTAAATAGTTCACTCAAAAACAAGACTAACATTCCATAAAGAGTTGTGTTCTTAAATCTGTTGGTTACATTTGACAGCTCAGATGAATTACACTGTCACATAAAGCCCTATGACAATATGTTGTTGATTAAACTGCATTTTGGCCTCTTGTGTATTTGTATTTTAAATTGTTGTGACTTTTGTACCCACAGGTGGTAGATTGGCCCAAGGAGGACTATGGGAGATTTTATGATGGAGACTCGTACATCATTCTTAATACGTACAAAAAGGATCCTAATAGTGAGGTCAGAGAATTCTGCTGATGCAAAATTTTTTCTTGAAAGTACATCTTATAAATTCATCGTTGGTCAGTTTAAGTCCTTGAAAATGGTAGTGATGGAGTCAGGGCAATGGTTAGATGTAAGAGGTTTTCACTACAACCCTCTAATCCTTATCAGAGTGATTAGCATGTAATTTTTCCTTGTCATATCACTTGTGAATGAAACAAAGTTTGAGAGAGCAAAGGAAATGATTGCAGATGAAAATAGCTCATGACATTAAATAAATTCTCCATGTAAGTTCCCTGTGATGTATAGAGACCAATATGAAGAAAAGGTATGGAGCTGGACTGATGCTATAGTGTGAAGAGTTAGGGGTGGTTTCAGTCACAAGAACATTTTGGCATTTGGGAATGTGGTCTGTGTTAAGGGAACAGTACTTGAAATCTAGGATAAAGTCAGTTTGTCCCTATTTAAAAGCCAAGCAATCAAACCAATGAATTTGGTTGCCTTGATGAATCCTTGATCCCTATGAATTAAATGCACTGAATAAATAAACAACTTAGGGTTACCTGTCTTTCCATTTTCATTGAGGTTCTTACTTTCTCTCTCTATTCTTCCTTGTATTGTGCATCTGAATTGCTCAATTCAACTTTCCCTTTCTTGGTGGGCTGTGCTAATCTGCCCAATAAATTTTGAGCCTTGCAGGAAAGGGGCACAGATAGTTTTGCTTCAACTGATGTTGGGGTTCTTCACTTAAGAACAACACCATTGTCTCGCTAGTTTTTTAAGGCTTGCCAGGTTATTTTATTATTAAGAATTATAATTTTATTGTTACAAACAGGGTTTGCATACACATTTGTTGGTCCTATTTTAGCCCTATCCTTGTGGGAGGTGGTTGTTCAGGGCTGTTGACTCTGTCAAGGTTACAAATTAAGGTAACCTATCCTTACTAATGTTGTTATGATTTATCAGGAGCTTGACCATGACGTTCACTTTTATATTGGCAAGTACTCCAGCCAGGATGAGTATGGAACAGCTGCATATAAAACAGTTGAACTAGACACTTATGTGAGGATGAATAAATGCCTTCTATTTTTTTTAATGTTAATCTCAAATTATCACTGTCGAGATATGAAGGAAATGTATCTTCCTGGATTGAGAGAGATACAAGAATAAGTGTGATAAACTAGTCAGAACTAAATCTACAATTTTTAAAGGTTCTTTTGGTTGAAAACCTGAGATTAGTGCTTTTGTTGTACATGCATCAAATTTGGAATGTATAACATATACTAGCTCCTCTCAAGTAAAAATATCAGCTGCAGCAAATTAAACTAAATTTTAAATAAATTCTGTTATTGCTGTAAATGTAAGGTTCTGAAAGTGAGGAATATCAGTTAAGTTTTTCCTTGGCTATTTCTCAGTTTTAACCGTGGCCTTTTGATCTGTGATGCATTTACACCAATTGCCTGGGAGCAAAAGTATTTGATGGAATTATCTATACACAGTTTGTTCTGTTTTGATGAGGATGAAAGCAAAGAATACAGATTTATTTATCTTTTTTTTAATCTGGCATTTTCATGCTTTTATGTAGGCAATATTATCAATTTTTTCTTCCTTAGTTGGATGATAAACCTATCCAGCATCGTGAAGTAATGGATCATGAGTCTCCACTCTTCAAGAGCTACTTCAAAACCATTTCTAAAATGAAAGGAGGGTATGTGGAAAAAGGTCAAACTTTAAAAATTAAATTAATTAAAAATACTCATTCTTGTGTTAAGGTGAGATAATTTTTTAAACATGAATGGGATCCTCTTAAAATTGCAGAATGTTTTGAATTCTTAAAACATGGTTTATCAGCACAACCTTTATCATCATTGTAGCCAAAAGAATAATGCATTTTCTAAGAATGAAGTATTTGTTATGTTGCTGTCAAGACCTTTTAGAAGAATTACCAAATGGAATACTATTTGACAATTAGTAGCTGACTACTTTGACAATAAATCAATTGATGTGGGTCATTTTAATTTAGAGCTTATAAAATGTAAATGATAATAATAGAATAATAAAATGATAAAAAAGAGTTGTTCACTGAAGTGAAGGTGAATACATGTGGATATTGACTGAGCTGCCAAGTATCAAGGTTAAAATCCACTTGTGTGAACGCCTCTGAGGTGAATAATTGTTTTAGTTTATACCAGACAAATACCTAAAATTAGTTTATTTCCATCAATATGCTGAAAAATGGTTTTGTTCCTGCTATTCACTTCTGAACCAGCCAATCAACGCATACAAAAATCACTATTCACTTGTTTGGGCATATACTAATTAATATTTCTACAGCACCATTCATACTATTAACCAAGAGTGCTTAACAAAGTTGCTAATCAGGTGGTTAGGGGGCTGCAAATTTTCAGTGTTGAGAGCAGATCATATAAGAATATGTGGATTAAATTTTTTTTCTTTTTTGCATGTATGAAATTATGGTTTACTTATTAATATGATATGCTTTATAGGGCTGAATCAGGATTCCGTCATGTGGAACCCAAGAAATATGTCCCCCGCCTTGTTCATGTGTCTGGTAATAAGGTAAGGTACCTCCTTTGTATGATGTAATTCTTTATGTCAACTCTATTTATAGTTTGTGAACAGTGCACCTAAAGTAGTTTTACAGTGTTCATGGAATATCAACAGTCTCCAACAAAAATGGGTGCACTTTTATACACTTTGACTAAATGCTCATTCAATCTGAACAACTCCATTTGTTGAAGATGGAATCACTTGTTTTTGGATTAACCTGCATATCTGATGGAAGTGAACTTGAGATCAGATCTTCAAGTTTTGTTCTTCTGTGAACAAGGAACCAGTAACATTTTCTTGCATAAACATGAAACCACTGTGACAAGTGACAAGCTGATACAATTAATAAATCATACAGCAACACTAGCCATACTTGTTACTCAACCTTTAATCTCTAAGAGTGACTAGCACCTAATTTCAAGAATAAATGAAATGATCACCAACTGAAGAAGCTATTGACTGTTAATCACATTCTCCTTGACATTACGTTAAGAAATATATAGGACAACTTATGGAGAATATGATCACTGATATTAGGGAGTAAAGGATTAATACAACCCAAGCTGAAATATGCAAATGTATAAGAAAAATCACAGACAGCTATAGAGCAAATAATATCTGCATTGTTTTGAAAAAAAAAAAAAAAGCACCCACAAGAATTCTAATCGGTGCCAAGGAAATGATTTGACATGGAAAGCAAATTTTTGTCACCTCTGCTTCATTTCTGATAGAAAGTGACGATCAAAGAGGTGAAGTTTAAGAAAGATTACTTGAATGATGATGATGTGTTCCTTGTTGACCTTGGACTGAAGATATTTCAGGTAAATTGTAAAGTACTTGTAGCTAAATAAAAATTAGAATGAGACTAGTAGACTTAAATGTGCATGACATTCCTGGAAAGGGGAACAGTAGGAGGTTCTCAACACTGCAATACTGCCAAAAAAAATTAGGCAAGTACCATAATTTTGCAGAAAGAAGTGTTATGTACCACAATAAGGTCAAAACTTGTTGTAATGCTAAAAACCGGCACTCTTAATGTTTCATTCAGAGCAAATAGACAGCAATAATAAATAAGAATTTGTTTATGAATGTACTTTGGGTAATTGTCAATTTCAACCTGTTTCCAAAACAAATGAAAACTGGAAAAGGCATGAAAAACTGTGAAGGACTTGAAGGATGATATTTAATACCACCCAAAATGCAAAAAAATGATATCCAGCATGTTTGGAGAATATCTCAATACCACAATTGGATATTGAAATTACCAAAATACTGCAAGAAAAAAACTCCAATACTGCAAACCCTAGTGTCCCCCTCCTGGGATGTAACAATAATTTCTTTAACTTCCATAAAGGCTCAAATGAGATTCCTTTCAGTGAGCCACTTATCCAGACCTTCAACTTTTTCAGTATTCAGTGTTATTCTTTTCATCAGCCCCTCTGTCCCCTCTCCCCCACCACCACCCCCCCCCCAAAAAAATGGAATATTTAGGTAAAAAAAGGAGTATCCTCATTCAATTGAGGTAAATTGCAGTTCATTACAACATGTTAGACATGTTCTGAAGAGCCCTGTGTTAGTTTCTATATTAAATATTGTAGGTTCTCAACCAATGCTAGTCTGTGCCAGGCTCTTGACTAGTGGAAATGTACAAAAGAGCAGGCATTTGACAAAGAGTGATAGGAATAGAGCCTGTAAGATTTGATTTAAATTGCTTATTTTACCCATTGATTCACCCATGTTTAGATAATCTTTTATCATGTCACCTTTTTAATTGCATCTTGCAGCATTTTATAAATGATTATGTTGTCTTGGTGTGTATTTTTAAGAGGATCAATTACGTTTGCCATGAATTTGGTCATGATTAGCACATGGCTCTCTGTTCAGAGTTAGATATAAAAGTTTCCAACAATTCTTTAATGAAATGGTTGGCTTATTTGTGTAGTGGAATGGTGATAATAGCAGCATGAATGAAAGGTTTGCAGCAGGAAAATGTGTAACGCAATTAAAAGTAAGTATGCTGATATTCTCACTAAATTATCTCTGTCAATTGTTGAATTTTCAAACTGTGCAATTTATTAGAATAACCATATTGATTTGAAGTAAGCTAAAGTTTGTAGTTTTGATGCCATTATAGATGGTACATGTCAGGGCATGGCATGGAAAAGTCCTTTGGTACATGAGATCCCTCCTTTTGAAAGAAACTGTGCTTATTATTATCATCATTACTATTATTATTATTGTTATTATTATTTCATTATTTTTCTTTTGCTACTGCAAGATACTCCCTTGCCCTTACAGGGAAATCTGTCTGTACACCCTGATATTAGCAACGATCTTTGACTTGTATCTTCAGACTTGAGAATGCTTATACGGTTTTTGTCTTTCAGTCTGAACGAGGTGGTAAACCAACTGTGGAAGTTCTTGGTAAGTATCCAATCGATTAAATAGGGAACTGTTCAAAACTTCTCAATTATTATGGCAAATTACTCCATCGACTGACTGCAGATATTTCATATAAATTTAGAATTGTTCCTACTTAAAAGATGATGATTAATTTGCACTTGTCTGTCAACACTGTCAACACAGATTGTTTTGTTGATTACTGTGTAAGGGGTAATGATAAATAATTATTCCATGAGAGTGCGTTGGATTTGAGATGATAGATAGCCAATAAGGTGTAAGGCACGTAGCTTTAACGAATCTCTAACAATATCCTCTCAGTAGTGTTATTTCATTCTTTGTGGCTTTTACTTTTGTTGCGGAGATGACGTCAATGACTTAGCATCGTTTTACGTTATATCCAATCCACGGGAGAAGTGTTTGCTTCTAACCAAAAGAAAATTCATCCGATGAATCATTTTCCTTCAGATGTTATTCGGTATATGAGCCGATAACCGGAGTTAAGTGAACTTATCACAACACTAGAAATGCAAGATCCAGAGTTTAATAATCTTTAATATGTCAATATAACGTTGATAGTGTTATATTTAACTGTATCAGATAATTGTACGGTTGCTGAAATACCTGAGGAGTTGTTGGAAGTCTTTCCCGAGGAAGGACAGCCTGGAACCAAGAGGTCTAAATTTTTTACGAAAAAAGATGAGGTATTGTGTATACAACATCGTTTGAATTTTAAATTTTTACAGTTGCATGTGATATCTGCAGTCAGAAGGTTGTTTTCTTGTCAGCTTTTTCATAACGTAACATCATTTTGCTAATCCATAGTTTTTACGGAAAAAAATAGTTCTTGTTTAAATCATATTTGTTGATTGATCTATCGGGTAGAATCTGGAAGTCAGCTTAGAAGATTTTACATCAACCAGCAAAAAGTGATATTGACCTTTCTTTACTTAGTTTTCGTGCCAGTTAATGAGAGTATCGAGCCTAATCTTTCAGAAAAATGCTCTTGATTTCTTTCATTGAAGTGATTCCCTCTTGACTGGTTCGAATATTTCAGTCATTTTATTCGCCGTTTCAACGTGATCTCTATACGTGTTTCTTTTTTTTTCTTTTATAAGGACGAAAACGAGAGTACAAAACCTCGAAAGGAAAAACATGCCTTATTTGATTATTATTACTATTAGGGCTGATGGTGATAATCACTCTAATCCATGTGGTAGCTTTTCCCTTTCGTGGGAGTTTTTTATGGTTTCCTTTGGCTACAAGAGATTACTCTTAATGCACAATTTTGTTACCCTTTGCAATTCATCATTCAAAACTTTTACATGTAAACGTGCAAAGCAACTCAATCCTGAAAAAAACGCGGACATTTTACACGTGTTTTCTTCCAATTAACCCCACCCTCATTGGTATTCACGTTGGAGCGACCTTCACTGATACTGTTGTTTTTTAAATAATTAGATGCAAACTTTTTCTTTTATCTAGACTGATAGTGATCCAGGGTACGAGAAGGTGTTGTTCAGGTTAGTAGTATACTTGTTTAGTATAATTGCTAACAAGGTGATTATAGAAATGTGCGCGCTCTAATTGATCGAGGATTGCATAATATCTCTCCATAATCAGCTCGCGCGTAGCGATCATAGCGACAGGAGTACTAAATTTCAAAGCGGCAGTCTCGCGTTTTATCAATCTTTCCGAGAAGGTGATAAACGCGATAGAAGAAAATTCAATTTCGAAGAGCGCCAAAAAATGGTACCGAATTTGGTGGAACACTTTTCAAAGAAAGTTTTGAAGACTTGGCTGATTAAATCAAATAAACCTATTAAACTGTTTGTCCATCTTGATACGAGTAATGACAGAATTTTAACGAAATATACGCTATGTTGTCTTTACTTACAGAATTTACAACTATTCGAAAGCACCTAAAAAATTATAATAAAACAATTATTCATCCCAGGCTTAGTGAACACTGTTGAATAATCCTCTCGAATTCGTCTCAGGGATTATTCAACAAAATTCACATCGCCTTCAGCGTATAATTGTCAGATAGAATAGTGTAGGCATAAACCTTACTGAGGTTTGATGATTGATATTGCCATTGTTAATCCTCAGAAAGATCTATTGAGCCAGTTCATGACAGAGTAGCAATAACGTTGAATTTCATGATCACTTTCATTCAACGCCATGTTGAACTGACTTGAATGATTTATAGGTTGTCAGAGGAAAGCGGTGAGATGAAGTTTACTGAAGTTGCTCGCGGGAGGGTAACAAAGAGCCAATTGGACAGCAACGATGGTAGGCCTTCTTCTTCTATAAACCTTCGTCTAAAAGATTGAAAATAAGGGGTAGAAAACTGATAGAACGAACGAAGTGGCATTAGCATTCGCGAAATTCTCTTTAAGTAGATATCTACAAAGGACTACATTTCCTCAGCTAGTTCCCCACCCTCCCCCCCCTCCACTTCTTTCTTGCTTGAAACTGCGGTTTGAACTAAGCGCTGTCGTATGCATACGCTGTCGACATATGCTCTACTTCTCGTACCCTTAATTTTGTGTGTTTCTGAATTTCTCTTTAGTGTTTATCTTGGATTCTGGAAAACACTGCCATGTGTGGGTTGGGAGCGGCGCAAGCTCAAATGAAAAGAAGAATGGTTTGTCTTATGCCCACGTAAGTATTTCCGAGCACTGTCTTTCGTTAGGTTCTCGAGCTATTGCCTCTGTGAAATAATATAAATCTCGTAACATTTGTCGTATCGCAAATGATATCAACTGGAAATATATGACCAATAGCCTCTATTTGGCATAATACATATGTACGCATATTTGAATGCAAACATTATCTGTTCCGAGATGCGAACAGTTTTCGGGAGCGAAGCTCGAGGAAAACTTTGAGCTTCGATTTGTCCAAGGACAAATATACGAGCATGTTTTCGCGCCAAATGGAGGCTGTCGTTTTTATTATCCTTGAAAAAATTTTTGTAACTTGCGGGAAAATTTTTGCGAGCAGTTTACAGTTTGTTGCGTGAGATGTTTACTTTTCAGTGTTCTCTGGTACGACTTTATGAACGAACATAAATGTCCCTTCTTCTTTAACAATACTTAAACGCTCTTTCAACGTTAATTGAATTTTACTGAAACAAACGCTTTCATCGTAATAGACGCAGGGTTAGAAAATTGGGGTTGAATCACTCGTGGTGTATCCTCGAACCTCCTAGTTTTAGCTGGGGCATACTAGATCACAAGATGCTTTCAGACCAATCGCGCGCGAGCAAAAATATATTTGGTGGGTTATAACTAACGAGAGGGCTTTTGAGTGAAAAAAAGATATGAAAAGTCATCAAATAACACATTTAAGTTTGTCATTCTACCTCGCTCGGTGGACGATAATTACACAAAAGGAGACATTTTCCTGTGTCAGTTCAAACGTGCTAACTCAAGTGGGATTTTGGGGGGACATGATAAAAGCTTTTAAATGACGAGCCCTGAAGGCGTCATCAGATATATTTCTTGATGGGTGGAAAGTTGTGTGTAATGTAAAGTGCCATAACCCGTATTGATTAGAAATTGACGATACACTCAGAATGTCTTCTTACAGAATTTACTACTGTATGTCTCATTTACTTGTCCTAATTACAGAATTACCTAACCAAATCTGCAAACCCTCTTCAACCAATCACTGTAATTGGAGAGGGACAGGAAACGAAGGAATTCCACGCAGCATTTAACTAAGGTACTTCTCACAATCTATGCTAACTAATAGTCACCCAATCTTCTTAGATAAGGCAACACAGCATTGTTGGGTGTATGATGGGTTCACGTTTCATAAACGTACACATACAGAAAACTTTATTAACACCCTTCAGCTTGATATGGTACACACCGTGACGCGGCTCCTGTTACGTTAAACAAATTATCAAAACAGCCATTTCGTTGCCCAGTCTTGTGCTTATTGAAAAGGTACCAGCTCCACCCGAAAAATCAGAGGCATGTGACCAAAGTCAAGTTTAAATAACATGGGGTAAAACCTTAACTCGCATTCTGCAAACCACCGTGCTATTTACATGCACGGTTGAGGCGTTGCACTCTAGCACCCGGACTAGGGAGCTCTAAGCGGCTTTCATTATGAATCTGTTTGGAAACTGGTCGAAGAGTTAATATAGTGTTATTGGCGTTGGCGCCGACTGTTGTTGGGATATAAACTGTGCCAGGGTCTAGACCAGAGAAGCGAGGGACCGAAATCGATTGGCCGTTTTTTTGGGAAGACTGGTCCCCACACAAACGGTGTGCCTGATACAGGCTAGTTTGTAAATGAGAGGATCTTACTGCTGCTTTATTACCTACTTCGCAAACGTTTCCATTGGGAGTTTCTGATTTCAACATTTTATCTTTTAGGGTGACACCATGTCAAACGAAGGCAGTCTGATCAAGAAGTATTAAAAACATAAATTTGTAGTGTCTGGCTAAGTTTTTGGTGAATATGGACAGAATTTCGTGTGATTTTTACTACATTATGCAAAAATTCGTCTGTGTTCGCAGGCAGCTTCTGGAAGTAGGTTTCTTTGTAATTTTGTTGCTTGTTAATCGGAAAATGAAACATGAGTTGTTAATCTTGAACTTCGTTAAGGTTAAACAAGGATTCACCGCTCTATATTGTTCAAGGCATAACTGATCACAGATATGAAAATAAACCAAGGAATTTACTGTGTTTCAAGTTTTTGTTTGTAAACATTACGTAATTATCGTAACCTTTGTATTAACACGGACCACTATTTCCTATCCCTGGCTTTGCTTCTAAAGTTTTGCTGAAATAACGTAAAATTCCGAAAATAAGCCCAAGGGCTTATATTTTTCAAAGGACCTTTTTGAGGGGCTTATTTTTGGAAGCGGGCTTACTATAGGAGGGGAATTTGCGTTTTAAAATTGGCTGGGCTTATGATTGAAGGGAAATTTGTGTCAACATTTTTGAATGTGCAACTGGTAATATTAAGGTTTTGGCTAGGAATTCGTAACAAATTAATCACTCTGAAAATGCTAGTTTCAAACACAACGGCAATAAACTTTATTAGAACAGAAATACAGTAAAAACGGTAACGTAGTTCAGGCTCGGGCTCATCCGGGAACCTCTGCCACAGATTTTTCCCCTGCTCAAAGATAGAACAATTCCATCTATCGCCGCAAAGATAACAGGTGAAAAGCGAGGAGTACCAAAGGGAATTTGGGTTCAGGGTGGCGGGATCGAACTTCCTTGCAAATACTTTGTCCACGGACCGAAGGAATTCAAGGCGCGAGTGAGTTTAATGCACGGAATCATTCTTTTATGACTAATAAAAGCTTTCTGATAATGATGATTATGTGTAGTTTGCTTTGGTTTGTATAATTGAGGATAATTTCCAAATACAAGCCCCCGGGGGCTTATATTCGGAGGGGCTTATTGTAGGAGTTATTTTTGCGTTTCAGATTTGGGGGGCTTATACACGGAGGAGTTTATTTTCGGAATTTTACTGTATCTCTTGGAAACCTCGTTTGACTTCACATTGAGTTTGCCGGATGTTATTGACTTCCTGTCCTTAATAGCGAAGAACATGTTTCCCAAGAGAAACCCCGCCGTGAAGAACTCTGATTTGTCTTAACTGGTCTCCGAAGATTATTTCTAACTGGTGTTTGGTGTAGGAAATTACGCTGTTGAGGTTACTTACGAGGCCCTATTTTTCTCAAGAAAAATAATAATTTTGATGTGAAATATTGGTAATGTCGCGTCGAAATGATCGCAACCAGGCAAGGCACAAACAAAAACCGCGTAAAACCCTGTTTAAGCTGTTTTATTTCCCTCAATGCTTTGCACCCTTGCATCAGTTTGTATTTTTTCCGTACTGTTCTTTATACACTTCCAATGTTACTAAGAAGGATTACTTATTTAAAAATCAAGAGCCTCTTCAGTTGGTGATCATTGTCTTTATTCTCGTGACCTTTATGTGTGATTCAGGGGTGATATTGTATGGAGAAATTAGATGCTGCACACTATTAGAGTTGAAAGGGTTAACCAAAGCTTAAAGATATTGAAGAAAAGAATATTATTAGATCTCTCATTCATAAGAATAAAGAAACTGCGACAAATTTTAGGCTTAAACATATTCTCATGAAAAAGGGATCTGAATATAAACCTTACTCCTAATATATTGCAGCGGAGACTCCTGATTACGCCCCAGTTCATCAAGAATCGCCGCCGTATTCGAGTTCCGTTCCTACACTTGTACTGTAATTTAGGTTAGAAATTTTAGAAATCTGGACAAAAATAAAACGCGCAGAAACATCCTATGATTTACTTTTTTCGTTTTTTCTTTTAATTGAGAAAAGGTCGGCTTGGGATGGTAAAATTTTATTGATCTATTTTTTATTTGTTTTTTTTTTCTGTTTTATATTGAAAGAAAAGGTCGGTAACTTGGGATGGTAAAATGGTTTTATTGATCTATTTTTTCGGACGTTTTGATTTTATTCAGATTACGCGACGCCGTTTAATGGTATCGTGTGGGCGTGTTTTATTCTTCCGTGAACCTCCTACACAGCTTTTTGTCGAGACCATGAAACTACCCCTTAAACAGTTTATTCAGATTATGACCTTCTCAAGCAGCGAAAATTCAACATTACGATGGAAGATTTGCTCGGTCGCAATTTAATACAACTCTCTTCTATCGCTGTCTCGGTCTAAAACGCTACCTAGAACTGAGATATGCTTAATCTAAGAATGGACCATTAAAAAATCCCCACATACTGTTATTAGGAGATTCTTTCAGCACTACAGAATGTTAGAGATTTTGCGTTCGCTCTTTTTGGTAAAAAGTGTAAGGAAAACATTTATTTCTGACACCCCATTTCGCCCTTTTTACATAGCCTCACGAATCTCAACGGAAGATGTTTATTTAATCTATCCTCTTATCTTCACCAGAAATTATGAAATATTGAAGACTTAAAAAACCTCACTGATGAAAATGTAATCTCGTTTTAAGTCACTTGTATTTGATATTGATTTCTAAAATTATGGGAAATTTAAGTTGCTGACAGCGACCACATCTGAATCACATTACGAACAGAAACTCAATACCTCAGCGCTATTTTTTAATTTTGGTATACTAATTTACACATTTATTCGCTGTGAATGTTTGTCTTCATGTTACAAAGTTTTGATGAACTTCGACGGAGAAACATTACAGAATGCTCTTGAAAGAGTGAAACCCCATGTTTCAAAAGTTTCAATGGGACTGCATTAAGACCCGCCATCGTTCTTTAACAGAAGTGCAGTGAAATAGGACGGTGTTTTATTCGGTCAACAATTCCTCGAATTAGCATGACAGTAGATTAATAGTTGCAAGAAAAAAAAAGAAAGAAAGAAAAAACGTGCTTGAAATAGAAGTCGCATTGAGTTTTATTTCTTTTTGTCGCTATCATGGTGAAACCACGATCACTGTTTAAATGAACTTACGTTCTTTATCGCCAAACATTCGAATTGCGGTTCTTTGTGCGAAAGAAACAATAAAGATCGAGAAGTCTCAAGCCAAAGACATTAATCTTTTCATATAACCATGCCACAAAGCCATCAACAGCGAAAATTTTATTTCAGTAATTGGTCAAGCGGAGTATTTCATAAATTGAGGAATAAATATTAGCCTAGAGTCGTGATGAATAATTGATTCACCTACTCGAAATAAACCGCCGTTCTCTACAATAATTACATTTGGTTGTCGATCTTTCCTCAATAAAAAGGTTTGAATTAAAATAAAGGAACGAAAAATAAGTGATATAACAATATTGATTTTCGCGGCACGTGTGCAAACAGCTTGTTCGCCGGCGCGATTTGAAATAATTTTTGTGAGCACAGTACATATTGAAATATTCCTATAATTATAAGGATATGAGGAGGTTTTGTAATTATTGATGTTATCTCCGACAAGATGTACCATCAAGTAAATATTTTATGTTAATAGTATTTGAGAGAAGCCTAAGCGGACAGAATAAAAAGCAAACGATTCCGAAAAGTCGTTTTTGCATTCTTATCTATTCTAAGAACGAGTTACCATGTCGGTGGTAACACATTGTCATGTGCTGCGCAAAAATGGAAATTGCATTTACATTACTTTCAGTAACTCATGACATTTTTATTTTTACGTTCTAGGTATATTTTGGTCTAATGCATTAGCTAGTATGTGGTCGCACATTAAAATGATAATGTTCCCTCTAATTCGTTTTTGTTATGCAAAATTCTCTTTACACAACAACTGTACCTCTCTTTTTTGTTTTCACCCGTGAATTTCATTAGCTTTCTTTAAAGAACTCCTGGCTAACAAAATTCGACGGAAGCTAAGAAATAATGCACCGCTTCGTAGAGTTTCTTAATTTTCATAAGCAATGGCCAGTGTCTTTAAGTTGAGTTATATCATTAATACCGTGTCAGCTCTTTATCGGTGTGTTCGAATGTACACGAGTTAACAACTTGTCCGGAAAATCTCCTTCGCTCTGAATACATTAATCTATTTGAATTATTCATGTGGCCTTTCTTTAAATTTACAATTCTAAAATGACAGTGCGTAGAAAACAATAAAAACAGTATTCACCCTAGCACCTGTCATGTCGTTGCTGAATGTCGCCCACTCTGGTAGAGCGAACAGAAATCTTTCATCAACCCATTCGATTTTAAACGAGTTTGCGTCGATGAAGATCTGACAAGCGATTCGTCCCAACGAAATTACATGTTCGCTGAATTTATGCGATACCTCTCAGAGACTTAAAAGGACATCAATTGCTCGTTTTTCCAATTGCTTTATTGCCATCTGGGAGAGCGAATGGAGATCAATCCTGGATTGAATCACATCAACGAACAAGCGAGCAACAATTCATCTGTTCAGGCCCCAAAGCCATGTCTTAGAGGAGAAAGCAATGATAAGGGACGAAGGATTATTATCAATGTTAGCGGCCTGAGGTTTGAAACCTACGAACGCACGCTTTCTCAATTCCCGGCTACACTTCTCGGTTGTGCAGCGAAAAGAGAATTATACTTTGACATCGAAAACAATGAATATTTTTTCGACAGAAATCGCTCATCGTTTGAGGCCATATTATTTTTTTATCAGTCTAATGGCAAACTTGTTCGGCCAAGCGGTGTTCCGTTGTACGTTTTCTCGGAAGAGGTCAGATTTTTTGAACTTGGTAAGGAACATCTTCAGCGGTTAGAGATCGAAGAGGGATATATAACTGAAGAGAAACCAGTTTTGCCCACAAACCAAACTCAAAGGAGAATATGGGAATTATTCGAATATCCGGACAGTTCAATGCCGGCGCGTTTTTTAGCTATGTGGTCAGTGTCTGTGATTTTACTCTCTATCGTGGTATTCTGTCTCGAGACTTTACCAAGTATAAGATGTGCGACTGATCCAAGTGGAACTGGTTGTGAAGCATACGGTGGAACCCCTCAACCCGAGAAAATGTGGTACACTGTAATCGAAATTCTGTGTATTTCATGGTTCACCCTTGAGTATGTTGTCAGGTTATTTTCTTCACCGCAAAAGTTGGTCTTTATTCGCACATTTTTAAATATCATTGACCTTGTTGCGATTTTACCCTACTACATTACGCTTCCAATGAACGAAGCCCGCGTAACCTCGTTGGCTGTGCTACGAGTTATTCGTCTTGTCCGTGTCTTCCGTATATTTAAACTTTCACGTCATTCAAAAGGCTTACAAGTTCTTGGCTACACGCTGCGGTCAAGCTCAAGAGAACTGGCCATGCTCATCTTTTTCCTCTTGATTGGAGTAGTGCTGTTCGCGAGTGCAGTTTTTTACGCGGAACAAGACAACCGAGAGAGCCAGTTCAGAAGTATCCCTGATGCATTCTGGTGGGCAGTAGTTACCATGACAACAGTGGGGTAGGTTAAGAATTTTCATTTATAGAAGTTGTAAATTTGAAACCGATGACCGAGTTGTTGTCGCTTGAAGCATAATTGTGATTTTCCGTGAACTGGGAGGCTCCCTCTCGATCTAAGCAAAGCTGTGATCATATTTGAAAAGGATTATTCTATGTAATATTATGAACATGAGACTCTTTCGAATACGTTACACTTAAAAGGAAAATTAACCTTTAACTTATGTACTTTTTATCATTGTGAAAAATTCTCCGAAATTCAATTTAATCCGGCTGTTTACAGAAGATAGAATGAAGTTTAAAACAAGATTCATACATAAGTAAGAAAGTTTTGGCTCTAGAGGAAGTCGTTGATCATTCTTTCAATATACGCGCAGGAAAAGACCTGGTCGTAAACATTGACGAACTCTTTTTTTTTTCTTGCCTTAATTGGCTTGCTTAAAAGTAAATCATTCTATATTTTATCGCTCCAATTTTTTCCTTTTATTTAAAGAAAATTTGTACCATGGGTTCGGTCGCCAGCGCGATCAAAAATTAATGAACGCATAGGAATAATTAAAATTTTTAGCAAATAAATTTTACATTTTTATTTTAGCAATACCTTGTTTGCTATGTTTATTCGGAATTCAACTTAAATGGTCGTTGAAGCTCAAAAAAATCGCCACAAAATAAAATGAGATCCTCGATTTAACTTTCCTGATTCGAGACAAATGATTTTATCTATTCACTGATAAGTTCTCCGAATTAGAAAAATTATGAGATAGGGTAAAGTCAAACAGACAGAAACGTATGGCGTAGTGAATTTCATTTGTGTGCATGTTTTATTATTCCCTGGATTTCATGGTTATGGGAAGGAAGCTGGATCGTGCAATAATTTTAAAGAATTGAAACAAATGAGATAAATATTTTTTTTCAACGTAGTTCCATGCTATGAATTTAAGTTTCTCTGAGGAAATGAAAAGAGCTTCTAAAAATGGAAGCACACGCATACATTAGATGTTGTGGACATCGGTGATAACAAAAAAGCCGTCTCCATCGCTTTATGTGTGGTAAATTTGGCCAATATGAACGACGGAAAGGAAGGAACAGAACACTGTAGGAGGTTTTGGTCGAAGTTTTCTTTTTCCTGTCGTTATCAAAACCCGCAAGTCCTCTTTTGAAAAGTGTGGCTTAAATTCGATCGATGGTTTTTGAGCGAATGTATCCTCTTTATATTTTCGTAGTTTAGTCAATCTAATTCTCTAGGTATGCAATATAGTGGTTAGATGTTAACTTCCGGATGGTGAAATAAGTTGTGGTTGTAACACTGAAAACAGCAGATAAGCTCTTTGGTGTCTTGTTTCTGAGCACAGACTCGAGCAATGCAAACGTGAACAATTTCACAGCAGGTGTGCTGCTCTACTTGCTTAAGATATTCAGAGTACATCATACTAATTTTGAGTAAGATCGTTTTTTTTTAAAGCGTAACAAAAATACATTGAAACCTTTTTTGCTGTTGTTTTTATATTGGATCTCTCAGTTATCCACCTGCTTTGTTTTAATCATCTCGACACTCAAGGCTCAAAATAGTACAAATCTACCCACTTCGTGCGCCTAATGAAAATGATATTGGCGGCAACTAAAGCTGCCATTACATAATAAATGCTTTAATAAAAGTCAATCAGTATTTTAAAAAACCAGACGCTTCATTGACAAAGAACTTGCGCCGGGATTAATAGAGGCGGCTTTAATAATTCATATATCGGTGAAATACTTCATCAAAATAGGCATCATTAGTCTATTTGGCCACAGAATTGTGATCATGATTAGTAAACACCTTTTTTATATAAGTGCACAGTAGCCAAGTTTCTTTCATTAGATTGGTAAGACGTCCAAGGCTAACTGAGATGAATAATTGATGAGAGCAGGGTGAAAAAGAAAATAATCAGTTAAATATATGTATATAGTAATTATTAAAATCATGTTTTGAAATCCTGTGGCATCTCTAAAATCTTTTGGTTGAAATACAGACGTGATTAAAGTTGCTTGACCATTAGTTGGATTCAGCTTTTATCTCTAGTCAGTTGAGCACGTATTATCAAGAGAAGTCTCTACTTTTAACGAAATTAAGGTTACGATTATTAAGTGACTGTTTGATAAAAAGCTTGTAGACTCCCTTTTAAAATATTTACGATTTCTTATGCACGAAACGAGATACCACGCGAGAGAAAACCACTTCTATTGGACAAAGAGAGCTCATGTGTAGCAGTCTCCATGCCTTCTTTTCTTCAGTGGAACTCAATTATATCCCTCAGAGTCTGTGAGAACCATACCCTTATTTTTATCTTTTAATGGCCATTTATTCTAGTTTGAGATTAGCCTTCTCCAGGAAGTCTTGGAAGCAAAATTTCGTTTGAAAGACTATCTATAAAGACCATAAGCCAAGGAATATATTAGGAACCTCCCTCTCTTTTCCCCCGAATTTCTTTCCTTCACTGATTGCACAGGCTGCGGTAAAGCTTAGACAGCTACGTTTTAAGCGAACTGAGGGAGTACGACAGCATAACAAATACGTATATAAATGTCATTTGAATTAAAAACTCCCCAAAGAGGCTCTGTATGGCAAATGAAACCCGTGAATGTTCACAAGGGTTGGAAGAAATCGTTTACTGCATTAGTTTGGGTTTATGTCGCTCTGTGATTACTTTCAAAAAAACCTCCATCCTCTAATCAAAATAGATGCAACACTAAACCAATTTCAACTTGGTCATCCGCGTTTTATCAGACGAGCTGACAGAATCTCAACACGATCAGAGAGTAACATAACGACGGTCTTGAAAGTTAGAGCACCGGATGATATGATGTGAGCACTAAGCTACATTGCCCCCATGTTGTTACTTTTTGAGCACAGTTAGCCTTGTTTTGCCAAATGGGGGTAAAAATACGCGAGATATGTCAGTGAGGTAGAAAAAATTATGAAAGACAAAAAACAATATCGGGGGTGGGCGCAGATCTGCTCCTCTCTGGTCTCGGAGAGCAAAAACAGAACTAAAAATAAAGTTAAAAATCTGTTTACCTGCAATTCTGTGTAAAACGGAGAAAGGAAGGTCAGTGACATGAATGTTAGGTTTATGCCTGAACCTCAACCATAGACTCTAGTAAAATGTTGTTATCAAAACCCAAACCAGTCAAGAAACATGTTAATATCGCATTTATATCAAGTTCAAATGTCTCTTTCTTTTTACAGATACGGAGACATGACTCCTCTCACTTTGGGAGGTAAAATAGTTGGTTCTATCTGCGCTATATCAGGAGTGTTGACCATTGCTCTCCCTGTGCCGGTTATTGTTTCAAATTTCAACTACTTCTACAAAAGGGAGGAATTGAACCAGTCCCTCGATATGGCGGAAAACGGCGAGTGTGGTAGAGACCAAAACGAAGATATTGACGCCTTCAACGGGCCACTGACCAGCCCATCTGGACACATGACACTCAGTTCACCTAATGCGTTTACAGGAATGGAGGAAGTTCGAGTAAAAAATGAGACCCCTGTTTGATCATGTGACTACTCGCGCTGGGCCGCTGACCACTGAGCCCATTTGGGCTCGGCTCATCGAACGTGTTTGGATTTGAAGAGGTTTGTGTATAAACTGAGATCCACGTTCGATCATGTAACTCGATAACCCGTTCTTTAGAAGGAAGCTTAAACAAGTCTATAGAAACATATGTCGCGTTTTAATTGCTACCGCCTTTCTCCGTGTCATCACTTTCCTCACGACTCAACGCGCTCATAAATAGATCACGGTTTATGTACTCAAAGATTACAAGAAAATAGTCAAGACGGTACATGATTAATAGCATAAAGAAGTCAATATTTCTTTCATGACCTCGCCAAGTAGATAGGACGAAATTGTTAAAAAAAAGAATGGGCTTCATGGGCGAGCTGAGTCATACGACAATAACAGCGGTGCAGATGTTAAAATTTGATCAGCTAGGGATTTAGTGATGGCAAAGTCTTTGATCCTTTCATTGGTCATTTGACGATGATCAAGTTAGCTCTGAAGTTTTGATCTAAAACAGAAGTGCAGTGGGCATGTATCCATGCTTGGTTACATCGAGTCTCACGATGGAACAAACGACAGGATTAATGGGAGTTTTGCCTGAATAATTCCAGTGGTTCAGTGATCCTTGAAATGTCACGCTGAAAAAGACCAGTATAGATTTCTGAGAGCCAAAGAACATAGACTATGGAGAGCAAAGGCACAGGAAAGCCAGCAGACTGGAAAACCTACCCAACTTAAACTACGCATATTTTGCCTTGCCTGTGCGTTTATCAGTGCTGCATTGTCGAGGTACATATTTCTTCTCGTCAGTCGCAACGATAGATTTCTTGGTTTGGATACTCAACCGAAGATCACCGGTCCCGTCGGGCTAAAAGGAATAACACCAGTCAGCGGTTTCGTTCTTTTAAAGTGGACTAAAATTTCTTTGCATATCTTTCAAGTACTTGCTAACTATTGCAGTATTTACATTAAGCGGGAAGACTTAAATTAAGTAAGAAATATTTGATGGAATTTTAATTGCTTGTTTCGGAATTACGTTAAGTTTTCCTCTGACGTTCACTGAATTTGCCGGAAAAATTGGATTCATTCATGGATGATCTTACTTATTATTCATTTTTATACATGTTCCAACATACGTTTTGTTAATGAAAAGTACGGTGCTTATTGGAATGTTTAATGCTTGGTTCTAAACAGGGCTAAAACAGTCCAAGGAACCTAACAGATGTCTCGGGTAATATGTATATCGTTTTACTATTATAATATCAGTGGTTAAATCGCTGCCAAAAAACTATAAGCTAGCTGTGAATCTTCTTGCGTCTTGAGGACGCAGATTTCCCCGGTTTATTAAGTTTAAATTTTTAGATATTCTCATCAGAACTGACAATTTAAATGGAAAAAGGCTGTGTCTGATCAAACATAAAAACCACATAAAAGCATAAAGACTACTGTTCAACTTTGAAACACTTCTAAAATGTATACAAATGAACACTATAAAAAAGGTTAGCTAGTATGGTGTATAAATTAATCAATTAATTGTGGTTCTATAAGGAAACTAACTGAGAAGTATGCTTTGTTCACCACATAATTTATATCTCGCTATTGGAAAGTGTGTTTTGAAATATACTTTTCAACGCAGTTTGATAATCTGAGAAAAAAACCTTTCGAAAAACAATTAGGGACGTCACCATTTTTAAACACAACTTGGTAACCTGCCTGCGCAGATATGACGCCACGGAGTCTCATCCAAATGGCGGGAACCTCAACGCGCTTTCCCGCGATTCTTTTCAACGATTTCTACTTGATTATTGCCAAAAATTAATTAATAGCATTTGAATGAAAAGTAATTTTCTGTTTTACTTCTTATTGTTTGATTTTGAAACTCAGAAAACCTTGAACACTTGGATTTGATTCTGACAGGCCAATCCTGTACTAACCAATAATTTTTAACCTCTGGACTTGTAGGGAAAACTCAAAACCACAAGCTGCTTATTGTGGCTGTTTAAGATTCAGTTTCCTGACACCCTATTGGCTTTTTTCCTTTAAAACAATAATACGCTAATAATATATCTGGCCCTCACGGTTTTCTGAGTTTCACAATAAATAGATCGCTAGGGGATGGATGCAAAAGAAATGAGACTGCATGGAGTAAAGCAAACGGAATGGAAAAAAGATCGGCATACGCATTTCGAAGGCTAATCGATCAGACAAGAAAGGTCTTAAAGAGCTGAAACACTCCCACTTGATAATTGCTTCTATAAATTTTCAATGGCAAATATCCAATTATGTGGCTTCTGGTTATACTTATCCTAAAAGCTTTTGTAGTTTCAGAGTATCTAATTAGATTTCAATAGATACTATTTAGTAAGGACCAAGGCCTTGGGACAAAGGTTGCATTAGTTCACGGTCTTGTCTTCTAGTTTCTATGAAACATGTTTAAATGTGTATATAGTTTGATTGAAACTAATAAACGGTGGAGAAGCACATTTATTTTTACTGGCGGGTTTTTATCAATCTACAATATAAACAAATTCACATTTTTGTAATTGCAGCGGTTTTTTCGTCGACAGACCAGTATAAAGCTTATTTGGATGGATAAACCAACCAGCGAGTAACACTTCGTAGTAGTGGGGGGAGAGGATAGATGACCCCCCAGACTAAATTTTGTTTCGTTGTAAAATGTTTGTAAATCTGACTCAGTTCGCGAAGGAGCATACGATCATGGGCTACCCTCGTAAAAAAATTGTAAAGTAGTTCAAGATACTCACATTGTTCTTTTACCTCAAGAGAAATTTAATTTCATTTGACTGTTTACATTCTAGAGCTTAATGCTGACAGACATCAGTTGAAACAAAAACCTTAGAACAATCTTGTGACCTCTCGCGTTTATTATTTTTTAAAATAGGATTTCACTGAGTCACAGACGTTCCATTCTGACTACAAAAGGCTCAATTTTGTTTCACAGTAGATTCTTAAAAGCATTTTCTAAACAGCTATGATACTTTTACAGTATGGGTCGAAGGAGAGAAACACTCTCTGAAAGTGGATTTTCAAGTTTAAAGCAAGTAGGTTCCCTGAGCCGGATGTGGCCAGACAGTTGTCGGTTTCGATTCGTATCGTTTGACTATCAAGCCCTCAGGCGCTTTTCCAAAATAAACCATCAATTTCAAAGGTCATCGACTGACAGCTTTATGGTAATAAGAATGAACGCTCGTGCTGTTCCTATGATGAACCTAGTGGATTTGTTAGCTTTCTTGTCCTCAAGCTGATTTCTTCACTGTTTTGTCTTTTTCTCCGCCATTACAAAAGAATTCAAAAGCAAGAGATGACACGCCATGTTGATTTAGATCGCTCACAGCATCAGAAAGCTTTTCACATTTGACAACCCGACGAAGACGTCGAAGACGAAACAGAAGCACGAGTCTGGTAAGAAAACACTGAATCAATTTCGTATAGCTATGTTACATTTAAAGAAATATCTCTCAGTGAAAGCTTAAAAAGTTTCGCATTTATGGCCGAAGAATGACTTGCCATATTGTTTAGTTTCCGTAGTGCGCTGACTACGGGGCTATAGAAGTGGGAACTAATTATATACAGGTATGCTTTAAACGCGTCTCCCTTAGAAACATTCACTGCACCTAACTTATATTTAGTCATACATATTGTTTTCAAAATGTACTTGACTGCCATTTTCTAAGGACCGTTGTGGTTTCCAGAATCCATCACACAACAAATTGCGGAAAGAGGCATCTTCGTAATCGTCACTAGCAAAGTCAGTCCAAATTTTACTATGCACCGCGTTTGTACATCAAAATATATTTCAGATTCTTTATCATGAATTTCAATTGAAGTGTATTCAGTTTATTCATCAGCTTTTATTTGACGATTTTAAGAGGTGCATCGAGCTACGCCATCAAAAAGTTTAGATTAAAACAAAGCCATTCTATGCAGAAATGTCAATCCCAGCTGGATCACGTTACTAAAAATTTGTTTCTTGATTAGTTGTTAGAATTGTTTTAGAGCATAGAGACACATAAGCCACATGCCTGAAAGAGGTATATGAATCATGTATAGACACAAGGAAAAGACGTGTAACACAGCTTCAAAGCTGTCGCCAATTTCTGATTACGTGATGTCCTGTTTTCCAACTGAGTCAAAACGATTATGCGCAAACAAGATTTATTTTGACTCGCGTGACATACTAAGCTTGACCAAGCGTAACGACCACTTTGGTGACCTATAATTGGAACGCATTTTTCGAAGGCCTGTTGAGAAGAGATAGAAAGCAGTTAGGAAACTCAGACTTAAAAGGAATTTTCGGAATGTTCTCCAGAAGGGTCGTCTTAAAGACCCCTCCCCCTCCCACTCCCCACCATCCCTGATATTAATTTCAAAGAGGCCCTTCGCCCCAACCTTAAAGTTCAAATGGTAAGTTCAAATTGTATTTTTCGACAGGAAAAAGTGAAAAAAGGACACTGATAAGAGTTGCCAGATAATTGAGTGGCTAGTGTGTTGCGAGAGCTTTCGTAAACCTGACTGATCCTTAAGAACCGATTTCAATTCTTATAAGCCGTCAAAAATCCGCCGACATATTATTGAGATTGTTCGTCCGCATAAAATGTGACAAAAGTTTAATCAACGATGTTATTTTAGAATACTAACAAACAAATCATTTAAATTTCCTTTTAAGAAGAAAATTGCGCCAACGACTGGAGGAACCATGGGAAGCAAAACCAGGGAGCTTATCCTTCTGATCTGGAAGTCTCAAACATACTTTGGGCAACTTCAAGTTGGTGTATGGTTCGTTTCGTATTTGGCAACTTTAATAGGATTGGAAGTACTTTATTCTCGAGGCAGTTACCTGATTTGCAACGGCACAACAGAGTATCTTGATGTGAAATGTCCTGACAGTGACAGCCCTGCTTTGAAAATGCAACGGCCTTTCATAAGAATATATGGCGGCGTTTATTTTGCCATTTTGTTAATTTACACTCTTTACATTGTTCCCAGGCTTTGGCGATTCCGCAGGAGAAAAAACACAACACCGTTATGTGGTCTTTACGCCGTTTATTGCTTGCAACTCTTTGTAAGACTTTTTTATAACGTTATAATGTTTTTCGTTTACATCTCCCTTGTCTTTTACACGTTCCCAGTTCGTCTAAACTGTGTCGTTCCCGGTTTGGAAGATGCAAGTATCACCTGCGTTGATAAGTTTCGAACAGCGAAATCTGCCCTGCAGACCACAGTCTTACTAGTTATTGTGGTGCTAACATTGTTCTCTCTACTTGAATTCATATTCCTGTTGAGTCTTACAAGGTCGAGAAGTAGAACAATCTTCGTTGGAGATGCAAACCAACGGAAAGAACACCTTGATAATGGCTGTTATTGTGCATGTGTTATGCCAACGGATCAACAGTTTGGCTTGTTTCGCCTCCACTTGAGCGAGGTGTGTGAGTATCGCGAGCCTTCTTGCGAATATGTTAGCCCTTTAAGAGAATATCTGATTGACATGAGGAATATTTACTCGACGAAAACAGAATATATCGACAGTTCTCTCCTTGACAACATCGATGCCTTGAAACTGGACGATATGTTTACAAGACCAGTGTTGTCAGGGGTAAAATGCCCCAAAACTATGGCAAACAAATATTTAGCTGCAAAGAAGTCAGAGAGTCTGGAGGCCTTTGGGAGTATTTCGATAACAGGCAAGGCAGGAATGGGAAAGACCACCTTAGCACAAAAAATCGTCAGAGGCTGGGCAAAGGAAGAGTCGTCACTCACGTCACGCATCAAGATTCTGCTTTGCTTCGATTTTAAAGCTCTGGAAGACTCTCCTGGCGACGGAATTTCGTTCGAGGATTTAATCCGCCGCCAGGTTTCTTTAGATCTTCCAAAAGACCTCCTTGATTTTGTGAAAAGAAATCCCAAGGCGACGCTAATCGTGGTTGACAACGTCTGTGAACCAAAATCTGGATGTCAGGAATCTGACTTCGCCGATAGTTTTGAAGAAAAAATGCCCTTTTCAGCCTTGTTGAAGAAACTTGTGACTGGAAAAATCTTAAAGGGTGTAACAGTTCTAACCTTGTCTAGGCTTACAGAGAACAGTGTTGCAGATTTGTTTGGCGTTGCAAGTCAAACAGAACTCATGGGATTTTCTCCGAGTGAAATCAATGGGTACATTAAGAAGTATTTCTTAAACAGTGACGATTGTGAAGACGACGAGTTAGCCACTGCCAGGTTGAAAGAGAATTTGACAGACAACACACTTTCCATATGTTGTGTTCCACTACATTGCTTCTACATTTGCACTCTCATGAAATGGTTAAGAGGCTCCGATGGCGCAGTTGTGCCAGAGACTGCAGGGAACCTCCCTGAAACCATCACCGAACTCTATATTGGCATAGCACAAATGATTTCCTGCTTGCAACAGACTACCAGGAAGCCAACCAGCCTGAGTGCAATAGAAACACACATACCAAGCTCACAAAATGTTGTAGAGGCCTCTTCAGAAGACTCAAGGTCACCACCGGAAACTGCTACGACATCAACTCAAAGCTTTCCTACGCGGGGTCTCACCCAGCGAAAAACATCCTCAAAAAAGCAGTTTGCTCTTCATAACCTGGCAGAAATTGACACAAAAGTCTGCTCTTTGGCAATGCAGAGTATTGATGAGGAAATGACTGTGTTTGACGTTGATTACCTTCGCTCCATGTTATCCGAGGAAGCAATTCCGCGTTACTTCAAAAGAACGAGACAAACAGATGACTCCGAAAAGTTGCAATTCACTTTCCGATGCGACTTTCTTCGGGAATTTCTCGCAGCCTACTTTGTTGTGTCCGACAGGTCATTAAAAAGGCTAAAGAAGTTAGTCGAGCAAGTAAAGAATAACAGTTCGAGAAAGCGAGACCAAGTGCTTCAGTTTGCTTGCGGTCTGCAATTTAGTGATTCACAGGCCTCAGACCAAAAAAAGAAAGAAATGATTGATCTCGTCAAAGGGTTGTACAGTGTGTCTCAATCTGAAGACAAGAGAAGGCAAAAAGAACTTCAGCTATTAATGTTGAAATGTGCGGCCGAGATAAAGGATGAAAAGATCTCACGTGAGGTGGCGAGCAAGATGATCCCTATCGTTGAGTTTTCTGGCTGTGAGATTGGAGTTGCAGAATGCTCTGCTCTCGCAAATGTGTTAGGGACGTCACCATTCGCTTCCATCTGTAGTGTAGATTTATCGGATAACACAATCAGCGTGATGGGCGCACGTCAACTCACGCAGAAATTATTGCTTCCTGGTAAGGGCCCAACAGAGGACTTGAATGTACAAGGCAACGTTCTGGGTGATGAGGGACTTAAGGAACTTACTGAAGCTCTTAAGAAAAGGGAATGTAGGCTGAAGACGTTAAACGTAGCTGACAATTACATAACAAGCGATGGTGTATCAAAGTTATCGTTAGCACTTGAGTCAAACACTTGTTTAGAAGAGTTGAACCTGAGCTGTAATGAGATCTGTAGTCAAGGCGTTGAACATCTATCAAAAGTTCTCCAAAACGAAAATGGTAAAATCACTAAGTTGAATCTATCCTGGAACGATATTGGAGACGACGGAGTGATGTGTTTGGCGTCATTTAGACAAAGCACGCTTAATCTTGCTTGGAACAACATTGGTATGAGAGGCGTTCATTCCTTCATCTCGATATTTCATACGTTAAAGAATTTAGAGGAACTTGATCTGAGTGGAAATACCGTTGAGTCAGTGGGATTAGAAGCACTGTTGCCTTGTTTCATGGATACAAACTGCAAGTTAAAGTGTCTGGAGTTGAACCACTGCAAAATACAAGACGAGGGAGTCATCCATTGCTTAAAGGTGTTAAACTGTTTGCATAATCAAATCACACGTTTAGGCCTCGCTGGCAACAACATCACAAACGCTGGAGCAGAGAAAATAGCAGAGGCTCTAACTTCCTTAGAATGCAGGATCATCATTCTAAACTTGAGCTCCAACCTCATCGGTGACAGCGGAGTAGAAAGTCTTTCTAAAAGCCTGAGTAGTCCAAACTGTGGCCTACGAGAACTTGATTTGAGCCACAATCAAATTCAGTGTAAGGGCTGCAAATGTTTAGCAGCAGCAATCAGAAAGCCCAACTGTTTGCAGTGTTTAAACCTTGAAGGTAACCATATTGGTGATGAAGGAGCTGCAAAATTGTTGTCTGCTCTCAGGATTCATAGCAACAAACTCCAAACTTTGGTGCTGGATTCAAATGACATTGGTGATAAGGGCATCGCTGGCTTACCACATACATTTAGAAGTCCTCATTGCAAGCTGGGTCGTCTTGACTTGGGAAGAAACATTATCAGTCGAAACAGCATCACAACTGTCAGCGAAGCATTGAAGAGTCCCTTCTGCCATCTGGAACATGTGCGCCTGAAAGATTCACGATTAAGCGAATCACTCGAGACAAAGAAAAGCCTTCGAGCCAGTAAGCTGACCGATAAAGTATAAGTTGGTGATTTTCGCATTCTCTTATTTTATTATCGAATTGATAGCAGTTACTAAGTCTTTCAAAAACTTTAAGTTACCATGGAGTCGCATTGATATCGAGTTGTGTTGACCTGGAGATAGTCTTCGTGGTCTAACGTTTTATTTTATTTTGGAATATGATGACTTAGACGGCTCGAGATTTTATTGAGCTGTTAAGTTTCAGCAAGTTAAGATATGAGTCTTTTCATACCAGGTCGCGCAAGCTGGAACATGTGAAAAATTGTGTGATTTGGCTGCAAACTTGTCGTTATGCTTGTACGTAAACATTTCAGTTTTCTTTCTTAGTCGTAGCTTTCAGTTCTTGATTGTTCGAGGATTTGATAACGGTATCCAACTACTTAATGAACAGAGAGCAAAACGTAATTCTTGAATATTTCCCTTATTTAATTGAGACCACCTTGTGTGGTATGTAGTTTCTTCCAAACTTAGCTTTCCCGAGCGATCCTTTTTCATAATCAAGTGATCTTATTCAGATCTAATTAGAAAACACTACACAGCAAAACTCTATTCGATGATTTCTTAATCTGCAGGTCCGAAGTTTTTGTTTGGATATTAGAAAACTCCAATCTACGGAGAAGAAACTAAAAAAATAAAGACAGGAATATCTCACAATTTTTGTGTTGCGTTGATTTTTTTAGAGGGGAATTAAATAAGAATAAACTAAAACGGAAAGGAAAGAGGTCAACGAAATACCAGACGGCAAAACCATTTTGCATCAACTGATTTCGATGAAAAGAGAGAGGACGTTTGGATTCGCGATAACATCAATAAATCAGAAATACTAACAAACGTCAGTCTGCTCAAAAGTTTCACAGTCTTCAAAGAAAAACATTTTGTTTCAATGTTTTCCTGAATTAATGACTTGCCTGACTTTATATACCGGGTTCTGAAATAACTTATAATTAACTGATAGATGTAGCAGAAGGGTAAAGTGAATGGGTACAGAAGATAATTGAACAGTGGACCAGTGGGTGCATTGACCAGAGGAACAGTGGGAACAGAGGAATAGTAGGAACGGAGCACCAGTGGACCAGTGGACCAGTGGACCAGTGGACCAGTGGACCAGTGGACCAGTGGACCAGTGGACCAGTGGACCAGTGGACCAGTGGACCAGTGGACCAGTGGACCAGTGGACCAGTGGACCAGTGGACCAGTGGACCTGTGGACCAGTGGACCAGTTGGTACAGAGGACCAGTGGGAACAGAGGACCAGAGGAACAGTGAGAACAGAGGACCAGTGGGTACAGAGAACTAGAGGACCAGAGGACCAGAGGACCACCCTCTGGTCCTCTGTACCCACTACAGAGGACCAGAGGAACAGTGGGAACAGAGGACCAGTGGGAACAGAGGACCAGTGGGTACAGAGGACCAGAGGAACACAGAAGACCAGAGGAACGGTAGGAACAGAGGACCAGTGGGAACAGAGGACAAGAGGAACAGCAGGGACAGAGGACTAGTGGGTACAGTACTGTACTGGTCTGTACCCACTGTTCCACTGGTCCTCTATGCCCACTGTTCCTCTGGTCCTCTGTACCCACTGTTCCACTGGTTACCGGTCACCTCGCCACCAAGCAGACTCGCCACCAGCGAACTCGCCACCAAGGAACGATCTCGTCACCAACGTACTCGCCACCAAGCGAAGTCTTCTCGCCACCAACCACCAATAAAGAGATAAACTAGAATAAAGTAGTCGAGGAGAGTAGGATGTTCGAACGAGCACAATTCAAATCGGCCGATACGTTTGTGCGCTTGTCTGTATTTAAATTATGACCTTCAGCGACGTGTTAGATGTGTTCCGTTCCTAACTCATTGACATCGAAACGTATCGTGTTTGTCTTTTGCACGTAAGCGAGGAGAAATTGCAAAACTCGATGCGAGGAATAAAAACTTACTTGAGAGAAAATGAAACTCGATAGCAGTTGTATTAAAACTAAATGCGAGAAATTGTCAAGTCGGTGCGAGAAATTGTAAGCGTCGATGGACTGAAGCTTTCCTAAGGCAACTACAGTTGTTTCCCAAGGAGAGTTAACAGTTCGAACCCACCGATTCCTGAGTTTGTTTGCTTATTTGTATGAAAATTTCGACGTCTGTGATGTTATAAGTTCGAACGAATCGATCGTGCTTTCGACAACATACGTTTATAAAGTTTGAGTACAGACTTATCAGCCGAACATCATACTGTCCTCGACTAATCTCTTTATTGGTGGTTGGTGGCGAGAAGACTTCGCTTGGTGGCGAGTACGTTGGTGGCGAGATCGTTCCTTGGTGGCGAGTTCGCTGGTGACGAGTCTGCTTGGTGGCGAGGTGACTGGATACCGTTCCACTGGTCCTCTGTACCCATTGCGCCACTGGTCCGCGGTGCCCACTGTTCCTCTGGTCCTTTATGCTCACTGTTCATTGATCCTCTGTTCCTACTTTTCCATTGTACTACTAATTCTCTGTGCCCTCTGTTCCTCTGTTCCTCTGTTCCTCTGTTCCTCTGGTCCTCTGTGCCCACTGTTTACTGATCCTCTGTACCCACTCTCTTTACTATTCTGCTACACCTATCTGTTAATTATTAGTTATTTCAGAACCCGGTATATGAGAGACTACCCGACTTTGGCGCACCGTCGAATGATGTACTCACTCAACCTTTACGACTTTCTTCCGACCGTTTGTCACATATAAAGTGAAAAAAAAAATGTTGCTTCTAAATATACCACTATTTATATATCAACTGACGAAGCAATGTCTTTTCTCATCCAAATTTTTACGAGAAAGTCAAAAGATTTTTCGTGTGGCGGCTAGATCCAGAGAGCAGGGCGCCAATGTGACAAAATGGCAGGGAATGGTCACATGATAACGCAACCTGTTCCAGGAGCATTGCAGACACACTGAACAACCAACTGGGCGACCCGCAAAGACGCATATTTTTAGCCTTGCATGGATGTGAAGGACGATAAAATCCTAAGCATCTGTCTCTAACATAGCAGCGCAACTCCTGAATGATATACTTAAGCGGCTTTTTCACGACCTAGAGGAATTGCTCGGAGAGGTAAAAGCCTCACTAACAGTAACTTCAACTCACTCTGAAGTAATCTTCCACGGGTATGAAACGAAATCATCCTCTAGGTAAGATCACTAGGGTAGAGTGGAAGCTAGGAAGGTAATACAGCACAGCGTAATTAATGGATAAAGCGCCACATCTTAGATTAGGACAAAAACATTAATGAGGGCGGCTTTCAGATGAGTGTCACTCCTGGAAAGGCGGCGCATCTTCGAAGAACCCATAACCACGAGTAGGATAAAATTTTGACTAAAACAGACTCTACACTTTTGATGTCATGGAGAAAGTAAACGACTTGTTTTCTGCATGACATTATTTTCATCACTGAATGGTTCTTGAACTCAGATCACGAAGGGGAAATGTAACGAAACGTTTCCATAACCTCTCCAACTTAACTTGTAGTCGGGTAATCGGTACGCTTGATCAGGTGATTTTTACAAGGCGAAAACCAGCAAGTCAGATAGTAAAAGAATGCTTGATCCGACATATATACATGTATGTATGTATGTGTATGTGTATGTGTATGTATCAAACAGGGCTATTGCTGTGTGTACTTAGACCAGACTTACAGACCATTAGTAATAAAATATAACTGTATTTCAATATCCTGATATTTGGTTACATATACATTACAGATAACAACGTTGTTGATTTTCGTATTTTACAAATGATATATAGTGACAAAAACAAAGAACGATGTTCTCATTTGTAAATAAATACTGACGGTTAATGCTTCCTGTAAAACCATTACCGGCAAAATGATGCTTCATCCATAACAGAGCTATTCTTAGCTTCCATTTGCCCCCAATAACTGGTCGCAGAGCTAGACTACGAACAAATTCGAATTTATAAGATCCAGCCAAATTGAATCTTTTGGTAATAAGTACTTGACGAAACTGCAGTAAAAACACGAGTAATGCAATTACCTGTTTAAATCTCCTCGTGAGCGACGCCGCTTTGCAAGCCTCGTGCGAAATTGCCTTAGACCGGCCTTTGTTATTACTAGTAAGGAATAAGCATGTATTACTTAAAATACCTAATGTGGACCTGTTGAATGTCAGTTCAGATATAGTCGGATTGAACATTGTTTTTCCTGGCTCTGATACATAAAAGAATAAAGACAATAAAAGGACCAATTTTAAGTTATAAGTAATTTTCAATATAACTGTCTCCCACGTCACTAGGTTATTTAATTTCTTTGGATGCCACTCTCTCGCGATAAAATCAACTGAAAGGTACCGAGCATTGCTTTTAAGTGGTATCCATTATTTCGATGCTTACTATGATAATAATAAAACAATTGGCAAAACTTATCTCTATGTTGTGGAAAAAATTACTGTCGCATTCCACCATGTACTTTGCCTTAGGAATCAAATTTCACTGGAAAGATAAAGATAATTAAGATAATTTACAGTTCACCGAATTGATGTAAATTACGAAGTGATACTAAATCTTTCATCTTAGCATATCTGCTGTCAGGCTGGTGTTATCACAGCAAGCTTTCATAGACGGAAATCTATTTCCAGTGAGTTTTCATAAGGTCGAAGAATGCGTAAAAAAGAAAACGACTGCAGCTGACTTGTTCAAGCGATTATTTGACATTTTCAGCGTTTTGGTAATAAATTTAACAGCAGGGAAAATCTACGTGCTGATAGCTTTACAAAGAGGTTTAGGGTTCCATTCATATGCAAAGTCATTAATATCTGGTGTATAAGTATTCAAGGCAATTATTTTCATTAAATCGAACAGCTTTAAGAGCATTTCGCATTTCTGTATACAAAATCTTGACGCCTTATTCAAAATTATTCAGCTAAGGTCAGAAGCTTGATCAAAATCTACTTGAAGCATAAGAATATGTCAATTGCCTCGCTTCTCTGAGGCTTTCGTTGAGGAGATAAAGTGCCTCTGATTGGCTGAAGGGAGTCCAGCTTCACCAGACACACTTTCCAAATTTTCTAAGATTGGTTCCTCAAAGTAAGTTTGCTGATCATCGAAAGTGTTACTCGACCCAAAATTCAACCCTTGCTATAAAAAGTACTGCAAAACATCTAAGTGTCACAAACAGAAATAAGCTAAATGTGGTCAAACGTTACGAAACAATATTTCCCACACTGATGAGAAATAATTCTATATTCATTTCAATTCGAAACAGCAAAATTGTTATTATCACTATTATTTCAATTCATTAAAAAATTTTTCTCAAAATGTGCACATTGATGTTTCTAAAAGTGCAAGTAGACTTCAATGACCTGGGTGAGAACAATTACTAATCAAACCCCCTGAACCACCCCGACCCACCCAAATTGTAAATATGTTTCATTTTAACTTCTGAAGTGAGAAAATTGAGCTCTCCTTCGGGTAAACGTCTTCTATGCGTAATTCACCAGTGGGGAGCTCAAAACCGAAAAACCAGACAATCAAGTCTACAAGCACCACCATGAATGGTGGATGCACACACTTGTCCCTTAACTTATTATCCTGACAGAATTATCAATCATATTCACAAGTCAGGCATGGAAAATTACACGTACAAAACGGCAAGGAAATGCTAATACTACACAAACCAGAAAACATTTTGCACGGTCAGTCCGCAACTCATTCCCAAGCCAATTCCTTGGCATAATAAATCTTTTGATACAATTTCATAAAAATTAGGTGATACTCAAACCATAGATAGCATAGTTTAACTTGTTCAAATTAGAAAATAAAGTTTTATCTATAATTTAGCATGCTGTTGTATACTGGCTAATTATAATAAGCCACTGTAATTCGACACCTGTGGAGAGAAAATGAAGGTCTTTGTTAAAATATTTCTACATTCGTCTATATAAAGCCTTAAGGTATCTTAAGAGATACTACATAAACGTATTTGATCCTGCTGGTTAAATCCACATAAAACTTGACAATTAGTTTCCGCTGAAGTGCCTTGCCGACCAAAGTCTACAGAACGGTCATTTATCTAACTTCCCTCGGCTGGAAAGTACTACAAAAACTAGAGCCTCGAAGTAAATCGGACGAGAGTTAGTAAATTGACAAGTACAGTTAAATGACCATTTCACTACGACACCCTTCATTTGGAAGTGAGTGACCGAAATTTTCCAAGGTAGAAATCTCGCGGCAAAAGATACATAGACACGTCTCAGAGACAACCCTTAACGCCCATGACGCTTATAAAGGTAAGGTACAAAGGAGAAGAGCCAATCATAACGCTCCGTTTGAGGTTTATACGCGACCGCGAAGTAAGTGTTGTTTTCTTTCGATGGTTTTATTCGAGGGTTTAATTCAGCTGAATGAACAGTTTGTTATTGTAAACATGGGACGTTGCTAGCTTAATAATCTATTGATATATCAGCAAATAGTTCTGGAAACCCAAAAGCATTTTTTCTTCCACCAGCCATTAGACTATCCATTCTTTGGAAATCTTTCAAAACAATTATTTTATCTGTCTAACAATTACATTTTAGAGGTTTTATGTCGATTTGAGTTCCAATAAACACTTACTTGTTTGCGTGCTAATGTGTATTGTTGTATAATTGCTAAGAAAGGCTATTACTTGTGATCGCTGAACCACCTTCTGAAACGAAAACAGTAACATTTCCAAAGTGCATCACAGACTCAGCATGTCCTACTCTTCTAGTTGAATCTAGATATCAAATTGCTCATAAAATGCGTAATTGATTCATTTAAAATATCAGAGTTAACAGATTTTATAGGTTTTAAGGCAAAGTAGATGCTCTAAACGTAAATTTGATAGAGATACCGCGTTTAAATGAAAGTTCTCTTTATTTTTCCCCTTCTCACGAAACTTGGACGACAGGGGGAATCCACTTTCTCTCTGTTAACCCTTTAACTCCCAGACCAAATTTGTAATTCTCCTTACTGTCAACCATACAGTTCTTACAATGTTGGTTCAGATAATTTAGTATTGGATCAACTTATTATCCCCAAATTCAGTGATATATTTCTTTATTCTCATTACTTATCTGGTTGATATTGCATTGATATTGTAAGGAAAAATTCTGTCTTGGTCACTCATGGGAGTTAAAGGGTTAAGTGTTTCGTGTTTTACATAGGGGAGTATATTCCCTTCCTTTAGATGCCCACGAAGACACACGAAAAAGTCTACCTCACCCTAACATACTTTTCAATTTCTTGCTCTTCTACTCTCAATCTGTAGCTTACCTGTACTTTTTGTGTCGCCGCCGATTAAGTTGTTTTTTGTATTCTTGGCTGAGGGTTTTGGAGACGAACTCACACTTGACTGGCTCAGCGATGATTCTGAGCCAGACGAATTTTTTCTCGCATTGGCCTCCTTATCTTTGTTCTTGTCTTTGCCCTTATCTCTTTGTTTAAACATCTTCCTCCAAGATTTGGACCGTTTAAATTCGCCGCCACTGCCAAGCTGGAGAGAGTGAAGGAGTTAAGAAGTTAATTTAAGAGGAAATAAATCTAGAGAACTGTGTCGAAATCACACTTATTTCAGTTTACTAGCGGTGCAATTAAGGTTATAACATCTACCATTCAAATAACGATAAAACATATATACTACCTGCAAATCTTTAAAGGTAAATCAAGTATTATTGCACAGTGAAAAAAAATATATAATGATCTTACTTCATCAACAGTTTCTCTGTCGGTAGCATTCGCCAGTAGCCAGTTGAATTCTCGCTCAAGTATTTGACGAATCTACAAGAAATCATCCAGATTCTGTCAAGTTCAAAGGTACACACTGAAGGCATTCAACGCTTGTTTAAAGTACAGTAAACGAGGCTTGAGAGTGAATGTTCAGCAAATGACGTCATCATGTATGGAGGCTTATTTCAGGCGAGCGAAGGAGCAGGCGTGCGGAAAGAGCGGCGTTCAGGAAAGAAAAATAAAAGGAATACGGAAGAGACCTCTCGTCCCGCAGCCATGAAACCACTGTTTACTGGTCACCAGCTCCTTCTCTCGTCACAGAATATTTCCTGATTGGAGCCAGCCACAAGGGAACATGTGTTACCTAAAGCTCTGAACCTCGCTCTGATTGATCCGGGAAAATCGCAACACCATCTCAACCAGTCAGATTAAAGACTAGAGCCAATCCTTATTTAAACAAACAGTTTTTCCTGCGTTTCATACAGTTGGCCAGTTTTTACTTGGAATTGTTATTGGCTGATAATGATTTCAAGCTTTCCTCCCATTGGCTGTTGCGATTACTTTGGTTTTTCGATACTTGAGTGAAAATTGCTCTAAAAAAAACTGTCGTGACTAACAATGATGATTCGCTTTTAGGTTATAACATTATCGAACTGCTATAATGATGACTTTAAAATGGAAAATAATTTTGGAAACAAATAAACACAAGCGTACGTTACCTGTGTATTCTGACTGGGTATTTGTAAAGCATAGGCCAAAGTATTACAGTCAAAAGTGTCGTCCAGCGCAATCACTGCTCCATGTACCCCTGTGCCATGCAAGTTATCAGCATACTCAGCTAATCCAATCTTCTTTAACCAACTTATTAGACGCTCATTGCTCCAAACAAGTACATCTGAGGATAAACACATTTCCAGTCACATTATTTATGCGGTAACTAATAATCCTCTTCTTCATCATGTTGAAAAACAAACTTATGACTTTTTGAAGAAGTAACTGCTACTGTTTGTCCAAACTCATACCAAATATATATATATACCTAATAAATAGTAGATTTTTCAATGGCAAACCAATTTACCTTTAATCTCATCAGCACACATTTGTCTCCTTTTCTCTAGTAACTGGAAAAAAAAAGATAAAAAAAAACTTATTTCAATAAACATAGCAAATATCGCCTGCTTTGCCATCGGCAAGATGTTACTAGGAAAACTTCTGTTATTCACTTTAATTCTAGTATGTTATGCACTCCTACGAGAGTTCTATAAGATGTAATATTTGTCATTCTAGTTCATAGAAGTTTACAAAGCCAATAAAAAACACAACGAATTCTACCTCAACACTTACCCTTTTGTCGTAATTCATAAATCCTAAACATTTGACACCACACTGCAAGCTGTGTCTGTAACAAATAATACAGCATAGACAAATCAATCAATCCGTCAGTCTGTCAAACAGTCATTCATTCAGTCAGTCACACAATAACTTTTTTAGATCAGATCAAATGAGTATTAACCCTTTATTTCCGAACATTACCATGTACTAGATACATTCCCTAGGATGCTGACAAGGAGAATTGGAATAATCAAGAGCTTCTTTAGTTGATCGATTACTGTATTCTCCTGACCTTGGTATGTGTTTAAGGGGTGATATTGTAAGGAAAAATTAGATGCTAGTCACGCGTAGGAGTCAAAGGGTGAATAGCGTTTTTTTTTTCAGTGCAAAGTTGCAACTTATGAATTGGGTTTGAGTACTGTGCAAGCAAATAAAATAATAACATATTCTTCTTTGATAACAAAATCTCTAACAGATATGGTGCAAACAAATTCCAAACTTAACAATCAATTTTTGAATCACGATAAGAAAAATTTAACAGAGAACAAACCTGTGAAAGCCATCAACCACTTTCAAATATTTTTGATATTCTTTCTTGCTTATGTGTTCCAGCATTCGTGCGTCTACTAAACATTCTTGAAAAGTGCCCTGACAAAACAAAATATAGCAAATTATAGTTAACTAAATTCACATTTTTCATTGAACTGTAACCTTTATCTTTCATTCTTAAAATAAAATTTTTGGCTAAACTGGCACTCAGATGGTTAGAGCTAATCGGGACAGACCACTCTTCAAAATCTGGGAAGGTCTAGGAACAGAATCCAAATGAGAGAAAAGAGAAAAATATCTAAAATTAAACCTCACCTTGTACTGAGCAAGACCTAAGCTTGGCAGCCATTCATTTGCAACCCAATCATGGTTCATTTCGCCATAAACAAGAGACTAAAAGAAAGAGTGTTATAACTTAAGTGCTGCATGATCAACATCACAAGAAGTAAGAAAAGATTTATCACAAATGAATGATCTAAATACATGGTTAAATGAAAGAAAAGATAAAATGAGAAAGGCTGACTAAATCAAGCCTTCTCATTTTATTTTTTCCAAGGATGAGTGTCCTTTGCAGCACTTGTTTGATCTCTTTACATAACATGCCCCACAGATTCTTCTATTCATTGCTTTACTTTGCTGTAAACTCACATTTCTGTTGGTGGTAGGTGAGGAGGGACTTGTGAGGGTGACAATTTCTTGAATGGAGAGCCGCAACTTAAGTCGATGAAGTGGATTGGATATTCCAATTTCATGTTGAATCTCTGTATCTGACAGAGCCTGAAACAATACCAATCATGATCAGAATTTTATATCACACATATGATTGGAGTTTTGGTACGTCTCTGTTTTGGAATAACTATATGCAGCAAAAATTGAATTATACCTCAAGATAAATATGTTAAATATGATACATTACCATGAGAAACCATATAAAATATTGAGCAAGCGCAGTATAACAAAAGTTTCTTACCGACATTATGGCTCCACTCTTCACATTTGCTTTACAAGCTGCCACATACCAGGCTGGCATGCCTACCCACAACTATAACAACAAACAACAAATACAAAGGAAAACTTAGAAAATTCAAAACTTCCTCTATAATAGAAAACTGTTTAGACTTATGTCAATGGTCACTTCCACTATGTCATGAAATATTAAAGATGTTTTCATCATTACATTAAACAACAACTCTCCTCCATAAGTCGATTTATTATGTATTCCACTAAATAACTTGTTCCAGATTTGTCAATTAAGGCAATGACAAGATTTCCACAATGCTCTCTTTACTACTATTTAGGTGAAAAAACAGATTCTGGTTCTCTGTTTTAGGCACCATAAGATATAAAACTGCAAAGGAAGAAGGATCATCTGCATTAAACTGACCTCTAACCATGCCACAACTGTAGGTGCATTCCACAAAGCAAATGGTGTCCCAGCTTCTAGTGCCTCTGCTAACAAGTGTGATTTATTTTTTATTCGCCTGTCTAACTCACGTTGTCCACTCCCTCCTTGTACAGATTCGTTGGGGAGCGAATAAGAGTCTGTAAGGACACCTGTGCTGTCCTTATTTTTAGTCTTTGTTTTAAAAATTCGTCCAAATGATCCTTTGATCCCTTTCTTGCCTTTGCTGTTCTTTGATAGAGACTCTGCACTGCTTGTGGTGCTTGTTGCACTTGGTAATGAGTCTACTGAGCTGTCCCTGTCACACAGTGAAATGAAATCACATTAACAATTATTTACTTTGTAACATCATGACATATTCTTGTGAATTTAAAATAGGTCTGGCAAAATTGATGAATGCCTAGCCATGACATATTTCCTTAATTGCCACTGGCAGGGAAATTTGTTCACACGAGTAAATCATGTACTCTTACTAATTAAAGTTAAAAGAGGTTCCCTGGCTCGATGCTAGGTTAAGTAATTTTCTTTCTGCAGAATCAGGCCAGTGGTACTGTTCAGGAACAATAGAACTATGTTGACTCAGACCTGGTTAAATCACACTTGAGCAGTCCATGTTTGCAGCTGGAGGTTCTACTTATAATACATTTTCCTTTATTAAGCTTATTGCACTGCTGTAAGAGATGGCTAACCTTAATTTCATCATGCCATTGGTAGATGGAACAGTGCTTGCATGATCATGTAAAGGACTTGAGTTTGCACCACTCTGACTGGGTTTGGAACTCTCTGTAGAATCTGATGTACCTGAACTGGGTGTGGGAGGAGTGGGTGCATCATCTAGGGTGTTGAGTGAACCTTCCTTGCTTGACTTGACCTATGTACACAACAAAAGTTACCACTAATGAACACAGACATTTCAGTAAGTAATGTCTGGAAAGGCTTCCATGTTCACTGCTATACTCTGGGTTTTATAGCATACTTTGACCTCCTACTCTTAGTCATTCTTTATTGTTAGGGTTCATCAGAAATCTTCAGGTAGTTGAAAAAGAGTACAATTGAAGCCAGGGTTCAAACTTATTAAAATACAAAACATTGAACTTGACACTCAATACACACTCATATTATGTGCAATGTAGATGTCAAAAAAATGGAGGAGAATCAATCAGCACTAAATTCTGTCAATTCATCAAAGGTTGGAATTAATTCAGGGTTATATATAATAGTAAGCTGACTGGGAACTTTGCCAGAACTGTGCAATGGTTAGCTGGCTGAAATGCAACTATAACCACATGGTGCAACTGAAGAGACAATAAAGAATGACTGCCACAATTTTTACTCATCATCATCTACATTTTGCAAGCCAAACTTTTAAGACAAACATACACTGATAACTAATTTTCTGTAGCAAACAAGGTTAGAGTACACACCCAGATTGGTGTTGTATCCATTGGATCCAGAGGAGGAAAAGGAAATGATGTAGAGGATGCAACCAACTCCTTAAAAAAAAAGGCAAGAAAAATATTGAAACTGCGAAGTTGACCAGCAAGAGCTAGAAATGACTGAAAAAAATAGCTAGATCCATAGTCTACAAAGCTGACAACAAATTAACAAAATTAGAATGCTAAGTCTCATTAAATTAAAAGATGTTCAGTTAACCTAAACTTTGTGAAGAGGTAAGCACAAGTGATTTCTACCAATTCTCATACATGACACACATTGATATCTACACCAGTTAGAGGGGAAAGTTACCTCACTTCATGCACATTTTTCAACATAAGGAAATATTTAGCAGGACAAGGAGGCAATGGAGAGAAACAAATATAAACTTCATATACAAAAATTTTTCACAGCTACCTGGAATTTTTTTTTTTTTTCAATTTTAATACCACAATGCAGCTCTCTGAGCAAACAGTTAAAATAATGTAAATTTAATCTTTAAGACACTTATAACAATAGTCCTAAATTTCAAATAATTACATACCTGTTGAGAATTAGCTGAATACACATCTTGATGCCTTGGACTCTTTGTTACAGTATTTTCAAGTACAATGGCTCTTCTTTCTGTTGTTTTGTGTTCCTCTTGTAATTGACTAAAAAGGTTATTTCAAAGAAAAAACAACAGTAAATTGCAATAATAAAGAATACAATGCTAAATGTGACAAAATCTATGTATCAAATGGCACCTAGCAATAAGAAAACAACTTACTTGAGTTCCTTGTTAATAATATCTATCTGCTGTTGTAGTAGGGAAGCTAAGGTCTGTGCATCACCACTAACACCTCTTTCTTCTGATATATCACTTCCAGCATCACTTTCAATGTCTGAAAGTTTACCAGTGTCAAAGGCCATAGCAACATTCTTCAGAACACTTTCCTGTTCCAGTTTCTGCCATTCTTGTTCATTTAGTGTAAAGACCCTGCTTGGTGCTTCCTCTATTCCTGCGCGACCTTTTGTCTCTCGCCTGATTGGCTCACTAAAGCATCAAACGATAAGTTTGGAAATGTTTAGAGACTTAACCACAACCACACATATGCACTGACATAAAGTTCAATACTATTAGTAACTAAAGACAATTGTGATTGTAATGGTTACATAATTGTTCTCATCAATCACTTAGAATCACGTTCATAGTGTCCTTCCCACCAAATCAGGCATGAATATTTTAGAGCCCCAAACTACACCCTAAATTGTGTTCTGAAAGGGGGACAGGACATGCTAGTTTAGGAAAAGGGAGACTTAACTGCGAAACATCATTTTTGAAACAATAATTTTTTTATTCATAACATTCAGTTGATGCATAGTAACAGAGGAAACAGAAGATGATCAAACAGAAATCTTTAAACTTCATTCACAAGGATTCTAAGGATTTCAGAGTCTTATTAGATAGGATTACACATGTACTGTACTTTGCTTATGAATTCATACCTGAACTTTACAACAGGACCATTAACTGCTGCATTGGTAGGACCCTACATGAAACAGAAAGCTGAATCAGTTATTGAAACTTTGATAAGGATGTAGAGGACAACTTGCCCACCACCCACATCTAAGAAAGACATAATTGTTGCTGCAGCACTAGGAACTACAAATATTTCACTCCTGGGAACAATTTTCAAGCTATTGAGCTCAATCAAAAGCGATACATGTATAGCAAAATTAATGCCAAAGCAAGCACAAAGACAACTAATTTACCTTGGATTTAATTTTTTCAAATTCTTCATTCAGTCTTCCAAGTTCTAGAGCTAATATTTCCTTGAGGAAAAAAAAGATTGAAAAAGATGTCAATTTGTTTTGCCTCTGAACTAACTGTAGATGGTAACCTTACAATTACAGCTTGTTAAACCATTTGACTTCCAGAAGTGATCAACATGTAACTTATCCCCATAATATCCAGGATCTTGATCTAACACCAGATTCTCATAACTAACTTACAAGGAAATGTGTAGCAGCTACAGGGGAGAATCAACAATCAGATCTTGGGAGTCAAAGAATTATGTAGAACAACCCCAACAAGAATAAATAATGGCAAAGGATGGCTAACATTGGCATGGAGTACACAAGGAAAGAAAATTGAGAAACTCAGGTTAACTAAGCGTATTTCAATTAACATAAACCAAGTCTTTGAGAACATTTTTTAACACTGGAAACTAACACTATCTAACTGAACTGCATCAACTGAAGCAAGACTGTTTTTTTCCTTAATCAGTGATTATGAGTTCACCTGTGGTGACATTTCTGGTGTTTAAGGTTAAAAACTGTCTGACTTTAAAATAAAAATTGATTGTAACTTGAAAAGTTAAATCCTTTGATGGTCTTTTTTCTTGTTGGTTACCACCTTTCAACCAACCTTGAGAGATTGCTAACATGAAAATTGTACCCTTACTTCATACCTTTTCTCTTTGAAGATCTTCTACTTGTGATTTCACTGCTGTAAGTTCTTGATTCAAAGCAGTCTGGCAGAAAATTAAGAATAGAAATAGACATATTAGAAAATTGTTAGGAAATACTTGTATGAACCTTCCATTCAAGAATAAGATTTAAGTCAAATTAACAAAATTAATAAAAATCAACAAAGAGTATCTAGAAAAACTGATACAATCATGAGGTTTTCCTATGAAAATCTTGAATAGTTATCCATTATTAGAATGTGCTGAAGTTAAGTTTAATTGGGGAAAATGTAAGCATAAATCTCTTAAATTCTTAAAACAAAATATTATTGAACAGAGACCAATAACCAAATATCTACCCACAAGCAATGAAGTTAAATAAATGACAAACCTTCTCCTCTAATGCAGTCATGCGCTCCTTAAGGTGCACCTGTAATCTCTCATTAGACTCGCCTAACAGTTTATCAATTGTATTAGACAATCTTGTGTTGTGGTCTTCATTCATCTTTTCTCTTTCACGTGCCTAATATAAAAACAAACTTGACTTTTAACTGTTGATATCACTTCACTACCTGAAGGCTTTTTATCACATTTCTTAGTACCAAATAATTATCCTAGTTGATAGAGGCACCATGGCCAAACCTTGTCCAAGACTGTGACACAGTGACCCCAAACTAGGATCTTGTGGACTTTTTTATTTTATAGTGCCTACATCTAGGTTCATCAAGTGATTTTCTACTACCAAATAACATTCCTGGATGATAGAGGCATCATGGCTGCATCATGTCCAAGACTGTCACACAGTGACCCTGAACTAAGCTCTTGTGAACTTTTTGATTATTAAATGCTTGGGTTCATTTGAGTGTAAGTTTAGCAGGACCAAGCCTGTATCTGTGAATTTGGTGTGGATCCAGTGGTGACATATCCTTAATAAATTTCCTTACCTGGACTTCCATATTGAAAAGACAAAGAACTATCACAAAGAATTATTTCTATCAAATTACGTTATAAAGTAAATGGTTTGAACCCAGGAGTATCAGTAGTTCGTGTAGTGTGATCGTCCGGGTGAGTGTAGTTCTGAAAAGAACTGTTGTTGGTGACTGACGTTTCGACTATCTGTGCGATAGTCATCTTCAGAGTCAAGTGAGGAGTAGTTGTCAGTCGATGATGTTATAAAGTCTGGTCTGTCAACGACTGACTCTGGAAAGCTGGTTCACTAACTTAGAACAGACGCCTCTCAACAGATGTCAACAATTACCAGCACCTTACAAACGACTCATTAACGACGTGAACGAACCGACAAACAGACCGACAAACAACAGACGGATCGAAACCGACCAATGACTGTTAACAAACTCTACACGAGTCTTCCAGCCAATCACATTTCAGCAAAACAGACCAATCACGTTCAACAGACCAGACTTTGTAACATCATCGACTGACAACTACTCCTCACTTGACTCTGAAGATGACTATCGCACAGATAGTCGAAACGTCAGTCACCAACAACAGTTCTTTTCAGAACTACACTCACCCGGACGATCACACTACACGAACTACAAATTATGTTATGTTGACATTATTAAACATGACCCGTGCAGCCCTTCCCATCCATCTCTTACCCTGTTGAGCTCTGCTTGTAAGTCCTTAACCTGGCTCTGTAGTTGTTGAACAGTCTCTTCAGCTGTGCCTTGTTTCTCTGCAGCCTTGAAACACAACCAAAACTGTGTAATTGGTATCTGGACCAAAGCTCTATGTAGAATACTGATTGCAACTAAAAGTAATTTAAGGTCCTCCTTTGTCTGCCCATTAAACGACATTCACCAAAGACAGATTGTATGGTAAAAATAAATCAGGTTACAACAGACCCACTGCTTTTGATTATTCATTCAAATATTATAAGCAACAAAAAATTTCATTCAAACTTTTTCCTTACTGTTTTCAATTGTTTGGGCATTTCATTAAAAAATAAGGCTTTCATGGAATGGAATATTTGGGTAGTTATGTTTCTTTACCATACAATGTAGGTGATTGTGACACTTCATTCCTCTACATTATTGGGCTAAAATGAAAAAGAGAATGCGGCCATCTATATTTCTGAATATAAGTTCCCAACTGCTCTTACTATAAAACTAACAAGAAGTTCTCACCTCATTTAAAGCTGCCATTCGAACAGCTAGTTCTTCTTCTATTTTGGGTAAAGCTTCAGCTTTTCGTAAAGACTGGTTCAGGTTCTGCTCTGCTAGTTCTAGTTTTTCTTGCTGACACCTTACTTTCTCTTCAGCCTATTGAGTATCAAGTATTGAGTTATTTTAAAAATATACTCAGAGAAAAAAAAGTTGTGTTGCCAATATCAATAGTTAATGTTTCAAATTTTTGTAATTTGTCACACACAGCCAAACTGCAAGAAGCACTAGTAGATAACTGTAACTTGTATGAGATGTTTAATTTGCTTCATGAGAGTTGTATGGCCAACAGTAAGAAGAATTACTACTAAGATCTTGGGGGTAAAAGTGTTAAATCAGTAAAACTTTAGAAATCTTGACATCACTATCTTTCTACTTTTTCTACCTGGATAAGTTCACTTTCTTTGCTGGCAAGTTCAGTTTCCAGTCTCTCATTATCATCATTCAGTGCAGTGACCTCATGTTGAAGTCGTACATAACGCTTCTCAAGGGTTGCCACTCTATCCTCCATATCTGATTTCTGTGCTGCTGCCTGTTGGGAGACAAATAAATTTAAAATGCATCAGCTTGGCAAGAGAAACAGTGTATTAACAATTACTGAATTCCAGATTGGAAGGAAGGGGTCTGAGCCTGGCTTGTATGAAGGACTTGCTACTCTAAGTCAAGCTCTTTAACCCTTTCTGCTTGAAACTTTGTTTTACTGTAGTCCTTAATTGGAGTTCAACATACACCTACAGTTGCACTTTTTCAAATCTCTCAAAAAGTTTTTTCCCAATTTGAAAAGCAGCACCTCAAAAGATCATTGTAATTAGTTATTTGTATCTTTTATTCTAAGTCCTTTTCCATGATGACTTTCTAGGCTTTCATATCTGGACAAAACATCAACTGCTTTCCCTATTTTAGATTTAATCCACAGTAATTCATAAACATTTAGATGTATGTGTAACTCTTGACAATTGTCTTTTGCTATATGCACATAGGTCCAAATGATGTGATAGTGAATGATAGAACATGATTTGTGATGACCCCAAACAATTGGCTTTTAAGTTAACTTGAAAACAAATTAAGAAGAAAGACCATTTCAATGTGTAGATACCTCATCTAAATCTCGTTCTAGTCTTTGAATGGAGGCATTTCCTCTGTCAAGCTGTTTATTACATATTCGTAATTCTTCTTCAAGTGTTGTACATCTCTCTTTCAAGTCCTTGTTTTCTCTTGTGAGCTAAAAACAAAGGAAATTTCAGAACATAAGTAAGCAATGCTTGCAGTCGCATTAAGGATTTTTGAAAAAGCAAATGTTTTGCAAGCTTCAGTTACTTTTTAAAATTAAATTTTGCCTCACAAATTGCTCATTTACATGGAAATACCTAGTCTCTAAAAGGGAGAGCTGCATAGTTCAATTGGATCTTAAAAGTTTAAGGGTTGAAACCCCCATCCTTGTAATTCAGTTTAGGTAATTTACAAAAATCTCATGCCAGAGGATACAGACAGTTGTGAGTAGATTCCAACTACCAGCCAAAAGGGAACTAAGTTAATACTAAAACACAACAGCCGTTACCCGCTCCACTTCCTTTGTCCTCTTATCCAAGAGGAACTGCATCTCTTCCATTTGCTCTTCATGTGCAGTCACATCAACACTAACTGGTCCGTTGGAAAGATGCTGCAGAAAACAAAAACTTTTGGCTGTGAAAAACTATGCTGTTCGGTAATGCAGTTGTTAATTACATTTACCTGTATTTACAATGGGGAGATGACAGCAACTAAAAAAAAAATAACCAAGTGGAAATAAAAAACAAAGTGGCACTCCTGAAGAAGCCAAATTCTTTGTTTAACTTCATAACCAGAAGATACATTGCATATTTCCTCCAAAAATTATTACTGACAGAAACAATTCAATGAAAGGTTATCAGTAGTTGATTTTCACAACATTTTCATAAAAATTATTCTGTGAAGGGGGTAAATGAATATTGTTTAATCAGTGATGCCATGATAAAGTACCTTTAAATAACAACTTATTTCTTAGAATAAGTCATATTAGAAAAATCAACTAAGACTGAAATGTTAACCTTCTCTCCATTAGAATTCTCATCCCCATTTTCTAGACAGTTTTCACTTGATGTATGAAGTTTTTCTTCAGTTCTTACTCTTCTAAGATTCCGCAGTCTGATGTCTTCATTTTCTTGTTCAAGCTCTTTGAGCTACAACAAAAACCACAGAGAAATATTCAACATTTGATTGTATAAGGACTGGAAAAGGTTTCTCACAACTAAAAAGGATAAAAATCTAATTTATTAAATGGAAATGTAACAGTGAGAAATAAATCATTACTTGTCATCTCGAGGTGAAGTAAGATTTGACCTGAGAATACTTTCTCAAAAATTTGAAGGAAAAAAAAGGAAAAAAAAAGAGAGAGAGAGATGAAAATTTGCCTCATTCTTAACCAGCAACATGGTGACACAAGTTTGTCCACTCTTTGCAATTTACTTGAGAAGATCTATTCTTCACTCATAATCCACAACCTCTCAAAGAACAGCAAGTATGAAAGAAGATTAAGAAGTCCAATACCTTTTCTCGTGTTTCTTCAAGTTCTGCTTCAAGTGCATTGTTTTTGTCTACAGCTTGTCGTAGTCTTTCCCGTACCTATGCAATTATCACCAACTCAATTAGAAGACCACATCACAAGAAAGGTATTAATTATCAATGATATACAAAAACGGGTATTTTTTTGTTGACCAAGAATGAGCAACAAGTAATGGCTGTTCCTTTCAAATATCTGTCCATGTCAACCATAACTCATCACAACTTTCACTATAAGAACATAGAGCTGTGGAAAAACAAGGCCATAATGCAGGGTAAGGCTCCAAAATTGCTCACAAAATACTTCTTTAATTAACATTCTTGCAAACATGAAATATTTTTCTGAGTAACACACAGGACACTAATGCTGACCTTTTCATCTAGAGCCTTATGATGTTCAAAGAGAGATTTAAGAGCCTTGAGAACTTCTACTTCTGAAGATACTCCTCCTGTTGTGGCTGCTTGTCGTTTAACAACTGTCATTCTTAGTGATCTTTCATGCCGTGCTACTAGGCATTCTAGATGTTCCAAGAGAAGCTGCAAAAAGTTGGAAAAAAAACCCCGAAAATCAAAAAACAAACAAACAAACAACAAAAGAAAAACATCAGTCAATCCCTTTCAGAGCAATGTAATTTTTAACACTTGCAGAGTTATATATGTGTCTCTGTTTGCAACCAAGAGAGGCAATAAATTAAATCACCCCAACTGCTTAAACACACTCTGCCTCTGTCAGAATGTTACCTCAAACCCATGAATCAGTTTATACTTTTATGTCAGTGAGAAGAACTGACTTGACTTGAATACAAAATTGCACAAATTGTACATTAGACTTTAGAAGGAAATAGCTTTTTTAATTTTAATGCATTTAGCTAGTTAAATAATTATCAACAAATCAAAGACAAAAAAAAAAGGATAAAGTCAGTCCATATCCTATCAGTGTGACCCTTGTTAGTGTAACTGTTTGGTAGAAAGCAGAATTACAGCATATTTTAAATTAGTCTCTATCAGGTGAGTTTCAAGGTAATGACTTCATTTAATATGTCTGTCAGTGCCAGGGTGGTGAAGATTAATAAACAGGGGAGAGATAAGATAAGATTTATGTATCAGTTCAATCTGATAATGTTTGTACAGAAAGCACAAGCTGTGAAAGATTGCAAAATTATTCACTGATGTCATTACAATCATGGACAGACATCATAATTCATTTGAAGCTGAATTTAAATTGACAAGGGAGTTATGCCTTTCTTTTATTTCAAAAGGTGAATCTGTCACCCACAAGGGGCAGGGCAGAATATAAGATGCCTGCAATTTCCATAACATTAGACTTAGTTTGAGGGTCATAAAAAAGTGAAAAAAAAACAAAAGTAAATGCAATATTGTTTACAGAGTTTTCCAAAAGCTTAGGCAGAAAATGGGGGTTACCTTGCCTGTTAATGTCAAATTTATACCCTAGTCTTTTAGGAATTTGACTGTTTGTTTTTATTTTTTTAAGGGGAGGGGGAGGGAGAGGGAGAGGGAGAGGGAGAGGGAGAGGGAGAGGGAGCACTTAAAAACCACCAATATCCTATCACAGTTGCATGACAGTACCACACCCTCCCTTTCAAGAACTTGGAGGACCATTGTTTACGCATCATTGATTTACAATTAACTTCTTTGAAACTACTTCTGGCACAATGATTGTGATTGATGATATACGAATGAAAGAAGGGGAATAAAAAACACCTGGCGCAACCCTTTTTAATGGACCCAAAAACCTAACAGACCACACAAAATACCACAGAGATTTTTTAAATTCCTTTTAGCTGACAAAATGAGATACTTAGCAAATTGAATCATGTTAGTATTCAATACTATTTATAGAAAAAAAATTAAATATTGTGTTTATTTTCTGTGTTCAACCCGAAAAAGGGGGGGGGGGGGGGCAAGGAGGAGGAGGAGGAGGAGGAGGAGAAGGCAAATATCTGTAGGAAGGAAGTAGGTAAGTATGGGAAGTAATAAAGAACACTTAGCTATAAAGGATTTTGAAAACTAGTGAGAACAACTCTGACAGGATGTGTAAATTTGTATTGACTAAATCAAGTAGGTCTTATAAGGGCAAATTGATGGAGTGGGTCAGATAAAGGGAGATAGGTGGTGAAGGAGATAATTAAATGAGGGGGCTGAGATACGAAAGGAGCTGACTGTGAGGGAGGTAATCAAAGGGTGATTACTATTTGAATGACTATGGTAGATTCTATCTGTGGGAGTTTTTAAGCTTGCATTGTCCTCATGGAGCAATTTAACCCCTTTAGGATTTCGGATGTAATCAACCTATAAGGTCTCCAAGTGTTTTCAATGCTTTAGCCCCGGGTTAAATTTTGATAAAACACAAAATCTAATTTATAGTACAAGGGAATGTAAAACAGAGAGACAGGATGTTTACCATTTTGATATACATGCAAAGGGGTAAAGAGTTGTCGAGCACTGACAAATACTCACTCTTGTATTACATCTCTCAGACTTCAGTTCACTGATCTCCTCGTCCTTTTCTAAAAGTTGTTCCCTGGCTTGGTTTAGCTCCTTCAGCATTGTTGCAAAGTCCTACATCACAAAAAATTCTGATTTAGTCTGTACTGAGGCAAAAGACACACCAAAAACTTGATCTTTGTATAGGCAGTTTAAAAACTAGAACATTTCTAAAAATTCAAGCCACAAAAGCTATCATCTGCATATCTGCTTTTCATAAATGCTTGGACATTTAAGCAAGAAATGAATGAAGCTTAAGAATTTTTAACAGCAGTTTGACTAAATTAGAGTAATTGCTTTTCAGAAATGAACACGAACTATGCGTTGAGACAACATATAATTTTATTTAATAAGTGTGCATAATGCACAACAATATTGTGGTGTGTAAACAGACCAAGATAGGGTAAAACTCAGTTTGATCAAAACACTCGAATAAAGAAAGAAGCTCTTGACCTTAAGTCATAGTAATCTTTCTCGAGCAGAACTAGTACATAGCCTTCATATTTCTGAAAACCTGTCTCTGTTCAGTTTGGGTTCCATTATAACAAGCTATCTGCTTGATTTTGAAATTTCAAAACAACTACATCCCATAATTTACTTCCTATACAATGATCAGTAAAATTTTATTGTGTGCTTGTAGCTTTGGATCAAAATTTATAAATTGTATTAGTTTTATCCATACATACTATCAATTGGAGACATTGCAAACATCTTTAAAAAAAAAGTTGAACCTTGAAAAACTATTTCCGCAAACACAAGATGTCTATTCAAGTGTGTTTTTTGCCTATTGATGGGCATACTTGTACACTGTATATTCAAAAACAAAAACACAACTTGAGATGTCAACAGTGATGTGAATGTTGTTATTTAGGATACCAACTTCAATCCATAATAAATTTAAAGCGAAGTGTCTACGGCAATTTTAATAACTGCAATCCCTATGACAATACACTTTAGAGCAAGATTTTTTATCAACACTGATTGCCCACAACTTCCAAATATAACCGTAAATGGCTGACACAAACCTAGGAAAATATTTGCCAGGAAAATAAAACAAATAATATTCTTTGTTTAATCAATGTGCAAGTAATTAGATGCCTTGGACAGGGCGTGAAATTAATTTTTTTTTCTGATAGCTGATTCAAAAAAAGTTGATTGCCATTTTTAGAGACAAAAAACCTTTCTCTTTTTACGCTATCAGAGTTCTAGATAAACCCTCCAAAATTAAGTTCTACAAAGTTCTACAAAGTGGACACTAGGATGGATGATATAAAAACTTCAAGCTCACCTAAGTCCAAGATGGCTACTAGTTTTCGATATCACTTAACGAGGAAGTTTGCTGCGGATTTATCTTTCCAAATCTTTTTAATTCAATACATCTCTAGGTATGGTTATGATTCTAGTCGCCAATTTGGCGACTACTTTTCAGGATTTGGTCACCAAAGTGAAAAATTTAGTCATACTGGCGCCTGTATTAGGCGCAATTTCACGCCCTGTTGGATGGAAAAGGAAGGTAGCAAATAGAGAAGCCTCTTAAAGATGTACAACCACAAGACTCTTAACAAAAACATTTATTAAAACAAAAGTATATCATCTTGGTTTATATGTTTTTCAATACAAGTCAGTTGAACATTTGTAGCAAAACCAGAGAGACATCTAAGAGCAAACTTTTTCCAGAAAGAGATGTCAGCCAACTGCTTTTGACTTCTTTAAAACTAACTGCAAAGAACAAACTGTAGATTCGCTGGGGTTTAGTTCCAAAACACTTCTCAAATTTTGAGCTTATGGAATTGTGCAATAAACCAGGGTCTTCTTTACAAATGGATTAATTTACCATGGTTCTACCATATCCAATTGGTAACTTATACAAGGCAGTTTTTCTACAATAAGCAGTCTGTGAAAATATCTCTACCCAAGGGAAGATACCTCTGTGACAAATCAGTTATTACAGAATCTTCATTGGATTGTTTTGAACTATTATTTGACCCTTGAAAACTCAAAATAACTTTGTTTTAATGGTTATTAAAATAAAGGTTTTCTTTTCTTCTTCCTGTTCTTGGTATACTCTTAAGGTTATTTCAAGTTAAAATATCTGCTTACTGAGTTAACTGCTAAGCCAAATTCATCAGTTGTCTTGGTCACATTTTGATTTCAATCTATTACTTTGTCATGAAAAGGTTACTGCTCTTTAAAGAAACATTTATCAAACAGGATTAATCCAGGCTTCGCATAACCACAAACTTGAACAATGATTGAATTCATTATTGCATTTGAATCAGTAATTAACTACAAAAGTTTACATTTTACTGGTATTTGAGATAAAAAAATATATATATCTAGTGTTTGTCCAAATGAACAAAATTAATTTAAGACCCACAAAAGTAAAAAAAGTAATGAATTAAAAATCAATTATTCCGCACTGATGGCATAATCTAAATGTTATAATGACAATATTTCAAGTCTGTCTGTTAGCTTGTTGAAAACGTGACACTAAGTTTAAACTACAATGGTTATATTTCTGCTTCCCAGTCAAACAGTTTTTTTTTTTACTCCAATTTGTCAAAACTGTATGTACCATTTTGTTTACCATTTAAGCTAAACTCAACAAAGGGCTTCAATTTAAAATAAATTCTATGTATTAAGAAGAAATTTTACTTGAATTTTAAACATGAAAAACAAAGATTAAGAGAACACATTCAATTTGGAATCAAATCAAGAAATGCCACAAAAAAAATAGGTTCTGAAGACGTCAATCTTAATACCACAACAACTGAGTTAATTTTTTAAGCTTGTTATGTTATTGGTGAGCTCACAGCTGTATTAAAAAGCTCAATACACAAAATATGCACTTCGATCAAATTAATTACATTTTAGCTGCAGATTTGAAGAAATTATTAATATCCTTAATCCTGAGCACAAAAGAACATAAAATTGCCTTGCAATTAAGACAAATGTGATTCCAAGAAAGGTTTGAACTTCATATTGTTGAGTGAGTTTATACCCTTCCAAGTACTGTACAAAATGAAGCTCAGAAACCATTTGGCTTTAAAAGAGAACGAATTCACCTAATACCAAAAAAAAAAATTTGAAACCCACACCGTGACCTCACAACATTTATTTACATATCAACAAAATTTCTGTTTGCCCCTTACAAGGTAGGACGTATATTAAATTTCTGTTTGTCCATGGCAAGGTAACAGCAAGTGATACCAAGCAAATTGGAATTCTCTTATCACTCCTTATCATCACTTTATCAACGAGCGTGCAATAGAAGACGGGACTGAAGGTCTTGGATTACGTATATAGCTTTCGACAGCTTTACATATCTGCAACATTTCGGCACCGCTTAACATGCACAAACTCAACAATCACCGATCATGCATTTATTCTCATGCAAATCAAACTAAAGGGTTTCGTAAACACGCTACTGTCTAAAACAAAAAGGTTACTATCAACCGCGAGACGTTTATCACAAAGAATAATAGTTGTATAAAGGGTCATTCCTAAATATCGTGACATGCGAGCCACGAAAGAAATTACTACATAACACATTCAAGTGCTAGACTTCTCCGAGGCTCGAGGATCTTTACAATACAGAGTTTGTCAGCTGAGGGTTAAAAGGCAAACAGTGCCAGCTTTGAGCAAAACAGCGATTAAATTCCACGGCAAATTACAGTTGATTGATAAGTCATGATCAGTGCTATTAAAATTCAGCGATCCAAAACCTAGTGAAAAGTGTAGTATACCACATAGTGATCAAGTCACCGGAAATACACACTAAAGTACTTTTAAGAAACGAAAAAGACGAGGGAGAAACTATTTAAGGTTCCAAACTGGTTCAAGCTGAGAGAGGTGTTATCAAGCAAATGGAAACGTTATTATGACAACATGGTTCATTGCCGAAATGCAGAGCAAACAATATGACACAAGCCATCAAGCGAACGAAGTCACCTTATAAAAGCATTCTTTAAGAATTTTTCCACCGCGAAAACACGACATTCATCTGTTTTCTAGTGAGCGCTATGGAAAGCGTTCTGAATGATCACAGATATTCATTCATGCAAAACAAACAAGGCAGAAAGGAACTCTGTTATTTCTAACTCAAATAGAGACGAATTAGCGATGCAATATTTGAGATATCAAATGTATTTAATATTCGACACATTGAATTAACGTAAACGAAACAAATGGGGCTAAAAGTAGGAGACAACTGTTTTCGAAAGAAATGCGTAGGCTTCTATTTCTAAAATTCTGCGTAAATTCTTAATTTAAAGATCACGGATTGGACAAAGGTTCCCCACAGTATTGTTTACAAACACCTTGCACCAAAAGCATAACTCGCTTTCTGCTAAAAAGATTCTATAAGGGAAATTATTCCTAAGAAAGCCAAGGAATTGCTAATTAAAATAATACCTGCACCTTTTGGCGATGCGATTAAAGCAAATCGCTCAGGCCTGCAGAACCAAGGCTGTGCAGAAAAACAAACTTTCTTGCACTTACCTCAGCTAGGACTCGAACTCGATTCTTTTTGCCAGATTCTTCTTTCAAATTATTGCCCGACTCCGTAATAATCCCATCTAGACCAGCTAGTCTTTCAATTAGTTGATCATCACCCTGCAAATAAAAAACGTTCAACCGGATAAGATCAGAAATCGTTTTACACACGTGTGAGATCCTGTAAGATAGTTCTCAAGACAGATTTAATTTAGCAAGGTAGAAAACGAGAACGTATCGAAAAACATAAATATGCATGACTTTGGTGGAATATAACATAAACTCATCGGTAAATTATAAGTTCACGAGCCACAAACTGGCGTTATCACCTCGTTGGTTGACTCTGGTACTTCACACTATAAAGAAACAGGCATTCTTGCTCACACTGTTGAGGAATGCGTACTTCATTCGGCACACGACAATCAGAAGATTCTTGTCGTATTCTGGAATTTTATTTTCGTTCGATTAAACCTACAGATTAGGCCAACGCTGTTGCTAATCGAAAGGGTTTCTTGTTGAAATACTCCACAGACACTTCTTGGTGTAGAATAATACCCGTGTGCTCTGAGTGAGTAAACACTCGCTACATGAAATGACACTCAATTACAGATCAAATATGGCGTATTTGAGTTAGCCAAACGAATGAATGGCCTAACCTCAGACCGGTAGAATAGCGATTAAAATAGAGGTAAAAGTCTCCCTTACATCATTTAGCACAGTTTCCAAGTGACTCATCAGACCATCCTTCTCTTTTTGACATTCTGTTAACTTTGCTCTTGTGAGCGCCAGCGAATCTTGAGTTTCGCGAAGAGTTTCCATCAGCTTGTCCCGTTCGTCGAGCATATTAACCATAAGTTGCTCGAAGTTTGTCTCCTCATTTTGCCCATACTGAATCTCTGGCGGGTCCTCAGAGATCGTAGGCATTATATCGCACATCATTTTGGCGACAGAACGAAACGCTGAATCTCGGAGAAAACCAGATCAAGTGAATGAACTATTTGACGTACAATTACATGGCCGCAAGGGGTAACCGGCGAATACTTCCTCTAGCTAGCGCGCAAACGGGCGATGGAATCTGTTTTCCGCGCATTCTTCAGCCATCTTGCGAGCTGTGGATGCCTTGCACTTATTCGCAGCTCTTTTTAGGGCAGTGCAGAAGCTCGAGAGATGGTTAATCGCTTTTCTGGACGTAATTCAGTCGACAATCGCAAAAGAACAAGATACATACACACAGCTCAGAGAGCAACTTGCAGTATATCCCATTAGGCCACGCGCGCTTGGCGTGTTCCAGCCACCTGTCAGAACTTCACAACAGAGGAAGACAAATTTTCGTGGGTTCGAAAAAATTCTGCCCACACAAAAACACTTGAATATCTTAGATTTTAAAAGTCGTGAAAGAGTTCATATGCGTAGCTTAAGAGATTCCTGATAAACAACATATTTCAATCCGTGTGGTGGCCGCGAAAAGATTAAATTTTTGACACTCGCCTAAAGTAAGTTGCGTTGTGTTTATTTCAGCATATTGTTCGCGCGGGATATTGTTTTAACGATATTGTTTGAGGAAAATGAAATATCCTAACCTTAACGTTCGATATCATAATTGAACAAAATTTTTATCGAAGGAGAAAAATGATTGATTGGAAGAGAGTGGGCCAACTTCAAAAACTCATGGTGTATAAATTTAATAGTTACGGTGTTGTTATTTATTTCGAGTTTACGCATACAATTTTTGGAAAGAAAGTAATCAATTTTAGCACATTCCACAAATATCAAAGGTTTTCGTGTATCCCGTAATGACTTTTCCATATGAATAATTATGCAATTACTTAACGATAAAATGTGAGCTGAAAACCGGCTTCAGCAATTACGGAGAAAAAAAAAAAACTTTTATCTTGCGGGATTTCACGGGATACTACTATCTCGCGCGTCGGCAAAAATGAGACAGCCAGACACTCGTCTAGAGAACACTTGATGTAAATCAACACTTACTCGTTATTACCATTCACTTAGCGAGCTTTTCTTTTGTTTAACACCCAAGGGACAGAGGACGTCTGCAGTACTGGACAACTAGGCCTACTGGCTTAGTTTGCGGAAGGTGAAATACGAAAACACAGCTCAGTTGATCGCCACTGAAAAAGCGATTTACGACACATTTCTTATCATGTTCAGCTTGTACGTTGCGAAATCCCTATTAATCAAATGTTAAAATAACTTACTAACCTTGGGGAAAAATAAGATAAAGTAGGCTATTCTAGACAAAACATGCGATAAAATCAGGATTGAAAGGAGATGTCAAGCCCTCGCTTGATCTGAAGTTTCTTCCCTTTTTTTTTTTTTTGAAATTTCACTGGATCAGTAAAAATTATTTATCACCAGTGGTTTTGAATTCATAAAATATAAATGCACTCAAGAATTAACTGCAAGAAAATTGTCATTTCTCCCGAGACTTAATTGTTTTCATTTTAACCCGTGTAAATTTTGATTGATCACTCGACTTTCGAAAAGAATCGAAAGCTGATAAGAGATATTTTGCCTTCGTTTTATGCTATTGATCTCGATAAATCTCTCACGAATTGCCGTCAAAAATGAAATTAACGGTGAACCGCTACCTATACTATTTTAAACTTTAAATCGTCTTTCCCAACTTATCTACATTTTGCATTCAAGATACATCAGCCATTTATAAAAATGCATTTTTGCGGCCATGATTATTAGTTCTCATGGGCAAATATAGTGTTTAGCAGTTGCGACCATAAGGAGAACCGGTCAGAAAGGCGGCGGAGCGTGGGTGGTTTATCATAAACCATGCCATTGATTGCACACCCTTGCTCAAATTTCCAATTGGCATCAGGAAACCTTTACTCAATCATGACTATGTCTGTGTCCGTGATTGATTTGCGACAATGCATTAATAGATCTTTGTTCCGCCATGTGCGACCTTATTGTAACAATTCATAAAAAAAAATAATAACAAAAAAAATTACGCGACTGAATACGTCGCTTGCGGAAATTTTCTTCGGGGGGAGGGGAGGGGGTGTTCCTTCAATTTTTTCATGACTTCTCTTGGGTCATTAAATTTCGACCCAATAACTAAAATCATTTAGTCAAAATAGCACAGAAGACTTACTAAACTGGTAAATTATTTCTCCGTGGAAGTCAGTAAAACAACAAATGCCAACTTATTTCCTTGTTAAGCCTTGAACGCCAATCTAATTGTAGTTGATAGAACTTCTTATTAGAAATACGTCTCCTTGTTCGAAATTGGAGTGAACGTTTTCGACGATAGAGGTGCTAAAAGTTGTTATATATTTCAATCTACACTGCTGAGGGAACCTTGTCAAGGAAAAACTTTTCAAGAAAACGTCGCTCCTTAAAGGGGCTCGTTCCATTGATATATTTATATCACATCATTCAGTTGCCGGAAATTTTCTTTTAATGTAACCTTCACCTATCCTAGATCTGTACCTCAATTGCAGCAAAACACACGTGTAATAAATCTAAAAATTGCAGAGCGAATGTGAATTTGGAATCTGTTAGAATAGAATTTCTATTACAGCAATACGATCGTTAACCAATTCACTTTGAAATTATTAAGACAGTGATTGCTTGAAACGAGATACCAAAGGAACAGAACAGGTGGAGAAAGGTTAGTAGAGTGGGAGAGGTTGTGATATCTTCCGAGGTGGAGTACCATGACCTACAAGGGAAAGTACTCTTCCTCAAATTTTACGAGAACGCAAACTAAAAGCAAATTTTGGGAAATGAGTCAACCAAATCCATTTTCGTTGGAAAAGGTGGATGATATTCTTTGCAAACACTTTAGCTGGCTCCGATCCCTTTCTTTTGACTGTTGCCGAGCGAAAGGACCAGGAAGTTGGAAACTGGAATTGAATTATTTCTGCAGATGTAACTGTCAAGGAAATTGGAGTTTTAAATGCAGAAGATTAATTCACGCTTGGTGTGTCTTCTAACCACTGTAGTTCAGTGGTGTTGGTCGAAACTAACGATGGCCCTGCTGCGACTTTGGTGTTGGTCTAGGTTCCACACCGCGGCCACACACAGGCACAGTCTCCATGAAGACTGTTCAAGTACGCACACGTGCGAAATAGATTACGTTTGGCTGTCACTGTTCGGAGACAGATAAGTATTACGTTAATTCACCGAATCATTCAAAAATCTAGTAATATGCTTAAGTATAAAAGAAACATACAAATAATTAAAAACCGGTACTATGCAGCTTCATACGGAGATGGTTATTCCCTCAACGGTCAAATTACTGCGTTAGGCGCAAGCGGGCAGACTGAGCTTTTATGAGACTGTCTCTTCTTGGTTTTTTTTTTTTTCGTTTTCAGTGAATTCAGCTTTTTTGAACGGCTCGCTCTTAGAATCTTTAGGTGCATTAGTATAGGGAGGCGAGGGTTCCAGTTTAAGGGGGACCTTTTGCCGATTTCTTCTGTCAAATCCACGATCATTGAGGCGTCTAAGAATAAGGCTTTGAAGGATTCAAAAGAAACTATGCTCGCTCCCTACAGAAGGTAAGATTATATGCCATGCGAATCTCTGTACTGTAACGAGTGCAAACCCTCTTTCTTCGTATCTGAAACCGGAGGGTAAAAGAGCAAGCTTGTTTATTTAATGAAAAGACGTGCACTTTAACACACCTTTATTTACACTGTCACCGCACACAAAAACAAAAATATATACAATATTCCAATAAATTGGAATCTCGCAATTTTTCCTTCCGGAAGTTAAAAAAGTTCGTCATTCAGCAGTCAAGCGTAATCGGCTAGTGCACAAAAGCACTCCAAGTGAACAGGAGAGCATCTGTCACGCACAAGACTTGTTGTTGTTGTTGTTGTTGTTGTTTCGTTGTTGTTAACAAGTCCATATCCGAAACCCACTGATTTCTCCAATACTTCCATTTTACAAGTTCTCTTAACTGTTTCTGTTACTCTTGGGAAGGTTTGAGTTTTCGTTTCTGCAAGGCAGCAGCTGCTGTGCCTGGCCTCTGTCCCAGAAATGGTGGGTCAGGAAGTTTGCGGGAGGGTCTTATGTTATCTTTCGTTGGCGGCACATTCCTGAGATATGAGAGTAGCAAGGAATCTAAATGCGCGCTAGATAATAACTTTCTCAGACATGTAACACTGCTTTTGCCGATTAAAATTCTCTACTGTATTGACGAGAATTTCCATGCGTTGAAAGTAAAACAAATCATGCCTGTTTAAATGTGGTTCTATTTTTGGATTTTGTCAATGAAGAATCGATTGCTCCCTTCCGCATATCTACTAGTATGACCAATATTGACCTTACAATGTTGCTTGTTCAATCTTGAACATCACAAAACATGTCTTGTTGACTGAACAATTTCACTGTCCTACCTGGGACGACGGTTGATTCGCACAGGCGCAGAGGACGAGCGTGGTTCCGTGTCTTCCTCTGCTGGTAGCGCCTGAGAGGATCTGCTATCTAGAGACGCCGATGATAAGTTTTTGTCCACTTCAAAACTCTCGTCTCCATGCAGAGTTCGCAGTCTCAGTTGGTTCACACTAGTCTCACCGGAAAGCTGTCGGAATCTGGGGCGCAAACAGCGTGAATTAGCCATGTTTTAGCGTTAATATGACTGGGAGATATGGAGGAATGAAGAAAAATCCGACTTGTGTAAGGACTGAAGAGCACTATGGATGGGGTATGGTTTATGAGACACTTACATTCAAACGGTGAAAGTTTCTCAGTTTGAGTGACAACCAGCCATACAAAACAAAAGGCTAACTTTTATATTGCAATGCTCTTACAGACCCTGAAAATATTTGAGAAGCCGGAGAAAAGGAATAAAGGCCAAACGCTGAAAAACAAGATACAAGAGCATATTACCTTCGCATCCTGAAATCTGCTGCTGTGTTAGGTCTGCTTAAAATTTCCCTTCCGACTAAGGGGGGATTAGGTAGTGAACGGCGTAAGGCAGAAGGACTTCCTGGGGGGCGAGAGGGAGGGGAGGGAGAGAAGGCGCGTGTGGCGGGGGGATCCATTGAGGGCGAGGTTTTTGGTAACTCACTGAAAGAAAGAAAAAGGCTTGATTACCTTTCCTCTTCTCCTCCGCTTTAGCAATAGTTTAACTAATCTGCGATACTAGACAGAACAGAGTGTTACAAAAAGCATCAACCATCCACTAAACAATCAACTGAACCCTTGAAGGGGTGGTGAAGGGAATGCTGCGTCTCGGTTTAACTATCTTGTAAGAATTTCCCACATTTTCAAGTTTTTCATTTTCAATCTGTGTCCATATTCTCCAGTTTTCTCTCGCCTCCTTCCTTCTTTGTGTTTTATCACCTTTTAAACTTTTTTACTTTATTTGAGTGACAGTTACAAGTTAAAACGGAAAAAAAAACCAAAACAAAAAGAAGCAAAAAACAATAGCGAGTAACTCCTTTGAGCTGCTTACGCTGCCATAAATAGCTCCTGTCAAAATCAATTGGTGGAAAAAAAAAAATCAAACAATCACTACACGGCAACTTAAGTTCAAATTTTTCCCATTCTTTTGGTGAGGAAGGAATGGGAACTTCTTTGTGGGATGAATAACAATAACAAGTCTTTGATATTCACTTCAATCGAGACAGCATTCAATTCAACTCACCTATCGAGTGCTCCGCTATTTGTGATTGTGCTTCTTTCCTCATGTAACATCCTAAATGTACAAGAAATTTCGATAAAAATGTAAGTGACATGCATCGCACAAACAAAAATAGTGCGACAAACACACTCTTCACCCGCCCAACCACCCATACAAGATTAAGTTCGAGTGGATGGTATGCTAAATTGAGCCATAAAAAATCTCTTAACGCCTAAATGTAATAATTGCGGTCAGAACAGGAAGCAGTTTGGGCGTTTAGCTTATCTAGTTGTTTTCAAAGCGGAGGGGTAAAGTTGTTCAAAATTACTCCGCGTTTGTATTCAAAATGTAATTATAAACAATACAAATTTACATGGAAGGGGATGCCGCTATCGTTGAAAGAGCTAGGTTATCGCTAGTTCATCTCAAAGAACTAAACCTATATTTGGTAAATTCGCCATCTGTTATCCATGCAAATCGTTTTTTTCCTTTCACTATTTTACCGCTGGAAAGTTTGTCTACCCACAAAAAATAATCCTCCAAGATTTCCTTCTCAAAACTTTGTAAGTCGCTTGACCGAGCAGCTACGCATTTTCCTTAATTAATTGACGAGCGAGAAAAAACGTGGGTCATAGAAACACACTGAGCCAAGCTCACAATAAACACTTAACGTGAATTATTTATGCCTCGGAGAAAAAAAAAACTTATGGCAAGACATCAATTCAAAAGTACGGTAACCAACGCTAAACGGAATGGGAAAAGGGGAAGGTTTTGAGTCGTTTATGATATTTGCTGTTCCATTTGCCACTTGATTAAATGGAACTTTTTAAATGTACTTCACGAAGATAGCTGATTAAGGTACAATTTTCCTGTCAGTAGTTTAATATCTCATATTCTCATACAACATCGCACTAATTCAAATGTCTCTAAATATGATCATTTAGAGATTGCAGTCTCTTTGTTAATAGCAGTGACATTGGCCTGATATTTTAGGGACATAACATCTAAAACAGTCTATTAGGGAGATGGAGTTTCCCTTCGATGAATTTTTGAGGAGGGTCTCTTTCTTAAGCAAGCGCTTTCCAAACCAGACGACAGTGACGCAAATTTGTGTCAAAATTGGCGATTAAGCCGATGCAAACAACACCACCTGTTTCGACTAAAAGTACTGACGTATGCGGGTTACTGATGTGAAAAATTGGAATATATGACGTGCCTTTGGAGTTTCGAAGTTTGGTATTGCAAATAAAAGGTTCCAAAACAAATTTCAATCCCTCTTGTCAACCCGAGTATATACAAACAGACGACTCATAAAATTTGTTTACATTTGAAACAAAAGAGGTATGAAAGGAATGCAGTTTGTATGATGGGTTTCATGATTGGGTTTTTCTCTCTAGTTATTCAAGACATGTATACAAAGTCAATATAGTTTCAATATTCTTTAAAAAAAAGAAAAATAACCAACCAAAAAAAGGACTAACGCACTTTCCAGTTACAAACGTTTGACATCACGATGACTATAGGTCAAATGACTGTTGGGCTAACACAAAAAATTATTTCCAGAGCTATCATGTACAATATTATTATCCTCTCAAAACTAGGGACTGTTTAATCTAGCATTTGTTCTTCATCTCTAGGAAATTTTGAGAGTCGTCTGAAAGGTATGAGAAAATTCTAAAATGAGCTATTGTTGTCGACGTTTCCGAATCAATCACGTGACCCAGAGATGCGGCAAAATGGGTTTAAAGTTTGACTGAACAGGCAAACCACCCGTGAATAAACATAGTCGTGACTTTACCCTTAAAACTACACTATAAGTTCGAAGCCGAGATGTTAACATGTCGGTAAATTGCCTGTTTCATCAAAGAGTTACACGCATGGCTGGTTCCCAATCAAAACCGGAAATTTTCTTTAAGTCCGCCCACAGCACATGTAAGTTCTAATAGTTAAATTGCTTTTGTTTCGCTTGATTAATATCGCTCCGAGCTGAAACCTGACAAACAAAGTTTCTTGCTAGCGGGCTTAAAACGGGTCAGGGTGGTAGGATATTACGCCAGTGTATCAGTAATTGCACTCAAATATTTGCTGTGTCACTGTATGTCTTAATCATCTCATTTCCGAGATCTGCCGGCAAGTTTCCTTTAATGATATCCACACAAGGCATTTCTTTTCCAGTGTTTCCATCAAAGAAATATCTTCTAATAAATAATTTCCTTCCTTCTTATTTCCCGTGTGCTTGATAGTGTACTAACTTTGAAAGAAATATTTATACCCTGACTAGCCCTGGAAGCGAGAAGGTTTACCGTATAAGTGCAGTTCCTTTAGAGGACTTTTAGACTAAAACACTTGCTATCATGGTGACTCGAAGGGGGGGTATATTCAGTGGATGCCTTACTTGGAATACTCCTCTCTCCAAGCTTTAAGTTCGTTAAGGATGTCTTGTTTGCTCGCTGCTGGTTCCGTGTCGTCCTCAAAGCTTTTCTCAGGCGTGTAAAGCCGTGGACTTTCGAGAAACGTCATAACAGGCATCTTGGGCGTTTTCAAATCCTGCAGCATATAGCGAAATTTTTACGTCAGCGTCAAAACTAATCCGACGTTGAGTAGGTATAGTTTTCAAATGCTTTGAGAATTGAGGAGAAAACCCGCGCCATTTTCTCGACCAATCAGATTCTGTACTCTAGAATCAATTGTGGCCTTGTTATCCACACTCTCTTTCAATTGTAGCCCGTAACAGAAGTTTTAACTTACGTTCCTGCTGTTCCGACATGATATTTACCTTTGTTATGACTGGCAACAATGATTACTTTGGCTTTCAGTGATTTTAATACACTAAATTGAAAAGTACTTCAAAAGTAAAAAGGAGAGGCTTTTCTCGGTTATGATGAACATTTTGTTAAAATTTCAGAACCGGAAATTTGAATTCCATGAAGTAGTTCTGATTTTGTTACGTAATACACAAGCAAGAAGAACATTCACAATTATGAATTTTCGTGCTCTGTTACCTTTTGTCTTGACTTAAGAGCTCGTGAAATATTTCCACAAATAACCTGACTGGAACCTGAAAGATGTAAGAGATAACACAATGATTTTAGAGAGCATCGCTGCTACCAATTTTACCCATAACAATACTCCCATCTCAAAACTAGAGATTTAAGAATCCTTTTTTCACAGCTTATGCAACAATTGGATGGAAAAAGAAAGGAATGTTACCAAAGTATAGTAACGTTGACATCATCATCAAAGAGTATCCTGGAAAGAACCAACAGTGCAACAGGTGGCAAACAATTGCAGACTATGAGCCAATTCATCTCCCATTAATTACCACCAATACATTACCAACACCTAAATTCAGCATGTTAAGGAGATAGAAGATTCAGATCAGACAAGGCACTAACCATGAGTAAGATCACTGCTGTCATCCTGGCGAAACACTCCAATAGGTTCAAGGCCTCCTGAAATACAAACATCAGTTATAAAGTTTTTGACACTGCAAGTGCAATATTGACCAATTTTCGTACTAAAATATCTTAACCAATGATTTGATCTCCCAGATAAACAGATGATTCCTTGGAAAGAAATGTATTTCAAACCCTTTAACCCTTTACAACCTAACATCAGTATGCATATTCTCCATACTTTAATTGATACATTTCTTAATATACTGACGAGAAGAATTTGTTTAACAATCAAGAGATTTTTTAAGTGGTGATTGTTTTCTTTATTGGCATGACCTTAATGTGTGATTAAAGATGATATTGTCAGAAGTTAGATACTAGTCACTCTTAGGGGTTGAGGGGCAAAAACATGGCTCCCCTTCAGTTCAAGGTAGGTGCTCTAAGTGTTGTAATGCTTGTTTTCTTTGTGTGGGAGTGAAGGGCATTGCCAAAAACCACAACACTATGACATGGTTAGGGCTTGCATGCAAACAAATAGGAGTTCCAGTGCATGATTCCCAACATTGCTGCTAGGAAATGTGGATTGAAAATTAATACACTTTTTTTACCAGGCTAAAGAACAAAGGTCTGTGCATATAGTATCTCTCACCTCCTGCAGAGCCAGGCCTCTGACCCATGGCACTGGATGGTCTCTGCCGTGATGCAGACATTGGGCGTTGTCTGGTGGACATGGCACTTGAGGGTCTGTTTTGTCTTGATGTACCTGCTGCTGAGCCTGGTCTCACCAAGTCAGCTGTTAAAACAGATCAATACTAAATTTAAAAGTTTTACTCTCTCTAGGGAAGGAAATAAAATTTGACAAAGTGTTATTACCAAGAATTGGATAGTTTACTAAGCAAGCAATGCATGGTTCCGAACATGTACTAACTTGACAAAGAGTGGAATTTGTTTGGGAAAGGATAGATTTCTAATTCATTTAAGACTGCAACTGATGCATGAGTAACCATAGCTAAATTTGTGAAACTTATCATCAGGGTGAAGGATTGTTTTGTTATTTTGATCAGTTTTATGACTGAAAGACAATCCTGGGCTGAGACTTATTACTTTCAAATGATCCATTGTTAGTGATAAGAAAAAAGAAAAAAAAAGATTTTCTTGAATGACGTGAAAGGTTGGTATCCAAAATGCTTGTTCAATCCTCTTTTGGCTTGTGATAGAAACATTTTTCAAAATCCACACCAGTTGCAAGAGGGAAAAAATGAAGTTTTCTAACCATAAAGATTCACTTTTATAACTATTATCACAATTATAAACATACATGGATTGTCCTCCTCTTCCTCAACATCAACTGCTTTGATTCCCTCATTGACCAGCTGCCAGTCTTCTTTGAGATGTTCTGGAACCTTAGTAGCTCTGTGTGATGCTGGTGGCTGCCGCAGCACAGGCTTACCATCAACTTTTTCCACCAAGAAAGGTTCATCATCCAGTGTTTTAACATTTGGAACAGCTTTGTGGATTGCACTACGATAATCATAGCTTTGTAACTCCTGAAAATTAGGCAAATTTATTCATTGAAATAAGAGTAGAAGCATCAATGTGAAGGGATTGTATGTTCCCCTTTCACTTCTCTCTCTCCTCAGAACAACTAGGAAGAGTTTGTCATAAATACCTATTGTGGTTCCCTAGTAAATGATTATCCAGAATTTTCTCCCCTTTTTATTATTATCTCAATACAAAATACAGCAAACAGTTGACAAGACAAGGTAAACTTGTCAGGTAGAGGGTAACACCTTAGCAGGACAACTAATTTCTACCTCTTTAAAAACGAAATTTATGGCAGCAGGAAGTGGGAGGGGGGTTTCCCATTAGATCTCTCTAGGAAGTTAAGGGATGAAGAGAATGGTTCATTTTTACTATTAGCATGTCCATTACTTCCTTTACTTTGTGAGTACAGACTGAACATGTAAAATGTTTGTGTATACCAGTGCAGAATTGCCTTCTGTGTTTAAGTGGCAATCCACTGCATACATGTCACACTGTTTTGGGCTGTTTTCTTTTACTACATCTCAATGAATTGAACCATGGCTGGAAAACTTAGGGGGTTTCACACAACTTACAGTAAGTAATAAATGTTGAAACTAAGTGCTATACAGCACTTTTTCAAACCAAAACTACTGGTATTGATCACAAAAGTCAAAGAAACAAAGCCAAAGAAACCTCTAAACCAGTAATAAATAGATACTTAAGAATGGCTTGAAAAATAAGGTTACATAAGACTATTTATCTGATAAGGGTGGTACTAACTTTATTTACTAATGAGGCAGAATAGTAATAAAAGCAAACCAAAGGAAATCCAAACAACTATCACATATATCTATAACACAAAATTAAAAATTTTATGATAAAATCATGTAATGCACACCTCTGATGATACTAAGGGTTGAGGGGCTGTACAAATTGGGTTTCCCTCTAGTGTCAAGATCTTCAGTGACGAACACAGACATAAAAATTCCACCTGTGTGATGTCACTCACATTGTTTCTGAGGATATAATAACACAAAGAGTTCCATCAATGTCATTTATAATGCCTCAGATAGCACAGTGTTTCCTTTTAAAGAACACTAGGAAATGCTTTTCCATGCTTTGTAATGTAAAAAAATTCATTGATGTAAACACTTTTTAATAAGAGACCCTTAAACCTCATCACCAAGCACATTATGTACTAATTGACTGTATGGGAGGACCAAATAGGAAAATATTTGGCTTAAGGTCATGACGTGCAGACCAAGAGCCAAATATTTATTTCCAGCCCTTACCAGGCTCAGTTGCTAAGCATTTTATCATATTACTACTAAGTGTTAAAAATTTAGAAAAATTTTGTTTCAACCCAAATAAGATGCAATAGATGGACTTTTCCATTGTTTCTATGAGTCAGAGCAAGAAACTCACAATTCATCATCCTTCAAGTTTTTTAACAATGATGTGTGAGAGCAGTACTGGGACATCAACCTGTGCAGCACTACATATGTCAGCTTTCACTATGGTTTTCTATGGGATTATTCCTACAGAGCTGTAATGATTGTGTATAAAATACAAATTCTAAAGGAAACTTCACATATCTCCTGTCTCCCCTACAGTTGTACTTCGAGGGGAGAGACTGAGATAAAACAGTCAAAAACAAATTTTGATTGTGGAGGGGTGAAATGTGAATCAAAATCAAGTATCTCCAGATTTCCGATTTTCCATAGGTTGGCATCTTCAATTACTACTGGAGCTAATTCCATTTTCTACAACATGAAAAGGCTAAGGGTGTTGCTACTCCATGAGGAAAGGACACTTGTCCCACTGCAGGTAATCCACATTATTTTGCTGAGTTAACCTTCCAATAACAGTTTTCTAGAGCTCACAAAGAAGCCTTTAAACAACCCCCTAAGTATAAGGAAGAACCAAGAGCCTTATGCCCAAAAACATGACACAGTGACCCCAACAGGGATTATACCCAGGGTGCTTCCCCGTGTAATCCACAAGCCAACCACAGGTTGTAATTTCTACAACTTAAGAGAAAAGATATGAAAGTCAAAAGTAAGCGTATCTGACAGTAGACTTATTAAACCTTGTGTGATAGAGTGTGATCTTGATGCTGTAACAAAAAAGAACCCAAGTTTATTTTCTGTTTTTTCTTACCCCTCCAAGTCTAAAATCTCCAGCTGGTCTAACATGCTGACTGGGCTGACATCCTCAATGTGATTAAATGCCAAGTAGAGCTCCTACAATCAACCAGAAATCTTGTTTAATTAATTTATTTAACAACTCCATCACACAGTTCCTTGGCACAATCAAAATTCTTTTCTAGGTTTCATATGCAAATGAAAGGGTTTTTTTTTAAATAGTCTTTGATGGCTGATTAATGTTCTCTGGCACAAACCAATAGAAAAGGTATGATTCATAGGTAAAAAACAATATGGATAAGCATTTGCTTTTTCAAGAGTTGCCCTCAGAAGACTAGCAAATGCTATGTTCAATCCTTTGAGAAAAATTCATGCAATTAGGATTCAATTGCATCTACAGGATGTAAGTTTTGAGGAAAAGAAATAATGGTCTAGAAGAAACCAGTTACTATAACTGGTAGTTAATACTCTTAAACCTTTTCAACAATTTTCTGGGAGCCCCATGGATTTGCTGTTTTTGTCTCAGCTTGCAAGAGAGTAATTTACCTTTAATGACGAGACTGAACTAATTCCATCCAAATCACTGAGCCCAGATCTTGCAAGCCACAGAGTTCTCAAATTAGTCAAAGATGTACCAAGGTCTCTATGCAAACACCAAGATAACAAAATTAGCAAGACTTATAATGGATGAGGAATCTGTATATTTTGAAGAAAGCTACTTGGTGTACATATTGACTCTTTCAATCCCATGGATGATCAAGAGGTGATTCCTCAAGCAGAAAGGCCACAAAAATAAAGAAAAATATCAAAAAAAGAATATCATTTGATTCAACATCAAATTCTCAAAATTAGCATGACAATGAATTATTAATATGCAAATGTTAAAGATTCATCTAATAACAAACTCTCATTTCATCTCTCATCATCAATGAGGGACTGGCAAAACTAAGAGCTATCTTACCTTACTGTGGCTATAAGGCTGTAAGACAACTTAAGTTCTGTCAGGTTAGGCAGGAGAGCTCCTAAAGCCAGAGAAATAAAAAGGTGCCTTTCTTTATGGACAATCTCTTGCAAATGTTACAGTATACCAGTTTTTTGAAATTTTGTGAGGTAAGCAAGTTAAGAAAATATCAAGATATCTATTGTAAGATGGATCCCTGAAAAATTCCAAGTGGAACAGTGTGTCAATGGAAGCCAAAACTTTGGGATAAAAACTAAAATCAAAACTGGAATTTCTAAGGTCATGGGAATATGGAATATATGTATGTCTGATAAAACAAATAAAATCTAAACTTTATTCAATAAAAGAACACACACAATACCCAGACAAAAATGTTACATTGCTGTTTATGACATTATTAAGATACCTGTAGTACATGCACCCTTATTGGTCAATTGATGAATTTGGATACGAGTATGTAAACATGGTTGTGACACCATGCTTTTTGTGTTTTTAACAACACAATTGAAAACATTTCAAACTCAAAGCTTTTGCAACACTCTCAAAGTAATTTCAAGTACAAATAACAAATATTGGAAATAGAGATATTATTTTCTTCCTCCTAAGCCTGCCTTTATGATTGTGAGCTGGACAACCTTGTTGAAGGAGCTCAAGTAAAGGTAACAAAATGTGCAACAAAATGCACAGTAAACATTTTCTTATGTAATTTTAACAGTTAAGAACAGTGGTAAAATCTTCTACAAGACATTCTTTACTACAAAATGTTCATGAAAACGCACATCAAACTATATGTCACAGTCTGGAAATGTCTCAAAACAAACTTCACAAAGATGATCAGTCACCATATTTTGGCTTTGAAATTTTTAAACATGTAATTTCATAATAAATTGACTCACTTTTCCTGTCAAAAGCCTGTTGTTGATGAAATTTGTGATACTTCCACTTACCAAAATTTCCTAAACTATTTTCCCTTGTATCAACTCTCATTTCAAGGTATTCAACTTGATCAAGATTTGAGAAACCAGTCAAAGATCTCTACATAAACAAAGAAAAGGTACAAACAAGTGTTAATAAATAATGTTTTATCACCAAAACATTTTTCAAACCCTGCAAGTTAGCATTGCCTTTATGGCAGAGTTGACAAAAATATCTAAAAGACCAAGAGATGTTAAATGAAAAGAAGTGTTTTTCCTTATCTAATTCCCAAGCCATAAACTAATAACAGAGGCCTTTTTTACTGGCTTGACTATTCTCTGTGAGTGTTGCTCAGGTTATTAATTCTTCTGTGGATAATTATATAATAATAGTTTGGTGGTTTACAGCCACTCTCACTCCAATTCAGTAATGACTGCAGTAGGAAATGAGAAAAAGTGAAACATAAGAGAAAAGATAAAAATTGCCAACAAAAGCTATGGTTGCATGTACTCACAAGTTTAGATGGTGACAGAAATTCCTCTAACAACTGATCTGCCTCCTCCTCATCTTGTACTATTGGTTCAGGGTTGGCAGTAGTGTCATCAAATTCACGTATTCTTACAGAAGAGATGGTTCTTGGGGCAGGCAGCATGTGTTCAACTTGTTCCAGGGTTAGGGTTGTGTCTTCCATTCCTAGTCTAAATATCAAAATATCACTTTGGTACAATTCAGTTCAATACTCTGCTATCTACTCTCCAAAGATGTAACATGAAGCTTATGACCAAATTTTTTTTTACAAATGCTGAAATCTTTGGATAAGGAAACTTTAATAGCAATAGAGGAGTGATCAATAGATTCTGAAAATATCTGTGCCATTTTCAGAATAAGCAGTTTTGTGAGCATAAGAAAAAAAGTGCATGTTCACTTTTGAAAAACAACGGAACTAGTTTAGCAAGGACTGTTATGAACATGTTTTCTTCAAAAACAGTCAATGACCTTACCAAAAGTATTATTCACTCTCATTGACGATTAATCAATGTACAAAGATTTACCTCTGTTCATTAAGTAAATGGCAAGGAAAGTAATTGTAAGTAAATTCCAATGTTTTATTTTAATTATGAATATTAATCTCTATTGATATGAATCTAGACATTGATAAATGAGAGGCCTGGACTGGGTACGGACAGGGTGCAAGTTAGTACTTTCCCTTTTCTGTAAGATTGAGCAATTTGTTCAGCATATAAGTCATAAGACTTCTGTTGAGCCAATGGCTATTCACAACACTAACGCATTTTAATTGCGAAATTACTGTAGTATTACCGCTTAGGTATTTGTGCACGTGTTATTGGTAACCTTGCAAGCAAGCAAGTAACAAGTTTATTTCTAGCATTAACCCACCCACACCATAGAGAGTTTTGATTGTATCTTAATCTTGATTACTGAACCATTGGTTTAGTGTATTCGTCCAATATCTTTGTTATGTAATAGTCTAGTGTGTTATTTACATAGGATATATACATTTAATAAACTGTCTGGTCCCAAAACAAACTCTGTCAGTTGTAGTGTTTAGTTGTGAGAGTTTGCTCATTTGTTTGCTGCAATGGCATGTGTAAATCTGGTCCTTCCTTCACAAAAACTCAATGTAAATGAGACACTTTGACTAGACACAAGGAGATTTAATGTGGCTTTTCTCATTGAATTCCTTCAGTTTCTGTTTTGCAATTTTTGGTGCAAATGTCCAAATTGAATGGACTTGGAAAGACTCACCAAAACCGTATTTGTAGTAGAACTGAAAACTTCACTTGCCTTTTCACTACAAATAGATTGTTTGAGAGCATTCAGATAATAAATGAATGAAAGTTCCATCACTTAATTTGATTGTAACCACATACCTCATGTTTTAACTTTCAAGGTACTTTTTGAGAAGGATTAAAACTAATTAAAGACGGTTTTTAAGCTGCTTGTCAACCAAGTTAATGATACTTTTGCTTAGAGAAATTAATTTTGAAAGCAATATTTTTCTGTCAACCAAAGTGATTTCAGAGAGAGAAAAGAGAGTATTTATAAGTTATTTCTCAGCTTAGGTAGTGGCCAATGACTTAACTTAAAAATACTGCCAGGCCCGAAAAAAGAGATACATTTGTAATAAATGGCAGCAAAGGTAGGGATGTACTTGGCAATCACAAAATTGTTACCTTGCCTGTGGGCAGAGATAGGAAAATACAAACTGCACTAAGATCCAATCAGATAGCAGGATTTGTTACCGTGCCCTCTGAGAAAAAAATAAAATTTGTTACTTTTTGGGGTTATCAATTTCAAAAAGCAAATTCTTTTTCAGAAAGGAAACATTGGAAGTTTTAAAAACCCTTATTGAATTACAAAGAAAAAATCTCAAGAACCAGATTTAGACAACCAAATTGTTTCTTCTATTGACTGAAAAGAGTGTTCACTTACTACCTGGCCACCAACTTAGAACCCTTTAAACTAGAAAAATTTTGATCCTGAGAGTGCCTAACAACATACCTAAAGATTACATGTGAGTGACCTTGAAGGTTCCAAAGGTTCCAACAGAACTAATAAAACATCGCCAGAAATTGAAACTGTTATCAATTAAAACAATAGGATTTCATAAAACTAAACTTGCGCGCAGATATTTGTTTACACTGCAAATGATGGCGTTGGCGGAGACGTACATAAATATATTGTTAATAATTATGAACCATCAGCCATGTAATGGTAAAAAAACGTTCTTTTTAAGTAAAATAACGTCCCATTCAACAAAAATCTGAAATTGTAGGAAATACATACACCTATATCATCTTACACCATATGGATGTCATAATTTAGATCTCCCTTAAATGAGAATAGTTTGGCGTGCATCGGTTGCCATCGTTGTCAACCAACGTTGTCAACTTACCTTTTTCCTGGATACGCCGATTGTTCCTCAATACAAGCCATGGAAAAAAAGATTTCTTTAGGCTATTTTCTCATGGAAGATCCAAAGGGATGCTTAGACAGGAATTCATTACACTCTGGATCGTCAATCTTTATGTATATATAATTATCAATCGGTCTCAATCGGACAAGCCCGCCATTTTGTATGCACAGTAATGCATTGTGGGATTTGTGTTGGTGACAAATCTTAATAGGGGAGAGAGGAGAGTAAACATTGAGACCACACAGGATCCCCCAAGCTCACCTTCTTAAAACATCTACAATGATAATTTAAATACCTGGCTCAATACTAGAAGAAAACTAAAACAAATGGCCAGGCTGGCTTAAATGCAATAACAAATTGTCATAAATTTGCAATATCTTGACATAGATGGGAAGAAAGCATGTAGCTTGAGAAAAAATAGAAACAGATTTACAGTGTAAGGTTTAATTCTGCTGAAGTACTGGGCACCTATCATTTTCAATTGTGTAACACCATATGGCCATGCACCCCTTAATTATCTGTTCAATCTCTGTGATCCTTCATACCTTACTATCAGTATTAATTTTCTCCATACTGTTCTCTTTCCTTTACTTATGGTATCGACAAAGAGAATTTGTTTGACAATCAAGAGCTTCCTAAATCAGTTATCGTTTCTTCCATTCTCATGATCTTTTCATCAGATTCAAAGGGGATTCTGTAAGGAGAAATTGGAAGTAAATCCCTCTTGTTTGATAGTAACCCTAATGGAAATAACCTGCATGATGTTTTACCATCAGTAATATCACCTAGCAGGAAATTCAAGCACCAACATTGATTATACTTTATTCCAGTTTTTGGACAGATTGGTTCTTTGGTTCTCCTTTCCATTGATTTCAGTGAATATCAGTATTGTGCAACAATTTCATCCGTTTACACCAACTTCTCTCAGGATTTTGTAAGATTCTGATTCAAATTGCAGCAGTCAGCTTTATTTGACTCACAGAATGAATACTGAAAAAAAAAACTTGACCAAAGCAAGTAATAAAAAGGATGCACTTGTTCTCATTCTGCTTTTACATTTAACAAAAATGCACCAAGGGAAGCATTTCAAAAATTTCAGAAATAAGTCTTGTTACTGATATTTTAATCATGAGAGTAATGGACCAAGACTGAAAGTGAGATCAGAGACTTACCAATTTATCTTTGCAATTAGTAAGTAAAGCTAAGGTAATAGGTAGAATGGCAGGTTATTTCTAAAACCACAAAAAATTCATGCTACATGGTAAATAAGCTAAGCTTACATAAATAGCAAAATTGAATTGGTTAGCCCCTGAAAACACTTTATTTCTCAATCAATTTCTCTCAAAGACAGTGCAACTCATATATGACACAAGATACTGTACTTTGGTTTTATTTACTGAGTTAATAATGTAAATTTGGTCTCCATTGAAAGTTTTTTGATTAAAGCTGATATTATAAGCAGGACACAATAGGCGTTTAGAAGAGATTATTTTCTTGGTATTAGCCTATCTAGAATGCAGTCAAGTTAAGTAAACCAGTTCAAAGGCAGATTTATGGTGGGAAAAATCACCTGAAACTATGTTTGAGCTAATAAATTTCACATTATGTATATCTTCAATAGACATGACTTGCTGAAAATTAGCAACTTGTGTCAAAAACTATCTGAACTGAAGTACAGGTAAGTTCCAAGGCTAATTCCTGCACTTAAGATAAGAACTTTTATTCAGTAGCAAGAGGTTATCTAGTGCTTATGAAATTAAGTTACACTTATTATTACTTGTTTTGAACATTTAAAGTTAGTTGATAATGATCTTTTTCCCATTGAGTTGTAGATTACATAAAGCTTCTGATGGACCATGCAGTCAGCTAGCTAAAACATTTGAAGTTCCTCACATACATATAATTTTATTATTAATCTTTGAGCATTCAAAGTAAGTTGGTAATGATCTTTTTCCCACTGAGTTGTAGATTCCATAAAGCTTCTGATGGACCATGCGGTCAGCTAGCTAAAACATTTGAAGTTCCTCACATACATATAATTTTATTATCAATCTTTGAGCTCTCAGATTGTTTAGCTGTGAGAGTACAGTGCTGGAAAATGTAAATCACTCTAACTTTTACTATAATATTACTATTTACATCAAACACCATCCATGCACAAATCCATGGGACGGGAAAATAAATTACAAGAAGCAAACCACAAAATGAATGTTTCATGATGTTAATCATCATCTTCTGGTGAGAAAATGTCATTCTCTTCCAGCCACGCCGCTCCTTCACGAGAAATTATGCCTCCCACGTATAAAAATGGAATCACAACACTGGTGACTTTTACCAATCCAAAGCGCTTACTTTCCGGTTTAGAGAGAACTGCACCACTGGTGGAACATGTGGAAGTACTCCTCATTAAAGAGGTAACATCATGATGAAGAATCCTCGCTGGACGTATCCACAACCTCAACATGGTGGCTGACGTGAAACTACATTTAAATAAATAAAGCGAGGCAATGACTTAGATGGACTTCCAGTGGAAGAACCAAGGTGTTAATCACACAACAAACGAAATAGCTGGCAATAATGTTTACCAGCAAATAAATAATTACTTTATCCAGTAGATAACTAAACTCAGCACTTACACAAAATGGACCAGATATCGAAATATATACTTGTAATTGATAAGAAGATGTAAGCATGATGTACATGACTTGTTTTAATTTTTTATGAAAACATCGATTGTTTGACTATGTAAAACATAGAAACTCTCTTGGAGCGATCTCTGTATCATTCTATTAAAATCTGCATCTATTCATAGATGGATGGCTTCACAAGCGGAATGATTTCACTTCCTTTATAAGTTGAATTGTCTGAAACGTTTAACCATCAAAAAACAATCATGGATAAGCTAAAAATACCAAGTACTCACCTAAAATTAAAATATGTTCTGTAAAGGCGACCAAAATAGCCAAAATATTCGAAATTGTTGATGATAGGATGGAAACCCGTAGTCGATGGTCGTTGGGCAGGTGAATCTTGTGAACAGCTACGTGAAGTAGTAGTAGTGCAACTGACCAGTGATGTGCAGACTCTAAGGAGAACAAAAAACACCGGGCATGCACGAGAGTTTGAAAAGGATGAGAGAGATTTAAATGTCTATCACAAAACAAAGAAGAAAAGATTAAGTCCTAACTATTCCAACCAATGCGTAAGACAAAGAAGGGTTTTGGAGGAAGATAAAATCTTGGACTTAAATTATTGTAATATATCCCAACTGTTTTAACGCAGACGCTTCGGAGGGAAATGACAAAACCTTTCTTAAACCTGTTATCGTTATCGTCACAAATATTTTGTGTGGCTCTGGTTCTTCCTTTTTAACACATTCCTCTCGGTGTTGACCAGCAACTCCACCATGAACACAGTAAAGAATGACTATTGCCAGCACAACCAAGCATACGGACGACTTAAACTTCAACACGCCGCCGTGCAAAGTGTTAAAAAAGAAGGATGAGGTAAACTAGCACAAAATGGATAAATTTAAGAACGATATAGTGTATAAGTCTCGGACTTAGAAACTTCGAACTTTCCTTAGAAACTACGAAAACCTACGTCTCACCTAGATTCTCCATATTTGTAATGACCAAGTGTTATTCTAAGTACGCATCAGCTGTCATTTGACCACTGTGGTCCCTCTGTTTCTTCCAAGCCAACTCCCTACTCCCTGGCCCCTGACTTTCTAGCCTGCAGAACAAGCCTAATTTTAGTTTGCGTTGTAAGGCGCACAGAGGCAAGCATGAGGCGATTGCGAAGCGTGAGTCACATACACGGGGAGGAACGGGAAAAAAATTGCGTCCTTTTCCTCGAACGCAAATCACGCTAAAAAAAGATAATAAATAATACGCCTGTTCTGTAGGCTTTTGACCCAATTGGGCCTTTAGGAAAGACAGTACATTCCGCTCGTTATTGATTAACTAATAAAATATCTATACAAGAGTTATGTTTCCTCGTCATATTAACAATTATTTAGCTCACGGGGAAAGCCATAATACAAATGAAAGTGTATTGACACTTCAGACTTCTTCGAGTCAAAATGACGGATGAGAGTTAGAGAGGCAAACTATGAAAGCAATTTTACTGCACAGGACATTTATGACCCATTTGTCGTGGATATAATTTGAAAATTCATTTGCACCCAATACATATACTTAAGACATAAAAGACAGGCAAACCTTTGCATCGACAGTCAAATGTTTCATAGTTCTATCTGCTTAGCTGACAAAAATAATATATAGATTTGGCCAAGCCTAAAAGCAGAGCTCTTATTAGTTTATTTTCCAGCCCTACGTTACACTGAATAAAAACTGTAATAAAACTAACTGCTGGCAAGTCTCTGTAATAAAACTATCTACTGGCAAGTCTTTGTATTATATTTCAACCCATCCATTTCTCTCTTGAAGAATCTCGAAACACACGTTGCTCGTTTGATTGGATCATAACTAAACCAAAGACAAAAGCTTGTCTTCATACCTTCTGCTTGAAGTGTTTAGGGAGACACGCCTTAACTATACAAAGAAGAGGAGAAATCGATGCTCCTAGGGTCGGGAAAAACTGAAATGGAAATGCCAGAGAGAACTCAGTTTTATAAATTTATAACCGTTTTCTGCCTAAACAGTTTTTAACTCTTCTCACTGTATGAAAAATTGGCGTCGGAAGTCAGACAAGTTGAAGCATTTTTAAGAAAATGAGCGCTGAAATCAGCTATTTCTTCGCAAAAAATTGCTGTGTTTGTGGTGACCGTTAGAATGCACACGAATTAATTGTCCCGAAAAATTGCTTTTCACTGACTCGGACGACGGCTCAGCTAGGAAAGAAGACCTCTCAGTTTGTAGTCTAACTTAGCCATTGTTGGTTGCCGATCGCGGTTACCGTGTGGTGAACATCGGAAGATATGGTTCCTTACTTTAGTTTCACGACGGTGAATTACGAGCGAATATTAATTTACTCATTCGATTAGCAATCATTCAGT